TTAGAGAAGGTTAAAGATAAATATAATTATTATATACTTCCTAGCTACTTTATCCCTTTGTAATAACTAGAACCTCTCCTTGACTTTATTACTCTCTTGTACGCCGCCGTCTCTGACAGGCATCAACGCCCTTGTGCGCTTGTTTCTGTTAAATCCAGAGTAGAAAATCCATCGCCATCCAGAGCCGGCTCTAAATACCTTTGCTGTAGTCGTAGTTGGCGTAGGGATGACATTGCCGATGTTTCAAAGTCCTTGGCATACTCTCTACCCGTTTGATTGAGCATGGTTATGCGGTGGCGTCAACCGGCCTTGAAGCATCGCTTTTGTCTTGAGGCGGTGCTCTTGACGAAAGTCGTGGGATAGAGGAGTCTGTTGCCACACTGCCATCGATTCTCCTCCATTGCAGCGAGTCTCCTCGCCCGCACCAAAATGGCCCAGTCACTCAATTCCAAGCGAGTCGACGCCATCCTCGAGTCTCAGCTCCGAGATCAACCAAGCGGTAGGCGTAAAGACTCTTGAGTCTAGTGCCAAATCTAGCCTGGATCTAGCTACCGACTGCATGCCTAGGGCTCTGCCAGAATTATTAGCTTATTCAAGAAGCCGTCCAAAGCCTTCCATTCCAAGATGCTCGATACCGGGTCTTTTGCTTCTGGTCCCCCTCCTTGTCAGCATCGTTCTCGTTTCCTCTTCCGAAGTCAGCATCGACACGTCTGGTTAGTGTCTTGTATGTAGCGAACCGCAGACAGTATCTCTCATCGGCCCTTAACTGACTGGTTAATTATGGACTTTTTAGTCTCAGTGCTCTGCAAAGGGTACCAAAAGCAGTTGGATGAGACTAATCATAGACTCTATTTTGCTAGGTTTTAGACCACGACGATACGAAGCCGGCCTCTCGATTCTCTGCGACATCAAACGGCCACCCCTCTGCAGCCGAAAAAAATTTCTCCCGTTCAATTGAAGAACCAGCAACATCCTGTTTGCTTCCGACCCCAAAGCCGACAAGTAAGCCGAGCCACGTTGTTGCAACCAAATGTACCGGGCCAACGTGCGATGGGTAGGACGAGGAGTATTGGAAGAATAAAGTGTGGATGACAAGAGTACGGAGATGCTCGAAGGAAAGCTGAACTTATCGTCCGGGCCCAGTTACGACAAACCCCCATCGCAGCACGCCTTCCGGTATTTGTGAATCCCGTATCTCTTCGCTCTTGTATTTTTTGTATATTTCTTTCTGCCTCAGATGTCGAATTATTTTCGAAGCCAATATTTGGGACTCTGCCTTTTGTGTCCCCCCATCACCATGGAATTTGCTTTTGTTGACCCGATGCAGCGGTATGCTTTCAAGCTGAATCCTGAACAAAACGCAGCAATCATCAAAACCGCCGTTACGCTTTTGTCAAGCCGATGCAGCGGTATGCTTTCAACCTTAATTCGGAATAAACTGCAGCAATAATCAAAATTGCCGTTACGCGCCCAAATGTTCGCGAGAGATGAAGAATGTGCGAGATCTTCAGTCACCTCAAGATCCATATCTCAGACACTATGGAGTCCAATTGGAAACCTCATCGCAGCAATAATTAAAATTACTGTTACACGCCTAAATATTCGCAAGAATAATATTACGAAGAATGTGCGAGATCTTCAGTTGCCTCAAGATCTTCAGTTGCCTCAAGATCTTCAGTTGCCTCAAGATCTTCAGTTGCCTCAAGATCTTCAGTTGCCTCAAGATCCATATCTGACACTATGGAGTCCAACTGGAAACCTCGTTCGCCAAGACTAAGCCCAAGATTTGCAATGAAGACGAATCGATGGCAGAAACCAGTAGCGTTAGGAGTCGCTCCATACAGGTAACTTGCACGGTCGAAATCATGGGACAAGGATCAGCGTGTGTGTGTGTGTGTGTGTGTTGGAGCAGGTTGGGTTTTGTATATGGCTGCCTGGAGGAATAAAACCGGCCATCTCCATCTGGCATTCAAACAGCGACCCCAAGGCGCATTAGCTGCCCGACCATGGGCTGCGTGGTTGATGAGATTGTCTGGGTGTCTCAACAAACTTCAAGTCGCCGAAGCCCGCCGCTGATCATTTCAGCAGAACAAAGCGGCCACTGGATTCAAGAAGCCACCCACGATTCAAGGCACCCCAACCGACACCTGTTGAGTCTCTTCGTCCAGTCCTAGGTAGTCGCCCTCTCGTGACGACCCATACTCGAGTCACCTTGCCTACCAGTCGAATCGCGCGCAGCAGAACTTCGATACGTCCTCTCTCTTCAACCACGCCTTCCAGTTCTTGGTACACATGTGCAATTCCACGAAGGAGCCAATCCCGTCAGCAAGCTCAAGCACCCTTTTTGCGGCTAAATGTACGCATGTTTGGCCCAACCTGTTTTTCTTCGTCACGGTAGTGCCAATTCCCATCCAATTAATGCCATAGGTACCTGCATGTTGGCAGTATCCCAAATGACATTGACAACTCACTCGCGGTGTTTGACACGTGAACCACATTGCCGCGACAGATTTGTCAATCCCGTGAGACACCTCTAGACAACGAGAGAGTGAATAGGCAAACTCCGGCACCCTCTATCGATGCAAGGACGAATCAGAATTGCGGTCACCAGCCACACCAGCGACGCCAAATGCTTTCTTCGATAGCTAAAGATGGCTCTTGGGTCTAATCATCAACAACTTTCACAAGACAGTTTCGCCCCTGAAACCAATGAGTGGCCTATTGTGGTCTTCTCCGCTGGATGAATAGATCAAGCGGCTATGGCAAGCCTTCTGCATCTGACGACGCCGAGAGTTTGCCTGGCGCAAATTCAGACAGTGAAAGAAGGATCACCACTTTCGAACCGGATCTTTCCTCCATATTCCCAAACGCAGACAAAAGGAGAAGCAATCAAGCGACTCTCATTCCCTCGCCGCCACCGCAAGTGTTTTCTGCTTGCTGCCTGCATGATGGCGCAGATAATAATTCGACTGACAAAACCGATGTCCATAGAGATGATGACAACGAGCAAGACCTTTTCGACCCAGACGTTCAATGCAGCCGAATCCCCCATTCAACTTCAAATGCTGAAGTTTATCCTTCAAGCATGAGGGGCTAAATCCCCGGCCCTGTCCCAGACTTTTGGGATTGGTGTTTGATGCTCGGTACACGACGCCAGTAGATGCAAGCATGCAAATAAGTGGCTCTTGGATTATCCAAAAGGCTTTGGTACCAGTATGCATTGTGGTAAAGGAAAGTCTAGTCTATATAATTTGATTCGATATCTCCGTCGGTTGCAAACCCGAATTGTACTCCCCATAATAAACCCGAAAGACGAATGCCATGTGTTGAAATGTATGTCGATTGGCCTTAGTCTATTCATCTAGTCTTGCCGGATCGGACCCCCTACTAATGCCTGGTGTCTGGACTGCCTCTGTTCAACTAGGTACCAGGACTTCTAACTAAGTCGGTGCCCCTATTTTGAACACCTTGGTATATGATGAAATACAGTGAAAAAATTACTGCTCAAAACGGGCTGATACTCTATCTCTTCTCTTTCTCGTCGTATGGCTGCTTGGCGACATCGCAAGCCTTACTGGTAAGTTTTCAAATCTTGATTTATAAAGTCATCGCACTGGGTTCAGGAATCTAGTTATATCTACTTAAGATTCATGATGGCATTGCGAAAGAAGACTCGACTTGCTGGGAAATTTTCTTGGTCATCAAGCCTACTAGCTCTTTGTTCAGATGATCAAACAATGTTACAACAATCTGCAAGCCTAAGAGCCAAGTCGCAAGCCTTCCACCCACCCAGCAAGCCTACTAGGTAGTAGCATACACCAATTGCCCCAAAAGCATGTGCACGTACACGAGGGCTTCCTACTCTGCAGTTGAGAGTGCGTGCAACAGAGAGCTCGGATCCGATTTCCTTAGTCCACCGTGGCCGTCACCCACGCGCCACGCCAACATAAATCGGCAAATCCAAGCAGCCTGGTCGAATACAAGTATTTGTCCTAGATTTTATTCTCCAGGATAGCGCTGATATACTTCGTTTGTCACCGGACTTTACTCTGAAACAGCTCACGGGTTTGGTAGGCGTCATCTCTCAAGTCCAGAATATGCGATTATAACGCGCCTCGGTACGGTGCACAAGTAGGACCCGATGCTCAAGAATTGTCCCCCATCCCATACCATACCAGCCAGACGGGATGAAAAGGCCGTTGGCTTTGAACAAAGGGTTCACCTTCTCTTCCACGCGTCTCAAATTTGGCATCCCGGTCAAATGCAACGGGCGCAACATTGAACAGATTGCCAACTTTCGGGATAGTGCAATTGGACACCGCGGGTTGATCGATATGGCGGCCGGGGCATCCAGTGCATTGCCATTTCTGCCACGCTCTCCCAGCATTCACTGGTGAGTTAGGAACCACAAGCCGCCACCCTTACGCTCGTTGCTCGTATGGAGCAGACTAGACAAGCTGGTCGAATTCCTTACGGCTACTTTAACAGCTGTGTGCTACGATTCTTTGAACGTTCGTATTTATCCCGTTGTTTGAACACAGCACTGGAGGCAATACTAATGCTGTCAATGTTAAAAGTGGACAGGCTCAAACACCTACCACGGCCAGGCGATTCTTTCATTAAGGTAAGCTTCATTCGCAGCCTGTGTGCTCGATTTTCGGGTCCTTCAACCACTAGAGTCTCGCCAACTGCAGAGAGAGGCGAGATTACGTAGTATAGAGCTTATAGTCACCACAACCACATTATTTTGATTCGGGGATCTTCATGTTTGATCATCGAGACGAGCAGAGGCATAACAAGATGGAACGCAGAATCTCGGCAAGCGGGTATCGGAAAAGCAGGGATCTTGCAAATGATCGGCACGCAACGCCGCCATTACGCATAACCAACTTAACCCTTGCGACACCAATCTCAATGACATCATGACAATTTCTAGGTACTATTTAAATCAGCACAATCAGCCCGTTCAAGCTCATCCGGCCATTCTTCTATCAAGAACAATGGCTCGTCAAAAAGAGGTTCATCACCGTCATCTCGATACTCCAACGAAGGCGCGGGTTAAAGGCGCTGTTGCGTTTGCGCAGCTCCAAAAGCAGCGATACGGCCACGACTTCAGCTATCAGGATATCTTCCGATCCTTCCAAGTCAGCAAATCCCGTGGCTATGAGATACTCAAGTCGTCGTCCGATAGGACATTTCACAACGAATTCGAAGAGACTCGCGGCCGGAAGAAGCTCCTTGCAGACGAAGACCTGGATAAGCTTAAAAAGCTGATTTGGTCGCAAGATTTTGAGGCTCGCGGGTTGACTTGGTCCCAATTGCTTCCAGCGGCTGGAATAGATAAACAGATCAGTCTTTCGACTGTTCGACGACGTCTTGGAACACGGCATTGGCGAAGGTGTGTTGCTTGCCTCGGCACGCATCGGCGTAACAGCGGGAAATGATGTCATTGGGAGATTTTGGTTTTGCCGATGTATATCCTCCGGAGTTGAGGCGCTATGTGGGGCCGGGTCTCCGGCCTTGTCCCAGACATTCGGGATTGATGTTTGATGCTCGGTACAGAACGTCAGTGAATGCATGCTTGCAAATAAGTCACGTCTACTGCAAATAGGATGCTTTGAGATGATTCAGAAGATTTTGGAACCAGTATGTATTGTGGTAAAGGAAAGTCTAGTCTATATAACTTGATGTGATATCTCCGTCGCTTGCAGGCCCGCCCCGTTAACCAAAACCGAATTGTACTCCCCGTAATGAAAATGAAACACAAATGCCATGGTATATGATGAAATAGAGTGTAAACAAACTAACTCAGACACCGCTGCAGGGTGGTCGAGGAGCTAGCTTAGAAACCGCTCAGGGGGTTGGGGTTGGCCCTCTGGAATCCGCCAACCTTGCCTCCTTGGATCGTGGGAGGCACAACACTGACGCCTGTGCCCTTTGCAATCACTTTCTGGTTGGAAAGAACCTTTTCCGTTGATGGGTTTTGGTTAATTACGGCCAACATGCCATTTTGACAGTGGTTTCCCTTGGTTTGAGGGCAGTAGTACCAGATGGGAGAGTTGTCGACGACGGTGATCTGGTAGACGTTGGGGTTCTGGCCCTCAGCGGTGACAAAGTTGAAGCCGGCAAAGAAGCCAGTGCCATCAGCAAGGGGCTTGCAAGGATGAGCAAAGTCGGACTGAGCCAGGGAGTGGTTGGCAGCAGTGAAGTGCCACTCGATAGTGTCGCCGATCTCAGCAACAACGTTTTCAGGGTCGAAGTGGAGACCTCCACGGCCGACGACGACTGAGTGTGTCACGCCAGTAAGGAAAGTACGAGAAGGAAGCATGTTGCCTTCGGTGGGAGTGCCCTTGGGAAGGGCAGACACGCTGGCAACGGCAGCGGCCAAGATGGTGAAGATGCTGGAAGCGTACATTTTGAAGTTTGTGGGGTGAAAGGATGCGGAGGAGAGATTGTAGTGAGTAATTGATACTTTAATGGAAGCACTTGTCGAAGAGGGAGGTGTGAGAGAGTGGTTGTGTTGTTGTTTGTTGTGATGATGAGAAAGTGTGAGCTTCAACGGAACTACACTTGTTATTTATACATAGTTTCGATCCAAGCTCTCTTGTGCGTTCCAAGCCAACATCGTAGCTAAATTTGCAGTTTGTCTAGTACAGCCTCTCGGTTAGGATACCAACCGAGCAAGGTGCCAGTCAGTTGGTCATCTTGGGCATTACCAAATCCACCCGCCTCAGCACTAACATCGCCATCTTCCGAACCTCTAGCTGTGCTGGGCCGAGTCGTGATTGGATGTTTCACAGAACCATCCCAATTTTAGGACGTTAGCAAGACTGACCAACACGCCTGGGCTTGGGGCTGTCAGCACCATAACGGAGCTAGCTCGAGCCTGCGCCGCCACCGGCTTGGGCTAGTTCCGTCTTTTCAATCAGCTAAATGCTGTCAGCCACATCACGGCTGGTCCTATTATTAGGACAGCGTACTTACTAAGGCGTCGAGACCTTGGACTATGAATAAAACACTTGGGATGGAGACGACGACGCCAATCTCATTTGACAAACAGCCACAAGTGCGTTCTAGCTGCATACAGCTACAGCTCTGGCAATAAGCGTGCATGGGGAGCTATTTGCATTGTTCTGCTTTGTCGTGCTTGCTTGATGCGGCACCGCTTTACAAAGCATTTCTAGGAATAGACACGAGGGATGTGGAGGAACTGCAATTTTACTCAACGTCGTGCAAACTCGACCTACATGCATTGCCATTACTTGGCCGAATCCTTCCAAGATACGGAGTGCTGCAAACGGCTTCATGAACACAACTTTTACATGCTTCTTCAACAAAAAATAGGAAGGGAGAAAAAAAAGCTTCAATCTTGCGATTCCATCTACTTTCGTGATGTTGCCTCTTTCGGTCCCGACGTCATACGGCCAGCTCCTCGGGTGCCCTTTGAGTGGCGCCCAAACATCTCCAGCTTCATCCCCGACTCTTACCCGGCTTACCCACGTGGAGGCACAACACAAGTGCTGACCCCGGAGTTTACAGACTTTTGTTTCGTTTCGGTTCTTAATCTAGAGCATAAAAAATCAGGCCACATGCTAGTCTCATTGCAGTATTCTTTCCTAGAATTGCTATTGCTCTGCTTGGAAATGCTGACGCTTGACTCGGAGCTGTCGCCTTGTGGAGCAGCCTTGTGTGTCTATACAAACACGATTCTTGCTGCGTCTTTGCCCATAACATCTGCAAAGTACGGATGAGACAGCCATTTTAGCGTTTGTGCTACGAGGGACAGAGGATTCAATACAGGCCCGTCGATGTTGGATGGAGGATGCAGCCACACGCGCGGAGAGATTTCGCTGCACTGCAGCAAGGCGGAATGCCAAAACGCCTGATCCTACCCAAAGGATGACCGCCCAGCCGCCATTTGCGGAACCAGACGCAGGTCACTTTGCGGAACGAGATTGGCTTAGGCACTGATCTCGCACTGATACCCTTGTGGTTGTATTCATGCTATGGTAATAAGGTACACTTGATAAGGCAGCCAATCATGCCCAGACCCGGGGCATCCTCCCTCCCGGGCGAACCCGTACAAATCTTGACTAGTCGTGCGGAATTACGCTGACCAGTTCCCGCAGTCGATACAACGCTTCGATAATTGTTGCTTCGCGGATTTGTTCTCTCGCTCCTGGAAAGTTGAACGGTCCCCAAGCACGAGTCCCAGATGGTCCAGCGATTCCAATATACACCATGCCGACCGGTTTGTTGTCTTGAGTCCCAGGGCCAGCAACACCCGTCGTGCCGATCCCCCATGTTGTCTCGTCGCCGTCAATGTTGGTGATTCGGCGAGCTCCTTCTGCCATTTGCTTCGCAACATCCGCGTGGATGACGCCTTCAACCGCGATGAGACCGCCATCAACACCCAAGAGCTTTTCTTTGAGAGGCGTCGCATACGATACAACTCCTCCTCGAAATACGGCGCTGGCGCCGGATACAGAAGTGATGGCGGCCATGACGCCGCCGGCTGTCAAAGATTCGGCTACTCCAAGCGTTTGACCAGCATCTTTGAGCTTCTTGACAAGGTCGGATGCAATATCGTACACGGTTTCCGTGCTACGTTGGACTTCTGACGACACAGGCTCCATACTTGTCTATCGAATATATGGGTGATGCAAAGTGATTGAGATGAACAAGATAGTTCGGAATGGGTACTCTTCTAACAAACAGCGTCTTCTCTCGGAACTGTTCACAACAAGTTTTACCATGGCCTTTATACAAGATATTCGCATCGAGGAACAGAGTCCTACGAGCGGCCGCATTGCAGGGAACGGAGTTTCATGGGCAGTCTGGTGGGATTTCCGTTGTTGCCTACAGATCTCTATTCTCATTCTCCGTAACACGTAGCCACAAGAGAGCGGGAATCCTGCAGCCTCGAGATATGGATTTGCCAAGCAGTACCCCAAATCAGCTATACAGCATCTCGTGTCCCCAATTTAATGACGACAATGACACATGTTCGTTCTAAGAAGAGGCGGCGATGGTGTAGCAAGAATGAAGTAGCTATAGTAGTAGTCTTTAGAAACTAGCAGTTTGCTACCCTAGTAGATCAAAGATTATTCTTTTATACCATGCAGCAACAATTTGACTCGTAAATCATTCACAACAGAACAATACATCAAACCTGTCCGGAGTGACGGAGTCTTTTCCTCTCAAGCCCTTGTCAAGTGGTGCTAACAACTTCAAACAAGTTTAACGGCAACACAGTATTCCGAGCAGGAATTTCATCTCGTAACTATAACAGCCCACAAGGCCGCAAGGAAGCAGAGTCTGCCTCGCCTCAGGCTTGTTCAACTTCCAATAGAGAACCATCTAATCAGATTAGGCAGACGACAGATCTTTCAAGGATCCTTCCACGGTATCACTGCATTGTATATTAAACACTAGAGGCTTGGCACGATTTTAACCTTAGAGTCACTCATTATCTGCATATGCCAATCTGTCCTTACACTAGGGTCAGTTGCTGCCTCTCAGATTGACTCATAAACACGTCCAGCTCGAAACACGTTGCGTTTACTCCTATCCTTTCGTATCGGAGAGGCGCTCCATCAACGCATCGCAGGATGAGAAGGTGCGTCGTAACAGTCTCAGCGCTCTCCTCCGACTCGTCCCATTCGGAACAAGTTGTTCGGCCAAAGAGTAAACAAAGAACTTGTGAGCCAGAGGGAACAAATCCTCTCCCGGGTATGTCTAACTTGTAGTCCGGAGTAAAAGTGGCAAACTGCCCGCCAATCTGCAACCCATAATCTTCCGTAGCTCTGCTGTCGGTCAAAATGCTGGACGTACCCGAGTTATCTTTCTGTGACTCCAAGATGCTTGTCCATTCTTGGCCGTGGTATACAACGCCGGAAGCAACGTGTCCGGAGAGCAACATCATTCCGCTCACCACATCACCTAAAAGAGGATCACCAGAGTACTGCACGTCGCTTCCCAAGAACTCAACGCCTTCTAGAGAGACTTGCCAGCACTCTACACCTCCAGACACGGATGCCCATGACCATGTTGGCATACGCATATCAGGCCGTGGATGAAGGGGCGGCTCGCTGAGATACCAGAAGAACGTCTGTTCAAGCTCCTTCTCCCAGAACCCACAGAGATACTCTGTTGCGTCGTAATCTTTTGCTGATGCAATCGCCTTACCAATCCCTGCCAAAGCTGGAAGTCTATCGCTCATGACCGTAAGCGGACGCTTAGCATAGCCTTTAATTACCTGGGACCATGCTTTCGATGCGGGAGATTGCTTGTACCAGTCTTGAGCGCCCGAGATGCGCGTATTGTTGTCATACCACCCGCATTCGCACCGAGTCTCCTCAAAGCATTCCCAGATGAGCTCGTTTTGCGTAAAGTGAAGCATCCGGCGTGACAACATCTGCTCCTGATACACCCAGCCTCGGTTCAAGAGCGGCCATTCAAAGTCTGGATTCTCGGCAGCCATGGTATCAGCGCTGGATTCGATGCCGAGCCAGGTGAAGTGATGCTTCCTACGACGTATAAAGATGGACTGGCCATCGATTTGGGCGACATCTACGCATATTTCCTGGGGCGTGCTGTGATCTCGAAAGAGACTTTGATCGGGCCGGTCGCACCACGAAGCCGCCACGGTAAGTTCAGCATTCGTATAGATGGAGGCCATAAGCGCTGCCTCTCGTTTCCAGTCGTCCTTGTCATCTTGAATGATGCACAAGCAATCAATCCATATGTACTCGATGCCTAGTCGACGTAGCACAAGTACGACATCCTGCATCATCCGAGGTAAATTTGCTACAGGCATACCATGCTGCTTTCGATCCAGAAGATTAGACGTCAAGAGGGACTTGGACGGCGTTTCTTCTGTCCACCTATGGCTCAGAGCCGCGTAGGGTACAGCAGCCGGCTTCTCGACGAGCTCGAGAGTATTACTATCAGCCCGGCCGTCTCCCAGATAGAGTAACCGATTAGGCACAAACTCCGGGTCGCCGACTTGACACCCGCCATGAGAAGTCCGACATTCCGTTAGCCACTCTGCTGCCTGATCGAGAGCCTCGTTGTCTCCGGTGGTGCGTGAGAGCTTGTGGCCTCGGCATAGCACGACGTGCGGTGAGGGATCATCCGCGAAAAACACCGGCCTGTCCAACGGCGTCTCGCTACTACAAATCTCAAAGACTTGGCTGGTACCATCGGCACTTGAAATCTCCAGAAGTGGACTCCCCGGTGAGTTTAGGTGTGGCTCCAACCTTGCCACTTCGAAGCCGGCGACGCCAAAGCTTTCAAATGCCGAGGCGAGAGCCTTGCACCGATCACAGCCGCGCTTGGAGGACTTGATTAAATCTGCATAGCTAAACTCGTGGTCGTCGCTCTCTGCAAACGCGTACTCGTACCGGCCGCCTATGTCGGATGAGAGTGATTTGGCCGTCGGATTGAGCTCAAAGAGACAGGCACCGCACCACTGCCGTTCTTTCTTCGGGAGCAACGACTTGAACAAATCGAGCATGGTTTCTGATGTCTGTATCCGGACTTTGACGCCCAATGAGAGTCAATCTTTCCGGTGACAGGGGGGAGAGACTGCAAAGGAAAAAGTCTTTCGAAAAGGGCAAATGGAGGGGCAAAGGGGTTTTCTTTTTTCTTTCCCGAGTTGCCTTTTACTGTCGGGTGTCGAAGAAGGGCGTCTGACAACGCGCCGAGCACTGCTCCGGAATTCCGCATGGAGGGAGGCGTTGACTCTTGACCGGGTTTATGCGAGCGCTCTACTCCGTACAGGCGATATCGACTTGCGAGGAGTTTTAAACGCCGAGGTGCAAAGTCCTGGGCGAATAGTACTAATCGCGTACCTAGTGCAGAAAAGGCTGCTTCTGCTGACGCCCTCTACTCGTATGTGAGCGCGCTTGTGATGTTGCAGGGGGGCTGAGTGAACGATTATTCCATATTAAGGGGGACTAAACTAGGCACGGAAAAAGGATTACCATAGGCCATTCCGGAGCTTGAGCGAAAAGACGCTCGTGAACGTATCCGTTTTGCAGTGATTGGCCAATCCTGCTTATGCGTTTCACGGCATGACCTACAGAGATGCAAACCGCGACGAGTTTTTGGTTTGCCGGACGGATACACAGCTTATTTTGCTGATGGCAGCCATGGATACGAATTAAGGTCCTTCTGTCTTTGGAAAGGTGCACGTATGACCATGGCTAGACCTGAGAATAACATGTGAATGCGCTTTTGTAGGCGCGTCGTTTCCATCCCGCGCGCGTAAGTCTGCTGTAGTAGGAACAGTGACTATCCGCAAATGTATCCGGAGAGAACCAAGTCCAGCAGAGTCTCTGCGGTTACGGCTATGAAGATATGACTCTTCATGAACATTCATGATCAAGGAGATTTCCACTTAAGCATAATGAGTATCTTGTACGTGTAGTATTGTGACCAGCATCGAACTGCCGAATCGTGCCGTTGCGGGAATGCCTAGGGGGCGTTGTAAGCATGGATGGAGCAGCCTCTAGCGGCTGACCATGGGATTTTGCATCGCAAGATTTCCCGTTTGCGAGAACCCCCTACCCTACTGCAGATTCAATTACGTCGTTTGCGAAGAAGATTTTTGCCCGTTAATACGATGATGCCCTTGTTCGGCCTCTAGCTTTGCGAGGCAATATTTTCCGGCTTTCTGCATCGAGATAAAGCTCGTAAAGTCTATTCGAACAGTACGATTATCAGTTGAAGAGTGAACGATTCTGGATTTCAATTGTCTCCTGAACGGCTGATGGATTAGGCAGACACATTCTGGGTACCGACGCTCCGCATGTATAAGACGCATGTCTAATATTTTCCTATGCTAAGCTCCCAGTGACCTGAGCTTATTATGCAGGCCTGCATGGTCCAATACAACGTGGCAGCGCCATCCCGCCGGCATGAGGATTATCACCAAAACCGGCATCTTAGCTGGCACCGAATAGTCTAAGGACAGCTTCGTATGCTAGACAAGATACAGCAAGTGATATGCAAAACGCCCGGCAAGCGGCATTGCTTGTGCATAGTCAGCCTCTCGCGCTTCAGGGCTAATTTTCCGGTAGGATGGACGCGTCTGACGCTTCACACCATCAGGGTAGCACCTGAGCTTGAAGTGGTCGTGGCTGTCAGAGCTGCAATGGTTGGCTACGGGTTATGGATCATCGCTTCAAAGCTGCTGTCAACTCGCTTTTCGGAACACATCATACACGCCGAATACCTGTAGTAGTTATGAAGCAACATGTACCAATCTCACGATTCGGCATTATTACCCCAGAATGTGAGAATTGCGGAGAAACAAGCGTAGCACGAGGATGCTCTTCGTATTCATCAAAGTAGTAATCGCAATTTAAGCTTACAGCACGAGGCACTCGAGAGAGCCATCTCAGGCAGAGACAAATCACACTCTTGGGGTCCATGGGTTGCTTTCGTGAGCATGGCCGCATGGCGGCATGTTCACGCCGCAGGAGCTCCATTGCTTTGAGAAATGCGGCCGAGGATCCAGGCTACCGTAGCAATACTTGCGGGCAAGGAAACAGGTGGGGGATCAGCTGTGCTGATTCCCCTTGTTCGAACATCTTTTGAGCTCACGGACTCGAAGCTCGTCGATCCGGGCCACCGCCGATGACTGGGATAGGAGCGACGATTTTGCCGGCATCCCGTGCAACTGCTTCGGAACGTGCTCAACTCCTCAACTCCGGACTCCGTGGCCTGCCCCTGCCTCTGCTTTTCCTCCGCTTCAACGAATCACTTGGCAACTGTGGTTCCTAGATTGGCGTATCCTATTAGTGGTAAAACCAACCAGGTCTAGCTTGAAAGGTCGACGAATTGTGGGAATTTGCCCCCCCCCTCGCTAATTTAAGGTCCCTGGATGGGTGACTTTTTGTCTGTCCCTGACATTTTACAGTAGCATTTACCACCGCTGAGTCCCGTAGGAGCGCATTGTGTGGATGGCTCAACTCTCTATTGGAAGAGGAAGCGAATTTTATCTCTCCTTGAGTAACAGACAGGGCTGGTGCGGCTGACAACTGCAACTCTAGTCTGACTCGGGATTCTCGGTTTGATTTTGACCGCCCGAGTCGCGATTCTCTGGCTGCCGAATCTCTGATCGTTCTTGTCTGAATAGGGAGTAAGAGCGAGATGTTGAAACCGGCAACCAACCAGGCTTTGATCCACAACGGCCCCGTGAGCTGGTGATGTCCAAGATGGGCATGGAAAATGGGAAAACGGCTCCGGGTATTCGCATGTGTAGGGAGTACCCTAGATTTATGACTTTGGTGGTACTATACCGAGTGGTGCTGCTACAGTAGGATCCATCTCGAGTGTAAGCCATTCCACGATGAGATGAGCGTTCCGTAGTATTACTTGTTTACTCAAAATCAGCGGGTTCGCCCTGACCGATAGATGAAGCCCAAAGCACCGGAATCTAAATCCTACCAGGCCTTGTACGTTTCCAGCAACTATGCGAGGCGTCTCGTTGACGAGTATATGGTTTCCGGTTAGCCTGGTCGGCTGTGTGGGTTTCATTGTTACCACGCTAGAGCTGTTGAGGGACGTCCATAGGGGATGGCTGTCTACACCCTGGCAATTCCTCCTCAACTTCGCTTCGGACCGATCTCAATGGCATGTTTCAACCTCGCAAGTTCGGGGGGGTGGACTATTGCTCTGACTATCGCTGAGAAAGAAGCCTCACTCGTGAGAGCCGGGCAGGCGGCATACGAGTACCTACTGTAGAGCTGACAGTCCCGCTCCCCACCGGATCCTCGTCCGCAGCCGTCATGGATCGTTGGAAGGGGCCCGAGACAGATACGAGTATATAAAGGCCTTGGGCGAAGCCCTTTGGTTTCAAGAGAGCTCCTCACGCCAACCGGGTCAATCACATCTCAAGCCAACCTCTTCGACACATTCACAATGTTGTCGATTGCTGGCACCCTCCGCCAACTCGGCCTCGGCGCCCTTGCTGCTGCCGCAGCTCTGTCTTCTCTCAGCAGTGCCGCCGCTGTTTCCACCTCCAACCTCCAGGTCCGATCTCTGGAGGAGCGTGCTGCTGCCGGTAACCGCCTGGTCTTTTGCCACTTCATGGTTAGTAAGAGATGTGCTTGACGAGGCAGTACAAGGGCTAATAATTTCAATGTCTAGATTGGCATTGTCGGTGACCGTGGAAGCGCTTCCGACTATGACAGCGACATGCAGCGGGCCAAGGCTGCCGGTATCGACGCCTTTGCCCTCAATATCGGCACTGACGACTACACCGTCACCCAGCTCAACTACGCCTACCAGTCTGCCGCCAACAACGGCATGAAGGTCTTCATCTCCTTCGACTTCAACTGGTACCACCCCGGCAGCGATGCTACCCGTGTTGGTCAGTTGATTGCGCAGTACGCCAACCAACCCGCCCAGCTCCAAGTCAGCGGTCGTGTTTTCGCTTCTTCCTTTGCCGGCGATGGCCTCGACGTCAACGCCGTCCGCTCTGCTGCTGGCACCAACGTCTTCTTCGTCCCCAACTTCCACCCCGGCCAGTCTTCCAACGCCAACATCGACGGTGCCTTCAACTGGATGGGCTGGGACAGTAACGGTAACAACAAGGCCCCCACTCCCGGTGCCAACGTGACTGTTGCTCAGGGTGATGCCACCTACCAGAGCTGGCTCGGCGGCAAGACATATCTTGCTCCCATCTCTCCCTGGTTCTCCACTCACTACGGCCCCGAGGTCACCTACAGCAAGAACTTTGTCTTCCCTGGTGGCGCCCTCCTGTTCAACCGATGGCAGCAAGTCATCCAGCAGGGTTTCCCCATGGTTGAGATCATCACCTGGAACGACTACGGTGAGTCTCACTACGTTGGACCCCTGAGCTCCAAGCACGGAGACGACGGCAACTCCAAGTGGACCAACGACATGCCCCACGACGGCTTCCTCGACCTGTCCACTCCCTTCATTGCCGCCTACAAGGCCGGAGACACCAATGTCGCCAACCACATCCAGGACGAAAAGGTTGTCTACTGGTACCGCCGTAACCTCAAGACCCTCAACTGCGACGCCACCGACACCACCGCCGGCCGAAGCGCCAACAACGACAGCGGCAACTACTTTGAGGGTCTCCCCAACGGCTACCAGACCATGGACGACAATGTCTACGTTGTCACTCTGCTCAAGTCTCCCGCTACCTTGAGCGTCACCTCTGGTGGCAACTCCCAGTCCTTCAACGCCCCTGCCGGTGCCAACATCTTCACTGTCCCCGCCGGCCTCGGCAAGCAGAGCTTCGTTGTCAACCGCAGCGGCCAGAACATCCTGTCTGGAACCTCTCTGATGGACATCACCAACGTCTGCGCCTGCGGTATCTACAACTTCAACCCCTTCGTCGGTACGCTCCCTGCTGGACCCTCCGACCCTCTCAGCGGTGATGGCCTCACTTCCCTGACCAGTGGTCTCCGTGTCACCACCTGCCAGCCCCGTCCTTCTCTGGGCACCAACCCTTCAGGCCCAGCCAGCCCTCCCGCCAACCCCACCAGCAACAACCCTCCTCCCGCTTCTCGCACCAGCAGCGCCCCTACTTCTGATCCCACCAACTGTAACGGCGGAACCAACGCTGCCGGCCAGTCTGGCAATCTGGCTGGGCTCTGCAGCTTTTCTTGCAGGTAGTTTGCTCTCATTCCACTGGTTTAATAACCTGCTAACCTCTCTGATAGCTTCGGATACTGCCCCGTCGGACCTTGCACTTGCACAAGCTTCGGACCCGCCGGAACTCCTCCATCAGGCGACGGCCGTGATGGCTGCCCTCTCGCAGGAGAGTCCGACCAATATAAGGGATTGTGCTCATTCACTTGTTCAAAGGGGCGAGTATATCTGTTCCCGTTATTTGGCAAGATCTTAGCTAACTGTCTTCTAGATATTGTCCCGAGGGAGCTTGCCAGTACTGCTAGATGTCCTGAAGTAAAGCTATTTGCGGAAAGCTATGTACCTTGGCGAAACACTAGATAGTGTAAGCTAGAATAGTTTACTATTGTGGTAGACATAATATCTGTATATAGAATAAATGTAAATGTATATTTTGATAATGTATCTAATGTTATTGTATAAAGCAACTATGCTGTTAAACTTGGTGTATACACGAACCTAAGGCGTAATATATATTTTCCCGCTTTGATCTCTGTATCATGCTATGCCTTGAATAAGTATAAAGTCTATTTTCTAGAAGACTACTAAGACATGCATTTCATCATCATACCGATATCATTTTTTTATACAGAAGCTTTGCAATCTCTGCTATGCTATACCACTTATAATATATACTTCAGTCATATGAGTCGTAGTTCTAATTCTCAACACTCCTTACTCTATGACCATTTTTATAGCTGCTACTGCTCCGAATGAGCTTCATCATTGTGTTGAGAATCTGAAAAGGGTCGGTGTCTGCATTCGCTAAATCATTTGTGTTCATTTAATGTTCAATTCTCGCGGGAGTATTAGCCATATTAGACAAATGGGTTTGTCTTGGAAGAAGTCTACTTGTTGGGCGGCGCGGCATTTTCCTCGTTTTTTAAGTTCTCGAGCGGCCCTTGAAGATCTTCCACGATTTTCACCATTATGACCAGCATCAAGCACCTACAACATCATTGCTCTGCTCAAAATGTCTCCCTACTGTAATATCTTCACCATTACTATTTACTTCAGTCATCATCATACCAGAGCTTCCATACCTCTGTTATCTCATTCCATGCATCTTTGAATCAGAATCCATCTTATACCATACCTGAAGATCTCTCAGCTTTATAGAATAGGTCGAAGACGAAAGGCGTTCGGGTCTGGTTCAAAAAGCGCTTCGTTGAGCACCTGCTTAGAAGGCTGTTGAATAGTACAATACGAGCGAGATGAAGAACGACGTCAAATCAAGCTGACCAAATCCATTTTTGGTCATACCGATAGGGCCCTTCTCGAATTCCTGGTAGTCTATAATCACTAAGACTGCTCTTAGACTGATTAAGTTCAGAGTGTGTGTTTACAAGACAATCGCTTTCGAGCCAGCCGGAAGACCTACGAGGTTGCTGGTAGCGCGTCCTCAAGGAAGCTTGACTCAAAAAGAAGCCCCATCAAGCAACTACAAGCGGTCACTGATGGAGGAGTAGAAGATATGGGAATGCTGATGGGTCCGTGGAGACGATTGCCGAGTTCTTGAAGAAATAAGCAGAACTTCGGGATCCATCGCAAAGGGGCAACAGAGAATATACTCTTCTTCAAAACCTCTTCCCAACAGCACCGTAACCACCGGTGCCATCTGTCAAGTCTGTTATTAGTACAAATATCCCATAATTGACACCGCTGATCTGTGTCAACATACGGCCGCGCAAACCAGAAGTCCTCCATCACCACCAGCATCACCGCCAATGTTTTGAAGCGTAACAAAACGAGATGCCAAAGAGAAGTCCTGAGTCATACAAAAGAGGCTTGGAGGCACAAGGTATTTTCAGAATGACCCTGTCCTACAGTGAGATGGCGCCAAAACACAAGATCAAGGTTGCAAACCGGCCCCGGCCCCGGCCCCGGCTCCCGCTCCCGCTGCTGCTGCCGCTCCCGCTGCTGCTGCCGCTCCCGCTGCCGCTGCACTAGCCCCCGCGCTGGCTGGGCCCATGGCCCAAGAGCAGGAGGAGGAGGAGGAGGAGGAAGAAGAAGAAGAAGAAGCCCAAGACCAAGAAGAAGAAGACGAAGGAGAAGAGGGGCCGGCAATGTCGGTCGTGGACCAGGACGACCTGGATATTGATTTCAATATCCCGGTGTAATTTTTTCTAACCGATGAAAAGTATGTCAATTAGCCATAGATTCTTCCTATCTAGTGGCGACTAAAGACCTCCTACTTATACGTAGCTAGTGGACTGACCCCCTGCCTACCTACGTGAGTACCGGTACAACTACTAGGTCGTTGCCCCTTATTTCAACACTAACCTTATCTTTAAGGTTGTTTTTTTTAATTCTTTTTTTTATGTTTGTTCTTGTTCTTGCTCTTTTTTTTAACCAATTTGCTCTGGAGGCGGGGTTTTTTTCTTCTTTTTTTTGTTTGAGAAAATTTTTCTGTTTTTTTTCGAAGTTTTTTTCGACGGTTTTTTTTCGGGCTTACTTGGGGGAATTTTTTTCTTTTTTTCTAATTTAAAATCGATTGCTTTCCTGTCCCAATTCAGAGGCCACTAAGTCCTTCTCTTTGTCTTTTGTGATTGATTCTACGACTCAGAGAGGAAGAACTACTAGGTAAGGTACCTACCTAGATGGTTGGTACATTACTTTACGTTCACTTGAAGGTACCTACCAAGCCTTGTTTGCGTCTCTGACTTAGTACTGTAAGCAGGGTACAACGTGCCGCCCTTTCCTTTGCTGTGTTCGCTCTCCCCAAAACAACCCCGTGTGCCGCTGCAAACCAATTCGCTCCCTTAATTAAACTCGACAAGCACTCGGCCTGATTTTAAGAGGTAGAGCAAAATGCCTACCAACGAAGAAGCACGACGCCAACGGGTGCTCCGTCTCTGTGTGTAATATTCTATCCCTTTCCATTCTCTTCTTAACAAGGAATCTAACAGGCAGATGGCCGCAGCACAAGAGCAGTCATCGGGAACGACTCTGAATCAGGAGCAGACGCAGACTCAAGAGCACATTCAGCAAAGCAAAACTCATCGCGACCCTACTAATATCCTCTATTACCACCTCGGAGGTAATTCCTTTTTCCTCTGTGCCCCCTTTTACCATTTCTGTTCTGACATACTAATACTAACTCTATATACTCAGAAGGCAGTGGTGATGTCTTTCGTTTTCGCATAGGCCCTGATTACTACTGGATCGCTGGCAGCGGGCCTGGGGGTAGCTTGACCGCAAGCGAAGAAGAACATTTCTACAGGGCGATGAAAGCTGCTGGGGTGGAAAGGGATGACTAGGAGAGGGGCGTTGGCCGAATCGGCGGATGGTGGTATCAAGCTGACAAGCTGAAAAGGTGCAAAACTCTCTGTTCTACTATGCTGATAATCTATAATAAAAAAGGGAAAAACACTACAAACAGCAGCAAATAGAAAGTAGGCTTAACTAAAGAGTGGTCACACAGACCCACGTGACAACTCAACAGGTGGAATACCTACCTGCATAAGATCGGAATCAACACGGCAGGAAACAAGCTCAGGGCCGCGACGGCGTGGTTGAGACGGCCATGATTAATCCTCCCTTCAATCTATTCACGAGAGACTGACTGGGTGTGTAATGGTAAGAAGCAACGGACAAAGTGGTAGCATCTTGTCTCGATATTTAACATTATTGTTAGGATATCAGCAACTAGAGCGATGATACTGTGACACCTCAAACATGTTCATCCAATGCACCTTGTGTATTACTTTAGAATACAAGTAATAACTCTATGGCTACCGGCGCTGATGGGTTGAGCTGTAAATAGCGGCCGCGGTCGGAGCTTTGCCACAGTAAAGCCATAGACGAGGCGCCCGTTAGTTTAACGGGGGTGCCTGATAATCCCTCCCTTGTTATACCTCCTTTTTCTCCCCCCCTGGGTTACCTCTAATTATAGTGCCAGTGGCAGAACTTAGTATATTAGACAGAGTAGACAGAGTAGACAGAGTAGACAGAGTAGACAGAGTAGACAGAGTAGACAGAGTAGACAGAGTAGACAGAGTAGACAGAGTAGATAGAGTAGATAGAGTAGACAGAGTAGACAGAGTAGACAGAGTAGATAGAGTAGATAGAGTAGATAGAGTAAATAGAGTAGATAGAGTAGACAGAGTAGATAGAGTAGATAGAGTAGATAGAGTAAATAGAGTAGATAGAGTAGATAGAGTAGATAGAGTAGATAGAGTAAATAAAGTAAATAAAGTAAATAAAGTAAATAAAGTAAATAAAGTAGATAAAGTAAATAAAGTAAATAAAGTAAATAAAGTAAATAAAGTAGATAAAGTAAATAAAGTAAATAAAGTAAATAAAGTAAATAAAGTAGATAGAGTAAACTTTCTCCTCCTTCTCTATGGCTATAGTTCTGCTTTTATTAGGTGCTTTCCTAATACATAGGTGTTAGTACTAGACTGTGTATGTTAAGCATAGACAGTAGAAATATGGCTGCGTGTTACTTATATAATAATATTTTTTTTTTAAAAAAAAAAAACCAATAAAAGAAAATATCTTTAGCAACCTAATTAGTAAGACTCACTATTAGTTAAGTACGTGGTAACCTTACTTAGAGGGAGAGACAGAGACAGACGGAGAGGGAGAAATGGAGAAAGAGAGATTATATATGTGTTTGTGTGTGTGTGCGGGTGTGTCTATGTAAAGTAGCAACACGACTGTATAAGGTAGTGTATAGTTAGTAATCTTAACGATTATAACGATGATTTTGATGATTAAGATTGAATTAAGGGGCTGTTAGAATAGAATATGGAGGACTCAGTGAGAATGATGGTGTTGCTTATATAAAATATATTCGTGGTGGCTGTAGTAGAGATCACATCAAAGTGGAAAAGAACAGAAGTTCGTAGAAAAGAGAAGATAAAAGAGAAAGAAAATCCGATCTGGCTCGTTTGCACCTGTCGTGGAAATTCAGGCCACAAGGCGGTCAAACAGCCGGCTGCCGTCCGGTACCTGTCTGTGGGTACCAGGTAGTACTGTACCTGTAGCTGTACTTGTACGTTGGCTGGTTCCCACCGATCTAAATATCTTGAATTCAATACTCACTCATTCACAGTCAGAGTCAGGGACAGCAATTACTTGATCCGTCCACCTCCTCCAACTACCTACTACCTTAGACGAGTAGGCAGTAGATACTAAGTCACAAGACCGCAGGTTAACAATTCCAAGTATTTATCTTCTGTATCTGGCTACATGTAGCTATTCAAGATGCAGGGTTGGCATCATCTTTCTACAGAGTCCAGATGAGCATGTTCGCCTTTTGCCTTAACCGCCGAGCTGAAACGATGAAATCGTCTGGTTAGCCGCCCCGACGAAATCCACCAGTTCCTTCTTGGGTTCATCCGCGCAGCTCGGCGCCAGCGTGATGATTTTAGATCCAAGCTGAAAGACGCGAATCGTCAAGGCGCGCAGGATATTGGGGAAACTTCCAGCATCGGAGCTCACGTTCACCTCGGACAGGAGGGGCTCTTTTTCCAGGATCACGCCAAAAAGCTCTTGAGTGACGTTGACAAACTGCAACGATGCAATTCGTATTAGATATATTCATGGTGCGACAGATGCTGGAGGATGAAGTACTTACGCCACTGAAGGAATCGCAGAGGCCTTGCTGGTCACTAATGGCAAAGGGAGCGCCGAGTGCTGCAACTTCATTGCCAATATCCGTGACAATGTCGTTCAAATGGTCAACGATGATGGTGAAATCATCAGCCGCGTGCTAAATCGCAAGTCAGTCAAATTACTCGTTTGGGTGATTCAACGGGGGGGGCATACCGGTTTGCTCAGACCTCCCACCAATCCCAGCAAGTTGGACGACAGCTCGGTGATGTTTTTGATGCCACTTATGCCGTCCGTTGGCGGATTTGGTATCATTGTGGCTTGTACCTGGTTTATAGACAACAGGGTGGTCATAAGGGCGAGACACTTGAACTGCATAATGGCGGCTTCTGGGTGATTGCTTGTATATGAAGGCGTTTGTGAGATGATGCTTTCTGTCGGTTGATGCCTTTTCTTTGGACAAAAATGCCATGTCATGTCCAGTTTATATAGATCCGAGGGCCTGGCAGTGTGGATTATGAATGCAGCTGGACTGGCCCATCGTAGGTATGATCGGCCTATGGCTCCCTTCGATGATGCTACATTACCACAATGCCAATTTCTCGTTCTCATTGGAATTGATCTCCCAATTTTGATGGCATAAATCCACTGATTCAAGCAGGCTAGGTAGTCCATCTTCCACCAAGCATCTTGATCGGCGGGGCATTCTTTGTGCATAAAGTAGATCCATCGGCATCTGGTAGATCCATATTCATCCTGTAGATCTACCTTTATACTAGGTTTACTTACATTCCCATGAAATATCCCCTTCACTCACTAGTCTCATCCATACCAATATTCAGGGAACTTTGCAACAGGCCAACGTCATCAGGGTCCATCGCAGCTAGAAGGCTGACCAGGGAGCAAAAGTGAGACAAGTGTTAACATGTGGAAAGACTGCATTGACGACATTAAATATTCTTCGGTATACAGGCTAATTAAAGATACTATAGAGCCATACTCAGACCATCAGATCCCATTACTTGGCCCAAATACCCTTTACACGGCGCTTTACTGGTCTTCAAGGGAAGCTTCAAAAAAGGCTTCAAGTGAGGTACCACCCACTTCGGGAAGATGCAGTTTAATAGGGTATGCCTTCAAAGTCTCATTAAAGTCCTCATGAAGCCCCTCCAATTCCTTCTTAGACTCGTCTGCGCAGGTCGGCACCAGCTGGATGACTTGAAAGGAGAGCTTGTCGACGCCCGTCTTAAGGAAGCGCAAGATGGCTGCAATAGGCATGCTAAGAGGGATGGGGGATAACAGGCCTTTTTGACCGACGAGCGCTTGGAGGAGATGTTGCTGGGTCTTGACAAACTGTAATTCTTTAGTCCAGACACTCGTAGCGCGTTGGAGATGGGAACTCACGGCAGTAAAGGTTTCGCAAATGTCCTTTTGGTCATTCTCGGCAAATACAGGGTTTTCCGAAACTGATATATTTGCCGTGGTCTCATTGGCAGCGGTGACGATCTGGCGGAAGTTCTTGAATGCTGCCTAATGGACCAGTTAGCTCACAGAGGCAAACGTACGCAGTTATGCCGTTGGATAGATAGGCAAGCATACTAATCCATCTGCATCCACATTCTCAGCATTAAGCCCCTTGACCAGGTCCAACGTGTTGGCCGAAAGGGCAGTAATGTTGGAGATGCTGTTGGTTACGTCTTTTGCCGTCAAGGCTTGCACGTGGCTCAACGATAGGGCGGCGGCTAGAAGAAGTGATATGAACTGCATGATGTCGGTGTTTAGGTCGACTGCTTGAATATTACGGTACGGCGTTGTGGTCGTTGCTATTTTGATTGATGGTGTTTGTAGTAGTGATGAAGCCTCCAGCGTATATCCCTGAGGTGCTGAGGATACATGTATATACGTAGGTAGGCATAGGCTGTGACTGCAGCAACGGCTTCAGTCGGCTGGCTCCCTCTAAGTGATACACCGCCGAGATGACGAATTCTTCATTCCAGTAAACACAGTTTCAAGTTTCACTGAATATATCAACTGCGTCAAGAACAGATAAGGTGACCTATCGTCTGCCGCAAACAAGTTGATCTGCAGGGTGCATCCTGTGGAATGAGATTGTTCAAGCCGTCCGCGTGGAACCGAGACAGCGTCCATCTTCAGACACTCTGAAACACTCAATTATATTGTTTTTGTCCAATCATGTTCTTTTACGAGTGGTACTGTGTACTAAGATGCTGTCGATACATCCAATCGAGGCTCGACTGAACAGCTTCGAGACATGCATGTGACCATGTAAACGTACGATGAGGCAAAGATAGTCAGGAGGAGTAGGGTGTATGAAAAGTAGTACTTTGCCACTGTGAAGAAGGGATCATTGGCTTCAGCGAACAGTCGTTATGGATACCTCGACAGATTCATCTCTCCCAATGTACACCAACATGCTAACAAGATACAAACTCCTTGACACAAAGCATCAGGTTACTTCAAGTTGGAGATTGAAGTCTCGTCTATAGCATTACGCAAAGATGTTTCCACCTGAAACGATAATATTCGGTACTTGAGAGCTCAAGCCACTTGATCGATCAGGGAGGCAATATGAGACAATCTTTTGCACGCAAAACCGCCCATGGAATGTAACAGCCTGCATAGCCTCGGCTATGATTCGCTGAATAGACAAACTATGATGGTCAAGTTTATGGCTGGACCTCACCAATTCCGTAAAGATGATTCGTAGTCCCTGTAATTGACAAACAAAAAGGAGCCTTGAGGGGTTGGACATGCATGGCCTCGCATTATTCGTCACCGTGAATAGGCAAATACAGCTTCACAGTGGTCAGAAACAGTATGGGTTATTTAGTTCATGGTCGTCATATGTACTGTCTACGTCGCAACTAGGCCACCACGTCAATGCTAAAAACATCCACGCCGTTTTGCAGCTGGCTCTTTGTCGGCGCCTTTCCAAGCCTCAACAACTCAGACACCTGCATCACGGTCGGGTCGCGGCCCTGGGACGCAACCGCCACGACGGTCTCGCCCTTTGTGTAGTAGGCGACAAACTTTCCTGCGGCGGCATCTCCATCCAAGATGACGTCGTCCCATCCAGACGCAATCGTGTTGCCGCTGTATCGCAGCTGGGCGCCGAGGGCCGACCAAAAGACTGGGATAAAAGGCTCGCTGGCTGCCGCTGGGTTCACAATGCGAGAGGCAACGGCACGACCAGCGTTCTGGGCAACGTTCCAGTGCTCGATTCGGACGAGAGCCCCATTGCCTCCAGGGCCTTGGTAAGGGTACGAGGCAATGTCTCCGATGGCGTAGACGTCAGAGAGTCCCGCAACCGCAAAGTGAGCGTCGGTCTGAAGGGATCCATCCTTTTGCAGTTGGACTGCGCTGTTGTTTTTGAGGTAGCTCGTCTCGGGGGCCACGCCGACTCCCAGGATGACGAGATCCGCATCGAGCTTGGTACCGTCCTTGAGATAGACAGCACCCACCTTGGAGGAATCTGAGCTGGACGGCTCGGCCTTGTCGACGCCAGCGCTCAAGTAAAACTTGATGCCTTTGCCCTCCAAGGCTTTCTGGATGCCGGCGCCGACTTGCTCGCCGAGAACACGCTCCAGGGGGACCTTTTCCATGCCCACGACGGTCACCGAGTTGTCGCCGCCAGTGGCGTTGGCAATTTCCATGCCAATAAAGGAGGAGCCGATGATGACAATCTTCTTGCCCTTTTCTCCAATGGCATCGACAATCTTCTTGGCATCGTGAACAGTGCGCAGTGTAAAGATGTTGCCGAGCTCCTTGAAGCCTTGAAGGGGCAGGAGCCTGGGAGTTGCTCCAGTCGCGAGAACCAGCTTGCTGTAGGGAATCTTGCTCCCGCTTGCGGTTGTGACTTGCTTGCCAGAAAAGTCGACATCGTTGACCTCGCCGTCAACCCACTCAACGGCGCCACTATCGAACCAGCTCTTGTCTCGCCATGCCAGCTTGGAGGCGTCTGTGATTAAAGCTTTGCTCAGCTTGGGCCTGTCAATGGGGAGGTAGCCCTCCTTTGAGATGACGGTGAGATGGCCTCTGTAGCCCTTTTCACGCAATCCCTCGACAACGCCGAGAGCGCCAGAGCCACCACCGACAACGACGACCCTCTCTTGAGAGCCACTCGAGACGCTGCACTGGAAGTTGGGTTTCCTCCTGGAGCCTTTGATGGCGGCTTCCTCAGCGGTAATGTAGAATCCTCCATCATGCTCGGTGAGAGGAAAGACGGGGAGAGCATCCAGGGCAGGCGAGTCTTCTACGTCGCCAGTCTTTGCGTTGAAACAAGCTATTCCTCGTCAGCATGCCATCTCCAGAGAGGTCCATGGTCAGAATTACCTCCATGCCAGGGGCAAGTGATGCGTCCTGTGGTGGACAAAACGCCCTTGGCCAACGGAGCGCCGTAATGGGTACACTTGGCACCAATGGCCTGCACCTCTGCCTTTCCCCCAGACTGGAGGCCGACAAGGAGGACCTTGGCGTCTTGAATGCCCTCAACTTCCACCTCCTGCTTCTGACCGGGCTTGAGTGACAGCGAGGTGACGCCCTTGAGCTTGTACTCTTGAGCCATGGCGCGATTGGTGAATGAAAACTGGCGAGACGGGAGTGACAAGGACAGACGACGGAGGCTTGGTTGGAGTAGATGACGGAGGTGGGGGTTGCGGGGTAACGAGAGCATGCCTGGAGGTTTAATAGGAAGAGAAGCTCAAGTCAACGGAGAGAAGGATGACGCGAGCAGGTGAGGTCCGGAGATACCACGGAGAAGGAGAAGCAGAAGCTGGAGACATCATGTGAGGACAATGGGCAGGAAAGAGAGCGGCTAGCTCTGGCCTGAGGGAGAGCTTCGGAGCTTGAAGCTTGGCTTGGTAAGCGGATTTGGGGAGTGAAGCTGCATGTGAAGCTGGTGAGAGTCGAGCTGTGCTTTGCAACATGTGGGAATTGATTGGCTGGATGACGCAATGGATTCAGGCGGAGGGATTGTGGTGCCGTCATTGCTGTGGGCGGGCCTACGTTTGGCCGATGGGGTGGGTTACCCTGGAGGTGAACGAATTATCAAGAGATGGTAGCAAAAGCATCAAAGGACGGTCGAGGTAGTGTTGATGTTTATGTGATGTTATACATGTGATGGTATTCCTATTTTGAATTGTCTTGATTTGTGTTTGTATAACATGTGACGCACTGCAGAATGAAATGGCCATGTTCGAGTCGTGAGCTCCACTTGCAGTGTAAGTGATGAACAATAACACATTACTTTTGATTACGAACACACTCCCCCGAGAACAACTTCTTTATTCAGCGCTCAACACTTTCTTTATATCTTCTTCTGATGAACTAAACACAACCATGGAGTCTTACGGACCGTTGCCGCCTCCTGTCTCGCAGCATCACTCGCTTGCTCCCACAGCCACGGGATGCCGTATGAACGCTCACGCGAGACGACACCGAGCACACGTCAGACCAAGTGCGTAATTTCGGCCCGCTCACCTTGGCATCCATGACACAGACTTGCCAGCAAACCTGCTGTGCTGGCAATGGATACAACGCTGCCCCATACATTACGCGCTCCCGCGGACAGGCACACCGCAGTTGGATCGCTTTGACAGCCCTGCCTGTCCCGACACTAGCCACGCGAGAACGGGGTGATCCGGTGAGGGACGCCGCATAACGTTGTGAAACGAGCCAAGCTGAATGTTAGCACCAACCATAACTCGACCTCTGTAGACATGGAAGGGATCGATTAATGTCACCTTGAAACTTTGGGCGGCTAAACCGCTGCAAAAGGCGTGCGGATGCAGCCGTGAAAATGGAAATTCTGCTGGTTCCGGATGCTGTGGACGGGGTCCATTCCATCACTACCGTAGGCGAGCTGTAGGGAACTCAGCACGGCGCTACAGCAGAGCTACAGTAGAGCTACAGCGAGCTACTGCAGGTGCAGCGCCCGGGCCAGCCACTAATTTCAGGAACAGGGAGGCGACGCGCCTCTGCTCCGTACTCGGTACGACCACAGGCGGCTGCGCTGCATCCACCGACGGGTAGCCAGTACTCGAGGCTCGCGGCGTGTCTGGAAGCGGTGTCTACTAATTGCAGCCGGCCTGGACCTGAGCTTCACACCACCAGCCATTCAACTCTCTGCAAATTAATCTCCATCTCCTGGAACCATCGACGACGCCTCCATCCCGATCGCCTCGAGCCTTGTTTTGCTCCTCCATCCGACTCCCTGCTCGAAGCCCTCAAGGTCGCAATACTCGCTGCATCGCCCTCTGCGCCTACGATCCCGCTCCTATCGAGTACCGCTACTCCCTCCCTCCACCTGACCCGGCCGAGTCAAATCTCCTTTCGACAAGGCTGCCTCTCCAATAATCGCCTCTGCCTTGCTTGCGGGGTTTCATTTTATTTTATTCTTACCTGACCTGTGCCTGTGCCTGTGCCTGTGCCTGATCCTGATCGATGTCGGACCCTATTCCTCGCCATCGTTAACTCTCACCTCTCACCAACCGTCTTCCGGGCCAACCGCCAAAGACCATGATTGACGCTGAAGCATCGCTATCGTTTCGAGGCCTCGACCGAGCGGCGCTTCCTGCGTGCACTGCGGCCGACATCTACGTCATCTACCACTAGACCATCTTTATTCATGCGGCTCTCGACTGGCGACATGGAGGTGCTCGACTACGCGCAGCCAGAGGCCGGCTCGCCGCCTCTGCAGTGCTGCTGCGGCAGCGCAGACTGCGTCCACCTCAAGAAGAACTGCTCCATTCTCGAAGCCGTCGAGAAGGATGTGCATACAGCTGCCCAGTTAGGGAAGGTATGTGTGTGTGTGTGGACGTGCATATGTCTGCGGGTGCCGCGCTTGGCATGGCTCTGCAAAGTGCTGAGTTTTGCAGAGCTTTGCTTGGCCTTCCTTCATTCCCTTCATTCCTCTCTTCATCCCATTGTCTGCACGCGCCGCCCAATAATTGTGGCCATCCCTTTCATCACCTCGCGTTCAAACTGCATTCCAGTACGGACAAAGAAGCCAAGACCCGAGTAAACCCTCGGTCGTGTACGCCTCCTGTGCCTTCAAAATGCTCTCCCAGCCCAACGACCATGCTGTGCTACCAGCAGACTGAATCTCCACTGACATTTGCCCTTCAGGCGCTACTTGCCAGGCACGAAGCCTACATGGCCGACGCAGAACTGGACAGGCAGCGACTCAACGCCCGCATAGATCGCCTGCAGCTGGACAAGCAGGAGCTGGAAGCCAACAATGCCGCCAAGGACGAGGAGAACAACGAGCTCATCGAGCAGCTCGAGTTACTCAACACCACAATATTCGACTCCGACGCCAAGATCAAAAGCCTCGAAGCAAGCCTTCTCTCGTCACAACAAGCCATCCGCCGCCTCGAGAGCGCCGCCGCCCGTGCCACCGAGGCTGACCAGCACCTCAGGATACTTGAAGAAGAGCAGGACAAGCTCACCGGAGAGTTGAAAGCTACCAAGGAGGAAGCTCGCTCTCATGCGCAGCGATTTAAAGAGGCACAGCGGGGAATCCTCGACATGCAGGATCAGCTCGAACGCATGGAGAAGGAGGCCATTCTGGAGCGGCAGCGCCACGATGAAATGATGGAAAAGGTTGGGCGCCAACGTGAGGTGGAGAAGCATCTGGACGTTGCCGCCGTGCGGCTCAAGGGCGCCGCGGCTTCAAAATCAATCACCGAACACCGACAGGGGAACAAAATCGTCGGCCACTTTGTGCGGGACCTGCTACAGGACAATGCAAACCTGCAGCTAGGCATAGCCGAGCTTAGGGAGATGCTCATCAGCTCCAACGATGAGATACAAGTGTTGAGAGAGCAACTCATGTTTCACCAACCCCTTACCGACGGCTTCAGCCCTGCCTCGACTCTCAAGGCAGAACTGGAACCTTCCCTGTTCGAAAACTCGAGGCAGCCGCAAGAGTTCCACATTCACCACCACTACCACGTTGCCAAGCAAGACACCAGGAAGCCCAAGAAGAAGCGTCAGGGCTTGCTGCCCGGCATTTTTACACCTCCAGCGGCCATCTCCAGGTCATCCTCTCCGGGCCCTGGGTTCCAGCGACGCCTGGTGTCCTCTCCCACTCGCCCGGTTCTCTCCCACGCCGGCGGCGAAACAACACCCATCACGGCCGGCTCCTCAACATGGCACGAATTTTCCACCCCATCGGAAATGTCCTCCTCCCTTCCCACTTCTCCCCGCATTTTCGATCACAGTGGAGCCGAGACAGACTCTCTCATGTCGCCCACTACAAGCTACGACCCCATGTCCCCTACATGGCGCGCTTCACATAGAAAGCGTGCTTCTGCAGCCTCGTCCTGCAGCTTCCAGTCTCTCTCAATCATCGACATTGAGCCCGGTACCACCGGAGTCCAAACACAAAACCCTTACAGATTTAGCAGTGGCGTTATTCACGAAGAGGACGAAGATGTACATACTAGCCCGCCTGCCGCTGCGACCGAACAAGACGCTCCCAAAGACGAGCCGGCACCAGAAGGAGGTGATGCCAACGAAGCTACGAGTGCCGCCGCCATACCGATACCCGGGCCTGGCTCTGGGCTGCGCCGTATAGCTTCACATGAATCTATCATGTCGCTATCGGGCGGTCTCGATATCCACACACTTCAGATCCGACCAAGCCAAATGACCCTCCGCCCGCTCGGCGGAGCTGATGCCGTCGTCACCGGCGTCATTGCCCAACCGACACTGTCGACCAAGTACTCGAAGCGTAGCGATGCCGCCTTGCGCGATAACTTTGCCGGCTTTCAGATACCCAAGAGAAGCTCTACACCGACGTCGGACATGTCGGCTTCGTCCTCGCAAACATCTCGCAACGGTGCCGGAGGCCTTGGCAAATGGGTTGGATGGCGACCATGGGGAGGAGCGGGTGCCGTCAGTCAAAGCCTGCCCAGGGCGGCGGAGAAAGCACCGCCCAAACCACCTAATAGGGCCCCTGGCATCAACCAACCTGGTGCGATTCCCGGCTTCCAAGAGTACTGGATATCACAACAACGGAAAGGCGCCCCATCCAGAGCAGCGGCAACGGCTGAAACTATCGACAATGGCTCTTTATCCTAAAGCTTGCGAGATGGCGGGCGCCTTTGAGCGAATCACTTGTATAATCTTTGTTTCTTTGTTTCATATGTTTGCGAATCGTGGGGTTGTGCATGGGTTGGATTTGGCAGCATCATTTATACGCCAAGGACTGGATTGCATCAGTTTATTTTTATCTTTCCGTTTTGCATAACTGGACGTTTTGATGGCGTTTTCTTTTTTGAGCGAGCCGGCAGAAGGACTGGCAGAATGGACATTTGGTGTAAAATGGGGTCAGGAGATACCCGGGCCGCGCGAGGCCATTTCCTTTGTTGATATAGATTGGACAGCACATATCCCTGTTACTAGACGCAGTATAATGACCACATACGTATAATCGGTAGAAGTACCTAGTAGTAAATTATAATCGACAGATGTTACTTATCAATGACATGGTTGCTTTAGTCTCTATTGTGTTGAAGCTTGAGTTGAATGCCTTGCTCCTGTGATGCCTGCTTGTCAGCTAAGGCCCCAGTATGTTCGATACTGTACATGCATTTGGTTGTCCTTTGTGGTCTTATTCTCGATTGCCGCGCGGATAACTCAACATCCTTTGTTGATACAGCTGGTATCCTATAAATGTAGAGTAGAAAAACGGCATGAAGCGTAATCATCGACTTCCCCTTCAACCATCCAATAGCCATCACCTACTGCATCGGCTCCGACAGTACGACAACCCACCCGAGGTGGCTTTGGCCATGACGTCTCAACCTGCTTGTGATAGGGTTCGGTGTTGGGTCCCAATGTTGGTAGGACATAACTGCCATCGGTGTTGCGCCACATCTCTGGGATTGTCTTGTATGGCTGGCAGTGTTGAGCGGCAACTTCATTCCGAATAGAGTTATACAGCGGCGTGAATACCGTATGTGAATGCGACACGGTAAACTCTGCCAGGTTTGTCTTGAGGACAAATTCGTCGAGAACCTTGAACACACTCTGCATGTCCACAGGTCGAGCGTTGGAGCCTTTGGCTTTGAGGGCCAGGTATAGCCGAGTGAGTCTTGGTAAGCTCGAGGCAAATATAGAGAGATAATTCTTCAGGAGATCAACTTCTGGGATTGCTCCAGCCTCAGCTCCGTGTAGCGTGAGGGGGCAGACAATCTCAAGGGGATGTAATGGCAGAAAGTCGTTCCGGTGGCAGCAGCCGAGGGAGATTTAGAAGGAGTGTTTGACCTGACATGTGAATCGTGTTTGTTCTGTAAAGCACGTCTTTCCCTTCTATGTAGTTGCGTGCTTTGGTCAGAGAAGGACATGACGAGAACCGGCACTCAACTTACGCCTGTCGGCAGGACAAAAGCCAGCCCATGATGCCAATCTTGCACTTGGATGGATATGTTCCAGGCCAACTTTGACAGAAATGCGCGTCCCCATAACGGCAACGGTCGTCCCCGGGCCTTGGGATTTCGGGGTGAGACATGCGTATGAAGCTCCATGTCTTTTCATAGTTGGGCATGACACGATGGCACACGGAGCTCCACCATTGCCAGGATTTGGGTACCGCGGTATCCCATTTTACTTCGAGTCGGCCATTAGTATTTATGCCGGCGTGGGAACGGAGGATGCGTCCGGGTTCTGTAGGAGCAACGGGGTGTACATATGATAGGTCCATGTGCAATAAGCGGCCCCCAAAGGCTCTAAGAAGGATGTCGTATCGGAGCTCTCTGGGAAGCTTCCCGAAGAGAGGGGAGAAAGATAGGGACAAAGATTCAGCGGACGGCGATGGAGTCAAGACATTTGATGGAGCAAGAGGGAGGCGAGGCAGATTGGTCAGATCATCTTCGACTTGGTTGTCTTCTGGTTTGTCTTCCTCTGGAGGCCTGCGGCGTTTGCGGAACTTGTCTCGAAGCCAATTGACGAGTGTAAGCTTCATCACGCGGCACGTTGGTGGGGGTTGATGAAGGTGAGATGAATGATTGGGTATATGCAAGTCCAATGTCAATAGCCTTAGCTGAAGTTGATCCTGATGAAACCAACAGTGACGGACACTGCCAATGCGCACTGTACTAACCTGCAAGGATAATTCTGCCAAGTACAGAGTATTTATTTTCTGGTTTGTAGTATTTTATTGTCATTTCATCTTCATGTACCCATATTCAGAGGGGTGGGTGCTGTTCATGTCGTTGTAAATGTATTATTGGGTTAATTTAACTCGGGGGTGTTTATGCAAAGGCGGACACCACACAGTTGCCAACCGGACTGTGCGATGAGTCAACTCGGTTCACTGACTTGTAGGCATCCCGTCTTGAATCTAACTCTAGATATACTACCAGGTACTAGAAGAATAAGCCTATAGTAGCAGATACTTGGAGGAATACAGTGATGGTAGCAGATGCTATAGAGATGGCCATAACAGCAGACAGTAGACGACAGTGGCGATGGTGGCAGATGCTAAAAGCAAGTGGCGGATAATGGCGGAGAGGGCAGACTCAAGCAACCCGGTATCCCAACGCCAAGAAACAAGTCGGATACGTGAATACTGGGGAATCTCACACCGGACGGGACATGGGGCATTACTATGAGCCACAGTGGGTTCAATGCCCCGGCAGACGTCCATTCCCGTTGTTGATGAGAATCCTCTGAGTTTTCGCCGAGAAGCCAAGAACATCTTGGCGATAATCAAGTCTGAAAAAGCGGAAGGCTATTACAAATTCGGCGTCTGGGCATGACAGCAACCTATCACAATGGACGATCAAGTTGATAGCAGTCGAATAATATGTGGGATCTCAAAATCCGCCCCCTTGTTGAAGAAATCTCACTTGTGGTCGAGGTGGTGTTTAATACCCCAGCTCAGTCGCCAAGTGATTTCCAATTGACTTATTTCCTCTTCTAACCTTCTGGCTTGTTCACGCTCGTCCGGGTTTCTTCTTTTCTATTACTTGGCTATCAGAATCCGATAGGTGAGGATGGGGGTGTCTGCAAAGGCTAATGATGGGCCGAATGCCATGAGCAAGCCAGCCCATGCGCTCTCCATCCAGCAAGTCGTTGACGAGCTCGGCGCAAACGTCTTTGACGGCCTTTCCGAGGCAGAAGCGAGCACACGGCTTGAAAAACATGGCAAAAACGATCTTGGGGAAGCTGAGGGTGCCCAGCCCATCAAGATAATCATGGCACAGATTGCCAACGCCATGACTTTGGTCCTGATTCTCGCCATGGCTGTCTCTTTCGGGATCAAGTCCTACATCGAGGGCGGTGTCATCACCTTCGTCATCCTTCTCAACGTAGTCGTCGGTTTCTTCCAGGAATACTCGGCCGAGAAAATAATGGATTCCCTGCGCTCTCTCTCGTCTCCAACCGCAACCGTGGTTCGGGATGGCGATTCCAAGGTTGTACCCTCGGACCAGATTGTCCCCGGCGATGTCGTCGAAATCAAGACTGGCGACACGATTCCCGCCGATCTCCGGTAAGTGGTCATGACTATAACTAACTTGGGTTTGGGCACTGACGACCTCCAGGCTGATTGAGGCAGTCAACTTTGAGACTGACGAAGCCCTCCTCACGGGCGAGTCCCTGCCGGTTCGTAAGAATGAAGACGCCGTCTTTGATGATGCAACCGGTCCTGGTGACCGCCTCAACGTCGCTTACAGCTCCTCCACTGTCACCAAAGGTCGTGCCAAGGGAGTCGTCTTCGCAACCGGCGTCTTTACAGAGATTGGTGCCATTGCCTCTGCCCTTCAGAAAAAGGATAGCAGAGTCCGTCCCGTTAAGCGCAAGCCTGATGGTTCCGCCAAGCCTCATCGATACCTGGAAGCCTATACGCTGACCCTGACCGACGCCATTGGCCGTTTCCTTGGCGTCAATGTCGGCACGCCGCTTCAGAAGAAGCTTTCCAAGCTGGCGATCCTTCTCTTTGGCGTTGCCGTCGTCTGTGCCATCATCGTCCTCGCCGCCAACAAGTTCGACTCCAGGCAAGAAGTCATCATTTATGCCGTTGCCACGGGCTTGTCCATGATTCCGGCGAGTTTGGTTGTTGTTTTGACCATCACCATGGCCGCAGGCACAAAGCGAATGGTTCAACGAAACGTCATTGTTCGAAATCTAAGGTCTCTCGAGGCATTGGGCGCGGTTACCGACATCTGCTCTGACAAGACCGGCACCTTGACCCAAGGCAAGATGGTTGCTCGAAGGGCATGGATGCCCGGTAAAGGGACTTACACCGTTGAGAACTCGGCCTCGCCAATGAACCCAACCGCTGGCGACATCCGGTACGATCCACGCCAGCCTCGCGAGATCAACTTTGCCCAAGGTGGCGATGCTTGCGGCACTGTCGCTTCTGTCAAAGGGCTCCTCTCTCAGAGTACCAATGCACTTACCGACTTCCTGCGCGTCGCATCTCTTGCCAACCTCGCGACTGTCGTTCAGAAGGATGGTGAGTGGCGTGCTCGAGGCGACCCCACTGAGATTGCCATTCAGGTTTTTGCTTCTCGGTTTGACTGGAATCGCCTTCGCCTGGTAGGCCATGATGAACGCCAATACAGTGAGGTTGCTGAGCTACCCTTCGACTCCGACGTCAAGCGCATGTCTGTCATCATGAAGAAGAATGACTCTGGCAAACTATTCGCATTCACAAAGGGCGCGGTGGAGCGTGTCATTGGGTCGTGCAGCACCTACTGCCCCAATGATTCAAACGACGCTGTTCCTCTCACCGAAGAGGTTCAGCAGGAGATTCTTCAAAACATGGAGGCTTTCGCCGGCATGGGACTTCGCGTCCTTGCTCTAGCATCCAAGCCATATCATGTCGAGCTGAAGAAGGGAGACGAGGTTCACCGTGCTTCTGTCGAGCGTGACCTTGTGTTCCGGGGTCTAATTGGCCTCTATGATCCTCCCCGCCCTGAGTCGGCCCCTGCTGTTCAAGAATGCCACAAGGCGGGCATCACGGTTCACATGCTCACTGGTGATCACCCCGAGACCGCCAAGGCCATTGCGCGCGAGGTTGGCATTCTGCCCTCACGTATGGAAATGGTCTCTATGGATATTGCAAGGGCCATGATCATGACGGCTGCCCAGTTTGATGCTCTCTCGGACGACCAAGTCGACCAACTACCCGTGCTACCGCTCGTGGTAGCTCGATGCGCCCCAAGCACAAAGGTCCGGATGGTTGAAGCTCTTCACCGCCGCAAGAAGTTCTGCGCCATGGTAAGTTACCCAAACGTTGTTTATTCTGCAAAGTGACTGACATTAGATAGACTGGCGATGGCGTCAATGACTCTCCCTCCCTTCGTCGCGCAGACGTTGGCATCGCAATGGGTCAGTCTGGCTCTGACGTTGCCAAGGATGCCTCCGACATTGTCCTCACCGATGACAACTTTGCCTCTATTGTTGCCGCGATTGAAGAAGGCCGCCGCATCTTTGACAACATCCAAAAGTTTGTCCTTCACGTCTTGGCGGAAAACATTGCCCAAGCCGTCACCCTTCTTGTCGGTCTGGCGTTCAAGGATAGCTCGGGTCTCTCTGTATTTCCCCTGACTCCCGTGGAAATCGTCTGGATCATCATGGCTACTTCGGGTCTGCCCGACATGGGTTTGGGCTTTGAGCGTGCGGTGACAGGCATTCTTGAGCGTCCTCCCCAGTCCCTAAAGTCTGGCATCTTTACGCTCGAGTTTTATGTCGACATGGTTGTTTATGGGCTCTGGATTGCAGCGCTCTGCCTCGGTGCTTTCGTGCTCCGCGTGTATGCTTGGGGTGACGGAGAGCTTGGCCTTGGCTGCAACGATGGCTACAATGATGGCTGCGAGACGGTGTTTCGCGCTCGTGCAACCACGTTTGCTTGCCTCACGTGGTTTGCCCTCTTCTTGGCCTGGGAGATGGTTGACAAGCGACGATCCTTCTTCCGTATGCAGCCTGGCTCTGACAAGTATGTTACGCAATGGATTCACGATGTCTGGCGCAACCAGTTCCTTTTCTGGGCTGTTATGCTCGGCTTTGTGACGCTCTTCCCCGTTCTCTATATCCCTGTTATCAATACCAAGGTCTTTAAACACAAGGGCATTAGTTGGGAATGGGGCATTGTGTTCATCGCTGCCGGGCTCTTCTTTGCCGGGGTTGAGGCGTGGAAATGGTGCAAGCGTCTCTTCTACCTTCGACAGTTGCGCAAGCAGCAGGGCGTAGGCCGGAAGGATACGGACGTTGAGAAGCGGATCTTTGGCGCATACTTGGACTTGTCCGCCAGCGATAGTGCGGAAACGCCGCGTCAATGACTATTCCGGGGCGGGAAGCCCCGTGGGATCAACACAGGTGTTGATGTTGAAGCTGGGGATGATGGTGAGATTGTCCTCGCTATGATGCTGGAGGTTGGGTGTTGGGCGAAGTTGGGTGGGCAGCTGGTAGGTACGATAGAGATGAAGAGAGACATGGAGAAGAAGGATGTGAGATATTTGGGCTGCATTACGGTCGACCAAGTTGCTTTGCTGCTGCGGCCCCTGTCTGTAGATATGTACATAGATATCATTACTCCATACCCAATATCATCTACAACTGCGCCTCTCCATCATCTCACAAACGGGATAAACATGTGGAGAAGGAAGTTGAGCAAGACAAGGACACGCCCTTCTTCTCTCGGCTTCATGCTATCTTCGAGACCAACATTCTTTACATCATAGGGGAAGGAGTCCACGATGGCGTGGCGATACTAACCGGGATTAGTCTGCATTCTCTATATCAGCAATACGTCCGCTACTACATGAAGAACTGGTTTGTATTTGTTCTAAACAAACTACAGTTGGCTGAGTGTTGAGAGAACTATATCAACTTTTTTGGCTTCTTTTTTATACATAATATAGAACCCTCCGTGTCTACAAAGAACACTGGTTGCGAAGACATCCCTGCGTCCTGCGTGTCTCGGCATTCGGTATCTTTAAGCTTGAATCCAAAACCGTCCCGCTGCTGCCGAGCTGCGCGGATGAGGTGTGGCCGGCATGCTGCTTGATGTAAGGTTCTATTAAGAGATACATTTTGAAGGCCCAACCCTGAATCCTGTTGGCTACATATTGCTGGACGTGGAAGACAAATAATTGGTGTTGTCTGTGCACTTGCAACCCTGTGTCTGACCCCATCAGTTGATCCTTGCACGCATTGTCAACCGCTGGTCCGCCTTATTCATGGGTTCTAAATTTAGTCGCCCAGCCAAAAATAACGTTCTTAACCGGCTTCAACTACATCCGGCGCCAAAAGAACTGGTTGGCTCCGCTAGCTGTTGGCCGCTTGCATCCTGAAGCTCTTCCGGGGCGATTCCAGTGCATGTTGACGTTGACCTTTATTCAAGGTGAGCTACGAGGCAGAGGATGCTCGAGCGCTGGTTAACAAGTCAGATTACATCCTTCGCTGGCTCTGACGGACGAGGGAATCAAGACGGCAGAGATGCTAAGACAAGTAACAAAGGCTGGCTCGTTGATTCGGGTCGGGGCGGTTTGGTAATTGAGGCATTGCCCGGAAGCGTTATACCCGTTCAAGACTCGGGATGCGCAGAGGCCATTGTGGCTGGGCAGCTGTACCTGCATTGTTACCATCGTGAAGCTAGAACAGGATGATTGTTTTTAGCCTCCAGCAGACGGGCATGACAAACACTGCCCAATGACAGACAAGCACTTGACCTGTTCCCCGTTCCATGTCCGTAGCAAAAGACGTTTGTTTCGGCTAAGGCGGCCAGCTGAAGGCCCAAGCCGTTGGCGACGATGTGCCTAGTGCTGATCTCAGCAGACTCAAGCAGAGATTAGGTCTCGACAACCCAATGCCCTGCATTTGTTCGTTTTTTGCATTGCTCGTCCAAGACTCCACCGAGCACCTGTATATAACCCGATCAGATCTCTCATTACATCAGCGCCCAGCTTCTTCTGCCAAGCATATCCGCCGTCGACGCCCAACTTCCGCATCCCTCTGTGTTTTGTGCCAAGACAACGTTCATGTACGTGACGCCGCTCCTTTCCAATGACATTCCAAGAGCAGGATTGACTCGATACAGCCTAGTTACGATGCGTTTCAACAGCTTCATCGCCGCGGCCGCTGCGGTTGCCCAGGGCGTCGCCGGCCTCGGAATCAACTGCCACGGAGACGTCCTCTGCGGCATTGCCTACATTAGCGGTGGCCGTCTGTCACATCTCGCAGACGCCTTCAACAAGCTCGACGACAACCGGAAATACGACAACGGCGACGACGTGGCCTGTATCGAGCTCGATTCCGTCAACTTCAACGGCAAGTTCACGAGCACGCTCTGTGCCTACATCCAAAACTCCGAGGGCGACGTCACCGGCGCTACGCTCAAGAGCCTCTTCAAGGAGCTTCAGGAGTTTGGATGCGCCATCTGCGGAAGCGTGCCGCTGCACTATGCCAAGGGCGACAACGACATCAACCACGGAGAGCTCACCATCAACCTCGTCGAGGAGCTCCCCGAGAACTGCAAGGTCAACGAGCCCTGCTCGGCGTAAAGCCGGATTGGCAGGATATACCGATGGGCCGGCCCGGGAATTCCAGATCAACATTTTCCTCGTACATGTATTTAGTTGGTGCTGTGCACATTGGAGATACCCATTGCGGGCATTAGCTTGGTTGTAGAGGGACAGGCGTTTGGCGCAGCAAAGCGAGAATGTGAATTTATAATCCAGCGATACCGTGCTCTGCCTTTTATCCGGTTCATGTGCCGTTTGATGGCTGAGAAGGCAATTAACAAGCGTCGTCAGAAGCCACCGGGCGTATCGGGCCAGTCTCATGCTTTGCCGACGACGACGAGATCGGACTTGTTTCGACCCACCCCTGCAGAAGACGATTTTGACCCCTCATTCTGGGAATCATCAGTTATTCTCTGTTTCTAAGCAATGGGGAGCTTCATGGTCGATCGAGTTGCTATGTCCGCCCTAATTCCGATTTGGATGGTGGTTTGTTGAAAAGTCCCGGAGATAAAGATAGACTTGGTTAATGTGCTAATCAACGCCATGAGATATATAATGGCGTCACAAAGGACCAAGAGGGGTAGCTGAATTAATTAAAATACTCGCAGCTGGTTCAATTCGAAGTATTAATAAAACGCTCCCTCCGTATGCAGACACATTTCGACTGGGCAGAACCAAAACCTACGGCAGTCCAAGATACGATAGTCCAATCTATCATTAGTAGTTTAATCTACTATAGCGGATAGACTATAGTCCAATCTCCTGCCATCTACTACAACCTACCATAGCACAACACCATGGCCTCCTCACTCTTTGCCCTCTCGGGAGAGCCCGTGAGCGAGCTGGGCCGGTACAGAGTCCTCGCCCCTTCTGCGGGTATTCGAGTATCTCCTCTGGCTTTGGGCGCCATGTCCATTGGCGACAGCTGGTCTGACTGGATGGGGTCCATGGACAAGGAGAGCTCCTTTAAGCTGCTGGATGCCTTTTACGATGCTGGCGGCAACTTTATCGATACCGCCAACAACTATCAGAACGAGCAATCCGAAACTTGGATCGGAGAGTGGGCGGCAAAGAGGGGCATCCGGGACCAGCTTGTGATCGCTACCAAGTTCACCTCAGACTTTCGAAGCCACGAGCTAGGAAGAGGAAGGGCCCCTAATTTCCAGGGCAACCACCGCAAGAGTCTTCACTTGAGCGTCCGAGACTCTCTTAAGAAACTGCAGACGGATTACATTGACATTCTGTATATTCACTGGTGGGACCACACCACTTCCATCAAGGAACTCATGGATTCTCTCCACCAACAAGTCGAGTCGGGCAAGGTTCTCTATCTAGGTGCCTCAGATATGCCAGCATGGGTCGTGAGTGCGGCCAACCAATACGCGGTTGATCACGGCAAGACTCCTTTCAGCATCTACCAGGGACGCTGGAACCTCATGGTCCGGGATTTCGAGCGGGAGATTATCCCGATGGCTCGGCAATTCAACATGGCTTTGGCCCCTTGGGACGTCCTCGGTGGCGGCAAGTTCCAGACAAAAAAGGCTCTGGAGGAACGCAAGAAGAACGGCGAGACTCTGCGTGGTCTCACAGGGGCCCCTGTTCAGACTGCCGACGAGGAAAAGATCAGCGAGGCCCTCGCAAAGGTCGCCTCGGAACACGGACTCGAGTCCGTCACGGCCATTGCGCTTGCATACGTGCTGCACAAGGCCGGCAACGTCTTCCCCATCGTTGGCGGACGCAAGACTGAGCACCTCAACGACAACATCAAGGCGCTGAGCGTCAAGCTCACGGATGAGCAGATCAAGTACCTCGAGAGCGTGAAGCCGTTTGACCTGGGCTTCCCGTTGGCCTTTTTGGGCGAGGATCCCAACGTTACGGGATACTCTGTGCGACTCGATCGGACGGCCAAGTTTGCGTTCCCCAACTCAGGGACTCCCAAGAGCGTGTAAGTCGGGCAAGGAATCTGCTACGCGTATTCGGGCTTGGGCTGCGGAGGACCTATCGACGGTACTGATATCAGATTGATACCATAAAAGCTGGTTGTTAGTTATAATGACTTTTTTACACGAGACGTGTTGTCCGTTGCCATCAGAGCTGTATATAGACGCTACACTGTTAAAACGCAGACTGGGTCGGTTTTTACATTTCCCTCCTACGTACGTAATCCAAACGTTACTGCAGGCCGTGATGTTGGTTCCAAAAATAGATACTCCCAGCTTCCCCTATGAGAAGGTTCCCGTATCCGTTTAGCCCCTGCCATGGCCCTCTCGGAGGATTTATAGCGGGCGGATTACTACCCCAGATTGAGACATGTATGCAAGAGATTTGGCCGTTCCAATGACCTGGTTACCATCATAATGGCCTGTCTTTACCCACACGAGCGGGAACGTCAATCTAGACTGCCTTAGTTTGATGTCTGGCTCCATAGAGCGTGGATTTGTGCGTCAACCTGTATATTCGTGCATCATATCAAGTGAATGAATACTATGTAGAGACTTCTATGTGGTATAAATCTGCTGGTGATTAAAAATTACTTCTTAGGGTCCTCTTCTCGTCCACTCTCCCCTTCGGTATGCCTGTCATTTCCACTCTCGTCAGTCTGTCCCTTGTTCCCAGTGGCTTCCTGGGTATCCTGAGTGCTCGTTGCGGCACCTTCATGCTCTCCCTCCTGCGCCCTGTAGTCTTCTCCTGTATTGTGCTGTCTGTCCTCTTCCGTTTGCTGAATGACTCCCACCACCCCCTGCTCAACCTCAAAACTAAACTCGCTTGACTCGGAATCTGTAAGTACCAAGACGGGCGCCACTCGACTTCCTTGCAGCTCCGGAACTTCGCTTCCAGGCATCTCGAAAATCTCGTTCGACAACAGTTCCGAAATTGGCACCGGACTGGCCAGCTCCGCCATAGGAGTGCCTGACGACTCCAATTCGCTCATCGGGCTCCTCCTTGCTGCTGTGCTGCCTTCAATCTCCGGCGTTGGTTTCGTCGAATCGTCGCCTTGCAGCTCCCGCAAGGTTCCGGGGCTCAAAGTCGCAGACTTGGGCGGCTCAGGCGAGACGGTCGAAGTGGTTTCTGGCACTGTCCTGGCTAGGGCATCCATCTCCGTAGACTCATCCGTCTTTGCCTTCTTGCGGCGAGTAACCACCATGTATCGCAAGATGGCAATGGCAACAGCCGCAATGACGATGCAAACACCAATGACAATGCCCGCAATGGCACCGCCGCTGAGATTGTGGCTGCTCTCGGTATTGGGCTTGCTCTCTTTGACCCCGGGGGGCAGTATTGTTACAATATTCGACTCAGCACTGGCATTCCACACTCGGGGATGAAGTGAAAAGTTGCCTCGTTCATAGTCCACGATTAGGTACGCCTCTTGCAGAAACGTGCGTCCCAAGACATACTGGGTGTCGTTGGCTGCCTGCTTTAGAGGAAAGTATCGAGATGCCGTCTTCACTAGTGGAGGCTTGGCCTGTAGGTCGAAGCTGGCGTAGGGAAAAGTAATGTTAAAGGTTGAGCCGCCCGTAATGGCCGTCGTTATCGTAAATGTGACTGAAGGGTTTGAGGCTGTGAGTTTGCTGTGCAGCGAATCGCTCACCAGGTACATTTCAAGCGTAGAGTTGTACTTCAGGCCAAAAGCCTTCTCAAAAGCGTGGCAGGCGTCCACGGGAAGGTAGATTTCGGCGACGGACGAGTCGATAAACATGGAAATCTGCTCAGACTGAAGCACTGTATTATCTGCGCTGGCATTCGTAGAGATGGACTGAACGCCAATCGTCAGATCGCGCGACTGGTCGCTGAAAAAGTCATACGACGAATTGGTATCTTGATACGCAGACGTGTCGTAGCCGCCCAGGATCAGGCTGCCCAGAGCCTTGTTGAGTCGGTAGGGAGCCCCGACGTTGTAGCTGTACGACAAGGATGGAATGGCAGATTCATTCTTGAGGAGCTGCAGAAAGCTCTGCTGCGGATCATTCTGGTCCGTAAAGTTGGTAGGGCGCGGATTCAGCGCAAGCACTCCTAGATAAAACTCAGTGCCGGCGACACCCGCGATCACCGAGCTGTTGACAATTGGGCCACCGCTGCCGAGATATCCAAGTCCAACTGTGATTCAAGTAAGTATGGTAAAGCACAATGAGGATGGAAGAGTCATACCGGTATCGTGCCCGAACTCGCCATTGTCGGTGAAGCCGAGAGAATTCTCAAAGCCTAGGCTAAACAGGCCAATTTCCTTCCAGGTTTTGGAGGCAGTCGTATTAAACAAGTTGCCTCTGCTGTTGGCGCAATCCGTCACATTGATAATCTGGCAGCCCTCTGGCAGCACCACAAGCGTCTGTGTTGACGAAGTGCCGGGCAGTATGCGAATATTCTGAGCTGGAGTCCCCACGCGCAACTCAAACGTTGACCAAGGACCATCTACACCCTCGCTAAAACACGTGAGTTGCTTGAAGCCGTCGACAATGCGAGAGAGAGACTCACAAGAATTGACTCGGCGATACGGACACGGGAGACGGAATGGGGTCGTCGGCTCGTTTCCGCATCCCAAGGTCCAAAGCTGAGGCGAGAGCGTTTGGCGTCAACAGCGCCCAGAGCAGCAAATGCTGCGGCCGCGCAGGCATCTTCCGGAGATGTGTGAATGCTTCAAATCTGCCACATCCTAATGTCACTCGCCCTGGAGAATCCTGCACTGCAAGTGGAGCAATGTTGGGTGTAGCTACTAGTATACGATACGAGTACAGAGGGCCGGTTAATGAGATTTCCCCCCCCCTTGGACGCGGTCCCAGCTTGGCACGAGTTGACACGATACAGTGCTGCAGGTGAAAGGAAGGCCGTCATTTGCGAGTCTCGCGGAAAAGAAGAATCAACAGGCATAGGCATGGGGTTGGCCTTCTCCCACAACCCGCGCGCTCAGAGACTCGCCTTGACGAGCCCACCGACGGGTCAGATTTTAGGAACAGTCATGAATCCACATCATGTGTTATGCAATGCACCTCGGCTAGCTGTCGAATGAACCATTGCTCTGCCCACGATGACCTTGTCGTTGTCCAATGTTGAGCTATTCCTAGTTGATCCGGCTTTTTGTCGAGCGTTGCACTTCGACCCACCAAGAGAATAACGGCCCTTGGCGTCCCAATGAGCCGGAAAGCCCTTGAAATTACGAATCTGTGCCGACGGAGAGCTGAGTTTAGCCGGGTTGCCCTTCTGTTATCCCACGCCAAACAGCAGCGGCTGTGGCTAACACGTCGCCGGCTTGCCACCTCTCGTGAGGCACAAGTGCTGACGGGAGTCGAGCAACCGGCCCGTACCCGAACGGTGTGGCGCGTTGCCTGTCTGGCTGTGTCTGTCGTATCCAGTTTTTCTTATCGTGTGTGAATAGCTTCAATGGGGCAAGTTTCCGCTCGCCAGACGATAGCTCGCACCGGCGTGTGGCCCACCAAGACGAGGCCGGGGTGTACTACGTATTGGGATCATCCCTTGAACTGGAGTCATCTTATGCCCACAAACAGCGGTGGCGCTTCCTCAAACTTGTCTCTCTTGAGCAACAACGCCGTCCTAGCCAACTGCGTCTGACTTGTCTACTTGTATGTTGTCAGTTAAACTACGCGATGCCCTTCAGAGAACTCACAACGTTGTAGGGCTGATCATTGTGGCTTGTTGCTCGCCGCATCATTGGGCTCAACCCCCGGCTTTGTAGCGTGGAGCTCTGCTAGAGCGTAAGCACTTGGGGAGGCTGGCACCACTTCTTCGCAAGTCTTGTATGTTTCTGTCAGTTGGGGGCCCCATCCAGAGCCTCCAAAGCTCCTCCAAATTGTGATTGTAATCAAGAAACACCTTTGATTAGCCTTAGCAGCCACAAATGGGCGTCTTGGCTGGGCGCCTCACGCGCTTTCTAAGCCGGCAAAGGCTTGACAGCAGACTATTTTCAGGTACCCTTCACGTCGAGGCCGTACTCGGTTGACTGCCGCGCTTCCAGGGGTTCAGGCAAGCGACGTGATGATCTTGGTTGGGCTACCGTTGTTGTGAGTATGTGATGTAGCTAGTGGTGTAGAGCGAGCCCGCTTATATCCCTAGGCACGCACATGCCGTCGGGCAAAACTTTTCCTTCTCGTTATCCTCACGCTGAGCTCAAATTGCTTGTGTTACGGGTCGAATCATGGCTGGATTCACAGGAGCTCTTGCTCTGCTCGCCCTGGGCGGCGCGGTGCGGGCGTCACCATGTAAGTTATGACAGTCCCGACTTGCTCGTCGTTTGGGTGGACTGATGCTTATTCCTATTCCTGTCCTACAGTTGCTGTGGCCAATAGCACAATTACAGACCCTCCAACAGCTACCGGAGGGCCGAGCACTCCAACTCAGCCTGCGGATGTCACCTGCGGCACCATCAGCAGCTTTCCTCCTATTGTTCTTCAAGAGTATGACGGCCTCTCGACAGATCCAGCGCTGCAGTGCCAATGTCTGATCTCGGTCAACAACTGGTTGTTCACAACCAACCCTCCGACGCGCACCCTCACCAGGACCATCGGAACCGGCGTCACCACTTTCACGGAAGTGACTGGCACCACCACAGAGGTGGTGACAACTGTCGTAAACACCGTTGTGACGGCTACAGTCACCGAAAACTTCATCCTGCCTCAGAGCAACGTGTGGTATGGAACCGCGGAGCCGCCATGTGTAAGTCTTTGTTGTCATGCACCAATATGAGCGACGCTGACTGTCTTTCAGTGTTATAGCTGCACGATTGCTGCCTCTACGGTAGAGGTATTCTACTGGGCTGATCGTATGTTACCCATCCGAAAACATTGACCAATCACTAACATAGTTCAAGCTACTGGCACGACGCCCCTGGCTACCTCATTCACGTCTGCTGGCATCGTCTTGTAAGTATCTGCCCTCCATCCTCAGTGTATTGAGCGTTTCTAATCTCCATCACAGCGAGTCCCCTTCCGTCTACATCGGATTCTCGGCTTTGTCTGCCTATGACTACTGCGGCAATGTCGGAGAACCCCGGTTCAACACCACGGTTGGATTTGCTCCCGGCGAACTATCAACCATGGTCTTTTCTCTTGTGACGGGAACCCCCGTTACTGTTGGAACGATCCTCCCCAGCGGCAGCACGCTTGAAAGCCTGAGCACACCATCCTTTTACTCTCCTGTTGGGTCTGCTGCACTCAACACGGCGGATCTGAAGAGGAACTGCTCCACCATTGCCGGCTACACCTATATCCCCGGCAACCCCTCCAATGCCATCAACAGTTCCCGTATGTTTGACGATTTCTACTGCAAGTAATTATTGAAGAACATTGCTGACTTTGTCTTTACTTTATAGCTGATCCTTGCCACCCCACCATTGTGATTCCCGATAAGATTCGAAGCTTGGATCCGGCCTGGAAGTCTTGCATCTCAGATGCCTTCCAAGGGTTCTACGACCCTCCCTCGGCTCTCAGCTCTGTCACGGCCTTGATCCCCACGACCACTCCTCCCCCTCCTCCCCCTACGACCACGCCTCCCAGTTCTCGTAGCACCAGCGCTGCTGGACCAAGCTCAACACCGCCGCCGCCTCCCCCGAAGACGACGACTTCAGCTCCTCCTCCTCCCCCTCCTCCGCCTGCGTCATCTGATACTGGCAACCCTCCTCCCTCGGGTCCTACATCCACCAGCGCACCTCCACCGCCTCCTCCCCCACCGCCTCCTCCGCCTTCAAGCTCATCCCAGCCTAGTGGAGGTGTCAGCAGCCCTCCTCCTTCATCAAGCTCGCCTGCAGGTGGCAACAACCCTCCTCCTTCATCAAGCTCTCCTGCAGGTGGCAACAACCCTCCTCCTTCATCAAGCTCGCCTGCAGGTGGTAACAATCCTCCTCCCGCGAGCTCCTCGAATGGAGCGGGCAACAGTGGCGGTAGCAGTTCCACCCCTTCAACCCCCTCTAACCCCTCTGGTACTCCCGGCGGTGGTAACAATGGCGGTGGAAACGGAGGTGGTAATGGGGGTGGAAACAACGGAGGCGGCAACGGTGGTGGTAGCAACGGAGGCGGCAACGGAGGTAACAATGGAGGTAACAATGGAGGAAATGGAGGAGGAAATGGCTCACCTCCTGGTGGAAACAACGACAATAACAACGCTGGTGGCACCACTACTGGAGACTCTGGAAGCGCGTCTCCAACTTCAAACGAGGTTCCTCCCTTTACCGAGAACTCCCAGTCTCAAATCGTCTTTGGCTCCACAACCTTGAGCCCCGGAGGACCTGCAATTACTGTCGGTGGTAACACCCTGTCATTGCCCACTTCGGGATCTTCCATCGTTGTCAACGGCAACACCGTCCCCCTCTCTGAAACCTCAGCCACCTCTCCCGGAGAATCTGGCTCCCCTGGCTCTCAGGAGACTTCCACACCCGGTTCGGGAGGCTCGCCCGGAGGCTCTGAATCAAGCACCACCACGTCGGCGGGCCTGCCATCGAATTCAATCCCTACCGTTCCTCAAAACGCGGCGCCTGGACTGTTCTCGGGCGCGATGGCAAGCATCAAGGCAGTTGCTGTGGTTATGCTTGTTGCATTTTACATCTAATAGCGAGGCAGGTTATGCCTGGAAGAGATGCTCCTTGTGCGAATTGATACGCTAGATAACTGAGTAATGATAATGAAGACTTTAAGAAGAGTGTACGCCGAGAATGTTTTTTGAAATTGCCGCGATTTTCGATTCTTGACTGCATGGTACTCTTCGTATTTGGTCGATGCCATTCGCAGTTCAAAGAGTCCGTCCAAATGCCGAAGCAAAGATGCTGTATGGATCGAGTCGGCCTTCGCTCCGATAGCCGGGCCGATCTCCGACCCAACATTGCGGCTTTGTAATAATTGCGTAGCTGCAGTGAAGCTGCTCACTCCAGTAGGATTGTCGCCCCTCAACAGGATCCTGATTGAACAACCCATGTTGGTGCTATGTTGGGATTCCGCATGCGACAACACAACAGCTGGGCTAGGTGGAAAATGTTGAGTCAACTCGAGAGAAAATCCTCCTACCAATGAAAGTGTTGAGATTGGGCTCATGTTCGCAGGCAGCAACGCACTCTTCGGCCTCACGACGGACATGGTCAATCTCTAGAAACAGGGTCGGTTTGGTATTTATCGCGGTTGCAGACCAACTGTGAGGAATTATAATGATCTCGCAGGAAACAGCGACAAAGATTCTTACATATTTTAGCCAGTGACACACATATCCTCCAATCTGCCAATCCCCTTTGTCAATCATGGCAGATGTTTTATTCAAGACCACAGCAGGCTCCATACTACAGTACTTCAAGCGCGGTAATGGACCTCTCATGATTATCGCGCCGCCTGCCTGGGGACTTTCATCAAAGTATCTTCAAGAGACTCTCACTCCACTCGAGCAGACTTTTACCCTCATCTACCTCGAATTCAGGGCAAATGGAAAATCTACACGCCCAGATCCATCTGAAATGTCCTGTTGGCATCTCGCAGACGATATAGAATACCTTCGCCGGGAGTTGGGCCTTGAAAAGATTCCGCACTTGCTAGGGCACTCGGGGGGTGGTACAATTGCCCTGTGGTATGCCATCAGGTATCCTGAAAAGGTGGACCGCCTAATTCTCCTGAGTCACGCCCTGGAAGGATTCGATGATGGTAAATCGATGAAGGAAGCAATTGTTGAAAAGTCCAAGAACCCAAAAATGCACGCTGCACTCAAGGCCTGGACTGCTTCATGGGAGGACCTTTCCGATGAGGGATTCGCTCAAGTCATTCAATCTTTTCTTCCTGTGTATTTCTATGACCCTGTTGCTTCTACTTTGTCCAAAGAGTTGAGCAACATTCAATCGGTTTCTTTGTGGAATTATCAGTTGCTACATGGGAAAGATCGAAATATCCATTATCAAGAACCAGAACTTGGCAAGGTCACAGCAAAAACGCTCATGATCTTTTGCCGAGCGGATCCGGTATGTACGCCAACACAAGCAATAGCGACTCACAAAGGAATGTCGGGATCAAAGCTCATTATATATGAAGAATGCGGTCATTTCCCTTGGATGGAGAAGAAGGAAGAGACCTTCAGAGACATTGTCGAGTTTTGCACTCTATAGCGAGTTTGCATTTTGACTATGGCTGCTATCCTCACTTGTAATTCGCGAACATTATGTATCATTGTATTCTATCAAACGCATAAAACCATTCCATGTTAACTACAAAAATCCATGAGAGTTCATGTACATGAAGTTTGTGTGCTGCGTAGGTACTAGATCGACTTCCGTTGTTATCACACACGGAAGTTTTGGCATCTCACCTGGCAGCATGCAGCTCTGCATCTATACTGAGCTAATAGCGACTCTAGTGATGTTTCAACAGTCAGCTAGGCTGGTTGTGGAATGTTTAGCGGCCATTGATTCAGTCAGAAACCCGAAGCGGCATATTAAGCGCTGGGAGATCTCCATTGCATACAATAGTCTGTCGTCCAGGAAGCAGCTATTGCAATAAACCTACCCCGACTCATGAGAGTCTGTTGTTATAACCGCCTTGGTTGGCATGGTTTCAGCCAATGGACTCTTCTGTCCTGTAACAGTGGACAGTCCACGACTCATACATCCTCAGCGCATGTGGCGTTTGGACACGACCCCGGACTTGGTGGCTTCAGAGCACCGTTCCAAGACAAACCTAGGCCTCCCATCTGCAGTGGAGAGCGTCTAGCACCATCCCCGCATTCCCGGACCAGGCCTGTCAGCATGAACTAGATCTGGGGCGAAATCGATTATCCTCTCCATCTGCTCTGATCTGAACATGTACTTGAGTGGATGAATCGATTGTCCGGAAAATGAACGCTTCGTTGTAACGTTGTTAACAACGCTGAAATATTACGGAACTCATGGCCCCAAAACGTCGCAGAACAGGTGCGTATCAACTTGTACTGTGACACAGTAACCTGACTAACTTGGCTTCAGGATGGTAAGCTCTAAGCCATGGCAGATGAACATCCAGACTTACGAAATAGTATCAATTGCCGCAATCGCCGTGTCAAGTGTGACGAGTCCAGGCCGGTGTGTGGACGTTGCCGCAGCAGAAACCTAGAATGCAATCCTCCTGAATTCATTGTCCACGACAGGCGGTCAACAAGACCAAGGGGCACAAGACGGCGTCAAAGCAATGATTCAGGCACGCCATTGCCCATTTTGCCTTCAACCCCAGAGTCTACGTATGATGTATTTCGCCAAATACAGTATGCACAGTTGCCAGACCCAGAGGCAGCTCTGCCGTCAATCGAACCACAACCGCCGATTGTGACAGACGAGGTCATAGATCTCGTTCTCAAATACCAATCGGGTATTGGTGCTTGGATGGACGTCCTTGATCACTCGTCCAACTATCGGCGGCAAGTCACACGGCGTGCGGCGTCGTCTGCACTCCTCATGTATTCCATCTGTGCCTTGTCTGCAAAGCAGATGAGCCTGGTTGGAGAACATTCGGTCTGGGAGCCGGTAGCTGGTCGCTTTTATGGACAGAGTTTGAGATTACTCATTCATGACTTGAATCAGCTTGATGCAAGGTACGATGAGGTTTTTGTCGCAACCATTCTTCTCTGCAGTTATGAGTTGCTGGCGAATCCAGGCCCAGACTACAGAAAGCATCTTGAGGGCGTAAGTTCTCTTCTTCGGTCTCATTGCTTGTCTTCCATCACTACAGATCTCGACAAGGCGAGTTTTTGGATCTATGCGCGACATGACGTTGCAATGGCTCTCATCAACTACTGCCCTACACTGATTGCAGCTCGCGAATGGCCAGATGCCATGTCTGGTAGCAACTTGGAAGAAGATGCTACTGGTAATCAGATCCTTTGGTTACTTGCCAAAGTCATTGAGCTCCGTTTTGCGCCGCCTGGCAGTATTCCAGATGATTGCCAACAGAATCTTCGAGAAACTGGCACAGAGGTGGACAAATGGTGGGACAACCTTCCATCAACATCACGCGGGCTATCATCTGGTGAGGTATCTGAAGATGGTCTTTCCCAGCTGTGGTTTTGCGTTCAGTCTGCCGGTTAGTCTCAAATTCTTAAGAATGCATTCTCTCTGCTGACTGGCTCTTTGAAGCGGCGGGCTTGCTTTATTTTCACGTGGCAAAGATTTTGCTACTGGAAGAGTCTATCCAACCCCAAGATCCAAATTTATTGGAATGTCAATATGAGCACGAGAGTTGTATGGAGCAGTTGCATCATCATTCTCGGGGCATAGCGTCAATATGCTTCTCGCCAGGTGTAAGAGATGGCGTATTAGTTGTTGCAGTCAATCCGCTGTACTACGGTAAGCGAAAACTCCTGGTGAGCGAAAGAGCATGGCTAACCGATGACAAAGCGGCGAAATATGCCCCATCATTATCTTTAAAAGTAAAGATCTGGGGGCTTCTAGACAAGATTGAGAAAGAATTAGGATTCCACACTCGAACTCGTGTCATGGAATTGCAGAGGGAGCTTGAATCACAGATATCGCATAATGTATAATCCTAGTTGCAATTATTTTACTGGCCCATCCTATACAGAATGTGCATTCAACTTGTCTCTGTGACGCCAAGGCAGTTTAACATTTCTCCCTACGTCTGATCTTCAATGGCAGTGGCCCAGGCCAAAGATTGAATGCCTCCTCATGATCCAAATTCCCCTCGGGATCCACGAGACTGAGATCGTAACGCTGAACAAGAGTCGCCAAGAGTACCGTTTGCTCAATGTAGCTAATGTTTCGGCCAATGCAACCTCTGGCCCCCGTACTAAAAGGGATAAATGTCCCCTGTGTCTCTTTGATGCCATCTTCCAGCCATCTTTCCGGCTGATATTGCTCGCCGTTCGAGAATAGAGGATTTCTATGCGCCGTGTATGCTGGTACGCCCACAAGAGTGTTTCCGGGGATCCAGGTGCCGTCAATCATGAGCCCTTCATGCGGGGTCATGCGGTTCAGGCCAAATGCAACTGGTGGCAACAGCCTCAATGACTCGTTGATACAGGCATGTAGATACGGTAGATTCTTCACGGCAGCATATTTGGCAATTTCTTGGCTACCGTCTAATGCAACCCGGAGTTCCTCGCGGAGTCGAGACAATGCCGCTGGAGTCTTCATCAAGAAATACATGGCATGGGTTAGAGAAATCGCTGTTGTATCGGACCCTGCATCCACTAGTTATGAGTTAGCAAAACAAAAAGAAGAACCAATGCTACTATCTTCAGAAGATGACTTACACAAAGTCGCCACCTCGGCTTCAATCTCGGCAATCTCCAAGTTTCGAGCGTCTCCATGCTTATCTTGAAAGAGGCACCCCGCAAAATCCTCCAGTTGCTCTCCGTTTTCGTGTCGTCGAAGGCGCTGTTGAACGAGATACCGCACCATCTCATCAAAGCCTTGGCCTTTGCGCCACTGGGTCTGGAAGAAGCCTGGAAGCCTTTTCAAGGCGAATCGTAAAGACGAAAACCATTTCGTTGACCAGATCAACATTGACGTTGCTCGCCTTCCGGCATGAAGACATTCGATGTAATTGACCGTCTTCTCACGGCCATCTTTTGTAGTTATCATGACAAGATCACTCCCTTGACCAAGACAGCCAAGATGATGGCTGAGTGCAATGTCCGCAATGGCCTCAATCGTGAAGAGGTTGCTCCACATTCGAAAATCAACAGTCGCTTCTTCTTTGTCATGGCATAGGAGATCAAATTGTGCGACAAGTTTTTGAACTTTGTCCGTGACTTTGAACTCCCACTGTTCGAGATTCCGGGTAGCAAAGGCATGCGATAAGATCCTGCGCTTACGAGCATGTTCTTGCTTATCCACGACGTCTAGCAGGCTTGGATGTGTACCAGCTGCTGTCACATAGGTACCCCCTTTGAGACATGGGGTGTTGTGTCCGTATATAGCCCTAATGGCATCAGGCGTGGAGAATGAAAGTGAATTGGGGCCAACACGGACAACTGGATGTTGCAGGTGACTTTCGTGAATCTCTTTTGAGCGAAACCCGCGGTATCTTTTAAGGATATAGCCTATTTCGGATATTCCAGATAAGAGGCTTGCATTGGGGAAACGACGAAGCTTTTTAGAATCCCGATGATATGTAAATAGAGGTTCGAGAATGAGCAGCAGCAAAGCTACTGAGAGCAAATAGACAATCATGGCGCCTTTTGTGAAATAGCTGCTTGATGAACAAAAGCTGTAGAGCCATCTGGTTTGATCCAGTATACAGCAAGTGTTTATATACTCAGTGATACCTGCCGTTTCATGCAATCAGACTGATCAGAAGAAGCCGAAGATGCTTCACATGCCTAATTCGGTATGCGACCCTATTCTGGCGGAGGTGCGCTAAACTTTCCCAAACTGGCTTAGTCTAGTACAGCGGGATCTCCTGGTGGATGAGCGAATCGAAATGCCTGAATCTTTGAGTTGTAGAGCATTTGATGGCAAATTATATTTCATTAGCTGTATGGATGATGATATGGACTTGTTTGGTATTCTAATGCACTCGCTAATATGGATTATTGCAAAGCAAGACGCTAATGATGGCTACATGTATCTGGGTCAATGGCAGTAACCCGGATGTATGTGTGACCGTTATATGGGCTGTATTCCAAGGCCACTGTGAGTAGAAAGAGTTTTAAGGATTCTATGGCTATTTTCCAAGTCCGATCTGCATATGGTTAAAGAAAATGCTGCTGTTGAATTCTTAATTCATAAAGCTTTGTATCCTAATTTAGCTGACTATCTAAGCTAATGACAGCGGAGCTTACTCATTGGCATGACATTTCGCATCCATGAGATAACCGAGTCGGGACAAAGACATAAGCAAGAAAAGTTCCACTAGATTGGGACAACAATCTTTGTGCCACTGACTCCCTGCCTCAGTTTGTTTAGTGCTGTATGCACTCCGCCCAGGCCGCCACCCTCAATTTGGATGTTGGGGCTGGGAACAACTTCTCCAGACTTGAGACCGGAGTTAAGCCAGCCATGGAAAACCTCATAGAAGTGTTTGCTCCTTAAAACCTCGTCCATGGAGGGAAAGTTGAAAGTGATCTGCGTGTTGTCAAGGGTCGGGTGACCTTCGGGGAGGACGGGCGAATGTGCTACCTTGGCGAGAGCATCGCTCTTGGTCTCCTTGAGGACATCCAATGTGGGCTTCAGAGCTCCAACCACCACGCAGTGTGCCGTGTGCAGCTGCACCCCATCCTTCTTTACGGTGTCGATGATCTGAGAGACGACATCACTGGCCTTGTAGTTGAAGACCGCATCCGCGCCGAGCTTCTTGACAAGATCGTGGTGGCCGGGACTTGCCGTGGCATAGACGGTAAAGCCGAGAGCCTTGGCTGACTGGACGGCAAACGTGCCGACACTGCTGGATGCGCCCCAGATCAGGACAGCTTGTTTGTCTGCGGGAGTGTATCTCGTATCGAGCGGAATGCCAATCGAGGTCCACGCCGTCAGCGCCGTCACAACGGCCATGGGGAATACGGCGCCTTCCTCGAATGAGAGAAGGTCTGGAAGGGGAGTGATAGCTTCAGATTGTGCCAAAGTGAACTTCTGGAAAGCCCCGTGGTCGGGGGAGCCGTTCTGATAGAAAGACGAGGCAAAGGCAATGACTCGGCTTCCGGGACCAGGGACCGTAGTGACATTTGAGCCCAGCTTGGCGACAACACCAGCCGTATCGGATCCGAGGACGGCAGGATAGATTGGTACCGGAGGCATGCCATGGTCTCGCTGGTAATAATCACAGGGGTTCAAGGCGACGGCCATGACTTCAATAAGCACTTCATTTGGCCCGGGCTCAGGGGTGGGACGCTTGCCGATAGACAAGGGGCCACCCGGTTGAGGGAGAATAGCGGCATCGTGTTCGGTGTTCATGTTGGAGGTTGGACGGACGGACGTTTTGGTTGTTGTTGGGGATGGGTTTGGGCTCAAAAGACGAGTTGACCTGTGTCGGGGAAGCCTGCGAAAGAAAAAATACAATAGTCCTAGAGCTGTGGATGAAACTCGTTTAAATAATAAGTGTACATCATGATGGAGTTGCTTGCATGTAACCTCCTGCATCTGAAGCCTTGACTCACTTAAGTCCATAAACCCCGATGCTAGAGGCATTTCCTTTCTTTGTGGGGATGTGATCCTTCTCGCCGAACTCCAATGATACATCAGAGGGACTAAGCTTTTGCACCCCTACACTGATGGTTGTCGTTGATCCGGTATTAAAGCTTGGCGTTGTACCATTAAATCCGGGTTGGAGAATGAAGCTCTGCGGTGTGACCTGTGTCATCAATGGTTACTACTAGGTAAATAAAGTGAGTGGTTCACATAGTAGCATCTAGAGCAGACAATGAGTTCTAACGAACACAAGGTTCCGAATAGTTATAGGCCAGTCTGATTCTAGCAGGATCTTCCTTGCTTGTGAAATTCTGCATGGGTATAGACATGCTGTGATTTCCGTCTCAAGCTGCTCATTTCAATGGTTCGTCTGTCGTTGTTGTCCCAGGAGAGGGAATACTAATACTCAGCTTTGTCCGCCTAAGTATATATTTAGTGTACAGAGTCTGGTTACAAAACTAATCATAATGTAACATGGTAAAACTAGCTCTGCATATCGCACCTTGGTGGACTCTAGAGCTCCAGAATTGGCAAACGATTTCAATGTAAGAAAACGAGCTGTAAATAGATGTAGATCGTCTTTGAACAGGGCATCTTGATTTGACGCTCTACCTTCTTTTCTGGATCCAACACCAAGGCTTCTTGATAGTGAATGCGCCGGCTGGTTGTCTCCGCCCGGACCCTGTGAGCCAAAAACGGAAAGTTTCATGTCATAAGAGAATCGTTAGTGGTCTGCACATGGATACGATACTCCACGCAGATTCCGGGGTAGCCTCCACTTGAGTCACCTTGAGAGTGGCTTCCTGCTCCTTCTGAATATGTAACCGCGTAGCATTGATCGAACATTCAAAGTGGATTGCATGGAATCCTTCGAGCCACGGCTTAAGTAAAAGTTGCTAAGCAATCGCACCCATCAATTCTACTTTTAGAGACCAATCAAAGTTTCTTGACTTGGCACTCGTAAGCTAAAAACACCAGTCAACTGGTGCGCGATCCCTTACTGGGCTATAATTATAGGCTATAATCACTAAGCCAATGGGTTTTGATGCTTAGGTCCGCAAGCCCGATACCAGTAAGCTTTGTCCCTCGCATTAAACGTTGGCGTACGCTTAGCTAGGCACATTGAAGGTATTGCTAGATCCTCGCAGCATCAGCATGACGTCGCTGTCCAGACAATATAAGATCAAGTCTCATTCCATGCATACCGAGCCCTCCAACCCCCCAGAAAGGAACCAAATAGGTTCCTAAACAAAGACCAACCTCTTGATCTTCGGGCTAGATAACTCTGTTCACACGCCATGGCCACCTCCAAACTCCCCATCTTGCGCAGGGAAACAACTGAACCAAAAGCTTTTAACGAAGCTGTCTGGCGCCGAGTATTCAACCATCGGCGAGAAAGTTCCCGCATTCCTCGAGCTGTTATCAACGCCTCAAGCGTTGAGCACGTCAAGGCTGCAGTTCAGCTCGCAAACCAGGAAGGATGTAGAGTCTCTGTTCGCAGTGGCGGTCACAGCTGGGCAATCTGGAGCGTACGCGACGATGCTATCCTCGTTGATCTAGGCGACTTTAGGTTCATCGAATATGACGAGAAGAGCAAGATTGTATCATGCTCGCCGAGCACGACGAGCGCGGACCTGATGGAGTTTCTTAATGCGCGAGGCCGATTTTTCGCTACCGGACATTGTGGGGATGTGGCTATGGGAGGGTTTCTGCTAGGAGTAAGCGATTCACGGATGAATGATTGATATGAAGTATGACGCTAGTACAGCTAACATGGCGATAATAGGGCGGCCAAGGGTGGAATGCAAAGGTAAGGGATCCAATAGAGACTCAAAGCGACTATTAGGACATCCCTATCTCACCTACAACTAGAATTGGGGACACAGTATTGAACAGATGGTGGCGATTGATGTCGTGACAGAAGACGGCAACGAAATTCACTGTAGCGCCGTCGAAAACGAAGAACTCTTCTGGCTTGCTCGCGGCGGTGGTCCAGGTATCCATATCATCTCACCATCTGTTATTTGTTGCTAAGCTTTGTTGTTAGGATTTCCGGGCATCATTACGAGCTTTTCCTTGCAAACTAGGCCGTTCACCGCCGTATATCGCACTCTGCTCGCGTGGCCTGTCACCGAGATACCAAACATTATGAACTGGGTTACAAAGGTAAGCGTCAACTCTCAAAGGTATTAAACTTGCCACTCATTGACTATTAACCAAGGTCTGCGACGAGTTCGATACTGACACCGAGGTCTCGAGCTTTGTCCTTTACCCTCCTAGGAGTCCGGCACCGGTCATAGCTGTACTCTTCATCAGCCTCAAGGGAAGCTCTGAGGAGGCTAAACAGGCCTTGCAGCCGCTGAAGGCCGACCAACCCGCCGGAGCTCTGATCGAGGAGATTGCCGTCCCGACCTCTTTCAAAGCAGAGTATGCCTTCCAAACTAGCACGCTACCTGATAATTACAGGTACTGTGTAGACTCTGTTTGGCTCTCTAACGATGCCGACTTGGGCGCATTGCTCGCTGAACCGGGGCGCACTATTCCAGGGAAAACAACCACAATGCTCTACCAGCCCATTACGAGCTCTCAGCGGCCCGTTCAAGGCGACCCTGCCTTTTCTCTGCAGACTAAACATTACGTCTCTCTCTACTGCGGTTGGCAGAATGCGGAAGATGATGAAGAGCACATTCAGTGGGTAGACAAAACCATCAATAGCTTCAAGCCGCACAGTGTTGGCTCCTTGTTGTCGGACTTTGACTTCCAGAGGCGCGAGGCGAAGCATTGGAGCGAAGAAAAGGGTGAAAAAGTCATGGCTCTGCGTAGGAAATATGATCCTGCTGGACGTTTTGCTGGGTTTTTAGATGCCGGCGATAAGAGCGGGCTGAATGGCCTTCGAACCAGTTTTTGATGATGCGGTACATATATTAGTATGCAAATAGTCTTGAAATGCAAACTATCTTCTCCAAACTTGAAGTACAGAATCATGATATCGGACTACGAGTTCCTTTGTAGCTAATATGCTGCTTTCAAGAAACAGTATCTAACCATAGAAAATGCCCCCCCAGGGCGCAAGAAGGAGGCAGATGGACTTTTCTCTATTGGCCTTGCTTAGACAAAAACATTCGTTCTACGGGCCATTTGTTTAGCGCAGCAGGTATATACAATTCAACCTGTGTAACAATGTCCAACAAACGTATGGCTCGGCACTTGACCGGATACCCGAACCAGAATTCATCAAAATTCATTCTAGCCATAATTAACGCAGCTAAGACACTCTAGGCGCATGTTGGTACATGCCACGTCTATGCGGCATATTTTGTGCTCACCGACAAACCTGTCTGCTTACGACGGATCAACAATCTAGTTATTTGATTCCTGTAAGTCAGCGGAGTGAAGGTGGGCTGAGAAACTGAGCGGTAACTAGTGCAATAAGCCCTAGGCATTACACTCCACTGTTGGAGATGTGAAGTTCACGAACTCAAGTTGCGACGCCTTTGTGTGCGCTACGCTCCAGTGGCGTTGTTAATAGGCTGGACTATATGATATTACTCCAGCTTGCACTCCGTATTAGGTATATGGTCACATAATTCCGATGCCACTGTAGCTCTATACCCCTGCATTGTTTTTGGGTTTTCGCGAGGTTTCTGCATGAGACTATAGCCGCGTTGTTCCCCCGCTAAAGTCACCTAGCGACAGTCGGATGATGTGGCCTTAAATCTTGCTTTATGTTCACTGCTTCACTCTCTATCTTGCACAAGTAGAACTTCGACCGATCTTTGTCTAAATCCAAGACGTCTTCGCTAGCTTTTCCTTTGAACCGACTAGGAACTCATCTATCAATTCTGCAACACCACTAACAAGATGGCCGACGAAAAGGAAGCAGTGCTGGCCACAGTTCAGAAGTTCTTGAACTCAATCTCATTGAGGCAACCCCCCTTCAGTGAAGCTCTTGAATATGTTTTGCCAGACGGGTGGTGCGTCTTATCTCATCCAGATGAGTTCTGGGTCGGTCGCTTCAGAGATCTGGTTACTCGAGTTGAAGACAAGGTGACTAAAAGCTTTGGCGACCTTGCGAGTAAATTTGAAGAACGGCTTGCAGAACCAGGCCCAGAGGTCTGGATTCACGAGGATCTGGCGGCTGTCTGGGCCGGCTATCAAGTATTAGTCGACAACAAAGAAATCAGCCGTGGAATCAACCTCTTTGGGCTGCATAAGACTGCGGATGGTTGGAAGATTTCTGGAATTGCAGATACCCAGTTTCCTGAAGGCCCGGAGGGCTCTCCTGTCCTGCAAACGGTCAGCCCCGAGGTTATGAAACCAATCGATTACTTTTTGGATAATATGACTAAGGGCGAGTGGGAACAAATACCCTCCGTTTTAGTGATGGATAGCGGTATCACAAACTCTAGAAGAAACGACAACATGTTGAAAACCTCGAAGTGGGCCGAACTGCTGGTGATTCTGAAAGGAATCATGGATAAGGCACCACCAGGAATTCGCGAACTCTTGTTTGACGTCGAAACTCGAATCTGCGGAGACTTTGCTTTTGCGTGGACGCCATTTGTGATTGACATAAACGGCCAGACGGTCAATAAGGGCGTCAACATTTTCACGCTGGTAAAGAAAGACGGAGAATGGATTATTTCTGGGTGCCAAGATACGAGCATGCCAGCACAATAAGTTACCGATGACTTTTCAAGCTAGTCATTATACAGACAGGCAATACAAGCTCCTAAACTTAGTCCAAGAATCTCGAAACCTAGAAGATCTGTATAAACTGTTACAATATATGCAACATTACTAAAATCATGCCACCCTTACTGTCATCTAGGTATTCTCTGGAAAGAGCAACTTACACGTACTCGAAAGCGGTGTCAGCACATACACGCATCTTGATCCGTGTAATTACATAACTCTGCTGAATTCGCAACATCCCTTCTTTCTTGTATCTATCTACATTACAAATCTAGGGATGTAACCGAGCATTTCATCATAAATCTTCGGTGCCAAGGTGCCTATCGCATCTTATATCCCTTCAAGTTTTAGTAAGACGCCTTAGAAATATGAAAAGGATCATCCACTCTGATCCTCTTGCTTCGAAGCTCAAGGGTGGTGGAGTCAAACTGGGTCATGGACACTTCATAAAGGAGGGGGACCACAGAGCTAATAAAGGAGCCCCTAGGGACACAGTGGCATCCGATCAAAACATGTTTTAAGATCCCGAGGTAAAATGGGGAGTTCGAGGGTTATTAACATCAGTAGTCTCCCATTGCACGTCCAGGGCAACATTCAAAGCTTGGTGTGTGTCGTGGCTGAACAGGCAGGGGATATTATCAAGGTGGATTGGAGGCTTTCCTAACTGTCTACAATAATATATTCTTGGAACAAACGTCATGGGCACAGTTTTAAGCTAAACCAACTCGTAAATATAAGCCAATAACTATTAGGCACTCCCTATTGGTTTACTTGTACGAGACAATGATATTTCGGTAACATTCGGCTATCGGCTGTGGATCCATCGGTGTTGATTCAATGTAAGAATACGTAATTGTTATGAACGCGCTACACCCAGTAAAAATGAATCCAAACATCCATGGATTGTTTTTTATATCTCGCGGTTATAGATCTGGCTTGGGCTACCCAGAAGCGCTAGATTTCTTATGCCGGGGGCGATGGCGGGTGGAGTCTTCGAGATCCTATTGCAAAAGTTCTCAAGAAAAGCTCGTAAGCACTGCCATACCATTCAGTAGCCCTATGCATACTTTACTCCGTATTAGGGGTTCAATGATTCATGACGTCTCTGATATTTGTCTAATATTATTTGTAAAAATACACATTTACCGCTACCCTGGATCGAGCTTTACCCAAAATCAGGGGCACGGGGCACGGGGTACAAGGTTTGATGAAGCAGGTAACATGGCGTGATGACTTATTGTTTGAGGAATAAACACAAGTCTTAAAAGGGATTAAATCGTTTAGAGCAGACAGTATAGGCAGTGTTTCATGCTCGGCTCGACCTGCAAGGAGTGGAAAAACTTTGCCCAACTGCTTCGCAATTTTTCGTAATCCTTGTCAGAAAACGAATTAACCGAGGACTAAACAGATCGAGGAACACACGAAGCTTAGCACGGCCTTATAATCTCCTCCCGTCCTGTCATCTTTACGGATGGCTCGATTCCCGCTAGATCGTAATACGATGGATGCTCGGTGGAATGTCCGTAAGATTGCTGGCCACATGTCGGCCTGGGCCTAGATGGACGCTTAGTGAACCCACGACTTCCCCGATTTAATTGAGGCTAAAGCAAAGCACTGTCAAAGACCAGGGATTGCTAGAGGACCAGGGGTATAGTAGAAAGGAGAGATATTTTGTCTCGTCTAAGATCCGGACATGCTATTTTTCACCTCAAATCGTCGTATAGTACTAACTCATTAGTGGAGGATCATTTGCTTGCGCCAAATAGGCTTTCAAAGCTTTCAAAACGCACAGCATCGAAAGTAGCATATCTAAGCGAAATAGTACTGTCAATGGCTCAATATGGATAATCAACTACGAGTAGGCTAATGAATGTAAGCTGTGGTAAGTGGCTTGCGGAGAAAAGGAACTCACAGCTAAAGTCCAATCCCAGCTCTCCACGGTCCTTATCAATCGCCAAGACATTCCAGATAGAGTTGGTGTGTTGCATCTTTGCTGGCTATGCAGCAACCCTCAGTGGTCAGACAGATACCCATCTGCTGCGTATATGACATGGGTGGAAGGCCAAGACTCTTCCAGAATGTCCGCCTGCTTGGCCTTTACGAATTCCCAATTTCAGGCGGTCTTCTATGGTGCATTTGACGCTTCTACTGGTGGCAAAATTTGTAAGCTTAAATACTGAAAAGGAATAATGTCGTCTTGGCCAAAATAGTCGGCGATCTTGGCGATAACCAACTGTCATACTTGTTAGTATTCGCTTGGTGAAAGCGGACCCCGCCAAGCTACTCCTGAGGGAACAAGCTCTAAGAAGATCATCCGTGCATATTGGCCGAGGAAACCGTTAATATAAGCAAAACTTGATCTGCACTCATCATTCCATTAGGAAGGAAACCTCGTGGGTTTGTACGCTTACGCCAGATGCTATGGAGTAACGGAAATACGAATCCAAAAACAGAAGGTACCGGGTGTCATGGCCGGCCATTAAACAATTTGCCGTTGAACCAGTCTGTCATAATGCCGTTTACTAGTATGTAGCAGATCAATACATGTCAAGTTTCATTAATTATCAAAGTCTATACGAGGAATATCAAATGCCGGATGAATATGGTGCTCATGAAAGCCTGTAATTTTGGTATCTGTTGTAAAATTGTAAAACAACTGGAAGTCATGAATATGTAAAACATCAAATGTCAGCCGAGTCGCTAAGCCTTAATGCAAAAGACCTTCCTACTTAAGTCCTTGGTGGCATGTGTGCACCCTTGTAAATATTGATCCTCCGTAGACTATTTACCCTTGCATGTCAGTACGAATACAAGAGCAATTATTATGAAATGTTTTTTTCGGGGTTCCGAGTTTTCACGTGTAAACGAGACAGCGTCGAGTCGTGCATAGGTGTTCATATTTATGTAACCAATACTGAAGGGTCTTTGGGTATAAAACAGTTCTTGTCTCATCTGTAGTCGTGGTGATTTAGCTTCTAATCATTTGTTCGCCATTTGCCCGGCAGAAAATATGGTAGACTTGCCTTACATTGAAAACCCACCACGCAAACGCCGGAGACCAGCTGTAGCGTAAGAATGTTTCAACACACACGCGCACCTTATTCACGCAACTGACAGAATTAGTTGCGTTGAATGCCGCCGACGGAAGGTCAAGTGTGACCGTGCTAAGCCTTGTGGCCCCTGTTATCAATCCGCCCTGACATGCTTTTATCGTCCACCGTCCTTCTCGCAAAGCGGCCCAACTCCAGCGCCCGCCCCTCCGGCGCCGGCTCAACAATTCCTTCACAACTCGTTCCAGGGTGCCAACTTGACAGGATCTGTTGGCCTACCTATAGATCAGAGGACCTCCCCGAGCTCTGGATTTAGTGAAGAATCGAGGCCAAAGAGCGCTATTCTAGTCGATACGCACCGGTCATCATCGAGTGTGGGAACTCAGAACCCATCGAACATATTGACAAGCAGTGACCCCAACTTCAGTAGCCCCGATCTCCTCTTTTTGGACGCCCAGCAAGATGATAGCCAGCGTTTCATTGCAGTATCCCCGCCAGCAGACTCGCCTGCGACAGGTTGCACGAAACACTTCAAAGAGCATACAATTACCGGCGTATGTTGACAATTCTAGACCGGGTATCCAGTTTGCTAACGTCTTAAAGCTCGACCGGTTGGGACTATTCAGCTCCATGAACGATCAGATGACTGATTCAACTGGAGAATTCGCAGAAGTCCGGGGTATGCTCGAGAAGTGTTACCACTATGCACGTAGCATCCAATCTATGCGCTCATCCAAGCGAGCACGACTTTCTTCACTTATAGATGGACCTATCAAGTTGCCCCGACGCAGCACTTGTGACAAACTCGTGCAAAACTATCTCCGCACATTTGAGTCTACGATTCGTATACTTCATATTCCTTCCTTCAAAGCAGAATATGAGTCGTACTGGATCAACCCTTGGGGAACTTCGGATGTGTTTTTGCGCAAGCTGATCCTGGTCCTGGCCATTGGAACTTGTTTTATCGGCTACAACGACGCGTACGATCCGCAGCTCCGGTCTATGGCTTCGACATGGACATACGATGCTCAGGCATGGTTGATGAGGGCTTTTGACGTACGGGGAGTAGACCTGGATATGCTGGAAGTATCTTGTTTATTGATCACTGCACGGAAAACAGATTTGGTAACTTCACAGCTGGACTGGATTTCGGTGGACTTTCCGCTGAGAATGGCGTTGAGACTACAGCTGCATAAGGAACCTAGCATTCATTTCCCTCACCTTTCGCAACTCGAAGCCGAGAGAAGGAGGCGACTATGGGCCGCCGTGTTGGAGAACTGTTTGCAATCGTCGCTCGATTCGGGCATTCCGATGTCGATTTCGGGCGACGCATATGATTGTCTACCGCCGGGCAATTTTAACGATGTCGATCTCCACGAGGAGGGTCATCTAGAGCCCGCAACTGAAACGAGCGGCTTCACTGAAAGTACAATGTCGATTTTTTTGATGAAGACGATACGTTTAAGGATGCGTATTGCGCAGTTTCTGAGTAGCTTGCAGCCGGAACTGAGTTATCATGAGGCACTGAAGCTTAGCGCTGACCTTGAGGCTATGTGCCGATCCCAGGAGAAGGACCTCCAGGTCTTTACGACAGGAGCCGCGCCAGGTAGCGCAGTGCCGTCTGACTTTCAGAAGAAACTACACAGCAGTCTTATTCGGCGTTGCCTTTTGGCTCTACACGGAAGTTTTGCTTCCAAAGCGAAATTTGACCCCTTGTTTTATTTTTCGCATAAAGCCGCAACCGAAACTTCTCTGTTTCTGCTCAAATACTTGTTATCAAGCCAGCAAAATAGTCACGCCATGCCAGAGGATGACTTTTCTTTACTCATTATATCTGGATCCAGCATCATTATTAGCTTCTTATGGGAGGCAACGGCTCATGTCTGTGCTGATGTTATCAATAACATCACGGAGAGCCCGTTTCCACTTATCAGCAGTCTCTCACGAAGTGAATTGACTCAAACTATCCAATGTGCTATTGATACCGCAAGGAGCTGTCTTCGAGCTGGCGACACAGCGGTGGAACCCTTGGTGTTATTTTCCTGTTCACTAGCACATATAAAATCTGTTTCAGAGGAAAAGCCTATTGATAAGAGCATCATGGAGGCAGCTAGGAATAGTTTATTGTTCTGTTATAAGGTTTTAGAATCCGGATATAGAGAGGAAGGGCATGACAATCGCCTTGACATCTCCATCGGTCGTCATGGGCTCGAGTTTCCAGATTACGATAGTGGAACCGACCTGTGGGATACTGTAGTTAATGCGCCCATTATGCTATTTGAATGAGCCCACGACTACGCGAACATATAGAATCAGATATTTTCTAGATTCGTCAAAAAAAGTTTGATCGCATTTACTTGTTGAATTCACTCATGATACGCAATATTTATCTTAATCTAAGCCGGTGTGTGAACTCGCATTTACCTAGATATGTAGCACTTGGCTACATTGAACCCCGGCTACCGCAGGCTAATCACCTTCGAAGCCTGACCTCCAGCAAGCTAGCCTGCTCTGAAATATCTGAAGCGCCCTCAAAATCCGTGGGATTCCAGACCTTTACAAGTTCCAACTGAGCTTTGTTGAAGAGGTCTGCGAATTGCTTCTCTGTGCGCTCCAGAGACCCAAATGAGACCATCATGATTAAATCGGCAGTTGCAGAGGAGAGGGAGGCATTGGACTCTGGAATGACTGTTTCGTTGATAAGCAGAATTGATTCCGGTGTCATAGCTTCTCTGACTCTTTCCAGGATTTGAACAGCCTGCTTGTCAGGCCAATCATGAAGCACGGTTCGTAGATAGTAGCTCTTGGCGCCCTTGACAGGCTGCTCTTTGAAGAAGTCATAGCCTTGAGCCTCAATCCCTGCCGTCAGCTCCTTGATATCATCAATCACTACTGGAAGATCCTGCAGAATGAGCTTTCCAGACAGATTGGGGTATGCTTTCTGGAACGCAGTGATATCTCCACCTTGGCTTCCGCCAACATCGACAAGCAGAGTTTGATCGGGGCTGACACCTCCAAGCTTCTCTTCGACTGGGAAGAAGGTAAACCAGTTGCGGCCTTTTCTGCGATGAGAGATTGTCATGACAGTGTTGAAAGCTTTTTGGTAATAGGGTTTGGAGCCCAGAAATTCGAAGTAGTTGTCCTTGGTACGAATGGCAAATTGAAAGGGGCCGTCGTAAACATCGTGTGGGCTTTTCCACCCTTTCTCCGCAAAATACTCAGGGAGTTGTGACGCAATGACGAGAAAATGGGTGCTGTAAACGCAAAGTTTAGCATGTCTTTGATCTGGTGAGCAGTTGAGTATACTTACATGTGGATAACGGCTGCTGAAAGAGGCGATGATGAAACATAGGAAGCGGAGAGCGGTGTTGCTACGAATCGACCGGGCTCTGGCTCTTTAAAAACATTCATCGCAGTCAAAAATCGGACAAAGCGTGCTATGAAATATTAGTTCTGATGGCCCATTGAATGCACAGAGGATTGTGTGTTCACTTACTAACTAACAGCTCATCAACGCCTGTGACTTTCGCCAGCTGTTTGACGGTGATGTTGTCTTGAGGTTGCTTCGCAGCAGCATCGAATAGTCCAGAGTCAACTGCAAGGCGAATGGCGATGGCTTGATGACCCTATGTAACTGTCAGTTTCATTGCCTGTAAATTACCGTTTTACGACAAACATACTGAGAAAACGACTCTTATCGTTGTTTCAAATGGAGTTTCATATGAGGCCCTCAGTTTATCAACCGCCGCCAACAGTTGCTTCCTTTCGCCGTCGTCAACACCAGATGCACCCTGCTGAGCGGCCGCATTGACCTGAGCGATTAGCTCTTTCACGTTGACGTTGGCCATTTCTGTATCACCAAGGCAAATGATAACTTGGAATAAAAAAGAACCTAGCAAAAGACTGTAACTAAGAAGTTTCTTGCAATACACTACTTAATGCGCCTTCAATACTAGATAAAGAATTCCTGTCGAAATCCCCTACTTCTGTAACTTCCGAGCCGCCTCTGCTTTTGGTAGCAGTAGCACTTAATCTCCGGCATCATCATCGACTGCTTGGCTACGGAGAGAGCAAGTTGCGTAGTAGTCCGTTGATTCCCGAGCACAGGCTGATCAACCGGGAATTCCAAGGATGGCCGAGACATGGACATTTCACTGCCGGCATTTTCACTGCTACTCCGGGATGTATACTAGGCCGAACCAGGTATACTACTAGATGTCTACTCCGTAGGTGCGAAGTAAGATTAAAGTACTAAAGAATTATACATGTATAAGTACCTAGGTAGGCAGGTACTATGAAGAGTATTAGCTAAAAGAAAGTAAACGCAATGTGTAATTGCATCAACGATTAAATTATAATTACTTGTAATTAGAATCCATATTACCAGGTATTGTATTCTCTACATCAAATCACGGAATCGGTAGACCCTAAGCAGGGATCCTTGTCATGCGTTGTCAGATGTCCCTGGAGAATCCTTCGGGGATAAGCGTGGACAACTGGGGAAAGAAAAAGTCAGCCCGGGCCACCGATGTGCATGCCAAGCGCAGGTTGATCCAGTATCCCATTGGTGGAATAACAGTGTGGATTGTGAATATGTGCGCATGTTTCTTAGCATTGCTGAGACGCAGGCACTGATCCACGGCCATTACGTACAGTATGAAAGTTGAAGGAAGTGTTCTAGACGGCGAAACCAGACGAGTTACGGACTACTCGATGTGGATTGGCGCCTTAATATAGGATAACTATTGATTTAAAGCTGACATCCAAGTTAGAAAAGTCGAAAAAATCAAGGACAAAGTCGTCTGATTTACCAAAAGTACGTCAGATCATTATGTTGAATATCCCGTACTTCGCCCTTGGCTCGGGATATTGTGCCCCAGTGAGCATCTTTTAGGCGGACTGGTTTAGAGCGAAACATACGGTTAGAAATCTAGCCTAGGAGTCTATAGACAGAATGATATGAGCCACCAGATTGTTATAAGAGCTGCAAGGGAATGCAATATTCACTAGTGTATTCATTACTAAGGACTTGGTATTACTTAGCTATTGACCTTGGACTGTAGAAATTGACTTCTTCGCTAAAGCGGGAAACTCGACTTCATTAAAATGGCTGTTCCATCGGAAAATGCTTCATCTCCGAAGCAAGTTCACATCTTGATCATTGGTGCAGGCCTCACAGGTCTTATTCTAGCTCAAGCTATACGAAACTTCAATCAATCTGAAAAGAGCGCTCAATCAGGAGTCAAGTACAGCTACTCCATATTTGAGCGAGACGACCGTGCGTTCGCACGTGGCGGTGGATGGAGTCTGACGATTCACTGGGCCCTGACGGATCTGCGGAACGTTCTCCCGCGTGATATCATATCTCGTTTCGAGGACTGCTTGGTCAACCCTGAGGCTGCGGAGAAGGGAATACCTGGTAATTTCCAATATCTAAACCTCAAGACCGGGGCAAGGCAGGAGGCATGGCCAATCCCACTTGGTGCGGCTTCAAGAGTCTCAAGAGAGAAATTGTTAGCCCTTTTAATGGAGGGACTTGATATCAAGGTATGGCGTATGTCTTTTGTGATTGAGTGTTAATTTTAATGTCTTGTCAGTGGTCGAAAGCGTTGGACACTATCAGCTACCCTTCATCAACGACAGTTACAGCCCAGTTTACCGACGGAACCAGCGAAACAGGCAACCTGATAGTTGGCTGCGATGGGTCTAGATCCGCAGTTAGACGCAACCTTTGCCCGACTACGTATCAAAATAACCGACTTCCAGTCCGCCTAATAGGCATGCGGGTTGAGTTTCCCGTTGAAAGGGTCCAAGTTTGCAAGGAGATTGACGTACACTTCTTTCAAGGTGGCGATCCCGCGACCAATGTCTACTTTTGGTTCTCCTTTATCCACCTGCCACGACCATCAGATGATCTCAAAGTTGCTACATGCCAGATTATGCTAAGTTGGCCATATAGAGCCGGCTTTCTGGGCCGAGCCGAGCCAACAGACATGCCGGCTACAAACCAGCAGCGCCTGGCATGGCTTCGATCATTGGCTAGTGATTGGGCAGAGCCGTTCCGCGGGATCGCCAACGACATTCCGGAGGAGACGGAACTCCGGGAAATTGTGCTAGAGGACTGGCCGCCCCAAGCAAACGGCTGGGATAACCACAATGGAACGGTAACTCTCGTGGGAGATGCTGCCCACGGCATGACTATGTTTCGAGGCGAAGCGGCGAATCATGGCGTGATTGATGTGTCAGTCCTGACCAAGCTTTTATTCAGCGACAATGTCTGTCAGCAAAAGGACAATGCGTTGAGTTTAGCCGTCCAGGCTTATGAAGACGAAATGATTGGGCGAACTCGCCCTGCGGTTCTCAAATCCAGACAGGCATGCATCGATGCAAACAACTACGAGTCTGTAAACGCGGAAAGCCCATTGATTGCGAAGAGAGTTGTGAGGGATTAAGTTGTATTATGAATATCAAAAACTTGCGTGCTGAGATGTGTGATAGCTGAGCCTGTTTAAAGGGAAACCGTTGGCAGGTTTCATGTAGGGGCTATAGAGGCTTTAGGGATCTTGATAGTAACAGACTATTTTTTTTTTTTACTTCTGCGCCAGTTTCACTCTAGTTGCATGTGCTCATCTCCTTTGCCAAGGCCTTAATAGGATGATCATATGTTTATTTGTAAAAATCAACGGATTTCATTACCAGATAAGATGAAGTAATAACCTTTGATAATAATAGATTCTATAACACGAGATTCAATCTATGTGCATATTGTTTGGGAAATGGTATCAGTAAATTCAAGACTCTGTTTGGGTACAGTGTCCTAGTTATTTCACTAGCTGCCTCTTCATTATTAGAAAAGAATCCATTGAAATGTAAGAGTGACCCGTGCTGTCCTTGAAAGAATTTGGTCTATTGCTTTTCTTGATCTTTTCTTGGTTCACATGTAGAATAAACTACTGATAATCAATCCTCCACGTCCCACCCTAAATAACCGCCAAGATACAAAAGGGATTCGGTAGATCCATGCAACTCTTATTTCCTTTTCTCTAGACTCAGTAAGCTCAATTTTGAGTGAAAGTAATTGCAGCTGGTGTCGCTGCCAGAATTTCATCTTTTGGAGCCTCTAAGAATAATTTCTTCAAAACAACAATGACAGTCAGCTTGAAAGTAATATCGGCGACGTGCTTTCCTAGGCATCTGCCAGAAGCACCACCAGCACCAAACTTCATGAATCCGTATCGACATTTACTTTGGCTGATCTCCTTGAACCGCTCTGGCCGGAAGTCGTGACCATCAACACCCCATGTAACTGCCTCTTTGTTGAGTCTTCCTGAATCAATCACGACAGCTGTGTTTGCTGGTACTTGATATCCTCCAATATTCTTTGCCACAGCTGTGCACTCAGGAAGGGAAAACCCTATAATAGTTGGTTAGTTGGAAGATCAGTGAGTTATCAAAGTCGCTTGAACTCACAGAATGCAGGCGTATGTCTCATGCTCTCCATGACCAGAAAATTGAGCAAAGAATCCGTTTTCGCGACATACTTGGCCAGATCGGAATCTTTGGCACCTGTTTGAGAAATGATTTCTGATCGTAACGACTGTTGAAATGCTTGGTCTTCCGCCAAGCGTGTGAATAGCGTTTTCAGAACAGCAGCACTGATTTCGACATTGGTGTATAGAATTTCATCCACGGTGTGTAGGAACTGGGATATGTGAGCAATTAGGCTTGGGTATGTGGGTTTGCACATACCTCTAGTTCATCCAACTCATTGTGTTGATCAACTCCACGGTAAATTCGCTCAAGGGGGCAATCGAGGTTTTGCTGTTCATTACTTTATGAGTGAGTGATAGAAGATAGATAAGACGATACGTACCTGTCTAGCCAGTGCAACCGCATCCAGGTTAAACTTCTTCCATTTTCGATTATACTCATCCATACGTTTGGACGCTTTGCTTGGCAATAGGTTCCAGAATTTTGAAGTTAGACGCTGATTTAGCAATACATCATGCAAAATTTCCTCATGCAATGAGTTCATCTCAAGTAAACTTGAGAAGAACTAATCAAAGCGGTGCGTCAGTATTGTATTAGAATTGAGAAGCTGTTGTAGCTCTTAAATCAGTGAACTAACCTCTTCGTTGAAAACCTGGCCATATAACTGCTGAGACACAATTTTGAAAGGCAAAAATTTGCCGACACTCTGCACATCAGTAGTAAATGATTTGCTCGCTGCTGGCTTCGATGATGTAGTTGAGTGTTGGGCGAGCTGGTCGGCCCATTGATTCACGAGATCAAGAGTTCGTGGCATAGCCTCAACGGTGACTCGAAAGGCAAACTCGGGGTCGAAATATTTTCGGATTATTTTCCAACGCTCTCCTGCTTGAACACCGACAGCATGGCCCAAAATTCTTGACGAAAACAAAATTAGCAAACACAGCTTCAATACCTCGTACCGAAGCAAGCTTACCTCCCAAAATATGCGCCCATATTGAGGTTGGCTGGCTTTGGGTGATCTGATGACCAAATTAGTTGTAGCTAACACGCTGGTAGAAAGCCTCCTACGTTGAGTGTCATTCTTGTAAAAGTCTTTCAAGTGATCCGGTTGCGTAATGACAAGCTCCCTGGACTGGCCATTGTGAATCATGTATGGTGCATCACCGGCCAATTCTCTACCCTGCCTAGACAACTCTGCGCTGTAAAAAACATAGTTTAGCTTAACGTACACTTTTGGTCTCGACGGTTCTACAATAGAAAGAGTTCTCATACCTGAGCGCAAACTTCATCACGCGAGCATTGGCCTTGAGTTCTTTGATCGGTTTGCCATCTTTATCTCTAATTACACTGGGCTATAAACGAGTAAGTAGTCATTCTCTCAGCTAAGCTTATGTGTAACATACTCGTCGAAGAAAAATGAAATGTACAATAGATGCAAAAATAATAAGAAATATGCTCGACGAATATTTTTGTTCAGTGAAAAGACCAGCGACATCGAGGCCTTGGGCCCAAGTGGCGTTTACCATGGTCGCTCAAGCATCAAGCGAATCAAGCAAACCTGAAACGCAAAGGGATTGTTCTCCTGGGACAGCAAAAGGCAGCAAGTTGGAGAAAATACCTAGAAATTGTAACATGAACCTCATCCGGGGTTAATGATTACCCCAGCTCGTCGAATTTTCCGTGATTCAGGCCTGTCTTACACATGGGCCAGGGTCAATTCCCGGACCCTGCAAGGGCGAAGCAGCCCACATGGCAAATTCCCGTCCAGGCCGTGTTAGAGCCGCCGAATGACATACAGCAAGCGGTCATCAATAGTTGTATCGATAAATACATGCTTTAAAATGGAACTGGAAATGGAAATGGAAGATGTTAGTTGTTAGTTAGCAGGCGTTCAAGAGTGTCACAAGGTTAACAATGACTGTTTCCATTCCGGCCAGTCAGCGAGCACTAAAGGTTACCGGCGCTGGACAATTCCAGGTGTCATTGGCCAATGCAATCCCCACGGTCGCTGATGATGAAGTTTTGGTGAAAGTCGTGGCAGTGGCTATCAATCCTATAGATGGGAAATCGGCAGAGCTCTCGCCCACAGCAGGGGCAACGTCAGGATGCGATTTTGCTGGCTCCGTGGTGCAACTTGGAAGCAACATCACCAAGGCGCTGAAGTTGGGAGACAGAGTCTGCGCTTGTATCTTTGGCAATAACCCAGAGCGCCAGGACAATGGGGCATTCTCGGAGTTTGTCGCCGTGCCAGCTGACCTGGTGTTAAAGATTCCTGATTCAATGTCTTACCAAACAGCGGCGACTCTTGGAGTGGCTGTTGCAACTGTAGGAATGGCGCTTTACAACTCTCTCAAATTGCCAACACCTTCATCTCCGAAGAGTGAATCTAGATATTTTCTGGTATACGGAGCGAGTACCGCAATGGGAACCATGGCTATCCAGATGGCCGTGATGTAAGTGCCCTCACATATTGCTTCACCGCGACACACTCTAACGCCAAATTCAAGGTCCGGGTTCTCGCCTATAGCCATATGTTCTCCTCGGAACTACGATCTAGTCAAATCGATCGGAGCAGTCGCTACTTTTGACTATCATTCACCCTCGTGCGGCAGCGAAATCCGTGATTTCACAAACAACACGCTGGTGTACGCTCTCGATTGCATCGCCGACACAGCATCAATGGCCATTTGCTACAAGGCTATTGGATCTGCAGGCGGACACTATCTGAGCTTGGATCCATTCCCTATCCGTTGCCACACTCGAAGGAGCATCAAGCCAAACTGGATAAGCACGTTGACCATGTTTAACCAGGCAGTTAATTGGCAAATTGGGTATCGCAAGGAAGCGAAACCAAAGGATCGGGCGTTTGGACATGAATGGTTTAAAACAGCACAGGAGCTACTAGACAATGATCAAATCAAGCCTCATCCATTTAGGGAGATGACTGGCGGGCTTGATAGAATTGTCGATGGAATAGCACAAGTACGCAAGGCAGAAGTTTCGGCGATGAAGCTGGTTTACACAATTTGAATTTAAGACGAAGATTTCGAGTAATATCCTATAAATTGAGAACGATTAATCGCCTACTTGATCTACGAAGAAGTTATGAGCCTTGGTTTAATCATGGCACTCTCAATGTATACTCATCTACGCAATAACTCGTATCTTGGTCAACCTTTGTATCTGCTATTGGTCATTCGATCTGGCAAATCACGAAATAACCATCAGGGTAGTTGAGCCGCGGATCATCATCCGGAAAGAGAAGATTTGGTAGGACATGACAGAGAACCTATGACACTAAAAATTGTAGGTGCAGTATGGGTAGGTAGTATTCTTCAAAGTCCAGAATGGTTTAATAGACCAACGTAATCGAGATATACAGAGCAGGGGTGTAGTTCAGGTCCGGGTGCCTGGTAAAACCCCGTCCGTAGGCCGTCCCCGGGACGGGAAATTCAGATCCTTCTCCACAACTCCTCTGCTTAAACGCGATAAAGTCTGGGGTTACTCATCAGCCCATTGACGAACTTGCGAGCTAGATCTCTATCGATACAAGATCAAGATGGCCATCGAAACTCTTCCTCCTGATACCGTTCTTGTCGTTGGAGGCGGACCCGTGGGGTTGCTGCTGGTGAAAACATTGGCCCATCATGGAGTCAAAAGCGTGTTGCTTGAGCGACACTACACAACAACTACCTGGCCAAAAATGGACCTCACCAATTCTCGTTCCATGGAAATTTTCCGAAGCCTAGGTATGGCAGAAGAGCTTCGAAAGTTGGCCGTACCTGCGAAATTTTCGTTCACCTGTCTCTTCTCTACGGGCCTCAACGACGAGAAGGCGGCGTCATCATGGGATCTGCCCAGTGCAGAGAAGCTGAACGAGCAGATTCTAACTCAAAATGATGGATCACTTCCCTTGGAACCCTGGATGCGCATTTCACAGGTGATTTTTGAGTCATGGTTGAAGAACGTGTGCGTTCAAGATCCGCTGGTGGACATTCGCTCTGGCTGGAAAGCAACAAGCGCCAAAGAAAATGACAGTGGTGCCGAAGTGACAGCCATTGACGCAAAAACGGGCGAAGAAACGACATTTCGTAGCAGATATGCAGTTGGGTGTGACGGCGCGAATAGCATCGTACGGGAAAGCTTGGGAATCAGTCTCGATGGCGGGCCTCTGTAAGTGATCAAGACCTCAAGATCTGATCCAAGGCACTAATCACTTCATACTTGTAGTCCTGGCCGCGCTCTTTTGGTTCATTTCAAATCTCGCGATTTGACTCGTCTACAGAAACAGGGGCAGTTTTGGCACATCTTCTTCCCGAAGACGGTAGAGGAAGGTGGTTCGATGAAAGGCGCCATCATTGCGCAAGATGAGATCGACACTTGGACAATTCATAGATTTCTTTCCGCCGACTTTGACGACTCTCAACTCTCCTCTGAAGATGCAGTTTACAGCACTCTCGGTGGTGCTGGTGAGCCATTTCCAATCAAGATCGATGAAGTGCTTGTACGATCAACGTGGAATCCCAGCGTAGCAATTGCTCAGGGTTTCATGGGTCCAAAGCAACGGATTTTCCTGGCCGGAGACGCTTGCCACCAAATGCCTCCCACGGGAGGTTATGGCATGAATACAGGCATTGCTGAAGCATTTGATCTCGGCTGGAAGCTCGCTGCGGCTGTTAACGGCTGGGCTGGTCAACGGCTTCTCACTACCTACGAGCAAGAACGCCGTACCGTCGCACTGCTAGCATTACAAACTGCCAAAGGCCATATCGGAAGATTAATGGCAATGCCAAAGGCAGTCGAATTGTCCAGTAAATCGCTTCAAGCCGGCGGAGAAGAAGCACGCGCCATGCTTGATCGCGTTCACGAATATGTTCAAGCAAACGACGCTCACAACAAGAGTCTGGGGGTAGAGCTGGGTTACAGATACACCTCAAGTATCTGTTTGCCAGATCAACCACAAGATGAGCTTCCACCACCTCCAGAATTTGATCCAAGGCATTATATACCCACAACTGCCTCTGGCTACCGAGCGCCCCACGTGTTTCTTCAAGACAACATACCAATTTTCGATCAGTACGGTAAAGGGTTTACCCTGATTGCATTCAAAAACAGCCAGCAGCATCTACAAACGATTGATTCGTTTAAACAATCTGCCGAGCGACTCAAGGTTCCGCTTCGCATCTCATCGCTCGATGGAGAGACAACAGCGCATAGCATCTGGTCAGCAGATATTGTTCTGGTGCGCCCCGATGGATTTGTTTCTTGGCGCGGAAATTCGCTGGAGAATCTTGATACCGCTTATGAAGTTATCTTGAAAGCTATAGGGCATGATTAAGATATGGCGATGGGTTAGCATTTGCTATAGGCTTTTTGTAGGGTAGTTGTGGGAAACTGGTAACACTGTAGGCAAATCTCTTGAAGTATCCGGGTTATGAGAGCTTCCTATAAATCTTGAAGTGATATGGTGTTAATGGAGCTAGACTTATTGCCCTGATCATTTCTCAAGTTTTACTACAATAGTCTTGCCTTTTCTTTTGTCATCGTCTTTAACGTCTCTGGCCGGCATCACCACTTGCTCCTGTAGCTCACCCAGCTAATCAATCTCACAAAGCTGCACGAACAACACATTCATTTCTAGATAAATCTTTGTCATGATAAAAACATTGATCTTTCCCTAGGGATTTGGAATTTGCAATGTATGAAATTTGATCTCAGAGACACGCTAACATATGCGCCGAATAGATAAATTTACGCTCGTAAGGTTACATTGTCATTTGCTACACCTTCAACTATATGCTCAAGCCCTGTAAAGAGCAATCTTCACCCCCGTCTTGCTCGATGGGCCGACTCGCATTACTCCAACATAAGGGCTCGGGTCGCGAGATTCAATTCTAGCATACCTCCGTGCTATCCGTGCAATCACATAACTGGCCTCGGCTGTGACCAACATTTGTGCTGGGCATCTTCGAGGGCCTCCGCCGAATGGAACAAAGTTCCACATGGGACGCAACTCTCGCCATCGATCAGGGTTGAATTCCAGCACATCATCGCCCCAGATCTCGGGATCTCTGTGGAGCACGTTCTTGTTGACTTGCACGACATCACCTTTGCGGACGTAAATTGGCTGTTTCCCGTCTGGACCGCCTCCTGTGGGCAGAACTGTATCTTCGAGACATTTGCGAACCTAAGTACATACAAATATTAGCGTTTGCAATCTGTGAGATTGAATCATGAGTTGACTTACCTGTGTTACGCCATTGGGGTACAGTCGGTGTGCTTCTCAACATTAGCTCCCACCTTGCACAATCTCGTGCTGACCATTCAGTGACTCACTTTCATTGAGAATACCGTTCAGATACTTCATTCCTCTCAGCGCCTCAAACGTCAATTCTCCATCTCCATAAGCGAGGACCTCTTCACGACATTTCGCATAAATGTCTGGGTGGCGTGCCAAGTTCCAGATAATGTGGCTAATGAAAATCGATGTAGTGTCGTTATTGGGAACAAAGATCAAGCACATCTGCGAACGGAGCTCCTCTCGGTCCTTGAGATTGCGAGCCATCCACCAGAGCAAGTCTGTGCGCTCATCCTTGATATCCACGCCTTTGGATTTGAGTTCGTCAATCTGTTCCATCTCCTGATAAGTGCGGGTGATGTGGCTATCGACATATTTGTGTACGACTGAAACAGAATCCAGCCAATTCTGGTGTTTGAAAAGGAACAGATACTTGTACCATTGCAAGCGGAGACGCAATCCTCTCAAGACATCGACCATGGCCCAGCAAATTTGAGCGCGGTCTGGATAGACCAATGAATCGAGCGACTCTCCGAAAAGAAGAAAAGTTACGACGTCTAGGAACTGTTATCGGTTAGTATTTTCGCATTTGCGTGCATGGCGTTTATACTGACCCATCGTTGGATTAGAGGCTGGACATCAACAGTCACACCGTCTTCTTCAGGGAGAAGCGAAAAGAGGCGATCGACGTGCTTTTCTAGTCTCTTCGTGTCGGTGTATTTCTCTCGCATAAAAAACGGCTTAATCAAGAACCGGGCAAACTCCCATTCCTTTCCATCCACAGTATTCACGCCAATATCGGCAAACGGGTGCGTCGCCTTGTTGTTCCGTCGCATCGGGCCCACGCCAAAGCTCTTCCATGTGAAAGCCGACATGCTCTTCATGTTCTCCGGCTCGATGGTCCAAATAAAGCGAGTGCCAACAAAGTTGACGAGAAACGTCTTTGGCCGGTTCTTGTGCACCCAGTTGAGCCAATCCAGGAAGTAATGGTTCTTCAGGGACTTGGCCATTCCGAGCACGACATCGAGACCAAAGAAGGGATCCCAATGAGGATAGCTGGGGATCTCTCCACATTGCTTCGCTCTTCTCTTCCGGTCCCATTGAATTTTCTCGACGATGCCTCTGAACAACCAAAAGGCGACTGCTCCAATGAGCAGATTAACTGGCCACGATTGCAGAGCCATTGTTATTGGCCGTTACACACTGTCGTAGCAGGGTGTAGTCAAACCGGCAAAAATGTCAACCATTTGGAATAAATCAGAGGATCAATTGATTCTGATTTTATGGCTATGCATCAGGTATTTTGACAATACCTGACTGATGGTCATCCAATCAGCAACAACTCCGGGCACGGCTAATCGCCCGGGGATTTCAGGAAAATAGCTGTCCAAATCCAGAAGTTGCTAATACTTTCACGCAGCTTATCTCCGTCCCGGGATATTACTTACGATCGCAACTACGACCGTAGTATCCCGGATTTTGCCACATGGGTTACGCATGGCTACAAGGACAGTTTGATCCCCTTTTTGCGATTTAGAAGCCGGTCAAAATGCCGAAGCCTGTTGACCTGTTACCAGTCGTCAAGTTGAAGGCCGGGAGAGTGGATCGTCCCAGGGACCCTGGATTCTTTTCCATGTCAGACCACATGCTGTGAGATTCTGCAAGTCACTATGATGAGCCTCAATATCGGAAGTCTAGAAGTCATTATCGAGCTAGCAGACTATATACTTCCAGGATCGGGTCTTGTTATCACTACGGGCTTTATCATCCAACTCCTCATTCAACACTTCAACTTTAGGCCGTCAGTCCTCCCATGATTCAACCTCATTTCGTCGTTGGTGATTTCATGTCTGACAAAGAAAACGGACAACATGCCTGAATCAATTGCCATCATTTCCTCCGCGTGTCGGTTCCCTGGCGGATCCAACTCACCGGCAAAGCTTTGGGAACTTTTGAAGGAACCGCGGGACATTCTGAAGCCGATTGATGAGAGTAGGCTGCGCCTCTCCAAATTCCATCACAACAATGGGGAACACCACGGAAGCACCGACGTCCAGGGCGCCTCATACACACTCGAAGATGATTGCCGACTCTTTGATGCTTCGTTTTTCGGCATCAGCCCGCTCGAGGCGGATATAATGGATCCACAGCAGAGGATATTGCTGGAAGTCGTCTATGAAGCCTTTGAAGCAGCAGGCTATTCATTAGACCAGATGCAGGGATCCCAAACATCTGTCCACGTCGGTGTTATGAATGGGGATTACTACGATTTACAGATGAGAGATCCCGAGACTCTACCCACACATACCGCCACTGGCACGGCCCGGAGCATTCTTTCCAACAGAGTCTCATACGCCTTTGATCTCCGAGGTGCATCAATGACGATAGATACGGCATGCTCAAGTTCACTTGTAGCACTACACCAGGCCGTTCAGGGTCTTCGAAACGGCGAGGCCACCATGGCGGTGGTTGGAGGCGCCAACCTGCTTCTTGACCCTCTGATGTACATTGCAGAATCCAATCTACATATGCTTTCTCCTGATTCGCGCTGCAAGATGTGGGATAAATCAGCAAATGGATACGCCCGAGGCGAGGGTTTTGCTGCCGTCTTGCTCAAGCCTTTGAAGGATGCTATCCGGGATGGAGATCACATCGAGGGTGTGATCCGTGAGACTGCAGTGAATTCCGATGGACGTACCAAGGGAATTACAATGCCCAGTCCAACCGCCCAAGCTGCGATGATTAGACAGGCCTATAAGAATGCCGGACTGGATCCTACGGTTGATCGCTGCCAGTATTTCGAATGCCACGGCACAGGAACTCAGGCAGGTGATCCTGTGGAAGCCCAAGCAATCAGAGATGCATTCTTTCCTCCAGGTCCTGGTATCCAAGATGACACCAAATTATACGTCGGCTCGATCAAGACCATCATCGGGCACTTGGAGGGATGTGCTGGATTGGCAGGCCTCATTAAAGCGCTGCTGGCTATGAAGCATCACACGATCCCACCAAATCTTCACTTCAAGGAGCTTAGTTCCAAAGTCGAGCCTTTCTATCACAACCTGCAGATCCCCACCAAAGCGATACCATGGCCTGAGACAAGCGATAAATGCATGAGAGCCAGTGTCAATAGCTTTGGCTTTGGTGGAACAAATGCACACGTTATCCTGGAAAGCTATGAGGGCGAAAAGCCAGCCGCGATTGAGATTCCCGACGATAAGTTCATAGGACCTCTGGTGTTGTCAGCTAGCTCCGGTGTATCGCTGATAGAATCTGTCAAGTCTTATGCAGATCGGATAAGATCAGATCCCTCTTTGGATCTCGAGAATCTTTCATGGATTTTACAGAAGAAAAGAAGCTCGTTATCGTCCAAGATCTTCTTTTCAGGTGCGACACGTCAGCGCTTGATTGACTTTATGGATAGATTTGTGGAGGATTCATCTTCTGTGCCACCAGACACTGTTGGAAATCAGTTCCAGCCCATCGATCCTAACGAGACGCCTGGCATTCTGGGTGTCTTCACTGGTCAAGGAGCTCAGTGGGCCTCCATGGGTCGGGGGCTGTATCAATCATCTCACCTTTTCCGAAGCTCGATTGAGCAATGCGAAGTTGTTATAAACAAGTTACCAGATGCTCCCAGCTGGTCACTTACTGAGCAACTCCTGGCTGACGAGGACGTTTCACGCATTTCCGAAGCAGAAATATCTCAGCCCATCTGCACAGCGTTGCAAATCGCTCTGGTTGATCTACTAAGAGCTTCTGGTGTCAAGCTTGATGCCGTGGTTGGTCACAGTTCTGGTGAAATTGCTGCGACCTATGCTGCTGGAATTATTAACCTTGAGAATGCGATGCAGATTGCATACTACCGTGGCTTCCATTCGCATTTAGCGAAGAAGAGTGTACCAGGCGCCATGATGGCCGTTGGACTCAGTTTTGCGGATGCTTACAAGTTCTGTAACCAGCCTGAATACTTTGGACGCCTCAAGGTCGCGGCCAGTAATTCTCCTCTCAGCGTCACGCTGTCTGGAAACGCAGACGCCATTATGCAAGCTAAAGCGCATTTTGACGAAAGTAAGACGTTTGCAAGGCAGTTGAAGGTCGACACAGCATATCATTCACACCTTATGATTCCGTGCGCAGAGGCATACCTGAAATCACTACTGGCCTGCGACATCCAAATCCAGAGCCCCCGGGAGGATTGCATCTGGTCAAGTAGCGTTCGTGGTGACACTGACCTGCTAGAAGATGGACTTCAGCCTCTCAAAGGACAATACTGGGTGGATAACCTCCTTGGCATGGTTCAGTTCTCTCAAGCTGTAGAACATTCGATTTGGCACGGCGGCCCTTTCAATGTCGCCATCGAAATCGGCCCTCATCCAGCGCTCAAGGGCCCGGCTGAACAAACACTCAAGACGTATTTCGGAACCGTGCCCAATTACGCAGGACTGATGAGACGTGGTGACGATGAAGTTGAGGCCTTCTCTGGCGCATTGGGATATGTGTGGTCTTATCTTGGCTCCTCGGCCGTTGACTTTGACGGCTACCGCAAAGCATTTGATCGTCAAACATCCCCAAATCTGTTGAAAGACCTTCCAAGTTACGGTTGGGACCATCGCAGGGCCTATTGGAGAGAATCCCGAGTCTCACGTAACTACCGCTTGCGCAATGACAAGAGCCATGAGTTGCTCGGCCGCAGGACGCCCGACGACTCAGACCAAGAATTGCGATGGAGAAATATTATCCGACTCCACGAGCTGCCATGGATTCAAGGCCATTTGTTCCAGGGCCAGGTACTGTTTCCTGGAGCAGGATATATTGTCATGGCTCTACAAGCGGGTGCAGAAATTGCAGATCAACGTGCTGTTGAGCTTTACGAAGTCACTGATATCTCCATGGATAGAGCCATGGTGATTCCAGAGGGTACGGCTGGCGTTGAAACATTGTTTACTGCTAGATTATTGGAGAATCAGTCCAAGGTTGAGTCGAGTGAGAGTTTGAGCTTCGAATTCGCTTGTTATTTCTGTAATGATGAGAACAACGGTCAACCTGTGAAAGCCGCTTATGGTCGCTTGACAATTCTCTTCGGCGATTCCGATACTCTGCATCTACCTCCTCGACTGGTGCCAGCTTCAAACTTGGTCCCTATCGACATGGATCGATTTTACACGTCCATGACCAGTGTTGGCCAAGAATACCTGGGTGTTTTCCGCAGCATTAAAGAAGGTAGAAGGGCATTGGGCTTTTCATCTACAGTCTCGTCGTGGGAGACTGACAATCTGAAAGGCAATAATTACGTTATGCATCCCGGCTTTTTGGACGTTGCGCTACAAACTCTTTACGTCTCATTTGCTTCTCCAGCCAGTGGAGGTTACTGGGCGCCATATCTCCCAGTAAAGGTCGGCCGACTTTCGTTAAATCCTCATGCCACCTATTCCAACGGTGCAATGACGGAGATGGAGGCCGATAGCTTTGTTACGACGGGATCATCAACACTGCTCAAGGGAGACATTCACGTCTATCTTAAAGGTGGTTCACAGACAACATTGCAGATCGAAGGTCTCGAGATGAAAGCCGTCTCTGAGCCGCAAGCCTCCAACGATAAGCACCTCTTTTCTGAAACCGTTTGGCGAGCGGATTCGTCCTTTGCTCTGGTGGATTTAGACGCAGAAATCGAAGACTTGGACGATATCCCACTAATGGAGGCATTAGACCGCACAGCTGTATACTATTATCGCAAGTTCCTTGCCGATATTGGTTCCAAAGATCGCAAGACGTTTGCATGGTACTACCAGCTGATGACTACTGCTGCAGAGGAGCTCATAGCTCGTGCTGCAAACGGTGACCATCCAGTCATAAAGCCAGAGTGGCTCAAAGACTCCGCTGAAGTCATTGAAGAGCTTAACAAGACACATGGAGAGAGCGTTCATCTCAAGCTGATACGTGCCGTAGGCGAAAACCTGCTGAAGCTCGTGGTTGGCAAAGTGCAAATTCTCGAGGTGATGTTGGCTGATGACATGCTCAATCGATTCTATGTAGAAGGTTACAATTTCTCAATCCTCAACAACAAAATCGGACAGGCTATGAAACAGATCACGTTCAAAAATCCTCAGGCAGTTGTCTTGGAGATTGGTGCTGGCACGGGAGGCACGACAAGAAGTGTTTTCGATGCCATTGACAGCGCTTACTCTTCATATACATTCACAGATATCTCGACTGGATTCTTTGAGAATGCTGAAGAGAGATTCCGTGACCACAGTGGCAAGATGACGTTCAAGGTCTTGGACATTGAGAAGGACCCCCAGAGCCAGGGATTCACCGAGAATACTTATGATGTTATCATTGCTGCCAATGTTTTCCACGCGACCCGAACGCTAGGCGATACAATGCGCCATGTCAGGAGTCTCTTGAAGCCTGGTGGCTTTCTGCTCATGCTCGAAGTAACCGGCCCAGAACTTTTGAGAACGCATTTCATCATGGGTGCATTGTCTGGATGGTGGCTGGGTGGTGATGACGGTCGTGTCTTGTCGCCAGCTTTGACAGCCTCTCAGTGGGATGAGCTGCTTCAAGAGACGGGATTCTCTGGTGTCGATACCATATTCTATGATACAGCTGATGAGGCCCAGCACTCGGTTTCATTTGTCCTGAGTCGAGCGACGGACTCTCAAGTTGAACTGCTGCGTAACCCTCTCCCCAGAATTCACGATATCCAAGGCGAGCAGCCCATCTTGATCGTTGGTGGCAAATCATTGTTCACAGCGCAAATTGTCACGGATGTCCAGAAGTCGTTGTCTCACTGGAAGAAGCGTATTATCAAAGCCAAGAGCTTGGACGATGTACCTGTGTCGACTCTGGTGCCAGGAACGTCTGTTCTCTTCCTCGGGGATCTTGACAAGCAAGTCTTCTCAGACATGACGTCGGAACGATTGATGCGACTACAGAGTCTCTTCCTCACGGCAAAGAACGTCCTTTGGATCACCGAAGGCAGAACAGCCAAGAATCCAGAAGCGAACATGATAGTCGGAGTCGGCCGCACCTTGTGGACAGAAATGGCCCATCTAAAGCTCCAGTTCCTAGACATTGATACTGACGTCAGATCTCGAGACATTTCCAAGATCATCACTCAGGCCTTCTTAAGGCTGGAAGTCTTGTCCCATCCAGAGTACGATGGCGAAAACAGTCTTTGGCAAATAGAGCCTGAGTTGATCTACGATGGAGAAAAGATGCTCATCTCTCGAATCTTGCCAAACAAGACTCTCAATGATAGACACAATGCCAGCCGACGACCGATTAAGCAGACTCTCGATCTGCAATCTGCGGCCGTCGATATTGTCCAAGAAGGAAAGTCATTTGTGCTTGTCCCATCCGCCCCAGGTGCATTCGCGGAAGATGAGAAGATTCAAGTGAAGTACTCGCTGTCTCTATCTAATGACACTCAACACCCTGTGCTCCTCAACGTTGGCTCGAACTCGCACACAGGCGAAACAGTGATTAGTCTCAGTAGATCATGCTCGTCTACTTTGGACGCGGCTAATGCTATAAGCCTTGGCGACGTACTTTGCAACGCCCAATTGTTGGAATCGATCGCCTGCAGTATCTTCTTGGATCTCATCCGCAGCAGAATCCCAACCAGAGGTACAATCTTGTTTTACGAGCCACCAAAGGCCTTAGTCCACCGACTGCAATCAGATGCCGATCTGAAAAACAGAGAATTCCGCTTTGTGTCCACGGGCACGAAACAAGCGTCGCCTGACTGGATTCAACTATTCCCAAGGGCCTCACAAACTGCCAACAGGCTTTTGCTACCGCTTGACACATCCTGCGTTTTCGAGTTCCAGAATGCTTCAAGTGTCAATCTAGAGGGCATCTTGCCACCCAATACCTCAATTCTCAGTGTATCTGATATCTTACACGAGATTCAGAGTAGTTGGCAAACGAAGTTGTCCAGTTTCTTACACGACCTACACCAGTCCAACTCTGATTCCATTCATACACAGATGATCAAGGTGTCTCGCCTTCTTGAGTCATCACCTGAGAGTGTATCAGATTCCATTATTATCGACTGGAATGACTCAAGCCTACTTAACGTGGCTCTCAAACCACTGGATGTGTCCAAGGCTTTCTCGAGCAATAAGACCTATCTCCTGGTTGGCATGACCAAAGAACTTGGCCTTTCTCTAGCCCAGTGGATGGTCAAGAATGGCGCGCGTCATCTTGCGCTCACCAGCCGAACCGGTAGCGTAGAGGATCCCGGATGGGTTCCAGCAATGAAGGCACACGGAGCAAATGTGCAACTCTTCAGCATGGACGTCTCGGATTTGGGTTCAGTTACCGAAGTCGTCGAGACTATTAACAAGACCATGCCACCTATCGCCGGAGTATGCAACGCGGCAATGGTTCTGTCAGATGGTTTATTCGCAGACATGAGCTTCGATGTATTACAAAACACGCTGAAGCCCAAAGTGGATGGAAGCCGAAATCTGGACCGAGTATTCTATGATACACCTCTCGACTTCTTCGTCTTGTTCTCTTCAATGGCGAGTATCATCGGAAATCCTGGACAGTCAAACTACCACGCCGCCAATCTCTACATGGAGGGACTTTGTGGTCAGCGCCGCAGCCGCGGACTTGCAGCCTCAGCTATGCACATAGGCATGGTGGCCGATATTGGCTATGTTGCCCGGAGAGGCCAATCCATGGAAGACCATCTGCGCAAGATGTTCTTCTTGCCTCTTTCAGAATCTGACGTACATCAGCTGTTCGCCGAAAGCATCTTGACAAGCCAGGACACTGTTTACGGGCTGGAGCCTTTTGTAGACTCGCCTGAAGCGCCGAAGCGACCACCTTGGGAAGGAAACCCTCGCTTCTCTCATTTCATGCGCAAGGAAGCATCTAGCAACGAAGTATCTAAGGATCGTGCTCTAGACACAGACTACAAGCAGCGTCTGCAAAGTGATGAATCGGAAGATTCTCTGATTGAAATGGTTCAGCAAGTATTCGGACGGAAGCTGGAGGCCATGATGCAGTTGTCGCCTAACAGTATCAATCTCAACGTGCCTTTGATCGACTTGGGTGTTGATTCCTTGTTGGCCGTCGAAATCCGAAGTTGGTTCTTGAAGAAGCTTGGCATGGACGTCCCGGTCCTGAAGGTGCTTTCAGGTGATACAACTGCACAGCTGTGCGAGGATGCAACTAGAAGGTTCTTGGGCCTCAAGCTAAAGCAGAATTCAACGTCCAAACCGGAGCAGCAGCCGGCGATTCTGAAAGTCACAACAGGGACCCCAATTTCAGACAACAGAAGCAGCAAATTTCTTTCGATTGAAACACCTGCCTTACAACCCAGTAGTGCGTCCAATTCGAGCGGTCACGAAGATGATTCTGCACATTCGTTAGGTGACTCCGTCAGCGTCCCGGACATTGCTACTCCTAATGAAGAGTGCTCTCAAAACTCCTTCAACTCGAGCTCGACGGTTGATTATGAGGCCGAGGTACTGGAATTTGGACTTAACCAGGCTATTAAAGAAGCTGAGATTATGTCTCATGCTCAATCTCGACTGTACGTCGCGCAGAACTACGTCAATGACCCAACCACCTACAACGTCACAGTCACTTATCAAATCCAAGGAAATCTCCAGATCCCAAGGTTCAAGCAGGCATTAAATTCAGTAATGACTCACCACGAATCATTGCGAACATGCTTCGTCAAAGATGAAAACACCAGTCTTCTCAAACAGGGTGTCTTGCCATCTCCGTCTTACTACCTCAGAATCGTGCAATCTAAACAAGACGATGCGGTAGACCGAGAGATTGCTCTGTTCAAAGCCAAACACTGGGACTTGGACCATGGAAGAACGTTTGGAGTTTCTTTAGTCGTTCAATCACCGGAAGTGAGCACTGTTATCTTTGGCTATCACCACTTGGTAATGGATGGTGTGAGCTGGCATATCTTCCTGCGAGATCTTAGCACCGCTTACCAGCTTCGCCCATTGGTCAAATCATCGAGTAGCTACATCCAGTACGCAAAGAAACAGCAAGCAGCTATTGAAAACGGAGATTTCGCTGGAGATTTGTTATTCTGGAAGCAACTCCATGACCAACCATCGGAGCCCCTGCAACTGCTCCCCATCACCAATGTTGTTGCCCGTAAACCACTGACCCAATACTCCAGCCACGTTCAGTCTCGGGTCATCGATACAGAGTTGGTGTCTCGAATTAAACAAGCCAGCAAAGCTTTGAGAGTGACTCCGTTCCACTTTCATCTAAGCATCGTCCAACTCATCCTGTCACGATTCTTGGCACTAGACGACATTTGCATTGGTGTGACTGATGCCAACCGCTTAGATGAAGACTTTTCAGAAACTGTTGGATTCTTTTTGAACCTCCTGCCATTGCGTTTCCAGGTAGATCAAGACGGCTCCTTTGGTCAACTTGCCGCCAACACGTCCCGCAAAGCTCTTGAGGGCCTGGCTCATTCTGCCGTCCCCTTTGATATTATTCTCGATCACCTCGACGTTGCCAGATCACCAGCCTACAGCCCTCTTTTCCAAGTAGCTGTCAACTATCGAGTGGGAGCTTTGTTGAAAAGATCCATGGGTGATTGCGGAATTGAACTCACCCAGGTCGAGGACGCTAAAAATCCTTATGATATCAGCTTTGGAGTCACAGAGATTACCTCTGGCACCTGTCTCATTGAGCTCACATGCCAGAATGCGCTCTACACTGTGGAGGATTCTCAGACCTTGATGGACATTTATATCCACTTGCTCGAGACGCTGTCCTCGAACACAGAGTTGAAGGTCAAAGATTGCCCTTTGTTCGACAGTAAAGCCATCTCTCAGGCAGTTGAAGTGGGCAAAGGACCAGACGTCTCTTACGACTGGCCGCCAACACTTTCGGCGAGATTCAATGAGGTGCAGAGAGCGTACCCCGATGACATTGCGGTCAAGGATGGACTCAGAGATGTTTCTTACTCTCGGTTATCGAACGAAGTCAATGGCATTTCACAGCTCATTCTTGCGCAAGGTGCATCTCCAGGTGCCCATATCGCGGTTCTATGCGAACCGTCCGTAGATTCAGTCGCCTCTATGCTCGCCATTCTTCAGGCGGGATGCGTTTACATCCCACTAGATCTCAGCCTCCCAGCCGCCCGTCACATATCGATCTTGAATGATTGTGACCCCGCGTTCGTCATCGTTCATGAAGCTACCAAGGAGGCCGGTACGCAGCTGATTGCGGCATCGCAAACCAATGCTCAGTTGCTCAACGTATCTGATATAAAAGCTAAGGACGAACTGGTTTCAATTGAAGGACAAGCAGACGCGCCCGCATGTATCCTGTATACCAGTGGTTCCACGGGGAACCCGAAGGGAGTTGTCCTCTCCCAGGCCAATTTCGCCAACCACCTAGCTGTCAAGACACAAGAGCTTCTCATTGAGCGCGAAGTGGTCCTTCAACAGAGCTCTCTGGGCTTCGACATGTCCATCATCCAAATATTCGTAGCTCTTGCCAACGGCGGCAAACTGGTCATCGCCTCACGCGAGAAACGTGGCGATCCTATTGCACTTTCTGAGCTTATGCAAAAGGAGTGTGTCACATTCACCATTGCCACGCCTACTGAATATCTCATGCTACTGCGAAATGGTGAAGAACATCTCCGAAAGTGTACTTCATGGCAACAAGCGTGCATGGGAGGTGAGGTGGTGTCATCACAACTACTCCATCAGTTCAGATGCTCTCAAGTCTCAGTAAAGCAGCTTACAAACTGTTATGGACCAACTGAAATCACCGCCGCAGCAACTTTCCAAGATTTGTCCCCAGCACTAACAGACGGCTCATTTCAAGTAACTGAAGGCTTGATAGGCAAGGTTTTGCCTAATTACTCGGTCAAAATTCTCGATTCCAGCGGCAACGCAGTACCACTTGGCGTTTGTGGCGAGATCGCCATTGGTGGTCAGGGTGTCGCGTCGGGATATCTTCATCTACCTGAATTGACGGCAGAGAAATTCGTACTTGACTCACATAGTACCCAGGAGGGCGCCAGCATGTACAGGACAGGCGACAAGGGTAGACTACGCCGCGACGGTTCACTAGAATTCCTGGGCAGACTCGACCAAGATTCGCAAATCAAGCTTCGCGGTCTTCGAATCGAACTGGGTGAAATTGAGCATGTTCTCATTCAGGCTGGAGAAGGCTTATTCTCCGATGTTGTGGTCACAGTCAAGGGCGATCCCGCCGTTCTGGTCGCCTACGTTGTTCTTAACAAGGACAGGACAGCGGATCGAGCAACGCTGCAGGCTATCCTTTCGAAACTGCCTCTTCCACAATACATGATCCCTGCTGCTATTCAAGTTCTCGAACGGCTACCAACCAATTCGAGTGGCAAAACCGACAGGAAAGCGGTTGCAAGCCTCGATTTTGTCCTTGTAGCAGAAGGTAGCCATTCTAACGAGCGTTTGGACTTGTCTGAGGGAGAATTACTGCTGCTCTGGCAAAAGGTTCTTCCTAGTACAAACGAAGCTCATAGCTTGGATCGTAACTCAGATTTCTTTTTACACGGTGGAAACTCGTTGCTACTTATGAGGCTTCAGGGCGCCATCAAGGACTCTATGGATATCTCAGTCCCCATCAGCGAATTGTACCAAGTCAGCACGCTCGGAAAGATGGCTGCTCATCTCCGCAACAAACGAGATCAACTAGCCACAGAGTTCGAACCCATCGACTGGGAGCTGGAAACCGCCATCCCAGATCACATTTTGGCTATCTCACAGGACTCGCAACCATCAACTTCATTGAGTGCAGAAGGGCACGAGATTGTACTCACGGGATCGACAAGCTTCCTTGGAGCAGCAGTTCTAAAGGCTTTATTAAAGGAGTCTACAGTCAAGAAAGTCCACTGCATCACTGTCCCCAGCGACCAGAGCAGCACGCTTCCAGTCCATCCTAAAGTTGTCCACTACCAAGGCACCCTTTTGTCACCCACCCTCGGACTCTCAGAGACAGAGCGCTTGAAGTTGCAAACATCGGCTACTTGCATCATCCACGCCGGTGCAAATGGGCACTGCTTAAACAACTACTCATCTTTGAGGGTGCCCAACGTGTATTCCACACACTTCCTAGCCTCGCTAGCTCTACCACGAGGCATTCCTATCCACTTCATCTCATCCAATCGAGTGGCTCTCCTCTCAGGAAGCATGCAGCCGGCGGCCGAGTCCATGTCCCAATTCACTCCTCGTACAGATGGTGCAGAAGGCTTCACAGTGGCCAAGTGGGCGAGCGAGCGGTTCCTCGAAACCCTTGCTGAGAAAGCCCATCTCCCCGTCACGATTCACAGGCACTGCATCCTGACAGGCGACGAAGCACCAAACGAAGATGCCGTGAATGGTGTCATGAAATACTCCTCATTGACTCGTACAGTTCCGCTTTTTGCGAACTTTGATGGATTCTTCGATCTCAAAGATGTCCATACCGCCGCCGCCGATATTGCAACCAATGTTCTGTCAGAGGACAGTACGGATAGAAGCGTGCGATTTATCCACCATTCCAGCGGCGTAAAAGTGCCGATATCAGACTTTAAGAAGCACTTGGAGAAGCTCTATAGCGGAGTCTTTGAAGAGGTGACAATGGATGAGTGGATTGGCAAAGTGCTCGAGGCAGGCATCGATCCACTGATTACCAGCTACTTGCAGGCAATGGCTGAGAAGGAGGAGGTGATTCAATTTCCATTTTTAGGAGTTTCTTGAGTATTGCAGTTTTATTTTTGTTTTCCAGATGTTCTATCTGATAACTCTACCGCCGGTCAACGGTATGAGGTAGTTATCTGGAGTACATGTATATAGGTGCTGGCGTTGAAGGATATCGTGTAAACATGTTCATAAAAAGATTTTCTCACAGGCATAAAAGTCTATATGAAAATGGTTCTCAAATATAATAGATGCTTCAGAAAGAACCACGAAGGCTCTCCCCCGCATCACGTGAATATTGAAAGTTGGGTGATTCAACTTACTGCTGGCCGGTCTCGGCCCCGTGCAAATTTTTGACTCAAAGAGTGAGAAACTAGGGATCCCGATAGACGAGCTTATACCTGAGCAACTGAAGGCCATTGATAGCCGATTCCCGGGTCGATTCCCGGATGATATCATACTCAAGTGTATTCAAATATGAGAATGGAAGGTCGAAGCGAAATCGGCTAGAGGCGGCACTAGTTCGTCAAGTATTCAAGAGCAAATCAATCCTTGAAGCTGAGTCAAGTTAGAGAGAACAGAATGTCTCCAACAACTCATGCCCCGGACTTTCAACTTCGGTTTAGGGATTAGATCTGGGAAGTCTCTTAACATTTGAGTCAGGGCACCTAGCCGCATCTAAGCGGCAGTATGAGCAATTCGACACTCACAAAGCGTTCATATATGGCACCCAAGCATTATGCGCTGACATATCAGGGGGATGGCTTCATCTCGGTGTTTTGAGCCATGGCGCAGGTCATATAAATTCGATATGAATACATGTATATACAATAGTTGGCCAGATGGCTTTAGCATTGCTTTGCAGCTCATTCTTTCCGATCAGGCCCCATAGCGTATTCCGTTGAAAGTCAGAGAAACGATACAAGGGCAACACAAGTACCTACTATGATAGCATGAATTCTGGAATGTCAAAGTCAAGCCAATTCCAATCGTGAAACGCCTGTGAGAGATCAACGCCCTGGCCCTGGGTATCAACTCCGAAGAAAATATTGTCCATGTTAAGAGGAGTTTCTTCAGAAACAACAGTCCCTGTGCCATTTTGAGGACTCTGTCGTGTCTCAGCTTGTCCCATTTCATTTGGCGGTGGCTCTCCGCGCCTCTTGGTGGCTTCAAACTTCTGCCGATAATCCCATAAAGCTTGGATGCCCCCCTGAGCAGATATATCATACGATATGTAAAATTCGAAAATGGCAACGGCCTGTTCCCATGAAGTCTTGTTCGGCTCCTGGTCTAGATCGACGCCCAAGTCTGGTATTAAACTAGCCGCCAACAGGACTGTCGCTGAACCGAATGTCACTGTAGATGGTCAGATTAGCAAAAGAAAGAACGGGTCACATGTTGGTGTCTCACCTCGTAATGTGTGCCAAGTCGATGCTCGGTACACAATGTGGATGTTTTTATGTACTTTATCAATCACTGTCCGTGCCGTAGTGACACAGAGCTTGTTGACCTCTTGAAGCAGTCCCATGGTGAGACTTTGGTTGCCAGTCTTTGCTTTCCGTAGCTCCGAGCGGATTGAACGATTTGCGACGCTTGCCAGCAGACAAGGGCGAAGAATAGTAAGCTTAACATAGATTGAACTACAAAGGGTATTAGAATAAGCGCATCCCGAATGATCATTTGAACTTACCGCGTCCTCAATATCTGTCCTTGAATCTGAAAGCACTCATCCACGGCATGTTCATTGGCTTCCTGGAGGTGGCTGGGTAAGCTGCCGAGAAACTCATCGAGGTGAAGACAATATTTAGGAATTTCGCTGATATACTGGGTCAGAAGAGAATTCGAGCGTTGTCCTCCTAAATTCTGACCGAGAAGATGTATATTCGCCGCAATGTCGCGAGGAACATCACACATGTGGCGATAGTATCGAAAAAAGTCGAGCCGAGAGGGCTTATCTGCTGGTTGAGAGCCTTCGCCTTCTTCCTGCAAGTACTCATCGTCAATTGGCTGAGGTGTCGACACCAGATTCGGCACGGTTATGTCCATTTGCCACCCAAACGTATATGATGCTATGCTATTCACTCGTAGTTAGTTGTCGCATCTTGTGTATAGTATATACGCGCATAATCTAGAGCGATGCATACCTACCTATCCATTATTGTGGCAACATGCCACACTCTGTGTCTCATTTCCCGTTCTAATTGGCCCATTGATTCGGGGGCCTCTTTATCGAGCCCAAGGCCAAAAGCAACTCTTTGCGCAATACCTAGTGTGCTCCAACATCGCGAGGCAAAAGATGTATATTGGAGATAGATGACTCTCAGCAGAAACAGCTGCAGCACCTCGAATGAGTATGAATCCAGGGTTTCGGCAGAAATCAGATGGACTGATCGCCTGTACAACGACTCGGCATCTCTCTTTCTCCAATTGGCAGGACAGTGTTCGGACCGCTGGCAGCCGATAGCCAAGACAATATTGATCGTGGCAAGTAGGAGGATGTCATTGCCTGTATATCTTGAAAATGATTCTGTAGACTTCCAAAGAGCCTCATATTTGTTCATGAAGCCTGGTCGGTGCAGCACAGGGAAGACCGGGTGCGAATATCGCCAGTATGTGCTAATAAGAGAGTCTGCCAGATTCTTCTCTGGTAGCAGCAGGTCATCCATATCTAAGCCTACATCCTCGGCATTTGAGACGTTGAAACCAATTGGATCTCTGAGAAACGACTTGCTTAATGATGAGTTCCTATTTGGTGTTGGTTTACACGGTTCAATCGTAGCGACGACTCGATTAATGAAAGAAAAAGTTGAGGGTGGACCGAATACGTCCTCATCTCGATCAATGGCGTCTTTTGAATCCGATTCCTTTTCAATACAGGTTTCCGTAGTACTATTCTTCGACCATTTCCTGCCCAATGGTTTGGGCTCGGTGGAGTGTCCAACAAGCGAGTCTCTATTTGAAGCAGCAACCGAGCTTCCAGATGAGATTGCGCCATTCGGAGATGGATGTGGAATATTCCTTGAATGTGCCATGTCTAGTTAGAATTTCCGCATCACAGTCCGCGCCATGGAGAGTCCGGCATACCGAAATGAGACAATCCTGTGCTCTCCCGGCCGTGTTTGTTCGTAGACACACTGATCAGGGAGGCCTCTGCTCAGGCACGTCAAGCACGAAGGACGATTCCCATCACACTTTGACTTCCTGGTGCGACAAGGCCGACAGGAAGTTCGAATTCGATTGCGCTTCCGGCGAGGGATGGCCAACGCCGCTTTAGGCGGCTTCCCCTCCATCTTCCGAGGTCGCCGACAGAGATGCGGAATTTGAGAAAGCTTCGGTGGCCCCTTGAAGCGCGGAGCTATCATGCAAGAGAGCAAAGACAAGATACGCAGAAGAGAATAATCAGATTTGAGGCGCGAGACAGAACCCCAAGAACATCAGGAAGCGGATGACACGAGGGACCTCCGAGTCATATGGGGCCGGGGATGGTGGGGATAGTTAGGAAATAAGACGCTTCCCCGATTGGACAGCAGCCATTTCGTAGGAGATAACCGCTTGATCTAATTGGTTCATGGTCGGCCGGGGTTATTCTTCAAAGCTAATTGGCCTGCGATAGAGTTGGAGGTTGGCCAATGTGGAAATGGTCGCGGAGATATGCCAGGGACGCATCAGTACGATGATGTGAGCCGATTGTATCAGTGTATAAAGGAAAAGGATGTGACGGAGGAGGTCTCAGACATGCGCTCCAATCATCCGTCCTTGTCTCGTGTGCCGCCTACAACGATCAATGCAAAGGCATTGCCTCAAAAGGATGGCCTCTGAGAAAGATTTCGAGACACCGTCTGGTGTAATACAAAGCTCCGACGAAGGCGATTTTACAGAGTTGAGTTCTCAAAATGGACAGATGAATACCGAGAAACCCTCCCAGGCGGAGGAGGAGATGAAGGAGGGCGGGTATGGCTGGTAAGTTTTTATGGGCGTCATACGCATTTCCATTAGTCGCTTACAAAACCATGCGCGTAGGGTCATTGTGGCAGCCGTCTGCCTAATATTGGCCCATTCATTTGGAATAAATTCTGTAGGTGCTTAATTTATATGTAGATGAAGTACATGGAGAGACTCTTACTAACAAAGCGTCTTTAGATGTTTGGTGTATTTTTAGCATTCTATCTAAAAAGCAACACCTATCCGGGAGCTACTCCTTTACAATTCGCCTTTATCGGAGGTCTCTGCTTTTCGATCGGTACGAATCTTTACCAATTAATATACTGATTTGCATAACAACATCTGATGGTTTAAAACTTAGCTTTTATCGTCCCGCCGGTATCGACCATATTGCATCGCAAAGCGGGTGTTCAGATTACCGTCATAGTCGGAGGGATATTCATCTCGTACGTTCGATCGCCAGACAATATAAAGGGTATGATACATCCTACTAATTTGAACCGGTAGGGGTGGCTACATTGCCGCATCCTTCTCGAAAACCATATGGCAACTCATCCTCAGCCAAGGCGTCTGCTACGGCATCGGTATGGGAATATGCTTCACCGGAACAGCCAGCTTGGTTCCTCAGTGGTTCAAGAAACGGCGATCTCTCGCAAATGGTATCGCAACCGGCGGCACGGGCTTTGGCGGCCTGACCTATTCCTTGGCTGCGAATGCAATGATTCAGAGGCTGGGCATTGCTTGGACTTTTAGAATTATGGCCATTATCTGCTTTGTTGTGATAACAATCTCTGCTCTGCTTCTCAAGGAACATGTCAAAACTCCCAAGGCAGATAAGATTTTGGAGTGGAAATTCTTCAAAATGGTTGACTTTTGGCTCTTTCTTGGCTGGCTATGGTTGGCTAGTCTGGGCTACGTTGTTGTGGTCTTTTCTCTTTCGGCATACGCTCAACAGGTTGGCTTTTCGGCACAACAAGGCTCTCTTGCGTCTGCCATGTTCAACTGTACGTGGAAAGTTTTCCCTGTTTTGCTGTTAAACCCATGGCACTGACATCTTTGCTCTATTAGTATCGACTGGTATTGGTCGCCCACTCATTGGCTTCCTATGTGATAGGTTTGGCACCATCAGAGTTACCATGTTGGGCACATTCTTTTCCGCCCTGATTACGTTCTTCATTTGGATATTTGGTGGCAAATCATATGGGGGCTTGATGGTATACGCCTTGCTCGGCATGTTTCCCAGCCTCTTGTGGGCCACGTTTGTGGTCATGGCCGCGTCAATCTTTGGCTTAAAGCTGATGCCTGCCGGTAAGTGTGAAGAGCCTTTAGAAGGGCGAAGTGAAGCATGAGATTCTAACATTCGATATGCAGCGATATCTCTCTCGATCCTCACGTTGGCACTCCCTTATACGTTTGCGGAGGCGATTGGCCTTAGCTTGAGAAAGTCGGGTACGGATGGTTTCATCAACGTACAAGTCTTTGCCGGCGTCATGTTTGTCGCTGCCGGCATTTGTAGTAAGTAGAACAGTACCTATTACACAATTCTGTAAAATGTGTGGCTAATGTTGAGTTCCCAGCCCTGATTCTCACCATCAGAAAAGGGGAATTATATCGAAAATAAGATGAGATCCTTGAAGACTCAGATTGGTCAAGACGATGCGATGGAGGTTGCGATTCTTGTACAAAAAACCGGCATAGAGCGCTTAATGATTGCTGTTTAGACATGAGCATGGCGAGCTTCAGATTGGGAATGCCGACTTGCCCGATTCGTCAACCATGGGATTATTGATTGGGGCATAGATTGGCATATAGACATTGATAGCATACGAGTTTAGAATAGTTTTTACATGGATTCACCAGACGAGGGACGAAAGCTTGGGTACGAACGAGTATGCATGAGATGAAATGGAGGCTAGTGTCCTGCAGTTGGATAAGATCAAATGTCAGGCTGACATGCGTCATGATAATGCCCATGTCTCGGAGTATTAAATGCATCTTCACGGCGGGTTAACTAGGTACATAATAAGCAGCCCCAACTAGGCCACCGCCTTTCGTACTAGAGGATCTCTGATTTTCAAGTTTATTCTGAGGTATAAAGTATGCGGATGTTTTTATTAACTGATAGTAATTTATATAGACAAAACGATATGGGCTTGGTATAAGATACAGGTTATAAAACCTCCCCTCCAGTACTCGCAGAAGAGGCGGGGGACTAGCTCAGCCCTGCTTACTCATCAACCCTCCGGTAATACTTGGCACAAGGCCGGCAGTATCATCACAGGAGGCATCACAAATTACATAAATACTCCGTAATATCCTGGTATTGATACGCTCGACGGATTGACTACCTATGCAGTAATGAAGCAGGGGTGAGTGTCTGATGGGTAGCAATCGAGAGACGGCTGAATGCTGAGTCAACCCGCCGTAGAGGCTCTTTTGTTCCCATCAGCCAGCTCAATCATGCACCAAGTATTACTATCCGCATGGATGTCAATGGCATGTTATTGTGCGGTGAGCTGATGGGGTTGGTTGTGTACGAGTACGGGCATGTACTCGTACTGTATGCGTCAAAAGCGCCCTTTGGAAATACATGTACAAGTTGGAGGAATGAGAATAAATTAAAAATACCTCCGTAGGCGACGACACGTTGTGTTAGCGACGCCCTTTACTTTACTTTGCGTTGCTTCAACTTTCCTTTTACTGGCGCCAAACAAGAGACATCCATTGCAACAAGTTGGTTGCAAAGCCGAACGTGCCGAAAGCTGATGAAACACACGCAAAGGGCGCTCGCTGCCTTGGAAACACACACGCGCAGCCTTGCCAATGAGTCGAAGAGTGAATGGATGAATCAAGAATTAACCCCCGAACTTGTATATGTAGTCATCTTTAGGTGACTGTTTTCCCGCTGGCGGTGGAGCGTCGCATCGCATCCCAATCGCTGATCCATGCATATAAGCTTACGAGTACGACTTCCCGCCGTAGCTCCTCCACTGTAAAATCGTCTCTTCAGCGTCTTCTTCAGCGTCTCTTCAGCGTCCGAAGTCGGAGCCTGCAGACGTCAGTGGGGCCACCCAAATCCGAGTGACTGCGGCTTGCGATTTTGAAATAATTCGCCTCCAAACGCCATTTTCTGCTTCTGCGTCACTCGGATTCTTTCCAAGCCTCTTTACCCCAGATTTTGTTTTATTTATTTATTTCCAACGTTTCTGCTGGCAATTGGAACAGGCAATCAATTTCCTCTCTCCCTCTCGCCCTCGCCATCAACCACCCCCGCCACAGGTCAAGATGCCCATGTAGGTCCATCCAACGTCATTGTCGCCTGAAGCTGATCAATTGGCCATCTCGACGCATTGCAGAGCTAACAATCCGTCATCTACAGGCTCAAGGAACCGTCGAAAAAGTACAAGGCGTTCAAGGCAAGCTCCATCACATGCCGATCGATTGTCAACCGTCAACTGACCGTGCCTAGCCGCTGCGTCTGCCCAACCGACAATGGCCTGACAAGGTCATCGAAAAGGCTCCTCGCTGGCTGTCGTATGTTTCAGACACCTACAGTTTCTTTCGACTTTCGTTGCTGATATCCTCCGAAGCTCGTGCCTCCGCGATGGCAACCAGAGTCTGCCCGATCCAATGGTACGTCTACGTCTACGTCTTCTTCCGCGAACCGACGTCAAATACTTTGTGCGACAGCGATCGCTGACATGGATGGGCTGGTCTCCAAACAGAACGGAGAGGAAAAGTGGCGCTACTTCAAGATGCTGTGTGCCCTTGGCTACAAGGAGATCGAGGTCTCTTTCCCCTCCGCGTCCCAGATCGACTTCGACTTCACCCGCCGCCTGATCGAAACCCCCGGCGCCGTGCCCGACGACGTCTTCCTGCAGGTTCTCTCGCCCTGCCGACCTGATCTGATTCGAAGAACCGTAGAGTCCGTCCGCGGGGCCAAGAATGCCATCATCCACATCTATCTCGCCACCAGCGAGTGCTTCCGCCAGGTCGTCTTTGGCTACACCGAAGAGCAGACCCTGGAGCTTGCCGTCGAATGCACCAAGCTCGTCAGGTCTCTGACCAAGGACAATCCCGAGGCTTCTGGAACCAACTGGCAGTTCGAATTCTCGCCCGAGTGCTTCTCCGACACCGATCCTGATTATGCTCTGAGAGTGTGTCGCGCAGTCAAGGCTGCCTGGGGCCCCAATGGAGCAGTTGGAGACCAAATCATCTTCAACCTGCCTGCCACAGTCGAGCTGTCAACCCCCAACGTTTACGCAGACTTGGTGGAGCATTTCAGCACCAACATTGGAGACAGGGAGAGTGTGTGCGTGTCTCTGCATCCTCACAACGATCGCGGATGCAGTTAGTATATCCACTTCTGCCGGTGCAGTGCGGTGCGGTGCTAACGTGGTACAGGTATCGCAGCAGCAGAACTAGGCCAGATGGCAGGGGCCGATCGTGTCGAGGGCTGCTTGTTTGGGTTCGTACTACCTTTGTTGCTTTTGTCTTTGCGATTACGGGACGGTGCTGACCCTTTTGCAGCAACGGAGAGAGAACGGGCAACGTCGATCTCGTCACCTTGGCTCTGAACCTTTACACACAAGGCGTGAGCCCGCTAATTGATTTCTCTGATCTCAACTCAGTCATTGAGGTAGTCGAATCCTGCACCAAGATCCCCGTCCACCAGCGCGCTCCCTACGGCGGCAGTCTCGTATGCGCAGCCTTCTCGGGCAGCCATCAAGACGCCATCAAGAAAGGATTCCAGAACCGCCAGAGCCTGGGCTATTCCCACGAAGATCCGTGGCTCGGGATGCCCTACCTGCCACTGGATCCCCAGGACATCGGACGCAATTACGAAGCCATCATCCGCGTCAACTCACAGTCTGGAAAGGGCGGAAGTGCTTTTATTCTGCGTGCCAAACTGGAGCTCGACCTCCCCCGCGGTCTCCAGGTTGCCTTCTCCAAAATTGTCCAGAGACGCGCCGAGGAACTCGACCGCGAGCTTCTGGCTGACGAGATTACCAATCTCTTTGAGACGACTTACTTCCTCCGCGAGAACCACCGCCTGAGCCTTGTCGACTACAGCATCAGCCCCGACCGATCGCAGTCTCCTATGCCTTCTGCATCTGGCAGAACCCAGGATACGAAGAGCCTGGTCCGTATCTTCGATGGTGTCATCCTCCTGGATGGCCAAGAGATCAAGGTCAGTGGCCGGGGCAATGGACCGATCTCTAGTATGGCGGCCGCCCTCAAACAAGTCGGCATTGATCTCGACGTTCACGACTACAAAGAACATGCCATCGGTGAGGGCCGAGGTGTCAAGGCCGCCTCATATATCGAGTGCAAGCCTACGGGCAGCAATCAGACCGTCTGGGGTGTTGGTATCCACGAAGATGTGGTACAAAGCTCGCTCTTCGCCATGCTAAGCGCGGCAAGCAATGTAAGTTTTTCCTCTCTCTCCAACAGCAGCAGGAAGAAACCACTTAATGGCTAACCATCATCTCTACAGTTCCTCACAAGTCGGCCAACTAGCCCGCTGCTGAAGCCGGTTGCCGCCGCTCCTCAAGAGACACCCAGTATCATATCTATTCTGGAGCAAAAGGCAAACGGGGTTTAAATGATCAAGAGTGAAAACAAAAAAGGCGTTTGTCGTGTTTATTCCATCCATATTCATGCACCCGCAATCCTTTCTGCCGTGCATTCTCACGAGAGAGAAAAAAAAGTCAGCATGTCGTTGGATACCTAAGCTGTTCTAAATTGAATGACAGCTAGGTAGGTAGCTTAGTTACGACTACCTCTACCAGTTCAAATGTGATTGATAGGAGAGGAAATGTAAATAAAAAAGCAATTGTGTTTAAAAAAACTTACATTACGTGGCTTTTGATAATGTACTCTGGTGGCGTCCCAGAAGTTCGACTTTGCCAGCTTCTCTTGCTTCTGCTGTGAAGCCTCCACACGTTCATCTAGACGCCTTCTCCGAGACTCAGACATTTCACCGCTGTTAGTCCTTTTCTTCTGCTCATTCTCGTATAACCATGATCCAAGTCCTGCGGTTTCCACTGGTATAGATATTTCTCGCAGTATACGAAACTCGTCTAACAATAAAAGTCCCAACTTTGACATTGTCCAAGGTCAAAAATGTATTGTCAACGAGGAAGCTGTGAGCGCGACTTGGGTCAATGTTCCAAAGTATCAACAAAATGCCGCATCATAATCCCTAGCTATTAATCACTGACGCCTATGGAGGTTGGAAAGGATTGCAATGAGGCTGAGGAGCAGACACAATATATGTAGTCAAGGACTTTTATCCGACCACATAGCCTTCAATAGTTGGTGAGCACATTCTTTCTGCAGGAACCAACATCGAGAATCCTTCTCGGTAAAACACGGAATTTCTGGTATATAAGTGATACGGCGATTTAATCCTGTTATTCCGTGTCTGATGCTGAATTGAGATCATGGTAGTGGATCTTCGGCTGAATCGGCAAGACCCCTGTGAATAGTGACAGCTAGAACCAGTAATTGCGTGATGTTCGATGGATCTCCAGCCCACAGGAAAGACAGTGGCAGCTCATGATTCCGGCCCTCGAATTCGATCTGCCACTCCCTGGTTTGGCGGCTACTTCCCTCCAAGCTATACCGCATTTTATACATCTCTTACAACGTGCCATCAGTCTATTGCCTCATTGGTGTATGATGTCGAGATCTTCGGTCAACGGATCGGTCAATAAACGGTTCAAGAGTATTGAACCTCGTAGTATATAATAGAATATTGCGGTATCGTTCTGGCTTGCTGTGTCTGAATGTAATCAATCGGCAAACTCTCAGCAATTACCAGAGTAGACTCATTGTAAATTGTCCGCAATAGGCGACAAAAATGCATTCCAATACTCTCGCTTCTGCGCTTCTACTTGCATTGCTCGCCGAGGCTGGCTCTGCAAGGACTCTCAACACAGTCATTGAAGCTTCATCCATTGCCGGCGCCGTTGCTTCAAACGCCTACCCCCCTACTGGTAGTAAGTTTTTACTCTACATGTACTCCCATCCACACAGCTGTCAATGCAAACAAAGTGCTGATAATTGCCACCACATGTAAGCACACGTCAACTCCAAGTTATTTCCGCAAGAGTCCAAAGTAGGATATCCGGGCCCCACGCCCACGGGAGAGGAACCCGCTGCTATTGAAACTGCTCCCATCTATCCTTATAATCATGGACCTTCAGACAGTTTCCCGCTTGTTGCACCGCAGCCTTGGGGAGCGAGCAAGTTCGACAGGAAAATCGATATTACCAAATACTGGGGCAATCTTTCTCCTTGGTATTCCGTTTCCTCTGCGGATTACGGCCTTCCTGATGCGAGTCCACTCATTCCCGACGGCTGTAACATTGTCCAGCTTCATCTTCTTTACCGTCACGGTGCCCGATATCCCACCAGCGGCGCCGCTCCAGCTACCTTTGCCCAAAAAGTTCACAATGCGACTCAGGCAAAAGGATTCAATGTCACGGGAGAGCTCTCTTTCCTTTCCGACTGGACTTATAAGCTCGGCGCGGAGCTGCTCACTCCCTTTGGCCGCAGTCAAAACTTCAACCTAGGAGTGGCGTATCGTCAGTTGTACGGCCACCTTCTGAACAACTTCACCGCCACCAACACGATTCCCGTCTTCCGCACCGAATCTCAGGACCGCATGGTCAAGACTGCTGAGAACTTTGCCGCTGGGTTCTTCGGAGCGCCCGAGTACTTGGATCAAGTCAACATTGAGATTCTCGTAGAGTCCCCTGGTCTTAACAACTCGGGTGCTCCATACGAAGTGTGCAACAACTCCAACATCGCAAGCCGCGGAAGCATTGGGTCTACAGTGGCAACGGAGTTTGCTTTGAATGCCTTTAACAGCACGATTGCTCGTTTGCAGTCTCAAGTGCGTCAAAACATCACTCTTGGATCATTAGTAACCGCTAATCGTGAATGAACCATATAGATCTTTGGCCTGAATCTGACTGCTACTGATGCCATTGCCATGCTTCAGCTGTGCTCTTACGAAACTCATGCCCTAGGATACTCGGCTTTCTGTAACCTTTTCACCGAAGAAGACTTCCTCAACTACGAATACTACTATGATTTAGTGAGCCTATTGAAGTCTCCCGTAATACTTCTTTTATTGACACGATTAGTCCTTCTACTATAACAATGGCCCCGGTTCCCCAGTTGCCGCCGCCCAAGGCAAAGGCTACCTCCAAGAATTCGTCGCTCGTTTCACGCATTCATTTCCTGCTGCTGACTCCGCCTTGAATCTTACCTACGACGACAACAAAGCATATTTCCCGCTGAACCAGTCCATCTATGCCGATGCGACCCATGAGGTCGTCGTTCTCGACACTCTCACTGCATTCAACCTGACTGCGCTATTCCAAGGCCCGCCATTGAGTCTATCCGGTAACCAAAAGCGAAACACGTTTGTCGCCAGCAAAATTGTGCCTTTTGCCACTCACTTCACTACCCAGATCTTGGAATGCCCTGCGCATATGCCTACACGACAGATTCGATTCTTAGTGTGAGTAGTCAGACTCGAATAAGTGTTATGTCGAGTGCTGATCGTGTTATGCACAGTAATGATGCCGTTGTCCCCATCTCGGATTCTTATCATGGATGTCCAAGGAATGCCGATGGACTTTGTTCTTTCGACCACGTCGTATCAATCCTCCAGAAACGAATTAGCGAGATTGACTTTGACTATGACTGCTTCGCCAACTACACGGCAAAGGCAGGGGTTGACTACAACGGCCGGGCTCCAAGAAAGTGAGATGGAAGAACATGTCTCTTAATGTGATTTACGATGTAATGAACATACACTGTTTAAATTGATGGGGTAGCTTTCCTCTGATTAATAACTAAGCGAAACTTGGAAACAACTTGTGACATTTGATCAAGTCTATCGTCAAGAATTCTACTGTAAACGAAAGGAAAACGATCCATCATACTTTGTCAAAATTCTCTGAGAGTACCCCATACCGAAAGCAACTTCGAATAGATGGGTCATGCGCGTAGAATTCATCAAGCAGCCCTGCCATGCTGTGATTTGTCACTCCTTTAGCCAGTCGTAACCAATGCTGATTAGTTACCGTCGTATCATTCACCCACGCATTCGATCCGTTCGCCGCAGTGATGGTGTTATACCCAAAGTCGTTTGCATACGCAAGCATCGGTCGAACACCTATTTTCGAAACCCATTCAAGGCCCAAAATTCCATACAACATCGTAATCGGATCCCACGACGAACGAACCGTAGAGCCGCGGCCCACGTACCATTGGTAGGAGCTCAAGACTGGAGAATCAGGAGGGCAGCGCTGTGCAAGGTGTTGACCAGAGAAGATGTCACCACCCAGTTCACCACCTGAGTAAGTGACATTGACATTCTTTGGCCAGTGTTGAACGACATATGCCGTGCTGTCCGGATCTTCACCACCAAAGTTGTACTCCCAGCCAGAAGGGTATTGCCCACCCATCACGACCAGCTCGCTCACTTTGGCGGAAATAAGCTGCGAGCCGGATAAGTGGCTTATATGATCTGCTTTGGATCGGAGAAGATGGGCAAGATTGGTGAGAAAGCCGATGGAGATGATGTGGATGCTTCCGTCATCAGCAGAACTCAAAAGTTTACGGTAGAGCTCTACTGGGGTTGGGGTGGAATCCGCTGTTTGAATCTTGCGAGGCCAATTATATGCTAATTTGCTGGCATACTCGCCATATCTGGAACAATTAGGTGGTGGCCCATACATCACCAGCTGTATCATCTGAGGAATACTAACAAATAGAAGTAGTTGTCGAAGAATGTATCATTCGTAACTGGCCGAAAGGCGGCGATGGGGACATCATTGCCGAAATAAGTAGAAAGGGACTGAAGACAAGGGATGGTTAGTAACAGTCCTCTTTGGCATTGGCTTTCGTATGAGCGCACGCATTCACTTACACTTGCCGCCAATGGCCCGTACTGAGATGGCGTATTAATCACAATCCCTCGCAGATTGGCCAAGCCACAGTTGTGTAAAACATTCGCAATTGTCAACGCGCCCACGTCGTCGACGTCGCTGAATAGATCTGTATCGATTATAATGGGCTGGCCTCCTTTCACCGCATGCTCTGTAGCGTGCGCCAGCTTTACGGCACTCGCAATGGCTAAAGCCAGAAAAGGGGTGAGGCGCATCTCGATCTGAGCCCCGAGATAATATTGTCCCGTCCAGAGTTGTGCAAGGTTGAGGCTTTCTGGAACGAGAGATTCTTGAATCCAGCTTCAAGTCACAATACCCCGCATGACTACGGGAATACAGATATTAATGTGTGGCGGTGAAGTTGCCTGCACCAAGGGCTACGGACTTAATTTATATGATTTGTCAACAATATGCACTACCTATTGACCAACTAGTTCATCTACCAGGCAAATCAAGATCTTCATGCCAAACAATATGAAGTTTTCTTTCATCCATGGTGGCATTGGCAAATCTATGTAGGCTTGGCCGGATATCCGCTCACATCTTACCCTGCAAATGGGCATGTGGCGGCGGCATGTCCACATGCACTCTTTGACAGCGGTTCAGCAGCTTACACTGAAATCCATATGCACAAGGGTGGTTTTGATGTTACCATAACCCATCTCAAATCGCTTCTACGGCATCTTTCCGACTCCCTGGACGCAGATTGTGGGAATACAGATCCACGGAGTCGGAGCTGGAGATGCCATGCTTCAGCCATCAAACCCATCCGCACTGTATGCTAGGTTAACATCGAGTTCCTATGTACACTGTTGCCCGGCAGGATCGGTTTGGACGTCCACGGCACAATACAACTTAGGCTCTACATCTCATCTATCAGGGTACATGTACGTAGCATGGGAAATCTGCGCACTGAATTCGGTCACGGCCCGACTGTGGAAAGCCAATATCACAAGCCACTCAAGATAACGATGTTGGCTGTGTTAGAGTTACAGCCATGTATCATGTATCATGTATGTGTAAGAGCTTCGTACACATTCACCAGTTGAATCACCCCTTGGCAGCTTCACAGGCCAACTTTCCATGCTCACATGACAATCAACTTCTCCTCGCTTCCAAATCTCCCGAGAAGCTGGAAACAAGCCCTGAGATTCTCAACTCCGCTCAAATACTTCCCCAAACACGGGATCTAGTGCTCGAGCTCTAGCCTTTGACGAGTGGAGCCACTACGAAAGGCTCTGGCGCCGGGACTGAAGATGGTGGAGTTCTGTCAAGAGGCTATAAAAGTCCCCCTTTTGGGAGAAAGTCTAGCGTGGATCTTGCAAATGGCTTTCTATGATGCTTCTACTTCAAAGTGCCGAGTGCCCCCCACATTTGCCTATCAAACTTCAGCAAAGCATCAGAGCCCCGACAACATGATACCCAAGAAAAGAGAAACTTGTCCTCAGCCACGTTGAAAGTCTCTGGAAGCAGACTGAATCTACCCTAATGACAAATTAACGAAGCAGCTGTTTGAATCACGCGGAGCTATGCGAAACGGCCTTGTCCGTGGCTGACTCTGTGAATCCCGAACTCGGGAATGGCTTACACAAATACGGCACACAGTACAACACTTCCTCCGCCTTGGTGATTCGTGAGCGCGGACCGGACCCTTTCAGACGCTATTGGATTATAGCAAGAAAAAATTGGAAAGATATTTCCTCAATTCATTATTCAAACGTTCCAAAACAAGTTGAATTCCATTTCCGCTCTCGGCGTTGAAGCAAAATTATAAACTGGTGTGGCTGTTTTGCCTCGTCGGCTTGTTGCCAGTACCGTATGGATAGCCCCATATGCGCACTGTTACATGTTCCATGCCGGAGCCAGACTTACACCAACGTAGCTTGAGAATCTCCCTTGCGGCGTGTCCCCCAGAAACCATCTAGATCGTCAATTTCTCTACTCCACAGAGAAAACAAAGTGGCTGCAATGTAGATGTAGATGTAGATGGTCCCCCTCGAAAACCAAACAAGGAGTCATGTTGCCCTCATGAGGCCTTCAACCTGAACCTTGCGAAAGAGTCACTCGACATACTCTCCATTTGTAAATCTTCCAAAACACAATCTATCCAATGAGTACAATCCGAAAAAAAAAAAACTAGAAACGGCTTCCAAAGCGCCACGCCAGCCTCGCCCGCCACCAAAAGCCTCAACCCACGGCTTATTCCAGAGTCCCATCCTCACCCCCTTTACGGCCCTTTTCTACCCCCTTGCACAAACAAACCACCCCAGAGCATCCCCTCCATGGTCATCTCCAGGTTTTTCTTCTTTTCCCCAGCTCCCGAGTTCCTAAAAGAAAAACAACTTGACCCGTTCGGGGCTGGACTAGACGCCTGGTTTGGCCTCTTCTCCGCAAACTTCCCCCACAAATCGTAGAACAAATAGCTTCAGCTTCGAACCCCCCCGGGGCAAGTTAACCCACGCTCCACTCCTCCAGGAGGAACGTCTTGCTACATGTATTGCCAATCACGATGTAAGTGTATGGCTTCGGAAGGAATCATTAGGTTTGCGGCATACCCCATCGGTGTGGGCTAGTTTTTGCTTTCGCCCCAGAACCCAAGCAGTGGCCTCCTGACGCACACGATGGAAAAGTCCCCTTGGGCGTAAAAGTAGCTTTTTGGTGTATTGTAAACTATAAAAGGTCTGCCGTATCCTCTTCGTCGGTTGGACTCGAGTCTTGACTGCTCTTTTCTATTCCCACAATCTTCCACGAGGCTCCCCAGGCTCCTGCTCGAGGTTATACATCGACCTACCCAGAGTCCATATTCCCATACCTCATCTTCAGTAACACTGCTTCCACCACAATGGGTGTGCTTGATAAAGTAAAGATACCCAAGCCCGACGATGAAGCCGGCGCCTCATGGCCCGCCATCGCAATGGGCTTCTTCGTCGCCTTTGGCGGTGTCCTCTACGGGTAAGTCCAGCAAATCTCCTCCACATCATACAAGTCCATCTTGACTTCGCCTTGCCAACACGTCTCCAGATACGACACCGGCACTATCAGCGGCATCATGGCCATGCCATACTGGAAAGACCTCTTCAGCACCGGCTACCGCAACGCCAGCGGCGCCCTCGACATCACAACCTCGCAAGAGTCGTCCATCGTGTCCATCCTCTCCGCGGGCACCTTCTTCGGCGCCCTCGCCTCCCCGCTGCTGGCAGACTTCTTCGGCCGCCGCCCTGCCCTGATGATCTCGACCTGGGTCTTCAACCTGGGCGTCGTCCTGCAAACCATTGCCGCCGCCATCCCCATGTTCCTCGCCGGTCGGTTCTTTGCCGGCTTCGGCGTCGGTTTGATCTCTGCCCTGAGTAAGTCATCCTCATCATCCTCCTTTACATCAACCATCATCATCGTCTTCTTCTCTGACAGAGCATCGTCAACCAGTCCCCCTCTACCAGTCCGAAACAGCTCCCAAATGGATCCGCGGCGCCATCGTCGGCGCCTACCAACTCGCCATCACAATCGGCCTCCTCCTCGCCGCCGTCGTCAACAACGCAACCTCCAACCGCCCCGACTCCGGCAGCTACCGCATCCCCATCGCCGTCCAGTTCGCCTGGTCCCTCATCCTCTTCCTCGGCATGATCTTCCTGCCCGAGACCCCCCGCTACCTGGTCCGCTCCGGCAAGCTCGACAAGGCCACCGCCGCCCTCTCCCGCATCCGCCGCCTGGCCGCCGAGCACCCGGCCGTCGCCGCCGAGCTCAGCGAGATCAGGGCCAACCTCGAGTACGAAACCGGCCTCAGCAAGGCCACCTACCTCGACTGCTTCCGCCCGCCCATCCTCAAGCGTCAGTTCACCGGCATGGCCCTCCAGGCCTTGCAGCAGCTGACGGGCATCAACTTCATCTTCTACTACGGCACGCGCTACTTCCAGAACTCGGGCGTCTCCAGCGGCTTCACAATCTCCATGATCACCTCCGCCATCAACGTCGCCTCCACCATCCCCGGCCTCCTCGCCATCGACCGCTGGGGCCGCCGCCCTCTCCTCCTCGCCGGCGCCGTCGGCATGTGTGTCTCGCAGCTCATCGTCGCAGTCTGCGGCACCGTGTCCACCGGCCAGCGCGACAACGGCGACATCTTCGTCAAGAACCTCGCCGGCCAGCAGACCGCCGTCGCCTTCGTCTGCATCTTCATCTTCTTCTTCGCCTCCACCTGGGGCCCCCTCGCCTGGGTCGTCACCGGCGAGATCTTCCCCCTCACCACCCGCGCCAAGTCGCTCAGTATGACCACCGCCACCAACTGGCTGCTCAACTGGGCCATTGCCTACTCAACCCCTTACCTCGTCAACTACGGCACGGGCTTCGCCAACCTGCAGTCCAAGATCTTCTTCGTCTGGTTCGGCGCCTGCTTCCTCTGCATCGCCCACGTCTGGTTCTTCATCTACGAGACCAAGGGCCTCAGCTTGGAGCAAGTCGACCAGCTCTACAGCGAGGTGTCCAATGCTCGCAAGTCCGCCACCTGGGTGCCTTCCGAGACGTGGGAGCAGCACCAGCATGCCGTCGAGAACTCTGAAGGCACGACTATGACACCAAACGAGGAGTCTGGCTCAAAGAGCCTCGACACGGCTCATGTTGAGGAGAAGGATCGAAGCGCCACAGTCGGAGAGGAGATGAGATGAGAGATGTTTTTGGTAGTGTACGTGGGCGGAATCTTCCAAATTCGTGTTCTGCGCTGTAGTATTTATATGATTGGATATCGTATTAGCCTGTCCATGACTTGGAATGGCGTTGCCATCTTGAAGTATTAGATGGTAATCAAGGAAGAAGGGAAGAATACATCAATAGCCACTTTTTCATTCGCAAAGAGAGAATCCTCAAGGTGTATTCTCCGCTTGTGTGTTTGATAGTTCTGCCAGTCGTTGAGCTCATAGTCTAGCTCACACGGAGGCTATAATATGTGTTTCGGTTTACTTTTTTGGCTCAACTAATATGTTTGACGTTCGTGATTCCCCTTGTTTATTTGATGTTTCAACAGTATGGAGGTGTTACTGTTGAAAAGCTCATGAATGTTAATAGAGACATGTACGTATTTGTTGGCAATTAGGGATGTGAAATTGCATCATGTTAGAAACACCTACAGGTACACTTTGTAAGAAGAGTATTGAGCCAATGCTATCCTTTGTGTCATTGAATGGAATAAGTCTATTTCAAAAGTAGTGTTCTTAGGTATAACAGCATCATTCTCTCCGCAAACAGCACCTCAACCCTAGAGACCGCGGTATCCGACCACAACGCAAGACGGAAGATAGGATAAAAGGATTACACAGTAACACTCGGTAACAAGACCATCCGAGTCTACTGCACCTCGCCATTTCCCACAATACTCTTCTTCCTATCTTTGACTCCGCCTTCCAGTGTCGCATCCTTGGCGCTGTCATCGACATCCAAGCCTTTGCTTTTAGAGTCCTGTGTTTCTTTGGCATCTTCCTCCGTAGCTGTATCCTCATCTTCGGAATCGGCATACGGGTTAGGACGCACCACCTTTAGCGTAATGACTTCCTTGGCTTTGTCTTCCTCATCAACCTGGTGGTAGACTCGCAGTCCAACCACGACAACCGCGTTCCAGGGGTCTCTTTCAAACTCATCAAGCTCGTCTTCGAACCTCAGAGATGGCGGGGTCACGATGACGGGTTTGTTCAACTGGTTGTTCATAAAGGCTTTGACTTGCAAGTCCATCTCATGGTCAGAAAGTTCAGAGAGTGATGCGATACTTATAAGGCCACCGTCACTCTCGGATTCATAGTATGACGAGCTTGGTGGTGGATCGCCCTGAGAAATTGACCGGCCTACTCTATCTGCCGGTGGGATAGATTTTGGACCTCTCTTTTTCGTCTTTGATGCTCCTGCTCCGTTAAGAGAAGATGGCACTGCATGGTTGTCGTCTGACTGGTCACGTCGTTCACCATCGTCTTCGTGAGGTTTGTCTATTTCCTTGTCGCCTTTCTTGAGTCTGAGCCTTCTTTCGGTATCCTTTGCCTTTTGCTTTTCCTTTCGCTTCTTTTCACGTCTCTGGATCCTCGATAGCTGTTTAACGTTGAGATGGTGGTCATCTCTTCGACGTTCAAGAATTTTCGCTTTGAGCTCACGCTGCTCTTTGTCCTTGACGCGCTTCGCATGTGCTTCTCTTGCAGCCTTCTCTTCTGGACCTTCCACGATCTTGCCTTTGCTATGTGCGAGATCGTAAGCGAGACCGATACGGGTCAGCTTCTCTCGTCGCTTCTTGGCATTATTTCGGATCACTGTCTCAATTGGCAAGATTCTGTCCATACGAGTCGCATCAATCTTGACACGAATATCATACTCGCCTGCCTCCAGGTCGAGTTCGACATTGACAGAGCGCCTCATGCGATATGGCGCCTGGCTGCGAACGAGATAATCCTCATGACCAGCTTTATGGACGCGAAACGCCAGCTCAAACCTGTATTGGCCATGAAGTCCACGGAAATATCGGTCATCTAACTGCGCCAGTACGATGACGACTGGACCGGGTTTGGTAATGCTTAAAGAAAAATGAGTGTCGTGATAGTCCAACATCCAGGGAACGTTGACAGTGGTCCAGATTTGAGATACCTGCCACGTCTCATCAAAAAGGCGAGTCCTCTCAAAGGCTTGGTATTTTTGCAGCAAGTCCTCGTAGGCGATCCAAAAGTCTCCGTCGTCGCCAAATCGATGATCCAGCTTCTCGAGCCATTCAGGAGTCCATTCCTTGGAGCCGTCACCTATCATTTGTTAGCATCCTCTTGCCACTGGGCCATCAAAAGATCTGCCTACTCCAAGGTCCTTTCCATTCTCCTTTGCCCCATGGATTTTTCAGTCGAAGTAATCGGTTGCCGTCAATGTCCACAGCTTTCTGGATGGAGTAAGAATGAAGCTCAAGAATCCCCTTTCGCTCACCCCAATTCACCCCCCAGACGCCCGTGCTGCAACCAAAGAGAAAATCTTGGTTTACCTTGAGCAGCTCCTCCTTCCAGAAATACTCCTATTGCCATGTTTAGTCATTGCCATGTCTCGGTTACTGTGCGAGTCCTCACCTTGTCGAGAATGTCGGTGGTGAAAATCTCAGAGGTGACTCCGCCAGTGAGATCCTCAATGCCTTCGCCGCCATAACCGCCTTCGATCGCAGCGTAGTCTCCATGAGCCTTTGCATAACACTTTTCAAGAAGCGGCAGCCAAGTCTCTTGCGGATGTTGACACTGAGCAAAATACAGAGCACTGCTGTTGGACTGGTACACCTTGCGGTAGGCTTCTTCCGGATTAACACGCTCCAGCTCGTCAAAGAGGACTCGCTCCCAATGCTTCTCATCGTAGTCGGACTTGGTGAGATAGAGCTACAAGACATCAAGAATCAGCATCATCCCTCGACGAAAACAATAAGAAGACTCACAAAATCATCCACAATCTCGGAAATCCACTCTCCGTCCCTGTAAAAGACAAACCCATACACACCAACATCCTGATCATGCGCCACGCACAGCTTCTCAATCAGCCCCTTCTTGTTGCTCAGCGTACACAACGCCGACATGAGCCAGCAGTCCCCATCTCTCCCCTGCCTCACGTCGTTAGCCGTCGGGCCCTCGATGTAAAACTGCGGCTTGTCAAATATCTCCACGACGCGTTTGGCGCTCCCAGGCCGAAAGTCCTTTCCCGGGTTGTCGAGCGGTTCAAAGTTGGAGAGCGATTCCAGGCAATCACGACGACAGAGCTTCAGGTCAGCCTCGAGGTCAAAGTGCGGATCTCGGTACCTTTTGTTGACTCGACGGCACTCCTGGACAATCTTTTCGACCTTGGCCCGGCACATAGCCGCCGCGGTTTCGTAAGATGCTTGAGTGGTTGTTGACGAGGATGCAGCCTTGGCATTCTTCCGAGCGACCTTGGCAGTGTATGGATTCTGCGGTATCACAGTCGTCGCTAGGACGGTAAATTACTTCATTAATAACGACATCATCTCATGAATACAAACATCAACGCATCTCAAGTCTCAAGGCTCCGTAATGACTCACCTTTGCCAGGCGCCTTTGTCGTAAACTTTGCCCAAAACTCATCAATCGCCTCTTGCGGCGTCTGGTGCTTCACCAGCTTCCGTGGGCGAAACGGAATGGGATCCTGAGGCATCATATAGTCATCGTTCCCTCTCGGATAGATGCGACGTCCCGACCGCGACCGCCGGGTGCGGATGCTGTTGCGCGATCCGAAGCTGTTGTTGTCGCTGTCACTGTTGACAAACGACATTGCGAAGAAGCCCAGCGGCCAGCCAGACGCAAAGCAGATGATGGCAAGAACGAATGGAATGGATGCTTTTTAGAAAAGATGAGAAGCCGCGATATAGACTCTTCTGTGAAGTGCGATTTGGCCGCCTAAAAGCTAATCGGTGTAAACGACTCGTCTGTCTCAGCTGGTGAGACTGTGCGCCAAAGAGAAAGGAATCGCCAGCCCTAGGGCGGCAATCGAACAGACGCGGAATATCAGTCAAGGTTGCCAAACGAGGCAAACAAATTATCACGATTCATCAAATATAACGGTACACTCAATCGGTTTCTTCAAGCAAACAAAATGTGAAATTCGCTCATGTGTGGTGTAGAAAATAGTCAGGCTACATCTCAGAAACACCAAAAAGCCTGCAGCTAGGCAACCATCACAGCTCAGCTGCGTCTACAAGGCTGACCCGACTGACTGATCCCCTCTCCCTTACCGTTTCACGTCTACAGTACGGTACATGCAATCTAGCAAGACTAACATGCAGTAAACCTGCTGGTCTGTTGTCACAGGCCCCCCCGCGCTTTAAGCATACATTACCTACTTGTACGGAGCGCGCTGTTCGCCAGAACACAGACCGTCGGTCTAGAACTCTATGTCGCCTTGCCTACGGCCAATAGTCCGAGCAGATGCGCAGCCAATTGGAGGCATCATCAATGCTTCCTGGCCTGCAGATTGGGGGCCGTCGACGCTATTGGATAGACTGGCTGGTGGATGGGTGGGTTCTCTGTGTAGGTGCATTTACCTTAGGCATGGAGCTGGATATTAAGCCACCACCAGCATGTCTGGAGAATGCAAGCTCCAAGGAACCGGGCACAGAGGTTGCATTCTGTTCCCCCTGTGCGACTCTGACTATACGTACGCGTCAGGGGATGCGGTAGCCTCGGAATGGCGGCAGAAAGAGAGAGAGATCCTGAGAGAGGCGAGAGTAATTGAAGCTCAATAGAAGAGTCTGCGAAGGGTCAGTAGCATCACATTGATCTCAGCGAATAGATGAAACAATGCGACCGAACTTGAGCCTCGTCGACGCTTTGCAATCCGATACTCACCTGGAATCCATTGGCGGCGTGTCGTTGATTGATGCAATACGCTGATCGTTGTCGCACTGGCATAAACTTCCGCTCCCTTTTCTGTCCAACAACCTCGTCTTGCATCAACCCTTCCTCGCTCGCCTTGAGACAACACACATGCACAGACATCTACACACACGCTTCATCACACCTAAACACAAACGCGCCAGCGCCACCAGTTGCTGTGTCGCCGTCGCCATCAGAAGAGGGTTTCATGACAGGATTTCTTCTTCATCTTCCTCATCTGCGCTTCTCCGTTTGTCATATTTTACTGTATCATTGCATCTTCCGCTTCTCCCAGCTGTCCTCTGCTCCGGCAGCCACGCCAACCACTCCGAAACCACGGGCAACGTTTCTATGCCCGTGGTCCCATTTCCCTTGACAATCTTGGGGACGTGCTCGTATTCTCCATGCCGCCCAGCCATTGGATCGCACAGCTCCTATCTCCTCTCAGCATCCTCAAACTGCCCAGTTCTTCAAGACATCTTGCATCCACCGCCTTGGCACGCGCGCGCGCTCGTGTGCCCTAGGAGGTGACAGCCGTCATTTGGCGTTGTAGCCAGAGCCTTCGAGCCTGCACATATAGGGCAAACCCGAGGCCTGCATCGGCTCAACGACAAGTGATGCTGTGTGCAGCCCCAAGAGCAGCGCCGCCGATTCAAGCTCATCACAACATCATACACACACACAGCCTCGCGGGGTATATCCATCGCATGTGCCTAAAGTCTTTAAAGTCGTCAAGAGCTACGTTGACAGCGTCTGTCGTTTCAGTCCGTAATATGTAGGTAGTTCCGAGTGATGTGATCCAAAGTTAAATTCGTTTGAAAGATGGGGGGTATGCCCAGGAACCGGTTCGGAGAGACCCCATGCGTAGCCAAGGGGTCCTCCAAAATCGGACGCTCTTCAATTTGAGAAAATGTGTATAAGAAAAAAGAAAATTTGACGCTTCCGATATCGTCGTCGCTGTCGCCGTCATTTTCGCTCATTCCTTTTTCACGCAGGAGGTAGGGGGCTGCAGGAAAATGTATGTTTTTTTGCCGTCGCCATTCTCTCGTACGATTACTTCTGCGATGAGAAAGTGAAAGAAGAAGAAAATAAACAGACGCAGCGTGAACCGAAGCCAAAGAAAGACTCCGTGTAAGCCGATGAGAAGAAATGTTGCCGACCATCCGATGTAAAAAAGAGGGGAAAATAATAAATAGAAAAGACCAAAATCAAGGAGGCACAATCTGGGGGTGTGCAGCGAAAAGATATGTTGCGTCAATCAGAAAAAAAAAGTTGAAACGAGAAATCCGGCCTAGGATCCAGAGTTTGTTTTTTTGGCTTTCCTTTTTGTTACACCTCGTGGATACTGCCCTAGGCCAGTTGCCCGTCTGCCACGCCGCCAACCACCACGGGAGGAGGGCGTCAGACGGAACACCCGCGACGTCTAGGCGACGGGAGCAATGGGGGCCACGGGGGGAGCGGGTACGTTGTTAAGGTCCACGACCTCGTTGTTGATCTCGGTGCTGTTGTTCTTCTGAGGGCAGTCGCGGGAGATGTGGCCGGCCTCGCCGCACTGGTAGCAGGTCTTGCCGGCGGTGTTCAGGGGGCCGCCGTTGGGGGCGGTGCAATCCCTGGAGATGTGGCCAAGCTTGCCACAAGCATAGCACTTCATGGCCTGAGCCTGGCAGTCACGAGCAAAGTGGTTGGGGCCACCGCACTTGTAGCAAGTAGCCGGGCGAGGGCCGTTGGAGAAACCTCCGCGGCCATAGCCGCCAACGAAGCCGCCACGGCCCATGGGAGCGCCACGGCCCATACCGGCATTACCGGGGTTGGGGCAAGCACGCTGCAATGGTCATGTTAGCACATCTCTCGATGGCGCATCGTTGTCCGGGGGGGGGGGGGGGGGGGGGGAGTGTAAAACGTACAGCCAAGTGTCCAGGCTGGCCACAGTTATAGCAGCGGCCGCTGGTGGCAGTGCCGCTCAAGCGGAGAGTAGGGCAGTCGGCCTGGACATGTCCAAGTCCCTGGCAGTGGTAGCACTGCTTCGCCTCGGTAGAGCGAGGAAGGGGGCAGCCGTTAGACTCGTGGCCTGTCAAGGGAGTTTGTTAGAAGCAGGGATGGCGGAGGAGTCGGGATTCGCTTCCAAGATGCATACCTGGCTGCTTGCCTATTTTCCAACCTGTTAGCCGAGTGTTCCTAGTTCCAATGTCCAAAGTAGATGATTGCACGTACAGTTGTAGCAGAGACGCTCGGCAGAGGAGCAAACCTCGGCGTAGTGGCCAACGTTGCCACACTTGTAGCAAGCACGACGAGAGAGAGAAGACATTTTGATGATGTGTTATGTTCTGGTCAAGAAAACGAGGTTAGCAGATGTGCCGGGAATTTGCAAAACCCCCATTTTATATGCCATTAGATCGCTCAAGTATCCATATGCCATGCCCAGTCAAAGTTCAACCGCATAATCCGTTGACAGGCGCCGGGAACCAGGAAAACCACCAGGACCACTAAAACCTGGCGGGCCCATGGATTGTCGCGGGGCTTGTTCGAAACGCCGTTGCTAGCTTGGCTGCAAGAAATTCCCTCGCTAAACTGCTGCAGGGTATTTGGGGGCAAAAAAAATCTGACAGGGCAGAGAAAAGAGCGTTGGCGATTCGAAGATTCTGTAGATGAGGTGTGTCATCTTTGTCGACGAGGCCAAGATCCAGGCAGCTTCGATGGAGAAGACGCTTTGCCGACGGCTCGGTGTAAATGCAGATGCATCACAATCGATACGGTCTGAAGCATCCTTGAACGACACGGCAGCAGAAGTATGCGGATTGCGCAGATTTCATCTTTGCAGTAGAAGGCCATCGCCATCGCCTCGGTCATGCAGGGCAGAGAGAAGCCAGGTCTTCTTGGCCATCTGATGAGCCAGACACGCACAGCATATAGCCGCCGCAAGTGATGCGATCATCCCCTCTCCACTAACCGAAGCATGCGCGGAACGACCTTGTAATCATCGTGCACCTGCGCTGGCCGCAATATCAATATCGGAGTCGAAATCGGAGTCGCACCGCATGGATCGTGTCGCACACAGTCGCACAGATATGGCCTTGATCACGGACCGAGCTGCCGCCACGGAATCGGAGCAGCGGGGAGAGGAGCAAGTCGGGTTGGCTCCCATCTTTGCATCAAATAACCGTAGAATGATAGAAGACGACACTGGCAGGGCTGGGCGCGCAAAACACCGGTTGAACTTTGACAGGGCGATGGCATATTCCGTCGCAGCGGACAAGAGGACATAGCCTTTTCTTCTTCTTTTTTTGTGGGCGCTGAGGAAATAGGTGGGCAAATACACACCTGGTGAGGAAAAAAGATACTGCGTCTCGTAGAGAGTTCTGCTTTCAGCAACGCGAAGTGATTCCGACAACTGCGACAACAACGGCGACGTCCACCAACAAACTAATGGATTCCGGGATTGGAAAAATTTTCTGGTCGTGAGGAGAGCAAGTATTATGATCGAGGGAAAAGGGAAAAGTAGGGAAGTGGAGCGGCGTGGACGAGGGCGAGGGAGCGACTGGAGGGATCAACCATTGGGTGCAGCGAAATGCAGGCCAGTCTCAACTGATTTGATGCGAGTGGGTGCAGCGGCCAGCTAGTGCGTGCACCACGGGTGTTCTGATGCGGTTCGTCCACTGAGGCTCCGGGGCGTTGCCTCCCTGGAAGTGCGCGCTGAGGCATCAACACTGAATCAATCAGGGCGCTGCAGGCAGGGCCCTTCCCGCTCTAGCAGGGCCGCCCCACCGCTAGCGCTCTTGGGGGAGAGGTGAGGGGTTGCAAGTTCGCCACGGGTGCGCAAAATGGCTGGATGGATCACCCGCAGCGAGGGGCGATACCTACGAGGTACATGCAGGCATGAACGGTGCCTCTCACGTGTCATCGTTTCCTCAAGTCGACTGAGCTTCCACAGCAAAAAGAAAACATATCATCGTGCATAATGGCGCGAGTAGTAGCAGATGCGACATCAAACATCACCTTAATAGGCACTTGGCAACCTCGCTAACTCTACCAGGAGGCGTATTCCTACTGCGACTATACATGCAAGGTACCAACCTGCAAAAGAAACGCTGGGCTGCATCCCATCAAAAAGTCCACTGCTACTCCGGCCACAGCCAACAACCAAATCCACGCATTGACCCGGCCCGGGCCAATTAATTCCACCCCAAAAAACACCGCAGTAATCCCCCCCAAAGTATCCTCGCCGTACTTCGTACAACCACCAAATAAAAAACAACCAGCCCGTCCTTCTCCTTCCGGACTAGCAAGCCCACGCCGCTCTCCAGAAGCTCCCCCAAAATGCGATCCCGTGATTGTCCATCCAAGGCGCATGGCAACGTGTCCCGAGCCCTTTTACTTCTATTACGCCGTAACCCTTGCCTTGTCTTGCCTTGTCTTGCCTTGCCTTGCCCTCGACACCCCAACGCAACAAAATGCTGTTCGAATTCAGCGCGTAATCCGCCAAAAACGAACAATCCTGGTGTGGCGGAACATTTGCCTCGGTGCCAGGGATGCTCGCCCAAAACGAAGATGACGCCCGGAGTTCGATGATGACGGGGCTTACCCTTTTGGAGGCATCAAGCACTCGTGCACGCAAGTAGTCTCCAGCTGCTGTACTCGTACGGCCTCCAGATGGGTTGGAGGGGAATACGAAGCCTAGCCAGTTCATTTCAAGCCTTCCATTGATCCGTTTCTCCAAAATGGCTGCAGCATCAGCATCCAACTCAGCGCGCTACTACTAGCATTAGTGGGCGTCCCAACACCGACGCATCGAGGGAAAAAAGACCAGCCCAGCGCTGCTCCAAACATTAATTTCTCAGCTGTGCATGCATCTGGCAGCCAATCATGACGCCTTCACCCGCCGGGAAAGGGAACCGGCCCAGTTCTCGACCGACGCCTGGACAGGGCAAGGGGCCGTGAGCCAAGACATGGATGGGAAAAGTGGCCCATGTGTGACTGACAATCAAAATGTGAAAGTGCACGTACAAGTATTACATGGTACTTCTCGAGTAGCAGTGCAAACAAAAGGGCGAGTGAGCGAAAAAGCTGCCAGAGTGGGCACTTCAAAACCATGGACGGGCATCCTATATTACCAAGAACGCCGTCGACAAGGCGGCAATATACAATCCGCCGCCTCCAATCTGGCCTGGATGCATCCCCCATGTACCACCATGCCTGTAATTTCATGCCGTTGACGCCCAAGAAAACACCGGGAGAAATCAAACCCAAGACAAGCCCCTTGACCGTTTTCCAGCTACCTACATACCCACAGCTGCCTCTCAACTCGCAGGTGGCAGCCCAGCTCTGCCTCGTTCTGAAGGATGCACCGGCTGGTGCTCGCCTTCTGATGACGGAGCAATAGACCGAGGCACCGCATCAACCACGTATGACACTCCATCCTCGGAAATGTAGGACGGCGGCCTCGGTCCCGCTGTTGGCGGAGGAGGCGTGGGCTCAGCATCATTCCGCTGCCAGAAGAAGCGGTTTGGATCCACACGCTGGATGTCATGTTAGCTCGGTCCTCGTCAAGATATCCCTCGAAATGCCTGTACATACCACGCTCTCTCGCCAGAGTCCGTAGGCGGGCGGCTTCATCGTCATGGCTTCATTTTCGGCGCCGGCAGCTTCTTCATCTTGGGCCATCACCACTCGTATGGGGTTGCGAGGAACGGCATATCCACGCGGGTCTATGGCTCTAGGAATGTCTGGCGGGTCTCCGCGAACAACCAGCATCCATAGCCGAATGAGGCTGTAGCAGAAGAAGACTCCGGCCAGAAGAATGATCATGATCAACATGATGTTCAGCTCGCCAATAACAACATGTTTTGTTAGTGTAAGACCCAGATCTGTGGCGGATATCAGCATTTGAGATCACTATTTTGGACGCTGTGCAACACCCAAAGAAGAAGAAAAAAAAACCACATGTCCACTTACACACTGCCAGCAGCGAAAAGAGAAACACGGCAGCCACGAAACACATTGCAAGCTGCGCTCGCACATGCCTCGACTTGATCCATGGCAAGCAGAACAAGAAACGCTTCGGCTTATTCTGCTTCACCGGCCGTGGCTGCTCGTCCCTCACTTCAGAATTCATAGTCTCCAGGGCCGCACGACGGGCGTCCGATGCTGCCAGGACCGCCGGCTGAGGAACAACCGGCAAGCCTCCCGGTCTAGCCATGCTCATGCGGTAGACAGGCGGCGAGTTTGACCGTCTCGAGGGCAACACGGGCGTCTTTGGGCTCTCCAGAGCAGCCTCCTCGTCGCCTGCCCTCCTCCGGCCCAGTGCTAGGTGCGGTAACAGAAGTCGTCTGGGGAATTTGTGGCTCGTGTTCATCTCTCGCATGATGGTTTGTCGACGTGAGGCGAGGACTTCGTTCTGGTTCCGGTCTTGGGTGGTGCTTCCACGTTGCTCTCCTCGCGCTCTTCTGAGAAGCTCGCTGCGGAGCAGCTCCATGCTTCCTTCTGACGGCATGTTGCTTATTCGTTAAGTCTTTTTTGTGGTTGATATCATGAAAGTTGTGGAGATTGGTAGGTGAGTGTCTCTCTCTCTCCGGTCCTGTCGCGGCGCAGCCGTAACTTGTTGGGAAATTTTCGTATGACGTCGGATAAAAAAAAAGAATGAGATGCAGCGAGCGGATTTCGATGTGTTCGAGTGTGTGTATAGAGAGGGAGAGAAAAAAAACAAGTGAATGATATCGAGGGAAAGACGAGAACCTGCTCAACTAGAAGAAGAATAAAAAAGACACAGAGACGGAGAGAGGAGAGGGAGAAAGAGAGAGTTCAAGTCGCCGCAAAGATTAAAGGAACGAAATAGGATGAATCGGTAGTAGGAAGGGGAGCAAGCGAAGAGAAAGCGAATAGGTAAAGAAAGCTTGAAGAAGAGAAGACGACAGCAAGGAAAGAATAAGGTAGAGCGCGCAATCAATACATCGATGTAATGTAGAGACTACCCAACGAAGAAAAGAGCAAGAAGGCAAGAAAGCACAACTCCAGTAACCAGCTGGAAGGGCAGTCCTCGCTCTTACGAAGCCACAAGCACAGACACAAGACACAGGCACAGACACAGACACACAGCGAATGTAAGACGGAAAACCCGCCCTGCGTCCAACTGGCCCGAGGAAAAGAAGAAGAAAAAATAGGGTGTCGTCACGTTGGATTGCGAAGCCAGGAGGGCCGCTCTCTCTCTCTGGCTGGCTCGTATCGCCTCTCCCCCCCGCCAGCCACTCTGTATCAAACCAATCCAATATCCAATGTCATTCAACGAAATCAAACTTGATCCGAGTGGTCGTGCAGGGGCTGCCCAAAACCAGGGGCTGGGGTTAAAGGCAAGGGTGCCTTGAAAGAGTTGAGGCCGTGTTTCAGCCCACGCAGCTCCGCCACCAATGGATTTTTTCGCTGCCGCCAAACGCCCTCACCGGGGGGGACCTGATACGGCCCCGGCTGGCGCTCCCCTCGAGAAAATTACATGTTTCGCGATTCGCACCGATTGTTTGATGCAAGTCTGGAGAAGGAAAGGATGCGAAGGGCTAGTGCGAGCATGTGGCGGGAAAGCTGTTGGACTTGGACTTGGACTTGTATGGGGTGGGCATGAGAGAGAGATTGGCGAATGGCCTCTTTGCTCCATCGCATCGTGATGGACATGTACGAGTAGGCACAGACACAGACTAGCAGTTTTGAGCAAGACGGGCTGTAATATAATCCAGGCTGAATGGGAACGTGCTTTACCGGGGTGTGTTATTTGCACAGTCCCAGTAGTTCACTCATTCACGTATTAGTATTGTAGGTTCCTTGTTACAGGCGAGCCGCGGTTGTGACAAACATTTAGCGTGACGGCGCTTATTATAGAACGCAGCAGACTTGCACCGAAACAAGATAGCTTCATGTGATGAGGAGCCGCCTCATTTCCTCTCAACGGTTGGTAATAACCCCCAGAAAGATTGTGTTATTATTCTTGCAATTAATACCACCATCATCGTCAAGCAGCGCAATCATTGCCACACCACCTTCTTGTGTGTATTCTTGAATCATCCAGTTGTGTTTTATATTTCCCTTCAACTCCCGGTATCGCTTTATAATCCAGTAATAACTAACATTGACGCCATGATCGCCATGATTTGGGTTCTTTTTTTCTTTCCTGAATATTTCCTCCCTCCAAATGAAGAGCATTAATGATCGAGTATAGTAGCACATGTCTGAAATGGACATGCTATACAAGGCTCAGTTGTATGTGAAGCCTGCTCGATGCGTACAAGTCGGCGGTTGAAATGGGCGAAGCAAGACACCATAGCCAACCTCATCTCATAGGTAGCCGCCACCTGGGCTCTAATGAGACTGGAACATTCATCAAGCTGCATTGGGCTTCTTTCCCATGAGTTCCCGCAGCTGGGTATACCGGTTGCGTAGTTTACACATGACCGTTACAGCCCAGTCACGCAAGGTTCTGGATACCTCTCAACTCACTTTAACTCGCCGAGAAGCATGGTACGGTCTGAGGAGGCGGACAACACTAGAAACTTTGTCAGATTACAACTCACAAGGACAAAACACACGCGTAGTTCCAACTTACGGATTGGCTCCTTGCCAGGCGCAAATTCTACGCAGTTGACCGCGCCTCTATGGCCTGGGAGTTTATACAGCAGCTTTCCGGTCTGGGCAGACCAAATCACCACTGTGCCGTCGCCTGAAGCCGCTGCAACCTTCTTGCCCTCCGAATCCCAGCTGGCACGGGCCAGGTTCTGATCTACTCCGGCTGTCGCTCCGTCAAACGTTCGGATATGCCTCTCCGTCGGTGCAAACGGACGAATATCCCACGTTCTCACCGTCGTGTCCATCGAATATGACAGCAGAGACTGGGAGTCGGGCGATACTCGCAACGACGTGACCGTGTCTGCATGACCTAGTAAAGAATACACCACCGCCTTCTTTCTCAAATCCCAGACGCGAATGTCGTTGTCGATTCCTCCCGTGTAGATTTCGTTGCCGGCCTGGGATATAGCAACAGCTGTGACGGGGAATTCGGTCTGGATATAGTCGACCGCATTCTTCGACCTTGGATCCCAAATTCCAATCGTCGAGTCGTCGCTTCCGCTAATCAGCATCTCCTCGCCTCGCTTGCTAATATCCAAGGTATTGATAATCTCTTCGTGCCCGACGTATCTTCGTATTCGCGTTCCAGAGGTGAGGTCCCAGCTGGCCAGGTGCATATCAGCCGAAGCAGAGTAGACAATCTCCGAGTCCCGCGCCCATTGCAGGTCGAGAACAGCGCCCTTGTGGCCGTTTAGCACGCCGTAGTTTTCGCAGTCGCCATAAGTCCTCCACAGCACTACTCGACATTAGCAAATACGCGAGTTTTCCATGTTCCAACCCAGGATTCCCATACTTATACTTCTGTCCATTGATCCAGAAGCAATCAGGTTGCCCGTAGGATCAAACTTGGCAGTGAAAATATCCCCAGAGTGTCCCGTCAGCTCCATCACCGGGGCCTGGAGCCCGCTCGTTCGGGGTGCCTGAGAATGGCGTGTTAGATTTGCGTCAAGTAAGTCATCAGCAATTCCTTACAGCTTGTACCAATGCACTGCTTGATGCATTGAGTCGAGCAAGCGCTCCCTCGGAGGCATTGACATTCTGCCTCTTCACCAGGGACGTGGACAAGCCGGGATCGTCGTCCGCCGGGCGCTTTTCAGCCGACATTTTGAACAGTCAAAGAGTCGCAAATGTTTCCAGAAATTCAAAGCGCCGCCAAACAATGGAATTCCGACGAATGTTGAGCTGCTGAAATTTTGCCCGTGTCGCGATCGCGAAGCTTTGTCAAGTTGCGAACTAGGCGGACCAAACTCGCCCTCCTATTGGCTTTCGGCCCGTGGATTGTTCCTAAGAATGGCCAAGGCTTCCTGATGTAACTCGGTACCCCACCGCCTGCTGAGCTCCGGCATCACAGTCGCAACATCTCTCCTCCGTGGGCAGATTGACAGATTAGCGAATCTGCGGTTTGTTTCGCTGCAATTACTGTTTACTTGTCGTATACAGCTGTGATTTGGCTGGTTTCTGCTGCGCTCAGCCCTTCTCTCCGTCCCCCGAAAGGTTGAACAAGAGCCGCAATGGCGGCCAGCAAGGCGTCCCGCATCGGGGAAGAGTATGTTTCAGCGAGTGGTGATGCGCTTGGCCGTGATCTAACAAGAATACAGAATCTGGAAGTAAGACGGCCGTGATATTGCAGAAGACGGTGTTTTGGTCTAATCGCATTGCTAGAACTCGTATTGACAAGGTGAATGCCGAGTTGGTAACCTTGACGTACGGAACGATTGTCGCACAGCTATGCAAGGATTTCGAGGATGACTACCCAGAAGTCAACCGGCAGCTTGACAAGATGGGCTACAACATTGGGCTACGACTCATCGAGGATTACCTGGCCAAGTCGAATACGATGAAGCGCTGCTCCAACTTTCGCGAGACGGCAGATATGATTTCAAGAGTAAGAGATAATCACGGGCTACCGTTTATGTACTCTTGCTAAAGCATCATCCGGGTTCATGCAGGTTGGGTTTAAAATATTTCTCAACATTACACCACAGGTGACGAACTGGACGGCCGACAACAACTCGTTTTCACTGGTCTTTGACGAGAACCCGTTCGCCGACTTTGTCGAGCTGCCAGACGACGGAAGGGCACAGAACGAGCTCTGGTATTCAAACATCCTGTGCGGAGTCTTGAGAGGCGCCTTGGAAATGGTTCAGATGCAAGTGGAGGCGCATTTCATCAGCGATGTCCTCAAGGGAAACGATACTACGGAGATGAGGGTAACCCTGATACGCTATATCGACGACGAGCTGCCCCCAGAAGACGATTGATAACCTGAGACGACTGTCATATGTGCACAAGTACATACATGTTGACCAGGTCGATGCAGCGGAGAGAATCCGGCTGGCCAAAGCGGAGCTATTAGTAGATTATCAACAACGGCGACAGTCGATCCGGTTCGGTCGAGGAAACCAACGGCGGAATGATACCCAGAGATGGAGCCGAGCTATCTAGATGCGATGCTTGACAAGATCAATCCAGACGGCTGCAGCAGTACTCCGTAATCCTGTGGATATTACTAGATGGACAGGGATGAATAGATGGGTGCCTTGTTTCTTCAAAGCTGGCCTGCTGAACTCAACCAGGGGTTCCATGGAGATAGGTCGGGACAGGGACAAATACTATGCGTTGCGGCTATGTACTGCTTGTTTGTGTAGCATCTACTAGGCACCTACTCCGTATAGACTTCAGCGCACCAACCATAGCCTGACAACAAGAAGACAAACAAGTGATGCCAGCACCAAGCTGCATAAGCCTCTACACGTTATGACGGAAACTCAATCTTGGCTCTGCTGCGAAGAGATAGCCCGAGGCCGGCCCAAGGTGGAAAGCAAAGCAGGCCTGCCTGATCTCCATGGAATCAGCCCACTCACGCTGTGGAGTGATTCAACGCGATGCTCGCTGAGTGGCCCAAGAGCCACCTCGGGTTGTACGTGGTATGAGCAATCACGTCACAAGCCGATGCAGCGTCGAGTTGATCAGATTCACTGTCGGCACATTTGAAGATGGAGTTGCGGTGCGATGGAGGAGAATGAGGATGTTTGGAGAGAGGAAACCGGGCTGATGTAGGGGGTTTCAATGTTTGCTGATGTTGAGGCGCATGACGCGAGGATCGGAACTAGGCACCTGATGTGATTTTCATCAATTAGTGCATTTTACAAGTTTCCAGCACTGTACAATTTGCAATTCCAAATCAACTCAAAGCTCCTTGTGCAGAGAGAGCTCAAATCTCTTACACGCAGCTCTCCGTGTTCCAAGTCGTATAGTAGTAGAGGTAGTAAGATACTGACAGTACATGACCGGAGCCGGCTTACCTCACATGAGATCATGTACCAATTAGCTCGGCCGTTTCATTGGCGTGTCTGTCGCACAGGGCTTGACGTGCGGTGCGGGATTCATGCCTGAGGCGCAAACATCCGGCCGCAGACCCAAAACTACGCACCTAGACTGACGCATACGCAGGCACCAGCGAGCCGGTGCCTCATAGTGGGATCGCCAATGCCCCCCCGAAGCAGCCCGTCAATTTTATGCGCACTCGAATAACTTTTCTCGGCCACTTTCTGCTTTTCGCCGCCGTCGCCTCGCACTGTGCAGTCTCGCGCCCGCGCCTTATCCGTACCGTGCGGCGGCACCAGCCCCAAGGCCAGAACAGCGCCAGACAGGGCCAGCCAAGGCCAGCCAGGACACCGCGAGACGAGGCTGCGCGCACCAAAACCGACGCGGCTCTTGCGCAGTTCCCGGCCGTGCGAGATCGCTCCCCACACGGCCTCAACCGCCACACTCCTTTTCCTGCCCGTGCGCTCGCCGTACTGTATGAGCTCGCGTCTGCGCACCACCATCGCCTGGCCTGGATTCGATTTACTTGCACCTTACCTGACCTTTCACTACCTCCACAGCCTAATCTGATGTCCATCGCGACATTTGTCTCCACGGCCCAGCGCGAGTGCTGACCCTCACAGCCTGGACGACCAACGGCTCTCTGTGTCTCTGTCGACTTGTCGCCGAGCCTCAAAGCAGCTCCCGCTCTCACTGCTTCGACTCGGCCCTCGACGTCTCTTGTCTCGTTTTCTGCCGACCCCAGACGAAACTCTACCGCTCCGCTACTGTGCTGTGTTCCCGCGCTGCCGGTACGCAGCACTAAGGCAACCTCGCTGTAGTGCGCTACAATCCCAGCCCCCAGAATAGAGAGGCCTGCTCAACTCTCTTCTCCATCCTCCATCTCAGCCGTCTCTGCCTTCCCCCGGCAGTTGGACGCATCTCTGCAGCAAGTGCGGCATCTTCGCTGCTCCGCGACAGCCCGCAGTCGCCAATTTTCTGCCTCTCCGCCATCACCGACCGCCGTCGTCGCTTACAACGCCACTCTGCCCATCGCCTGGCCTCGACAAGCGCGTCTCTCTCGCCGCTGCGTTCGACGACTCAACTCGCTCCGACGCGGTTCGCGATAGCTTTCCACACATCATTTTAGCCCTCTCTCCCGCTTCGGCTCTCTCGAGATTTTCGGGTTCTGTCCCATCTCGCCCACGTTGCCAGCCCGACAGGGCTTTTCGCGCGGCGGCACCTGAGTGGCTTACAAGGCAAACTTTGTTACACAATCTCCGCCTGTTATCCTGCGTTTTTTTTTTCGAGTTTTTTTTTCCTCTCTATAAAACCTCTTACATTCCTCCCCATATTTGCAGCAATCATGAATCCCAACGTTGGAATGGCAAACATGACGCCCATGGGTGGTGGCCCAGTTGGCGGCGCACCGATGCCCATGATGAATAATGGCGCTATGAATCCTCAGATTGCCGCTGCGGCTGCGGCACGGCAGCAGCAAGCCAGTGAGAACCAGCGCGGCGTTCTCAACACATATATCTACGAGTATTTCCTCAGGCACCAGATGTACGACTGTGCCCGCTCCCTCCTCAACAGCGACCAGCAGGTCAACGTCAACAAGGACGCCGCTGGCCGTCGCGAAAACGGCAACGCAATGAACGGTGTTGATGATCCCATGGACACCGACTCCAAAGACGACGGTGACTCCAAGTTGCCAGACGACCTGCCTCCGCCTAAGCTGCCTATGCCCGCCTCTGATACGTCGTTTCTTTACGAATGGTTTTGCGTCTTCTGGGACATCTATACTGCCCCACGCGTCAAGGGCGGGAGCGGCATGGTGAATCAATATGTTCAGCACACTCAGGTACGAAACAGATAGTGGAGCACTTTTTCTTTCCCTATGCTTTTTTATTATATCCAGCCGTTTGCAAATTCAAAGCACCCTTGCTAATCTGAATCCGCAGCAGCAACAGCGAATGAAGCAGACCCAACAACAGGAGATGCTACGTCAAATGCGCCCTGATTTGGCGCAGCAGCAATATCAAGCCCACTTCATGAGAAACATGCAAAACAACAACATGGCCATGACCATGAAGCAGAATAATCTTGCTCGGGCGGCTATGGCCAATAACCAAAAGTAAGCAGTCCGGAGAGAGTGGCGTCCCTTGAGTAACAAATTTGTACTAACTATACTCTCTCTCTCTACCCAGCCCTCAAATGCAGATGCTTCAAGCAAAGAATCAAATGCAGCGAGATCCTTCTAACATGGACGGCAACCGGGATCGGCCATCGTCTCCCGCCTCGGGAGAGAATGCGCCCTCTCCTTCAAAACGCCCACGCCTCGACAGTGCGCCGTTCAATGCTAACCAGCCCGGCGCCATGATGGCAAATGGCCGTCCAGGCCAAGTCATGCCCGGCCAGCAAATGGGTAATGTGGCCAACGCTCAGCAGGTGCTCGCCGCCAACGGCATCAACCCCGCGCAGCTCAACCCGCAGCAGATGCAAAACTTTGCCAATACGCCACCTGCGGCACAGCACAAGTCTATTGCAACCTACTCCCAAAACCTTCAGCAGCATCACGGCAACCAAATGGGCAACAAGCAGATCCCCGGCGTAGGAGGACCTCAAAACCAGAGCTCGCCCATGATGCCACAGGGCCCTGACGGCAACGCCCTCAACGCATTCTACAACCCTGAGATGAATGGCCCCGGCGGTATGCGACCAGCAGGCCCAGCAGGCGCTCAGGCAGCCGCTGCCGGGAGCAACCACGCCTTGCAGGACTATCAGATGCAGCTGATGTTACTTGAGCAGCAGAATAAGAAGCGCCTAATGATGGCCCGTCAAGAGCAGAGCGACATGGGTGGAATCCCCCGAGATGGCCAACCTGGCGCCCCCGGACCCAACGGACAGCCCTTCCCAGATACCTCGCCCCAGGCAATGAGGTCCGGAACCTCTCCCAACCCCGCGGAACAGATGAAGCGCGGCACACCCCAGATGAACAACTCCGGCATCCCCTCGCCTGTTCCCGATGGTGGACAGTCGCGCGAGTCGCCCAACGCCATGAACTTCCTGGGCAACCACGTTGACGTCAGCATGGCACCTCACTTCTACAAGGGAGTAGATGGAGGGAACATGGGACAGGCCCAGATGAACGGCATGCGTCCGCCCAGCTCACACCCTGGCCAGCCATTCAACGGCCCGATGAATGCGCAGATGATGGCTGCCCGACAGCAGCAGCAGAACGCTCAGGGCAACCCACAGCAGTGGCAACCTGGAATGAATGGCCAGATGGTGCCTCAGGGAATGCAGCAGGGCCAGCAAGTTCAGGGGAATCCCCAGCAGCGATCTATGCCTCCTCCCTCGGCACCGGCGGCCGCGGCGGCCAACGCAAACAACAGGACAACTGCGTCGCCCCAGCAGGCTTCGGCAGCGCCTCCCACGCCTAGCCAGACCAACAAAGCTGCACCCAAGAAGAAGGACACCAAGAATGCCAAGGACAAGGTAAGCTCTTCCCCTAACATACCCATTTTGCAATCTGACGGATCTTATAGCGAGCCGCTGCACAGAAGAAGACGAATCAGAACCTCAACAACGCCGCCGCCGCCGCCGCCGAGAACAACGCGGAAGGTGACGCGGCAGCACCAGCTACCCCCATCACTCCCGTTGTCGGCGGAGCCTTCAAGAACGGTCAAGCCGGAGGCCCCGTGCCTAACGCAACTGCCGCCGCCGCGACTACAGGAATCCCCGCCCCGGCTGCCGCCGCCAGTGCGCCGGTGCCGCAGCAAGCTGCCCCCGTGCCACAACCCACTCACGATCTTACTCAGAATAACGGTCTGGGCGGTATGGACAACTTCACTATACCGGTAAGTCATGTCAGCCCTCTTTTTCCGCATCGTTTAGGCCCGAGGAAACTAACCTTGACGACAGGATTTCGGAATGGAACTGGCCAACCCACTCCACTCTGACAATGTGCTCAATGACTTCGATTTCGACTCATTCCTGAATGATGGTGATGCCAACAATGAGCCGTTCGACTTCGCTGGAGGATACTCGGGGCTGGAAGGCGGCGAGATCAGTGCGGAGTAGGAGGCCACCCTGTCACCGGAAACGCTCCGAGTAATTTGGGACACGACGTGGGCACAGAGCGCAGCTCTCGCAGCGTGGCCGGTCCCGAGAGCGGTGAGCAGGCCGTTTGCCTCGAAATGAGGCGCCCGCGAACTTTGTTCGATATCAAGATGGGTCGGCAGTTTTTGTCTTTTGTTTTGTTGCTTTGCTTTCCTGGGTTATCTCTAATCTGGCATCATTCGATACGGCGTTTCAGTGGATATCTATATCAATGGTCATGCGGCGATCCGGTTTTCCCAGGGTCTTTACTTTGATGGTTTGAAACGGGAAAAAAAGAGATGTTGTCCCTGTGGATTTTGTTTTTCTACCCATTCCCTCTACTTGTCCCACCCCCTTTTTTTTCCTTTTTTTTTCTTTTGTCTTCTTTCTTCGTTCCTTCATTCTTCTTCTCCCTCTCTCTCTCTCTCTCTCAAGTAGTGTTACATGTCATTTCCTTTGCTGATGGAAGGGGAACGTGGAGGGGGGGGTTGGGCGGAAGAAAAAAAAAGCCCTCCTCCCCCCTTTTCCCCTTTTCCTCCTGTAAAATGTTTTCTTGGCCTAACGTTTCGATAATGGTTTTTTTCGAAGTTTCGCATACCACATAAGTCACTTGTTGTAAAAGATCAAATTAATGTTACCTACTATGTGTACTGTTTGTCTATAAAATGAATGTGATTCGTTCGTTGAAACGGTATTGGTCACTGCGAATTGAGAGGAATTGCCGTGTAACTAGCAACTGTCTCGCTCGATTGGTGTTTTTGCATACAAGTCACCAATAGTAATGCAACAGAGTCAATGCGATGAGTTGAGGGTCATAACAGTCGTATAAGGTATCTTGAAAGAATATATATACAGTGAATCAAAATGGGGTCCCACGCAGGGGACATTGTTGTCATGACATGTGCATCATAAAAAGCGCCTTCTACCATATCTACCCAAATCCAAAATTTCCTTTTATTTATTTATTTTCCATCCATCTTTTTCTTTTTTTTTTTCGTATCTTCTTTCCACTCTTCAAGGAGCTGAACCCCCCCTTAGGAAGAGTAGACGGCAACGTATTGAACCTCAAACATGTTGCCCCAGCCGGGCAGAGTCGCCTCGTTAGGATCACCCTATTATTTCGCAGGTTAGCCATGCAGGTTGCATCAATTGGGAGATGACACAAGAGAACTTACGGGCCATGTACCACCAACGGCGAGGTTGAGGATGATGTACATTGGGGAGTGCGCAAGCGTTGCCCAGAGACCCTCGTCGCCAAACTGAGCGCCAACAAGGGTGTGGAAGAGGACGCCGTCGAGGTACCACTCGATGGTCTCCGTCTGCCAGTTGTTGGACGAGCGGTTGATCTTGAGAGCCCAGGTGTGGAAGCTGTCGTCCTGGGGAATGGGAATGCTCTGGCCAAGCCCCGAGGGCTCGTTGCACGCGCCGCCGCCGGTGTGGTCGCAGTGGGCGGTGCCGTAGCCGGTCAGCTGGCCGTTGATCTGCTCAAAGATGTCGAGCTCTCCGCAGAGCGGCCAGGGCGTGCCGTGGCGCATGGAGTCGCCCAGCATCCAGAAGGCGGGCCACATGCCCTGCTTGGCGTCGAGGGGGCTGGAGCCGCCGCGCAGAGCGGCCTGGACCTGCATGGTCTTGCCGGGAGCCGGAGCCCAGGACTGGATGGATTCGATGCGGGAAGAGGTCCATTCGCCCGAGGGAGCTTGCTGGGGGACGAGCTGGAGAGTCTGGCCGCCCGAGAGCTGCATGTTGGAGTCGGACTGGGTGTAAGTCTCGAGCTCCTGGTTGTTGTGGAGGTCGGTGACGACGGTCCACTGGGTGAGGTCGACCATGTCGCCTTGCTCGCCGACGAAAGTCTCCTGCCAGACGAGGTTCATGCCGGGGATGTTTGGGGAGAGGGTGGCCGAGACGGAGGAGATGGCCAGGGCGAAGAGGTTGAGAGATTGGAAATGCATCTTGGTGGTGAAAAGTTGATATCGTTTAGACGTGGGATACAAGGATCTGTATCAGGAGAGAGAGAGAGAGAGAGAGTCTTGCTCTGACGGTTGAGAATCACGGTCAACTGAGGGAATGAATATCTAGACTTGGGCAAAGGAGTGTCTGTCTGTTCTTTTCTGGTTTGTTTTTGCTTTTGGTTCTGACTGTTCAACAGTAACAAGATAAAAGGAGTGCGCAGAATCGACCAGCGAAAGGAAGGGAACGGCCACAGGCCTGGCGAAGGGAATGAAGTTTGAAAGGGGGAAGAAGAAGAAGAAGAAGAAAGGGTATCAAAGCAACCGCAGAGCAAGACGCATGGTGGCAAGGACGGGGGAGGAGTGGCAGAGGAGCTGCTTAAGTACTCGTACATGTATTGAATGGCCCCAAAACCGATTTGATGCGTTGTCGTTGCATTCACCGCACCTGCACTAACTCTACCTAGTAGTACTCGAGCAACACTAGACTCGGGTACGAGTACGATACGAGTACATCTGGTGGACTAAGATAATGGCCATTGTTGATACTGCGGCCGTCCTCATGCTCAGGTACCTTGCATGGTCATGGAGTCCTATCATCATGCAAGCCGCGTATAGTCTGATCCACCACGGCCCAAGCGCCCATCGTATATGTCCGAATGCTAAGAAGAAGAGAAAATCCCGCACAGGAGAACAGAAGGAGTCAGAAGAAAAGAAGATACAGGCAAAAAATCCCAAACGGCAGCCAGTAAACGCCCTGGCCGAGGCGGAATGTTGGGCATGCCAAGACGCACGCTCTACCGGCTTATGGAGTGATTGTGACTGATAGGCGTGATGCCGCCCGCCAAAGGCAGAAATCCTACAGGGGGGCCAGGCCTTAGGCGCGAGAAACGTGCAGGGGGATTGGGGGCCAGGCACAGAAGTTGAAACAGAGCGGAAACAGGACCGGGGGTGGGTGCAGTAGTGTGCTTATACTGGGCTGCAGGTGTGAAGTATGTGCGTGGTAGCGAGCAGGTAGACTTTGTGGTTTGATGCGTTGGAGAGGGTGAGGTGACAAGGCTGGATTGGCTGTGGCGAGAGGAATGATGATGCCGATGCTGATGCTGATGCTGATGCTGAGATGTGGTGGACAAGGGGGTTACTGTATGTTAGGAGACTGTTGCGGGCGTTTAGCAGTCAATCGTGGGAGCATCGTGAGAAGAAGGAGATGAATGGAAATGGACGGGCTGATCGTCGTTGTCCAGCAAGCAGAATCCAGGGCACGCAATCAATCACAAACGCGGCCCCTGGGCATCGCATCGCATCGCATCGCATCGCATCTCCAGAGCCAGATCGCCTCGCTAGCAGATAGTAGTCAATGCCCCTAGTATACAAGTTATTGAAGTTCCATCTCCATATAGTCTAGGTAGTATACACGTTGTTCAATAAAACACCTCACAATCAGTTGGTACCTTTGCTCTACACCTCGGGTACACACACAAACATGTGAATAAACAGCTCGCATGTGCCTCAGCTCAGTCCCCCATCATCCCCAATCGGATCTCTCCCCCCAAGCAGCAGCAGGAATATCAAGGGAAAAGGGGAAGAAAAAACAAAACAATAGCCCGCCACCGGCAAAAAGTAGTTTCCCTCCCCCCTACCGTACGAAACAAAAGGAAGAAAAAAAACTGCTGGAAACTGCATGATGCTACTGTAGCAAATACGAGGATGCCGTTCCGGATTGGCTGACGGCGGCGCATCTTGGGCCAATGAGCGGCCCATGAAGCCTCATTGACTCGCGCCCCCCAAGTCAAGCTCAGGAGGTGGCCATTTTTTTGCTTTTTTTTGTGTTTTGTTTCGTTTCCCTCATCTTCTCTTTTGTGTGCTTTTGCGTGCTGGTATTGGAGAGGCAAAGGACAAGGGTTTTTATTTTTATTTTTTTTCCGCTTTATTTCTTATTACCCTTGAAATCCATGGATGGCCTTTTGCGCCTCACTTGGGCTGTGCTTTGCTTAGGCGAGAGACATCGTGGGGGCCCCATTGGATCCGGACAGGGGGGGCCACTCAGCATGTTTGATGTTTTGATGCAGCGCGGCAAACACAGGCTCAAACATACGAATACCGGTTGCCTGGAATATTCCATTCTGATTCACCTCAACTCCTCAGGTCATGCTCGTACTTGACATGGCAGCATCGCCGCTGTCGACGCTGTTCCCCAGCGAGTCCCCAAGCCTCTTCCCCAGATGCACAATCGTATTCTCGTAGATCCGCGCAGCGTCCAGATGTAGCTCATCCTCATCAATGTCCCAAGACGGACCACCAGCATCGTAGCTTTCCCCCCCTTCTGTTTCGTCGCCGTCATCTTCATCCTCTTCGTCATCCTCCTCTTCTTCCTCTTGCTCGCCACTGCTCATGACTTCCACCATGAGCACCCTCGTCTGCTCTACAAGACTCCGGCACCGCACCATGTCGGTAGTCGTCATGCCCGCTCGTAGCCCGTTTTCAAATCCCGGAAGCGTCTCATTCGTCTCAGTGTCCTGGCCGGAGAGCAGGCTGGCGAAGCAGTGGTCCAGTTTGTGCAGCAGGTCAAACGACGCTTTGGACGATGGCGGGAATGACCGGACGTACTGAGTAAAGTCACTGGCCAACTTGAGCAGAAACGGTATCTGCAAGCTCGCTGGTGTTTCATTTGACGTTAGCATTTCAATCATCTTATATAAAAATAGTTGAGATGGTCAATACTCACGAGTCCCTGATTTCCACAAGACATTCACAATCTCATCAAGCTCCCGGCACACCTCCCCAAAGGTCCGAAACCCAACCACCGTGTCCCCAGGATTCGGGTTTCCAAACTTTTTGACGTATCGACGCGAGACGTAGAGCAGCTTTTCATCTACAAATCTCCTCACCATGTCCTCCTTGTTTGATCCGGGCCGCAATGCACTGTTTCTCGGATGCGGCAGATTTGATGCTGCCCGTGAAGAGGCTGAAGATGGAGCCGGCGAAGGGAGTCCGCCTTGTGGAGGAATAAAGCCGCCAGGCTGTCGCGGTGATTCTGCCATGACTGATAGATTTACTAGAATCGACTTCAATACACAACGGAATACAGACAGGTATATGGGCGCCCTGTGCTTGTGCTCTCTGCTTCAGATGCCGACACGCTCAATGACGATGCCGCTGCGGATAAGCGGGGGTGGGGTGTTGGTGACAGTGGAAGCTTGAATAGATACCCTAGAGGAAAGTAATTTGATTATGGGGAGAGCAAAACAAGCGCTGTCAAGGCTGGGAAACAATGTGAATTTATGCCTGTCTGATCAAACTTGAATGGCTATTTTGAATGCTTTATGTGCAATGAACGTATGCCGACGCGGTAATATGGCTGTTTAATGAACTTTGTTTGGTTAGAGCCATCTTAGTAACCAAACGTGATGCTGGTGGGCTTGAGTTTCACGAGGAAAACTCAATAAGTTAATTACCTAGGTAGGTTACGCATGTGAAAATCATTGGAAACAAAATCCTCTCACAGTTGCAAAAGTGTAACAAGGGTAAAAAAAACAAGGCAACTAAATCAATGATGAAGATAGCTTCATTCCATTGACTCGTAACATCGTGAGCAACATCCAAATTGCTGCAAATGGCAAAAAGAGTGATTCCGCCCGGGCTCGAACCGGGGACCTTTTCGGTGGCGTCAACTAACTGTTAACGAAATGTCATAACCAACTAGACCACGGAACCAGATGCTCTATTGCTTGATACTGGCCCTGCCAATCTCAGTTCATCTTGTGTTCAGCATCTTCCTAATCATGTGACCTAGCGATTGAATGCGATCCATGGCGGGGCGTTTTTGAATTTTCGATGCCCTCAGTGACGTTCGCATCGAAGCAACTCTGCCCATCGCCCTTTGCGCTTCTTCGCCTCCGGTCCTCACCACTTGTCTAGCAAACTCACAATGCCTCCCAAGCGAATCTACGGCGAGAAGGGCGGCCGCCGCGCCCCCAAAGGCTTCGTCGCCTCGACTTACGAGACCTTGACCTCTGCCGAGAACGCCGCCTTTGTCCGCAGCATCGCCATCTTCGGAGTGCGTTTCCCACGATCGATTTGGAACTATGCGCGGGGATGCTGACATTGGAAAACTCAGGCTGCGGTTACTTTCCTCTCCAGCTCTTGGGGCGAGATCCTCCTGCCTCCGTACGACTCCCGATCAACCGAATCACTATGCGGATCTATAACTGACAACGATGTGATGTAGTCAATAATCGACAGGCACTCTCCCCACTCTCCCTCACGCTCCAATTCCGATTAACAATTCGACAAAACCCCCAAAATCAAACCGAAAAAATTGAGTCATTGTACATTAGAAGGATGATTGTATACTACGATGCGAGATTTGCGCGGCCTGATGCACGCGATATAGAACTTGCGGGGCGACTTCAGGTGGATGGTGCAGCTCGGCAGTGGCTTGTCGGAAATGATTGAGTCGATAATGAAATAAAAGAAAGGCGCTCTCCATTTTTGGAACATTCTTCGAATCTTGTTTTGTGCACGATGTGATCCTTTTCTTGTTGCTCGATCCGATCAAGGGGTGCTTTAGGAGATTTATTTCGGTCGTGATAGCCGAACAGGGAGACCCGGTACGGGTCAGGAGAAGGGGTGTTATTTTTGGAAAGAGCTTTGGATGGCGCAGCATTTTCATCTCTTCACCCTTTACTTCTTGCTGGTTAAAACGATGGACGAGAGATGGCAGCTGCGGTTGATCGCGGGACACCAGAGTCAACAGCTCGGCAGCTTGACGTAAACATTGGATCCAGGCGCGGCCTCATGGCAGAGCTCTTCTTTTGACTGCATTGCCTGCATATCACAGTTGTTTTATTCAGCTTCCCAAAAGTTACTTGTTATTTGTTTTCATCCTCGTTTCCTCGCTCTCTTTTCTACCCTCCTCGCTTTCTTTATCCTCGCTTCGTTTCCCAGGCTCTATAGTCGGTTGGATCTCTTTCCTCTGCTGTTGTATTCGGAGACGCTGTCTGACGGGAACAATGTCCTCTGTGAGTACTCGGCGTGCGCCCAAGTCGCAAGGAGGATTGGCCCGGCTGGTATCCAAATTCGAGAACCTCGGAGCATCAAAGACGCCTCAAGACATTGGATCGGCAGGTGAAGTCAGACACGGTTCGATTCCCGCATCCAGATTTTCAGATGCTCAGCCAGTGCAGGAAAACACAAGAGATGGTGCATTTGGCTCATCAAAAACTTTGGCATCGCCATCTCTGGCTCCTACGAGTACCACAAGAGGCCAGTTGAAAACGCCTCTCAGGGATAGCCGTGCTGGCACCACTGCAAACACATCGTCCAAAGTCGGGAAACTGATGTCTAGGAGAGGCTTGGCGGTTGCGGACATGAGGAGATTGTTTGAGCGAGGAAATGATAAGACTGTTACTTCAAGTGAGCAGACCCTGGTTCAATGACACTCTTCGACCGATACACATTCATATCTTTTTAGCCATGACATGGATGAATTGTGAACTAACGATTGAATAGATGTTGCGCGAACGACTACCTATGAACCTAAACGCGTTGCTTTACCTACCACGGCCACCGAGTGCAATGACCATAAACCGCTCTCCCTTGCGAGTAGCCCCATGAAAGCGTCGTCAACCGTAAACGAAGCGGGCACACTGGCGAATCGACAAGAAGACGAAGGAATTGTTCCTGATCTGGACTCCATTCACCGCCACGTTGAGCATCCCGAATACCTGCCAAGGCCGCTCACTTCGCCCGATCGCTCTTTTCGGACCCCGGGAGAGAGCAGAGCTGCTATCGAAGACAGTAAAAGCACATGGCAAAGAAATGAGCCCCGATTCAAGCTACAGGGTGGTGTGTTTTTGGACAAGACCCCTTCTCCGCTCAAAAGTATGGTTGTTACAGACGTAGGGACTTGGCGCCCAAAGCCTTTCGACACATCCGAGGTGGTCTTGGACTCTGAAAACGGAAACTTGAGACATGATGGCCGATATTTGGTGAACTCTTTTGAGCGAGTAAGAGGGGACGGCCCAGAGCTTTTGGAAGACGTGCAACCTGGTGTGACTCTCTGCTATCCATGCCGCGACGCCGTGCTATCATCGATGACTTATACTGACGGCGATGCCAAAGAACTACGTGGGCAAAGGAGCCCGCTGCTGCCCACATCCAGATCAGTTCCCTCTCAGCAGTCAAAGGTTTCCAATCTCCGGAGAAAGTTTGACAGCGCGTTGCCTTCATCAGTCTCGATGCCATCACTTTAGAAGAGGCACCCACGGACAGACACAGTCAACGACAAACAGCCACTCCTGCAGAATAAGGCTGAGCAGGTCGAACGAGCCATAGGACCTAGCCTGGAGACACCGCCAAGGCCGATTATTTCCCAACAGGGCTCTGTGCGGCCAGCTTCCACACAAGATGGCCCCCAGCCGCCTCGTTCCGGAACTTTGTCTGGAAACGGCAGGAGGCTCAAAGAGACGATTGGTCTTTTTGAGTCTATGAGCAATCAAGCCAATAGAGAAGACGGACTCAGACATATTCGCAAGGTATCTTCGTCTCCGACACTCCAAAGGACTGCCGCTACAAAGAGCAAGCTTGCTAGAGACAATCTTGAGCCGGAAACGACCAGAACTGGGGACGTACCATCTCCTCCAAGACTGTTGTCACCGATAGAAGATCGGCCTCCACAGCCATATACGCGATCACCAGGCGTAGATAGTGCCAGCAGCCAGGCTAGCGATATCAAGCCCTTGCTCTACACGAAACCGGCTATGATTAAGACAAAGCGCCATAAGAAACACTTTGTAAGTGGCTGCACCTAATCCTGAATTTCTCCATGATGTCGGGATTGCATACAGTGGCCTGACTTGTCAAGGGGTCGCTATTTAGATCGGAATGGAGAAGAAAGGCAAAGTTGAGATCTGAAGGCGGTGGCAAGCAGAGCTTTCCCGTGCAACGCCAAGGATACAATATCGACGGTGAGGGAGGGTTCGATTTTGAGCAGAAATACCACAGAATTTCGTGTGACGAGACATGGACGGACGGCAGCGAGGCTTCCTCTACTACGCACGAACCTATGATGCCGCACCGCCACCCTTCGCTTCGCCTTTTGCGTCGGCGCCTGATGTCTCGTAGCCATGGGCTGTTTGTTTCGGAGGCTCAATGCACGCTCGAGCAGCCGCAGCCGGTGAGAGACAATGAACTACGAAACCTTACTAGCCTTGGTAGTCTTTTTAGAGAGAGGATGGCTGCATTGAGGGCACGAGCTCAGACGGAGTAGGGGGAGTAATGGGATCGTGGGGGGCATCAGAAGTAGATTTCCCTTGGGGCTAGTTTACTACTCGAATACAGATGTTGTTATCACTTCAATCAACCGTCCATATACGATCATGGGCTTTCACAAGTATGTCATGGCCTACATCAATCTATATTGGGAGAGTCTGTTGCTCTGATAACGTTCACTAAGTAGACAGGCCATGAAATTATAAAGCGGGAAGCTTTAGACAGAGGTATCTCTTGTGTATATATATATATATATATCTCCTAAAGCCCAGGCTATCATGGACGACTATCGTGTCCCATCTTGGCAGAACATGTCCTCCCTGCCTCTCAAACTAATGGCTATTTAAAAGCAGTGTTTGCTAAGTTTTCAAAAACGCTTGCTAGAACGCTTGCTAATGAGGTGCAAACAAAAGAAGCAGAATAAAGCAAAATGGCCGCCGACATCAGTACTACTTGTGTAGCTGGCTTTCACCTGCCTCCGGCTTAGAGTGAATCTCCTTTGGCTGCAGATATCCGTCAATCTGTCTGAGCTCAAGATCGATTGGGTCAATGACATGGCGGACCGGAGCCAGGACAGTGGTGTCAGCGGCGTGAGATCGAGTGGCGGAGCTGGTGTTTGTGATGGCGGAAAAGAGCGAGCCAGACTTGAGGGGCGTGCGGGAGGAGTCGCCGGTTGATCTGTAGGGGGCCTGGTAGGATGATGAAGGATAGGAGGGCTCGGAGGAGGGAGTTGAAGGGGCTTGAGAGAGACGCTGTGCGGCGAGGGAGGCGAGGGGGAGGATGATTGCGATGGAGGTGGGCGTGAGAGAGCCGGCTTCAAAGTTGATGAAGTGGTACCATTCAAGGATGGCGAAGATGACTGCAGGGAGCTTTTGTTAGCGAGAGAAGATGATGATATGAGGGAGGGAGAGGGGAAGCTTACCAGGGACAAACATGAGGATTCCATTGGCCATGATGAGCACCTCCATTGGGGTCATAGCCCGACGGGAGGGAAGCACGCCGCGGTTGGTGATCAAGTGATGGACGAGCTTGGAGTTGAACAAGGCGCAGAACCAGGCAATGGAGCAGGTGTTCCAGATGAGCATCGTCTTGACCAGCCAGCCATACCTCCGGGTCGACACCAAGTTGAGGATGCTCTCGCATTGAATCACGGTGGCCGCCACTCGAAAGGAAGTGGTGATGAGGGTGACGAGCAAGGACAAGAAGGTGATGATGTACTTGGCCTTGTTGGTAAAGAGCGAGACCATGGTCCACGCCTGGTACATGAGCGCGGCCTCGGCGATGACGGCGAGCAGCATGGAGAGCACGGTTCCCGCGACGCTGGTGCGGTAGTTCCAGGCCGGGATCTGGGAGTAGTCGCCGGCCCAGACCTGGTAAAAGTGCGAAAAGGGCGAGAGGAAGTAGAAGGCGAGGAAGACGGTGCGGACGGCGCAGACGATGAGGGCGAGGACGTGCAGCAGGTTGGAGGCGCGGAGGAACTTTTGCGACGGGGTGACGAGGAGGACGACGAGCAGCATGGTGAGGGAGGCGCCGAGCTGGGCGCCGTAGTTGATGAGGATGCTGGCGGTTTCGTCGTTGAAGGCGTCGATTTGGGAGATGGGGATGGGGATGGGGGGGAAGCCGGGGGGGCCGAGGATGGTGATGTTTTGGGTGTATGGGTTGAAGTCCATTTTGGGTGGTGGATGGAGTGAATTGGTCGTTTGACTGATGATGTTGAGGATTTTTTTGGTGTTGATATGAAAGTTGGTGATGTTGGATATCTTGGTGTTGAGGCTTGAGTTTGAGAAGACGATATATCAAACCGAACAACAGCAGCGCAAAAAAAAAGAAGCTATACAGCCAACCCAAAGCAAAGTGAAAAAGAAGAATGTTTTCCAAAAAACAGAGTTGCCGCTCAAATCATCACAACTGAAGCCATTGTTCCCAACGTTTCCTCGCATTCAGACCATCGTCAGCTCACCTTATAAGAGAAAAAAAGAAAACAACAACAGAACCGTCGTCACCCATCGCATTCGCCCACCGAACCGGTACATTGTCTCGCACGGCATAATACCACACCAGAATTTCCAGTCTCCAAACAGGGAATAATACATTTGAACTAAAGTGCATCACCGTTTCGGGCATTACAGCAAGGCAAAGGGGAATAAAAGTGAGGAAGATGGGGGATTGACGATGCAGGGAGCGGGAGGGCTTAATATTGTTGTTGCGGGAGGTGGCGTTTTGCTTAGTATTGTTCTTGAGACGGGGGGTGCGGCAGGGGATCCGGATTGGGATGTTTGCGGGTTTCCAGGTGAGGGATGGTTGATTATGGCGTTTTGTTTTAATCTATTTTTATATTTTATTTTATGTGCAGTTTTGTTGTTTTGATGAGTTTGGGTTGGTGATGTTTTGGTGTGAGGCCGGTCTGTAAGCTAGGTGTTGCTAGATGCACTTTAATTCAACCACAAGTACTTTTCCGTAGATGCGAACAACTGAAAAATACCATGAAATAAATAGCTTCTTGCATGTACCGACGATATTCAAAACACACCAACCGCACAGATGCTGCAAAAGACAATCAGCTGCGCACAAAGTGGCCAGTGTCACACGGAACCTGCCGAAGCTCTCCAACTAACACGCATCCCAAGTGCCGGGCACCTGTCATTCAACATCATAGCTCCAGCCCTCAACGCTCCAAGCTCCCGGTTTCTGGATCCCTAGTACGAGCAAGCTGCTAAATCACGTTGCTACTCGTATGTTATTAGACTCGATCCTCACGCTCTGTCTGCCTCGTCTCGATATTTGTTCCATGTCCACCGCTTTCTCTAGGTGCTACAAAGCAAAAAAAAAAAAAAAAAAAAGCCTGCATGAACCAATAGTCCGCAAACAAACAAACGCCACCCACTCACAAGGCAGCAAACGGGCACAAAATTAAATTAAATTAAAAAAAATCCTGCTTTTCGTCGCTGTGTAACTTCCCGGGTCGTTTCCGCGGTCGCCTCCTCGTATCGGCCCGCGGGCCGCTGTCAAATGAGCGGAGAGGGAGACGAGGCTTCAGGGCGTTGTGACGATGTTTGCTGGATCCTTGCTTGGAGGGGGTTGGCATTGGCACATTTTGCGGCTGAGAGGCACTGGTGAGAAGCGGTCTGTGTTACCAGAGAGAGAGAGAAATGAAATGAGCGAAAAAAAGACTTGCTGACTCCTGAGCAGTCTATGAGTGGTGATGTATTGTCCATCGTCTATGTACTATCCAACTCGGTAAAAACAGTCCAAAATTCATGACCTTTATGGGTTGCTCAACTGCCGTCAACCTCATTTCGTCGTTTGTAATCTCCCAGAGTGTGTACATGTATGTATCTCTGCTCTAACAAGTCCAATCGAAAACAAAAAAAAATAACCGCCCGCCAAAAGTAACATCTTAAAAAGCAGATAATGTACCTCCCTTTATATCCGAGAAGCGTGTTGAATACATGTAGCTTCCAATCCTCCCCATCGAGACATCTTCAGCACATTAATACGAGCAGATTCCTCCAACCTCATCCTCCATCGTCCAAGTTCCAGCAAGACCCTTTACTTCAACATCTTCCGTCTCCGAGGGAGCGCCGTCATCTTCTTTGCCTAGGAAGAAATCGCCGCTGCCTTCCTTCCTCACCTGTCTCTTCATGAATCTCCTTGTCCACTCTTCAACGGCCGGTTCTCCCGTCTCGTCTCTCGCCTGCTTGAGGAAGGGAATCAGCGCCGTGCCGCCAGTGCCCTTTTGGCTCTTCCCTTCGCTCTTGCGAGAGGCAACGGCGAGGTTGAGAGGCCGGCGGGTGACTTCGGGGCTGCGAGACCTGCTACGGGCGCGGACTTGGCGAGACGGAGTGATGACATAGCGCGTGACAATGGCAATGTGCTTGTCTCTGAAGGCGCTCAGCATGGCTAGGCAGGCATCGTAGGCGAGGCAAAGCTGAGCATCCTCGGTGTGTTCTTGGACGTATTCGCGAATGTTGGCCACGCGAGAGACATCCTCGAGGAACTGCGCATGAGGGCCTGGCATGTAATTGCGCATCTCCTGGATAAAGTTGTGCTTTGCGCTGCGGCCTCGGCTGTCCGAGCCGGATGAGGCATCTCTCTTTTCGCCCGTAGGTCGGTGCTGGATGCCCAAGGCAATGTCGAAAAACTGAATCAGACTACTCTGCGCATTGCTCCCTCCACTGTATTGTCGATATTTGTCGTTGCCTGTGCCATCATCGTAAATGACTCCAAACGGCAAGCCGGCTTCGCCCATGTTCTTGCTTCCGGCAAGGAAGGGCCTGATGCGGTTGTAGAAGATGACGGGATCGCAACTCTCGTGCATCCTCTGCAGGATATTTGTCAAGTCAGTCAAGCGCTCGGCAAAAGTCCTCAGACACCGTGTAACAACGGCCGAGTCGTTTTGTCTCGCCGCCGCAATGGCCGTGAGCATGAGAGACATGATGGGGGCGCCGCGGGCCTCGATGGCCACCGAGACGAGATAGAACCATGATTCGTCAATTGCCCCGGTAAACGTAAAGAGCGTGGCCAGGTTCTCCAGGTTGTCAATGTCTTCGTCCATAAACAGCGGCTTGAAGTTCCACAGGCAAACGGCCGCATAAGTCGCCACAGGCGGAACCTCCAAGTGGCGCGACACATCCAGCAGCGGAATCGAGATTTGAGGCGGCAGTCGATCCGAGGGCGAATCTCCGCCCCAGATGTATCCGTGAGCCATGAAGCAGAGCAGCGAATACGCCCGACGCCACTCGGCATCGTGCTCCAGGCCCACGGTCGACAGCACCGGCAGGCGGTCGATAACGCCGCGCAAACGGCGGCTGAGGATCAGAGCCTGTAGATTCGCCACGATGGCCTCCCATTTGTTGTAGTAGGGATCTGGCAGACGGGTGAGAGGGAGAGTGCTGGGCAGAAAGCCGTGAGTGGGTGAGATGCCGTAATCGGCGAGGACGGGGATCGGAGGAAGCATGTTTTAAGCTTCTCTTCCTTAGTTTGAACCACAAGGTAAAGATCCGGCAGAGTCGAAAGTCGCGCTTAGTTCCAGGTTAAAAGAGCCAAAGTAACCGATACTGAGGCAAATAGTTTGATGGAGAAGTTGAGAGTGAAAAAGACCTAGGAAGAGTTTTGAGTCCTGAAACAATCGTCGGCTTGACAAATATTTTTCGAGTTGCGTTAGCGGGGGGGACGGGCAACGCCTCCTAATTTTCCCTCGGGTTTGCGGGATAAAAGCCAACCAATTTCTAAGCCGCGGCGATTGAACCAGGGAATCTTCGGACTTTCAAAGCTAAAAAGGCCAATGACGAGTCACAAGACGGAGTTTCTCTTGCGTGCGAACGCGGGGAGAGAAGCGTGTCAAAATAGCAAAGGAACAAGAAACCCGGATGGAAAATGTCTCCGGGGACGGTGATGATGAGAAAATGCGGGAAGAGAAAATGACACATCGGCCCATGCCGCGCAAAGAATGGTCCGATTTTGGTTTAAACCTTTCTGTGGCGAAAATCGTCATTGGGTTAGACAGCCTATTATTAATGTCTCGTTCGTTTCTTAGTTTCTTAGCCCGACTATTTGGCTCGTCGACTGGGCGGTTGGAAATCCGATGGTCCGGTCGGGAAAAGCCATCGGACGCCACCGAATGGAATCTCCCGGGCACCGAGTTTAATCTTTGCTCTACGGACGTGCGGAGGAGATGAGGGGGGATTTCCAGGGCGATGAATGCTGGGAAACATGGAAGAAATCAGTGTACAGTGCTTGGAAGTGTTCAAGACTCTTCTTTTCTTCCGTGGCTTCACAACTTGGGGGTTCCACAGTACTTCAATTTGGCTCAGACTCACACGTGACCAGGCATTTGTCGGATCGAATATCTTCCCAGTATATCCATTGTATATGTTTAAAGATCAAAGCTAATTCTAAGATTTATTCATCGAGAATACGCTCCATCTGAAGTGCCCAATACAAGGGAGCATATCCACGCTGATGGCTGTGAGTTGGCTATCTCCCAAAACTGACCCCTGCTCTAGTTGCCCGAGGTGGGCTTAGTTGTCCAGCCAATCAGAGACTACAGGCACGTACTAACTTGCTTATACAGGCAGACTATTGTCAACTTCAATGCAGTCTTGAGAATGGCCTCTAACTAAACCTTTGGTGATCAGCCGCAAGGACGCGTACTGTAATCAATACAGTAAATTCCAACTAAAATCTGCATATAAAGTGAGACTCTGTCTGATTTAACGGTAATTCTTCTTCAAGAACTCGAGAAACTCCGGTCGCCCAAATGCAGTGCGCACTTTTCCAGAACTCATCAATAATTTTGCAATTTCCTTTTTCCTATTGCGAAGAGCCATTGACAAAGCGCTCAGCCCCTCCCCGGATTTTGCCTCGGCGTCAATTCCATCTACATCAAGTAGACGAGCAACAATACTCAAGTTTCCTACCTCGACAGCTTTATGCAACGGATTGCGTTTGGCCTTGACGTCGTAGTAGTTGACGTCCACATTGTGTTGGAGAAGCCAATCCAACAATGACATGTCATCTTTTTCGATCACGTTATGCAGCATGCGGCCGCCACAGACGGCTACATCTTCATCTATGGTGACGCCCTTCTCGACGAGCAGCTCCACTGTCGACCAGAGACGTGAAATAATGGCGCAGGAGAGGACTGAACATTCAGAGTGCCGGGCTCCTTGCGCTATCAGGACATCAAGCGTTTCCTGAGATGCATGCCTTGAGGCTATCACCAACGCTGTTTCGCCTTGTTCGTTTTCAGCATTTATATCGGCACCTCGTGTGATTAGTACGGCGGCTGCATTCGTAGCGTTAGACTTCGCAGCATTATGTAACGCTGTCCATCCCTTGCTGTCTCGGATGTCCACATCTGTTCCGTGGGCGAGCAAGACTTCAAGCATACTGGAGCTGTTACAGGCTGCCGCTATATGAACGGGCATCTGGTTCTGCTTGTTTCGACTCTCCATGTCTGCGCCATGCGCGAGCAATATTTCGACCACACTGCCACGCTCTACTATTAAATCTTTTGCTTCTGCCGCAATATGCAGCGCTGTGCATCCCTCATTGTCTCGAATCCCCACGTCTGCCCCATGTGCAAGCAAAGTTTTGGTTACATTCGGGCGGCAATAGCTTGCAGAGATCATCAGCGGTGTCCATCCCTTCTCATCTGGGCTGTCCGTCTCCGCACCATGTGCGAGCAATACTTCAACCCCACGGCCACGGTCTGTCTCTGCACCCATATGTAAAGCTGTACGCCCCCATCTGTCCTTGTCTCCTACATCTAGGCCATTTGAGAGTAATAGTTCGACAATGTTCGTTTGGCCGTTCCGTGCAGCAAGATGCAATGCTGTCCAACCCTCTTCAGTTTGAGCCTCTATATTTGCGCCCTTTGAGAGTAACAGCTCGACCCTGCTCACCGGCCCAATCGCCGCAGCATAATGCAATGCTGTCCAACCGTTATCATTTCGGCTCCCTATATCCGCTTCCTTTGAGAGTAATAGCTCAAGAAAATTTGGGTTTGCAGAATATGCAGCGATATGCAACGCCGTCGAGCCCTTCGCATCTCGCATCTCTATATCTGCCCCGTGTGTGAGCAATAGCCTAACTATACTTTCTCGATTGGCATTTATGGCGACATGTAATGCTGATATTGCTGGTCCGTGATCGCTTGTGGTCTCTATCTTTGCACCCCTTTTCAAAAGCAACGCTGATATCTCTTCGCGCCCTGCCTTTGCCGCCGATGCGAGGGGACTGAGGTACCTCCATTCATCACCAAAGGTATCAGTGTTATGAGGTCGAAACTTGGTATTCACTGAATACAATGTCGAAAGAACCTCCTGGGAGATAGTGATTGGACTGATTGTTTCGTCCTTGTTTCCAGGTTCTAGATCTGCATCTTTATCCAAGAGCAATCTAACAATTGATATTGGTCCTCGTCTTGCAGCTAGGTTCAAAGGCGTTCTGTAGGTAAAAGTGTCTCTCACTTCGATGTCGACATTCTGTTTGAGTAAAAGCTCGACTATGCCTGCATGTCCGTTATACACTGCCCACCATAGAGGTGATCTGTTCCGTTTGTCTCTAACATCGGGGTCATATCCCTTTCTGATCAGCTCTACCACTACAGCTGATAGACCCAAGCAGGCTGCGACATGGAATTCGACTACTTGCTCTGGAACTTGTAGTAGACCGCCTGTTGTACTTGCGGAAAGGTTGGTGCGTGCCAGGTCTATCTGCATCAAGGAATCGTGCCACAGATCTGACTTCGCCCCGTTGTTAAGAAAATGCACTACCCTTTGGATATCTAAACCTCGAGCTGATAAAGCTTCCTCTGTGTGATGTGCCCAGAATTCCGTTGCATAGTTGTGAAAGTTTCCTTCATCATCGTTTTTGTTCATGAAAACAGAACGAGGGTTGGAAAATGACAGATTTGTCATGCAAGTATCGGCAATCAATTTCTGAAATTTCCCCGTCTTAGTGTCGTTTGGGCTTTCAAAATATTCTTGAATAGTGTAATGGGCTAGTCGAGCTCCTCGAGTTTCGCTGTCTATCACAACAAGCGGGGCGCAAGCCTGGGTGATATGGTCGGCGGTTGGGAAGTTATCTTCATCTATCATGGATTTTTCAGTGTCGATTGCGAGTATTAATTGAAGTATACCCACCGGAAGTGGTTTCTTGGATTGAGCCACCCACGCAAGAATGGTCATTGCGTCTGCGGGCAAGTCGCCTTTCTGTTGCTGTATTCGTTCCATTGCCTTGTGGTAGGCTTTGCTTAGAACGTTTGATCTATCGATTCTCTCTGTTGTCTTCAATGCCCTCCGGATACTCGTAATGGATCTCTTGCCAACAAGAGAGTCGATGTATAGCTGAGCTAGGAGAAACCTAATTTGGTAAGCTTATGAATCCCATATCTCACTGTCACAATTTACTTACATCCCTTCAATGGCAGATCTTATGCATTTCTTGATCTCCACTTATAAAGATGCGTTGCGTTGCACAAAATCGGGCAGCTGTGCCATGCGTGTATCAAGAAACGAAAAAACGTCATTTGTGCTGGGACTAATCTCCCACTTCAACGCTCCTTCAAATCTCTGTTCAATGACGTGCAATTTGCGAGATGTGGCGCAAATGTTAAGCCCTTTCTTTTGTGCAGCAAAAAGTCCATCAAGCAATCTTGTGCGGCTATTTTCATTGTTGTCACATTCATCCAGAGCATCGATAATGACATAAGCTCTCGAGAGTAATGATGATATCAACTCGAGCAGATCAACAAGCTCTCCAATCAATGGCCAAGTGCCTTTCTTCTTATGATGTTCACAGAAACTTTGAATCTTTTCACGGCAAGGTTCGTGATTTTGACCTAATTGCTTGATGAGATTTGCGATAAGTGGCTCTGGCTTCTGTGTGTCTTGGCGGTCAAATCTGTAATAGAAGAAAGCAAGGCCAATCGTGTCGTCATGCCGAAATCCACGACTCAAATGGTCTATTAGGATAGCCATCTGAAAGGTCTTTCCGGCGCCAGGAATGCCGGGACAAAACAGAGTCGTTTGTGGAATGTTTATCCATTGCTGAAGTTCTTCAGAATTTAAAAAGTCTTGCCCTGTTCCAGGTTCGCACTTCTTGATGTAGTCATGATGCATGGACGCAGAGTCAACAGAACTCAGCCATGCCAGGGCTTCGTTTTGCTTTCGAACTCTCTGGACTATTGAAGCAGTAAGCAAGAGGTTTACCGTCATCTCAAACTAAGCAGATCTTACCGTCAATGAGATTATCGAGATCTTTCTTCGTCTCCCCGAAACCGGCTTTAATATCTCGATTGATTTGATTCAGTTCGTCTTTGACTGAGAAAATGGGCAATTGAGACCTGTGATCAGCTCCTGCTACGATATATAGTTGAATGGTATGACTCACCCTCATTCAATATATCTCTGATGGGCCGCTCTCCTTCCACATCGCTTGACTGAACGCAGCCCAAAAGCTCCTTTGCAAATGCTGCCGCTACTGCAGCCGCGTATTTCTGCCAAGTTTTATTCCTATGGGAATCTGCATAATCGCAAATGCCCCGTATGACGATGCATGGAAAACTGTTCATCAGTCCGGCAGCCTCCATCTCAACGCAAAGAACTTTTTTGTCCAACTCTTTGGTTAGCCTGTCTCGGAGTTCCGCATCCTCGATTGTCGTATTGCTAGATGCTATGAGACCGTATTGAATGCGCATGGATCGATTTTTTCTTCGAACGATTTGAGATGGGTCGCATGAAACGCAGCCTTCTTCCTCCTCCTCCTCCTCCTCATCCGACACGCCATCACCATCCTCTTTTATAGTATCACCCACTCCATCATCTTCGATGGGCTTCCCATGAACGTGCGAATAGCCTGACTTGAATAATACATCCTCAAGTGAAGTAGAATCAAGATATGACTTTGCGGCCAGTGGATATCTTTCTCTAAATTGCTCAAGAAAGTCAGGGATCTTTGAACCTTCCAGCTCGTGTTTCGATTCTAGTTTTCCCAGGGCCGATAATAAAGAGTTGGGGGGATTACTGAGAGAACCAGTCCTTTCAAACTTTCCTCCTTCCGTCGACTTGCCGAGATCCCACTGAACAACACCAGGAAACTGACCATCTGGTGTGCTTACAACCACATCGCCTAGTCGTACCTTTGGCGGAATCCCTCCTCCCATGCCGACTAAGAGACCGATTTTAATGGAGGGAAACGCCTGGACCATCTGAGTAGCCGCGGTGGCTGCTGAGTTCGGACCAGCATAACCTTTGGGTAAACAAGCGATAACGATGTTATGCTGGCCTATAGAGCCGAGAGTATAGGCGTTACTATCAGTGGGAGGCTTCGATAGACCCTCATGCCTCTCGTCTAGCATGGCCGTAGCTGCGGTTTGCTCTTGTGGCAGCGCGCAGACCCATCCGACGCTGTAATCGGCATGGGATTTCGTGTTGGGACTCATTTTGAGCGGCGATCACGGCACTTTAACTTTGACAGTGCAAGATATCATGCAAATCTGCTCAACATGAGAAAAAGCCATGTCATACAAGGACGAAACGCGGAGGGGAATAAGGCAGCGATAAACCAGGCTCAGGTGGCACAGCCTTACATTGAGCTGAGATGTTCCGACCAATCAGAGTGCAGTAGCGTTGAGCCAATTCAACGAAGGTTCTCATGAGCAGCATCCTTGTTCTTATCAATCCGAAAAATTGATAAAACATCGACTATGACTCACAAGATATATAAAACACATGTACTTAGTTGCCTCATCTGCATGCGAGTGTGCACGCACGTACCCGTACGAGAGCTACCATGTGTCAAGCACGAGACAATGGGGCGTCTATCAATCTGCCATCGTTTGACACCTGCATTTGGCCGGAAAATCGATATAGGCTTCAATCTACCAATAGGTAAATAAATCTCCGCGTATTGTCATTCTAACGCTGCATTTACCTATAGCTTTGATATTGTTGGGTATTATTCTACAAATACTGGCATCGTCTGGTACACTAAACTTGATTATCACCAAAAAAAAACTTGCTCTTAACCACGCAATTACGACCAGCTCACTGATCACCAGATGTATCCTTCAAAACCCTAGGTACTTATCATATTACGTGGCTTATTGGGCAGCCTCTTCGGCTAAAAAACTGTAAGAAGACACACTCGCCAGTAGGCGCATTCAAGGTTCAGGTTATCTATGTACGGCCACCTTCCTTTGGAGTATTTCATGTTAACTATTGGCACACCTTCGATCTAGAGAAAGCTAACTATACTACTGACCCTTTAAACTGATCTGGCTGAACTCAACCATCATGCGTCGATATGCTAATGTGAACTGTAGCGACGCCACTAGAGAAACCGCAAAGTAACATTGCGATAGAACCATAGCCGTGACTTGAAAACTTTGCGATTAGGCGTATATACTTTATGCATTAGAAATCTATATAAATGTGGTAACTTTCTTATATATAAATGTGGTAAATTTCTTACGACCTTTTGATCCAAACTCCCTCCCGGTCGTTTCCTCTCCAGAGCCAAGCGGCCACTTTGTATACGGATTTTCCAATTGTGCAAAGCCTTTCGATCAGAGATTCTCAACCTTGAGAAATCGGGCGATGACCTGAATATCAAGGACGATACGCACTCGACTATTCAAAGACACGCCTACCAAACCGTCAAAAGAATCGGAATCTGGAAGTTCAACACATCGAAATCTGTCGAATCGCCACCCAACTCCTCTCGGGGTTAGATTCTACGATATGGATCCCGGTCACGATTTTGAGCCGCCCATGATTGAAGTGGTGGCTCATGAGTATCCATGGAATCCGCGCAACCGGCGGCACATCAATATCGACTTGGGAGCCACGGCATCAGCAGCGGCGCAAACGGGGCGCCATATTCTCATCATCGTGGATGAGCCCCTGGAAGGCAACGAGCGTGTTTCTGTACCGTGGGAGCTGCTCGATGGCTGGTGTCGGCCTATCGGGAATTCCTACGTTATATCTCTCCTTGTTCAGGATTCAACGGATTATGAACACTTTGAAGGATATCACAGGAGTGGGCGCAGCGCTTGTTTTTACTTTACCCTCAATCCTTTGAGAATCGCCCCTCTGGAATACTAAGGTGGAACACACTGTATGTTGCTGATCAGCTTGGCTGCTTGGCACATACATGTACTATGGTTGAACGGGCATGGATAACCGGATACGATGGAAGGGATTGATTGGTAACTGGTAACGGGGAAAGCATGTACTGGATCGTCCTTCATATTGCTATTGGAAGATGCATTTTTGTCGGACATAATGATGGAGGGGATTGATTGGTAGCCGGCCATGGGGAAAGCATGTACTGAATCATCTTTCATATTGCTATTGGAAGATGCATTTTGTCGGGCATTTTGATGGAGGCACACGAAATCTGCGATTATTTAGGTAGACTTTAAACTTTCTCGATCCTAGGCCGGATGGTATAACGTTTGTGTGGAGAGATGGCGGTTTGGCTGACGACACACACAGAAAGCTCTTACGAAAATCCCAATATAAAACGCTTGGTTCGAGAATCTCGCCTTCATCAATGTGCTTCTTTGACAAATTATTCTTATTCTCTGCTGACTACGACTTGGTAGGTTTTATTGGGCTTGACGAACTAGATACTCACCGAATTAGCACACGATAGCTGGCATTCGGTGTAGTGAGGCTGCCCCGTCGACCTTTCCTGCATGTGCCTAGCTCAGGCATGGCACCAAGACATCGGGTCGTGCATGTGCATTTTCTCCAGCCGGATCTATCGTAGCACTAGTAATGGGTCGGCGTGCGGGTAGAGGAAGCGAGTGTTCAGCTAAGGCTTGAGTAGCATGATGTATCCCATGTGTAAATGCACGGCGAGGCTATCCGACGAAATACTACTGCATGTAGGTACTTCAGCAGCGAAGTAAGCATATCCGTGGAGTTATGGACCAGCCACTAATATGACGCTCAAACAGAGGAATGATACATGATCCCGAATGTAATTACTAATAATATCACAACCTGAATTTCACGACTGGAGCATCCGCCAATGTCCACACTGGTAGGATGACACGGCACAGATATCACATGTATTGGTAATACGGAATGGGTCTGTCCCGCATTGAGGCTCGAAAGGATAAAAAGAAAACGGTAATTATACCCGATGTTAGGCGAATTGCCTGACAGGATCGAAAGGCGTGCCGGTACGTGATGAGAAAAACAAGAGCGAAAAAAAAAGTTCCTTGTAGTAATAGTGCGGTGATGAAGACTCTAAACCGAGTCTGCTCCCCACAAGGCCCGGCGTTGAAGCTCCATACACGGAGTCGAGTTGTAAGTGAGCCTCTTTGTGATGCTCATGATAACTTGCAGCAACTTTCATATACATAGGACCGAAACAACTTACATGTCTTGACAGCCCTCTTTGTACCGTATTGATTGACACCGAACACGCAAAACTGCCTTACTTGAGCCACCCATCCAGAAACAAAACTTTGCAACTTCTTCATCATCTTCGTCAAACAAAATTTTAAGCATCTTAATAACGATAGCTAGTAGAGTCTCGGGTCCATTCCCACGTGGGTTTGCCCTGTTGCAGCTTAGTCGCAATGACACCATCACCCTTGTTCGTGTCGTCTTTTTTTTCCCTCCTGCCGACGCTTAATGTTGAAATTTCCCCGAACAAGCTTCAAACTTACTTGACCAAAACGGAACATGGGAAAGCCTCATCGCGGTTTACTTGGGCCATGACGCATCGGCAAACCATTTCATTGGCGCTCTACGGAGGAACGACGGCTCGGGATGCAAAAGATCCTTGGGCCTTTGCTCTTTTCGGCCGAATGGCCGCGGCCGGCAGAGGATTGACGTGAGTGGGACGGTAAGCGTGAATTTTTCATGGATAAATATTCGGGTTGATAGTCTTTGAGAGGGAAAATGCCATGTAAAAGAGATTCGAGAGATATCAAGAGATTGGATGAATGAAAGGAGAAGTGCTACATGTAAGTGAAGAATTGGAGAATACGAGTACATACGCCTGGGGGTCCAGAAGAAGAGTCTATCCCGAGCTCAACCACCACCAACTGACTGTCTCATTTATTCTGTCCACTTTTTCTTCGCCCAGCCGGCAGTGGTTGAGCTTTTCAAGATGTGGCACTCGATGGCAATCCCGCTTCTAGGCCGAGTGTCAACGCCCCCACCGCCGGTTGTCTTAATACGAGGAGCCCTAGTCTTTACACCTCGATCGAAAGGGCTTGAACCGTGGATTATCATGCAATTGCTGTGTGTTCCTACGTACTGGTACCCGCGGATGGATCACCCTCACACCTCTTTGATCGAGCACATGTACAAGTATGTTCGAGTGGTGATCCCCTGCCATTGCGTGCTGCCCCGGCCCTCCACTTCTCGGATATCTTGTGCCGCAAAAAACTTGGCCGCGGATTGCCACTGTCACTTCTCGATGCTACATTGTGTTGCTACTCGCTCCGTAGACTGAGACGAAAAGAAGCTGCAAAGTACATACTGACCGGGCCCCGCGATGTGGCGGAGATGGATGGGAAGTTTCTTTTACGTAGCATTTCTCCATTCTCTCAAGTTGTGTTAAATAGGGCCCCCTTGCCTGCTCTCGATTTTATTTTATTTTTTTGATAGACATTCTCCTCAAGTGCACATCTTTTCTGTATTCCGTAGAGCCTTTTTCTGTAGAGCTTCGGCTGGTTGCCACGGCTTTTCACAATGGCATCTGCTCAGCTGGAAAAGACTGATGAACTGGTCTCTGCCGGGCCCATCATCACCGAAGAAGGCCTGAACCGAAAGGAACAGGCTGAAATCATCGGTGTTGACGAAAAAGGTGGTGCCAATCTCGACGTCGAGTCGAAAGAGGACCTCACTGCCGGCAAGACTCAGTACACCCTCACCAATGAGAATGGCGAGGAGGAGGTTGTCGATGACGATGATCCCAGAATCAAGGACATTCCTCCTTATGTGAGGCGCATCGTCAGCTTCACCGACGATCCTACTGAACCGACTCTGACCTTTCGATACTTCCTCCTTACTATCCTCTTCGTCGCCCCGGGTGCCTTCTTGTCACAGATGGCCCACTACCGAACAACATATGCCCCTTACTCCGTCTTCTTCGTCCAGATTGCCTCCAACTACGTCGGCGTATGGCTTGCCAAGGTCCTCCCAGCCTGGTGGGTTGGCATCCCCGGTACCAAATGGGGATTCAACATGAACCCAGGCCCCTTCAGCACCAAAGAGCACGTCCTGGTCACCATTTCCGCGGCATCTGGTGCCACTTACAACCTGGGCTACACCCCCATCTCCATGTCTGAGCTCTACTTCAACCAGCCCGTCAACGGTGCCGTGGCCACCTTCTTCATGTTGGCCATCACCTGGACCGGCTACTCCTACGCAGCACTGGCCCGCCAGTTCCTCATCTACGACCCCCAGTACCCCTGGTTCCAGTCTCTCTGCCAGACTGCCCTCTTCGAGACCCAGAAGAAGCAGCGTGAGAACCCGAGCCGTGCCTCTCGCAAGCAGATGATTGTCTTCTTCGCTGTCATGGGCGGCGTCATCCTGTGGCAATTCCTGCCCGAGTTCGTGTTTCCCTTTCTGGGCTCTCTTGCGTTCCTCTGCTGGGTTGCGCCGCATAACAAGACGGCCAACTTTGTCGGTGCTGGCTTCGGCGGTATGGGATTCTTGAACTTGTCGTTTGACTGGTCTAGCATTTCGACCAACGGAAGTTTGTTCTTGACTCCTTGGTGGACGCAGGTTGTCCTCTTTGTCGCCTTTGCCGTCAACTGCTGGATCTTGATTCCTGCTGCCAAGTTTGGTAACCTTGGAACGTGGAATCATCAGTTGATGTCTAACCGTGTCTTCCTGGGTATGTGCCTATCGCCAGACTTCAATGCTCGAGGCTCATCTCTCGAAACTAACTTGCATGCATAGAAAACGGAACGAGCTATCCTTTGACCGATCTCCTGACTGCGGATGCCAAACTGAACGAGACTGCGTATGAACAATACGGAGAGTTGTTTGTCGGCACTCAAAGTCTGTGGAGCATGTTTTTCGACTACGCCTCATACTCCTCAGCCCTCGTCTGGATGCTGCTCTTTGGCTGGCCCCAGATCAAGGAGAGCTTCAGGAAGCTCAAGGAGCGTTCGACCAAGAAGGACTCGGGCAAGATTACGGAGCAGTACAAGGATCAGATCAACATCCTGCAGCGACCCTATGATGAGATTCCATTCTGGTGGTTTGCCGCCCTGTTTTTGGTCTCGTTTGTCATGCTCATTGCCATGGTTGGCAAGAACTTACTGTTTATTCCCGTGTGGACTTATTTCGTTGCCATTGCGACAGGAGCTCTCGTGGTCGTGCCGCTGGGCTGGCTGTATGCTTTGTCCAACTTCCAACTGGTAAGAATACTTCCCTATCAACCCCAGTGTCAGTGTTTATACTCATGACTCTTTTAGCCTATTGGAACAACAAACGAACTCTTGTACGGTGTCATGGTAAACGCCGTGTCCGGATTCAAGAACCCCTGCGGTGCTTCCACTTACGGTGCCATCGCCGGAGACGCCTGGTATCGTGCTCAGCTCAACCTCCAGGACATGAAGATTGGCCACTACATGCACATTCCTCCCAAGGCCGTCTTCTTCTCGCAAGTCTTTGGCTCAGCCATCGGTATCCCCATCGACTATGCCGTCATTCGATGGGTCATCGACACCAAGAGAGATTATCTGTCTGGCGCCAAAGAAGATCCCACTCACCAGTGGACTGGTCAGTCTCTGGCCTCGTCTCTCACTGCCGGCGTCCAGTACGTGCTTGTTGGCCCTAGCCGTCTCTTCAAGCAAGACATCTACAAACCTGTTCCATATGGCTTCTTGGTTGGTGCCGTGTGCCCCGTCATCATCTTCTTCCTGCACAAGATGTTCCCGCGAGCCAAGTTCCAGCTGTGGAACACGACCATCTTCTTCTCTGCCATGTCCATCTTCTACGGCAACATCAGCACGGGCTACACGTCGAGCTTCATCGGAGGCTTCGTCGTCATGTTCCTGGCGTACCGGTACCGCTATGACCTGTGGGCACGATGGAATTATATTTTGGCGGCAGCTTTTGATGCGGGTTTCAACTTCAACATGCTGCTCATCTTCTTGTGCTTTGGCGCGGGCAAGATTATCGAGATGCCCAACTGGTGGGGAAACAATGCGGAGAGTAGCGAACGCTGCTTCGCGTTGGATGACTGATTGATGTATTGATGAGTTGATGTAAAATATGATGCCTTTTGTTGTTTTTAAAATTCATTCGAGATGAAGAGGGGGTTGTCTGAGAAAGAGTATTACGCCTCCAAACGGGGTAAACTTGATAATAAATGTGAATACACGCACGTTCTAATGGGGTGCTCTTAAATAATTGTACCATGAATGTATAAATGCTTGGTGATGGTGACATTGGAACGCCTAGAAGCTTCGGGATTTATTGAGACTTAAAGTGCCTGCCCGTACCGCTACAGCCTCCCGTCAGTAAATTGATCCCGAATCCCGGCGTTTACAGGGCTTTCAGACCCCCCACAAGGCGCTGTAGCTGCCCTGTGGAGTCCGCGTGCCACCCAAAAGCTTGGAGCTCAAAGTCGTCATCCGTGGATCCAGTGACTGACTGTAGCTCCAACTTGCAGCCTCTTGTCCATCTCATCCAATGCCTCTCCAACATCGCCACGATGCCTGTCCAACAGCATGTGCTCAACTGGCTCTACAGCGTCCTGACAAGTGTAAGCAGCCCTATCTTGTGTCATTCATTACCTCTATTTCTTCACACGAGACTCTCCCGATATTGCGCCGTCTCCAGCACCAACAGACACCCCGCATCTAACCCTCCAACAGGAATATCACGATGTGAACCGCACCTACAACGACGTCGCCACCGTCCTCGCACGATACCCAACCCTCGCTCCACGAACCGATGTGCACAGTACGAATGCGCCCCTCCGATCGTCTCTCTTCCTTTTCGCGCCTCGGAACTGACAATCCAACTCACAGCCTTCCCCAATGGCGCCAGCGCCCTTCTGGTGCACTTGACCGGCACGATCCCGGTCCTCTTCCGAGGCACCACATACAGGTTTCCGGTTTCAATATGGGTGCCTCATGCATATCCGCGCGAGGCACCGCTGGTTTATGTGACGCCGACGGAGACGATGATGGTTCGCCCAGGCCAGCATGTCGACCCCCAGGGCCAGGTCTATCACCCATATCTAGCTGGCTGGGTCGACTTTTGGGATGTAGGTCACATGCTCATATAATCCACAGAGGCATATCTGACTTTTGATACACACAGAAATCAAGCCTAGACGACTTTGTTTCCGTCTTGAGCGACGTATTTGCAAAAGAGCCGCCAGTTATCTCGCGCCAGCAGCCTCGAGCAACAACCCAAAGCCCGCCTCCCGCCCAAGAGCCACCCCCGATCACGCCTCATCCTCCAGAAAGGCCTCTAGCCTCGACATCTTCGCCTGCTCAGCCGTATCCCAACCAAGCAGAATCTCGTCCACCACCCCCGCCCCCGAAACCTCACCAGGAAGCCCCTCGTCAGGAAGCCCCTCGCCAGGAAGCTCCTCACCAGGATGTTCGCTCACCCCCGCCAATTCCACCCCACCCCCATCTCTCTTCTCCCAGTCCTCCTAGCTCTGGAGTACCTTCTAGATATGAATCAGCCCCTCCTCTGCCGCCTCAACCTCAAACGTCTAGACCACCATATCAAAATCACGCTCAGTCTCTGCCTCAGTATTCAAACGCTCAAGGACCTATCCCCCCTCAGTCTCCATCTCATGGTCACCCGCAGACTTTGCCACAGTTTCAACCATTAGGAGCAACCCCTGGATACAATGGTCAATTTAACACACAGGGTCAACTACCGCCACAGGCACAATGGCAACCACCGCAGCAACAGGCGTGGGATAGATATCCCCCTCCGCAACACCAGCAGCAACAGCCCCCTCAGCCCCAACCTCAACCTCCCCACCAGAAATCGCCACCACCTCCGAACCTTCTTGATGACGGGCTCAGTTTAGATATCAAACCACACACAATTGAAGCCCCCCCTATCCCTCCAAACCCCGAAAAGGATGCTCTTCTCAGGCAGCTTGCCCAGACGCTGGCTTCTATCCGGCAACGCAGTCGACAACAGAATGAGTCCAGCATGGCCGGGTTAGAGGCACAGCAGGCTGCGATGCTGTCTGCCATGTCGGCCATACAAGCTGAGATGGGCCAGCTTACACAGTTCACCAGCATCATCACTTCCAACGCGAATATTCTTCATGATGCTCTGCGCAAAGCAGATGCCGTCATTGAAGGATCGAGGAACCACGTGGTCCCAGACATCGATGAGCTATTAGTAGCCCCGACAGTAGTATCGAACCAACTGTACAGGGTAGTGGCAGAAGAAAGAGCACTGGGCGACGCCATATTTATGCTTGGCCGTGCGGTTGAGAGAGGTCGCATATCCCCCGCTGCGTTTGCGAAGATGACGCGATCTCTAGCGAGAGAATGGTATCTGAAGAAGGCTCTAGCACGCAAAATTGCGCAAGGAATGGGGCTTATGGTATGATAGTGCTGTGATGGTAACATGTCTCAAGCTGGATAACGGCGGTATAGTTTGAGTATGTTTGGCATATTGTTAGATAGGATATAGAAAGATGTTGGTCATGGTAGTATACAGGGAGAATATAGCTGCAAGAGCGAATTGAATAAATGACTAGGTGCCTGCGCTCAGCTCTTGGAAAATCTTTCAATGAACTGAATACCAACTAGACATGCTGTACGGTTTATTCTTTGATATGGATGGCTTTTTGTATATAATAGGGTTGGACTGAGCCAACAGCATCTACAATACAGCCACGTTAACGGTCATCAGCACATTGGAAGAGATTACACACAACGACCTGATACGGGTGTAATTACAAGTATTTAAAGCTACCGATGGCCTCTTATCTCTGCATGTTGATATGCTATGCATTCAACCACTACACTTTCCTCTCATCTATTCTACGTCAATGGCTTCTTGCTACTAATGAGTGAAACCTGCTTATGTAACCGCAGTTGTGATTAAAAAATCCCCCATGGTTTTACCGGGGCGCTAGTCCTAGTCGGCACTGGCCCCCAAGGCTTCACTAAGCACGTCGCGCGCCGCAGCATCTGGCGGGATCCCTTTTGCCTTTGCAAAGATTCATCACGACGAAAAAAAAGTTGTTGCTTTCCGCCATCAACCTTCATCGTGCGCAACCGCCAGTGCTGCAAGAGCTCTTTGTGTGTGAGGGAGACTCTTCTGCCGGGATCGCTCGCAGATGCTCGTTTGTGACAGGCATTAGGATCGCTGCTGATTCGTCTAGAGCTTGCTGGCTCGAGCGGTCCCTCCACGGCGCGAGGACGAGGCTGCACCCACGACAGCTGCCTTGAGTTGAGCCGGGACTTTGGCCCAGGGGAATATCTGGATAGACCGAATTCTACTTGTTATCACTCTTAATCTAATTCCATCTCGAACCCATTACCGCCATCATGGCTGACTACGAGGACGACTACGACTATGAGAACTACGGAGACGAGGATGAAGGCATCACTCCCGAGGATTGTTGGACCGTCATCTCCTCCTTCTTCGAAACCAAGGGTCTCGTATCCCAGCAGACAGACTCCTTTGACGAATTCACCCAGACGACCATCCAGGATCTCGTAAACGAATACTCCACCATCACACTCGACCAGCCAAACCCTCCTTCGCCACCCGGCCGAACAATAGCCCTTCGTCGATATGAGATCAAATTTGGAAGCGTCATGGTGTCACGTCCCACTATCAGTGAGACTGACGGAACTGTGACTTCTCTGCTGCCTTACGAGTGCCGAGACCGCAACTTGACATATGCCAGTCCCCTCTATATCAAGATTACTAAAAAGGTGTCGGCTGCCGTCGAGAGGGAGGTTCCCTTGCACGAAATGGACGATGCTCAGCAGGAGGAATACGCAAGAACCGGCGATCACCCTACAAAGCTTGAGTGGGAAGAGGAGGAGAACGGCGAAGATGACAACATCGGCAAGTCTGATGACTGGAAGGACATGGTCTTCGTCGGCAAGCTGCCCATCATGGTCAAATCCAAGATTTGTCATCTGAGCCGTGAACAGGATGATAGTCTCTTCCTGGTCAACGAGTGTCCCTACGATCAGGGTGGCTACTTTGTTATCAACGGCAGTGAAAAGGTCCTCATCGCCCAAGAGCGATCTGCCGCCAACATTGTTCAGGTTTTCAAAAAGGCACAGCCAAGTGCCTACACCTATACGGCTGAAATCCGAAGTGCGTTGGAAAAGGGCTCACGGCTCATCTCCAGCATGATGCTCAAGCTGTACGGCAAAGGAGACTCTGCTCGTGGTGGCTTTGGCCAGACTATCCACACCACCCTGCCCTTTGTCAAGTCAGACCTTCCCGTCGCCATTGTCTTCCGTGCTCTGGGTGTCGTTTCTGATGAAGATATCCTCAATCACATTTGCTACGACCGCAACGACAGCCAGATGCTGGAGATGCTTCGACCTTGTATTGAGGAGGCCTTCTGTGTCCAGGACCGAGAGGTTGCTCTTGATTTCATCGGAAAGCGTGGAAACCGAGACCAAGCTGGTCTCGGACGTGAGAAGCGTGTCCGCGTGGCCAAGGATATCCTCCAGAAGGAGACTCTTCCCCACATTTCACAGACAGAGGGAAGTGAAACCAGAAAGGCATTCTTCCTGGGATACATGGTGCACAAGCTGCTGCAATGTGCGCTCGGAAGAAGAGAGCCCGACGATCGTGACCACTTTGGAAAGAAGCGTCTGGATCTGGCGGGTCCCCTGCTGGCCAAGCTGTTCCGTGGCATCATGCGAAGGATGAACACCGAATTGGCCAACTATCTGAGACGGTGTGTTGAGGGCAACCGGCACTTCAACCTTGCTGTTGGTATCAAGCCCGGTACGCTTTCAAACGGATTGAAGTATTCTCTTGCCACAGGAAACTGGGGTGATCAGAAGAAGGCCATGAGCTCGACTGCAGGCGTGTCCCAGGTGCTTAACCGTTACACATTTGCTTCGACCCTATCACATTTGCGTCGTACCAACACTCCTATCGGAAGAGATGGTAAGCTGGCGAAGCCTCGGCAGCTTCACAACACGCATTGGGGTTTGGTCTGCCCGGCCGAGACACCCGAAGGACAGGCCTGTGGTCTGGTCAAGAACTTGTCTTTGATGTGTTATGTCAGTGTCGGTTCTCCTTCCGAGCCTCTGATTGAGTTCATGATCAACAGAGGTATGGAAGTCGTCGAAGAGTACGAGCCACTGCGGTATCCTCATGCTACCAAGATTTTTGTGAACGGTGTCTGGGTCGGAGTTCACCAAGACCCTAAACATTTGGTGAACCAGGTTCTGGACACTCGTCGCAAGTCCTATCTCCAGTACGAAGTCTCTCTCGTGAGAGAGATCAGAGACCAGGAATTCAAAATCTTTTCCGACGCAGGCCGTGTCATGCGACCAGTCTTTACCGTTCAGCAGGAAGATGACCCGGAAACGGGCATCAACAAGGGCCACCTGGTATTGACCAAGGAGCTCGTCAATAGATTGGCCAAGGAGCAGGCTGAGCCTCCGGAAGACCCCAGCATGAAGATTGGATGGGAGGGATTAATCAGGGCTGGTGCGGTTGAATATCTCGATGCCGAGGAAGAGGAGACGTCCATGATCTGCATGACGCCAGAGGATCTCGAGCTGTATCGTCTTCAAAAGGCCGGTATCAACACCGAGGAAGACATGGGAGATGATCCGAACAAGCGACTCAAGACAAAGACAAACCCCACAACTCACATGTACACCCATTGCGAGATTCACCCAAGTATGATCTTAGGCATCTGTGCTAGTATCATTCCTTTCCCCGATCACAACCAGGTATGTCGTCTACCCTTGTCGTCTAACCAACGAAGAAAATACTAATTACGTGTGCAGTCCCCCCGTAACACTTACCAATCTGCCATGGGTAAACAAGCTATGGGTTTCTTCCTCACCAACTATTCCCGGCGCATGGATACCATGGCCAACATCCTTTACTATCCCCAGAAGCCACTGGGTACCACTCGATCCATGGAGTTTTTGAAATTCCGAGAGTTGCCTGCCGGACAGAACGCGATTGTAGCCATTGCCTGTTACTCTGGCTACAACCAGGAAGATTCCGTCATTATGAACCAGAGCAGTATTGACAGAGGTCTGTTCCGAAGTCTCTTCTTCCGATCATACTCGGATCAGGAAAAGAAGGTTGGACTGAACTACACCGAAGTGTTTGAGAAGCCCTTCCACCAAAACACTCTTCGCATGAAGCACGGTACATACGACAAGCTGGATGAAGACGGTATCGTTGCCCCCGGTGTCCGAGTATCTGGTGAAGACATCATTATCGGCAAGACGGCGCCGATTGACGCCGAGACACAAGATCTCGGCACCAGGACGACTATGCACCAGAGGCGAGACATTTCAACTCCTCTGCGTAGCACCGAGAACGGTATCGTTGACTCCGTCATTGTGACGGTGAATGCGGACAATGTCAAGTATGTCAAGGTCCGGGTCCGAACGACCAAGATTCCGCAGATTGGAGACAAGTTCGCCTCTCGGCACGGCCAAAAGGGCACTATTGGTGTTACTTACCGACAAGAGGACATGCCCTTCACAAGAGAAGGTGTCACTCCAGACATCATCATCAACCCTCACGCCATTCCATCCCGTATGACAATCGCTCACTTGATTGAGTGTCTCCTAAGTAAGGTCTCTACGCTGGAAGGTATGGAGGGTGACGCCACCCCCTTTACGGACGTCACGGTCGACTCGGTCTCAGAGCTGTTGCGAAAGCACGGCTACCAGTCACGAGGCTTTGAGATTATGTACAATGGCCATACGGGCCGCAAGCTGAGAGCCCAGGTGTTCTTTGGGCCGACATACTACCAGCGACTCCGTCACATGGTGGATGATAAGATCCACGCTCGTGCTCGTGGTCCCGTACAGATCATGACAAGACAACCTGTGGAGGGTCGTGCCAGAGACGGTGGTCTCCGATTCGGAGAAATGGAACGTGATTGTATGATTGCTCACGGTGCTGCCTCCTTCCTCAAGGAGCGATTGTTTGAGGTGTCAGACGCCTTCCGAGTTCACATTTGCGAGATTTGTGGACTCATGACACCTATTGCGTACGTTTTCTCTTTTCTTTCCAACGTTTGTCTAATAGCAACGATGCTAACTCATATGACTAGCAACCTCTCTAAACAATCGTTCGAGTGTCGTCCATGCAAGAACAAGACCAAGATTGCGCAGATTCACATCCCCTACGCTGCCAAGCTCCTGTTCCAGGAACTCCAGTCCATGAACATTGCGGCTCGCATGTTCACCAACCGGTCTGGCGCGTCCATCAGGTAAACCTTGGAGAGAATCGGCTTATACAAGCCGCATCCTATTATTGCCGCAAGATTTACAAAAGATTGATTTGCGGACGTCCATTTTTTTGCTTTATGCTTTTTTTTTCTTGGAGAATGGAAGATGGTGGAAATTGCTCTATGACAAAAATGGATACGGGACGTCTCGCTCCCATTGCTGCGCCAGCGAGATGAATGCTGAGCGGAGAGTATGATTGTACATGTAGAAAAAATAATACAATGAAGAAAGTAAAAAAAGAAGAAGAAGAAAGAGACGTCTATCTATCGTTGGACTTGCTCATGTCGTGTCGTGCGTAGGTAGTGATTGCAAGGGGTTACATGTCTGCGGTGCTGCTGTTACCTCGAACCGGCAGAAGCTTTGTTTAGCGGCTCTAGTGAGCTGTGAACGCTCTGCTCGCGCTTGTACTCCTCCTCCAGAGCACGCTGCATGTCAAAGTCGAGTTGACGTTCTCTCTTGATACGCTGCTGCTCCATGTCACGGACAACGCCGGCATGCATCGCCTTTTGTAATTGCGTTAGCAGGGTAGATGTCAGGGGGTTTAGGTAGTGGTGAGAAGAGGGCAGAGGAGAGGTATACGGTTTGTTCGACTTTTTGTTGGAAGTGTACGAATACAATTACGCCGGCGGCGAAGAGGGATGTGGCGGCGAGGGAGAATTTCGATCCGGAAGACATGATGGTTTTATATGAGAGGCGGGTTGTTGCGTTGTTGTAGGAATTTGCTGTCTGTTTGGGGTGGATTGGTGGTGAGAAGAGACTATCTTGAGGGATTGAGGGTAATTTCTCTTGAAAGATTTAAAGGAATAGCTGGTGGATGAGTGGGCGGATGTATGAGCGTGGGTGGTTGATATTATACGGATATAGCATGAGGATGAGAATGAAGATTTTGGAGCTGTGTCGTGAGTGGTCAGATCGTTCCATTTGGTTAGAGGCAAAGTATCTCTACCGACATGCACTAGCAGTTTAATCGTAGAATGGTGACGTGTTACTGTTAGTGCCGCTGCAAAAAGCTACTTTAGGAACGCACTTCTAACGCCGAGCCAGGCCGAGCTGTGACGACAGCGGGCATTACCTAAGATCGATGCCTCTATCCTTCTGCAATCGGAGCTGCCACCAACCTTGCAATCAACCACCTTGAACTTGCGACATACAACCTCTGCGCCTTTCCCAAAACACCTCGACTGAATTGCATTCACCCATTTTCTCTGTTTCCTTTTTCTTTCCAACCTGAGCGAGTCTTTTTCAACTTACACTTTTGCAATCATGGTGAGTGCGCAAGGCGTTTCGTGAGGGAGCATTTAGCTGACGGTTGGGAAATTGGTACAGTCTGCACAGAACTCGGCCGGTATCCAGACTCTCCTCGATGTACGTTGCGTTTGACGAACGATCTGACATGAAGCCGCGCGCTTTTTGGGATACTCATCTTGATGGGAGTTTACGTTTGATTTGGCGGTGCTGATTTGGTGTTTTGTGCGTAGGCTGAGAGGGAGGCGTCCAAGATTGTACAGAGGGGTATGTTTGGACGCTTGCTTGCTTTTACCGCAACAAAGGAACTTGACTAACGATGACGTGTGTGCAGCTCGAGAATGTGAGTGTTCCCGCACCGACAGACTTAAAATGTAGATATAGAACGAAGCAATGCCGGAAGCTGACGACTCCTCGAATGCTCGCAGTCCGCACCAAGCGCGTCAAGGAAGCCCGTGACGAGGCCAAGAAGGAAATCGCCGACTACAAAGCCAACAAGGAAGACGAGTTCAAGAAGTTCGAGGCCGAGGTGCGACGAGGAATACCCCACAGCTTCTTCCACACCCGAGCTAACACATCGATTGCAGCACAGCAAGGGCAACGAGGCCGCCGAGCAGGAGGCGAACAAGGAGGCCGAGAAGCAGATCGAGGTGATCAAGGAGGCGGGCAAGAAGAACCAGGACGCCGTTGTTAAGCACCTCCTGGACGCCGTGTTCGAGGTGAAGCCCGTGGCTGCGTGAAGTCTGGGGTCGAGAAGACCGATAGATGGCGATGGAGGGGGGCGTGTATGCTGAGATGGATGGACGCAATTGACATTCGATACAAGCGATTGGAGGGGGCTTTACTGGAACATATGATGCTTTGTCGAGATGGTTCACTCGGTCGGATTTGCACATTAATTTATACTTGAAAACCATGAAAAGACTACATTTTGCTCGTTATTACTTGTACGTTTTTCCTTCTGTTTGCTGGCTGACTCAACTCAGCCATCGATTCATTAGTTGAGGAAATCTATCAGCGTGGTCAGCATCTCGCCCATATCCTTGCTATCCTCCTCAGTGGTATCCAACTCGTCCAACTGCTCCTTCAGCGTCTTCTGGATCGACTTGAAGGTATCGTCCGTCTCTGCCAGCAGCCGCTTAATCTTCTGGTTCGCGCCACTGTCCTCCGCAACGAGCCACGCCAAAATGACATCGACGAGCTGCAGGTTGAACAAGCCGGCGTCCATCTTCTTAGAGAGCAGCTGTATCCCGCGGTCTTCCTCCGCATCTCCAGAGCGCGCTGATTCTTGCCGATGCTCTTCTTCGGCGGCTTTTATGCGCGTGGTATAATCCCTGTGTAGCTTTACTAATTTCGCAGTCTTTTCGTACTCCTTCTCGACGAACTTTGCCAGCAGCCGTATCCGCTCTGGAGAATCGGCAGGCAGGAAGCGCAGCATGGAGGAGAATACAGAGAGCAAGGGCCCGATGAGACGCTGGTCGTGGCTCTTGTTGAACATGGTAAACGTCGTTTTCAGGCCTCCCGCCTCGACGATCCGCTGGCATATCTCGGCGCTGGTGGTGCCACCTGTCGCGTGGTCGAGCAGGCGTAATGAGGGGTGCTTTGCCACCTTGCTCTCTTTGATTAGGATGAGACAGAGCTCAGTTCCTTCGGCCTCGAGGAACTTGGCTCTTCCCGCGGGAGTGTCGACCAGACACGTCAAGCTCTCAAATAAATTCTCTACGAATTCCTCTTCTGGGCCGCCCTTTTCTGGATCTCGTCGGCGGTATGGGGCCACGAGCTGCAGCATGATATCGATGATGTCTAAGCTGACGAGCTTTTCCCGGTTTTCGGGAGCTGCCTGGGAGAGAATGGCCAGTATCTCGGCGGCATATTGCTTGTTCTGAGTTACGGGTGATTCGGTGCGCTGGATGCGCTGCAATAGCCATTTTAGCAGGGCTTCTTCCTCGCACATTCGCGTGGCGACGGCTTTCTGAGAGCTGAGATTCTCCAATACGCTGAGAGAATGATATACGCCATTGCGATCGGACTCGTCGTCTTCGTTGAAGCGGGACAGGTTGGAGACTAGCAGACTCAAGAGGTCACTGTCTATCAACGCGCCAACCAAGGTGTCCCACTGCTCAGTCTCCGTCACGACATCATCGTCCGTGAGCTCCCCGATAATCTCAATCGCACCAATGGCAATGTCCGAGTTCTCGTGCGTCAGCAGACTGACTAAGCTTCCCGCAGTTCCCAGCTTCACAAACTCGCCATACAGCTCGGAGGATTCGGCCAAGAGCGAGAGGTTCTTGATTTCGGCGTCAAGGTCGGCCTCGCTGTCGATGAATTTCTGCGGCTGGTCCTCGAACCGGGAGCGCAGCTCCGAGTTCTTGGTGATGAGCTTTTCGAGGTTGAGCGCCGTCCTTCGGAGCCAGGCGCCGTCGATCTTGTCCAAGTCGCCGCCCGCGTCGGCCTTGTCGACGAAATCGAGGATTTCCGATTCTTGCTTGGTGATGCCGCCGCCGAAGAAGCGGCCTTCTTCGTCGTCGCCTACGTCGTCTTCTGGTGGCAGCTCGGGCCCGAAATCGTCGTCATCGGCGGGGTTCTCTGCATCATCTTCGACTTGGGCATGGCGATTGGTGCTTCTGTCGGTCAGCTTGGTCGCCTTGTATATTTCGTCTGATTGAAGAAATCACCACCTGTTAGTATTGATTTAGCAGCTAGTTCGCAGCTTTCATGTCGACTTACTGGGATCGCGAATTGGCTGGTCGAGTTTCCGCTTGCCGATGGAGCCAGATGCCTGGATAAGCAGTCAGAACATCTGCCTAATTGGCCTCTGGGGCGTGCCCTGTGACTCTAGCACTCTCGTTTAATACCTTGAATAGATCATCCACGTTCGCCATTCTGTTTTAAGCAACGTCGTTTCGTGTTTTTGCTGAGCAGCCAAAAGTCGTGTCGCCGCATGCAAGTAAGCTCCCTCGGCATAGCTGAGCTAGCCTTCTAATCGCGGCCCCTGTCCTTCAATTACGGCAATTCTAGCAAACGATAAGCCTCTATGGGGGATCCTTACTCTAAAGGGGGCCGTTACGACGCTAACGGGGTGCTAAGCCGGAACAATGCTGGCTCAGGCCTACTTTGGTACAAAAAAGTACTAGTACCCACCCCAGCGGCCAGGGGTCGAAAAAGGGGACGGTTAGGGGTCGGTTTTAAGGGCTCCATGTAGGCCTGTCGTGATTGATTGCGCGCCTAGCTTCTGGCACTAGCAGGAATAGCCAGCATCTGATGCAAGCTTCAAGCGAACTGGCATCCAGGGGGGGGTTTCCAGGCCTGACAGCGGTAATACCACTAGCCGGGAAGCACAATCAACTACGAGTACAGTAGCACGATACGGTCTCGTACGAGCACGGTACAGGTACGGGCACGGTAACACCGCAGTTTGCAGGCCGCGGGTACCTCCGTCGGGCGGTGAGAGCGCAACTGCGGGTGGTCAGTGGGCGGTTCGCTGAGCACCGCAGCGTGCCGGGGGCCTGATCATCGCCAGGTACCGGTACTTGCGCCCATGCACAGCACAACCTCCCACGCTGGCTCCCCACGATCCACAGCACAGGGAACCTCCAAATCCCCGATTTTCTTCGTCCCCGGAGCGGCTTTCTGGATAGGACAAAGCGGTCGTGGGAGCCGATCTGCGAGCCTCTCCTTCTCTGGCCATCCTCTCCGAGATCTGGCGATATTCGATCCTCGATACTCGATACTGATCAGCCTCGCCTCAGCCGCGGACAAAGAGAAGAGCCCGCAAAGACTCTGTGGTCATGGCCGTCTGCCAAACGCGCGATAACCACATTCATCTCCAGCTCCATATCCAAGCCGACCCACGTTGTACGAGTAAGATTGGCCGGAAGAGGCGACTATTGGCTGAGACGGCAGCCCGCACCAGTCCAGCAACTCGCAGAGCATGCAGCAATCGCGCTCCTTTGGCGACAGCATCATCACCGGCCTGGTAGACGCACCTAGCCGAGCAAATCTCTCCAGACCACCGTCGTCGCCGCCGCCGCCGCCACCACTGCCGCCAATATCAATATCGCATAATCCTAATCTTAACCCGCCATCGCGAGACCCTCCAGGCCTTGACGGCATCACGCCAGTCCCACGCTCCGTCTTCTCGTCCGTCCGCCTGCCGCGAAGCTCGTCGCTGATCCATCCGTCGCACGTGTCGTCGCAGTCGCCCACTCGTGCCACTACTGCTGCTACTCATACTCATACCACCAATACCGCTGCTGCCACTACTGCTACTCATACTGCGCTTCCTCCTGCTAGTATTGGCAACAATAGCGGCAATCCGCTCCATCAGACGCATCGCGACACCGTGCACCCCCCCGTTAGCCTCAAGCGGCCCTCAACTCCGTCGTCGCATCCCAGCAGGGGCACCACCGCCGGAGCATCGCCGCAGCAAGGCTCCCGTTCCCGAAACCGCTGGTCGACCTCGTCCGTTTCGTCTTCCTCGGGTCGCACGTCTCCTTATGCCTCTCACCAGGCCTCTGGCTCCCATTCGCACTACCACGCCAACTCCAACTCGTCATATACCCGTCGCGCCAGTATCGAGGCTGTAGTGGGTGCTTCTCACGGTTCGTCCGCTCTTGCTGCCGCTCAGGCTCAGGCGCCGCAAAACCTGCACCGAACCGATCGGAGCCACTTCGCCTTGCCAGACCGCAGCGCAACGCCCACGCGAGCGTATCCAATGAGGTCCGAGTCGAGCATGTCCATGAGGCATTACGAGAGCAGCCACCTACGCTCCATGTCGCCCAATCCATACGCAAATCCTGCCGTCACGACACAGTCTACCGCCAGAATGCCCCACGAGCAGAACCGCGATCCTTACGCCCCTCGGGGCCACTCGAGGGACAATTCGAGCAAAAGCAGCAGAGACATGGGCAAGCCCCGCGCTCAGAAAAATCCTTCTCAAAAGGCAATGCTTTCCCGAGCGCTGCAAAAGGCCAACACGGCAGTGCAGCTTGACAATGCCCAAAATTTCGAAGGCGCTCGAGAGGCCTACTCTGAGGCATGTGACTTACTGCAGCAGGTGCTGGACCGAACGTCAGGGGATGAGGACAAGAGGAAGCTTGAAGCTATTGTAAGTCTTGATTCAAAGGAACAAGAACTCACGACATCTTTGACTGACATTGAATGCACAGCGCCAAACATACACCAGCCGTATCGATGAACTGGATCAGATGGGCCCGTGGCAGGACGAGGCTGTCAAGGCTCTGCCCGCTAGGCCAGAGAGTGAAGATTACGGCGCGTCCATATACATGCACCAGGACTACGAGATGATGGAGGAGGCTCCCAGGATCGAGACAGCACGAGTTGTTAGCTACATTGGGGGAGACATTTCGCCCGTTTCAGGAGGAGCACCGCCACACCAATGGCAGCAAACCACTGGCTATGCAACAGCGGATAGACTGCAGCCTTCTCGTAACTTGGAGCCGGGACTGTTGCAGTCATCGTTCTCTCGGGCGCCCAGGCGGTTACGCTCTACTGATGATCTTCGCGCACAACACCAAGAGGGCCAGTATGCGCCGCCCCCTCTATCGCCTCGCTCAAAATCGCCAGTCAAGACGAACAATGACGACATGTTTGCGGAGCTGCCGCCACACGAACCCTATCAGTATCAGCAGCATGCGCAGCATCACGGCCATCAACGACTGCCTAGCGATAGTGTCCTATCTCCGTATGACCAGGAAATTGTAGATGGAGTCCAGAGTTCATGGCTAGATCCAATCGATGAGTCGGGAGCATCAACAGCATCATCTGTACACTCACGTACCTCGTCGCTTGGCTACCGTCGGCGCCACATCAGGGCTGCCAGCGGAAACACCGAGGCTGAGTTTGACACGGCTCTGGACGCTGCCATCGAAGCTGCCTACGACGACGGCTTCGAGCCCATGGATTCCGTAGACTATGAACCCATAGACACCAGCGAGGATCCCATGGCAAGCGTGCTGCAAAAGGTGGAAAAAGCACGTGAAAGAGTGAGGCAGACCGAACAGGAAGCATATGATGAGCTGGCGAATCTCCGCCAAGCACAGCAGCAGAACCTGCAGCAGCTGCAGGAGGAGGACAAATATACCGCCGACGGATTCTACGAGGATGATTCATCCGAAGAAGAGGAAAGGCTGCTGGATGAGATTACACGCGACTTTGCAATCGAGGACTTTACCATGGAACAACCGTATGGTACGACCGTGTCGGCAAAACAGCAGGAAGCTTGGAACGAGGATGAGACGCAGGCGGACTTCATCTCAGGGGTCCGATCTTTCTCTGCCTTGTCGCAGAGACCGCCTATCCCTAACTCTACCAGTGCCACACAACCACCAGCGCCGCCTCCAACTTCAGCATTGCCAAACTTACCGCCCCCGACTTCGGCATTGCCAGACTTACCAGCAGCAGGCCCGGGTTCTCCATCAGGTGGGGTGCGGAATCGTCGACTCTCTGGGCAGAATCCAAAGCAGCTCAAGATTGAAACCTCGAATCTCGGACAACCCCCAAGCAGGTCGATTTATGACGATGACGAAATATCCCCAAGCACTCAGGAGCCGCCTACAGAGGTGCTGACCCGAACAGACAGCGCTCAACCCGTCAGGCCGCCGATACCAGGAGGCTTTGCCTCTGATTCAAAGGTTCCTGCATCGCCAACCGCCAAGAAACGGCTGCTGGAAGGAGAAGAAGCGCCCAGCGCCTCGCCTTCCATCCACAGACTACGGAAGAACTTTTCGTCCTCCAGTTTGAGAAGCATGAAGAGCAGAAACATGTCAGTGTCGCATCTTGACGACAGCTCCGACTTGTCTCCTGGCACTCCCAATCCTTATGGCAAGGCACCTGCTGTGCCTGCACTGCCGACGCCTCTCATCACGTCGTTTAAAGAAAACATGGAGATGGGAGCCGGCGGTGCAGGGTTGCATCTGTTTGACGGCGATTTCCACGTATCAGCCACTCCCGGTCCTCAAAGTCCCATTGTTTCCGTGGACGTCCCCTTGCCCCTCGAACCCTGTCCAAACGAATTCATGCTGCGCCCTTTTTGGCTGATGCGATGCCTCTACCAAACACTTGTGCACCCCAAGGGAGGATACGTCAGCACGAAGCTGTTTGTGCCGCGCGATGTTTGGCGGGTCAAGGGAGTCAAGATTAAGAATGTGGAAGACAAGATTGCAAACTGCGACTTTTTGACTGCGGCTCTCCTCAAGCTGGCCAAAGTTGACACTTTCGACGCAGACGCCGTGTTGGAAGAAATGCAAGCCCTCGAGGGCATTTTGGAGCAGATACAGTCGACTCTATCACGAAAGCTAGGGAGCGAAGTAGGCGTCCAAGGTTCCGGCCTTTTATTCAAAGATGCCTCTCTGGCGGACGGAGATGGTGGGTCAGCTGTGCCACGATCGGGCAGCGTGTCTGGTAAAGCCTCTGCATTCTCATGGCGAAGGCTTCGGCCAAAGACATCGGGTGTTGGGTTGGGGGGGTCATACAGCAACCGGAATGGCAGTGCCGAAGTCAAGGAGGTGACAACACTGCCGAGCATTCCCATGACACCGAAACCGGCAAGTCGTCCGGCCAAGCGAGATGTAAGCCAAGCTCAGTTCATCGGCCCCAATGCCAGTTACATGGGCTCGCTTGCGCGCTTGTTTGACGCTGCCCAGGCAGTTGGTAAGTGATTTAGAGATGGCCTATCCCGTACCATGACAACGAACTAACGGAAATAATGTAGATCAAATCGCAAGGCAGGTTGACGACCCCGGTCTACGGCATGCGGACAAGACCCAGGTCGGGTTGGAGCTTTGCACACGGCACGCGGCCGAGTTTTTCGGCTTCTACATCTGCCGGTTTGTGCTGGCTGATCTCGGCCTTTTACTGGATAAGTTCATCAAGAGAGGAAGCGAATGGGTTCTGGCCTAAAGGGGAGAGGGGTCGTGAGAGAGTTGCTGTCTGTGTTTTATACAATGTGATACCTAATGATCAAGAGACGGAATTAATTAACCGCTGGAACTTGGAATAATGTTCATAATGACGGAACGATTAGAAACAGAAACAGCAACGGCACGTTTATATGGGATATTCGGTAGACAAAGTGGCAGATGAGTGTCATGTTTGAGAATCTTGATACAGGAAGAAGAGCAGGCGACTGTTTTTGATGGTTCAGTCATTGACGATGTAGCCATTCTGTGTATATATAGTAGTACATTTGCAGCGCTTTGCTGCGATAGAGCGAGATAGAACGCGCATACCTGGGCGAACTGAAAGAAGCGATCACGAATGAATAGCTTCATTACAGCTATAAAGTTGCAAATCATGATTGAATGTGATTTCATGATGTGATTGCATGTAGATTAGATGCTTTCAACGGCAGCTTGCAGTTGACAATACTAATTTGACCAAGGAGGGGCAGTGGCCGCAAGTGCGGAAATAATCCGCCCGCCTTTTGAGCACAGTTTTTGTCGAGCTTTCCATCGACTCTGCTCTGGCAATCCAACCAGCGACACCGCAGAGTCGCCCAATGCGAGCTTCGTGGATGCCCAGATGAGCCTGGCTGGGAGAGCCGGACGAGCCTGGACTCGGGAATGGCTGCGGAATTCCAGCAGCAGCAGTCATGGCCTCAACCGCAACCTCAACAACACATCCGGATGGTCTCTGCTTCTGCGCACGACAGCTCCATGTCGGCATCGCAGCTACGCCTCGCAAGCAAAGCCGACGCCTGCGCAGCTCGAGGCGCGGATAGCGGCGATTCCCATTGAGCGGTACAGAAACTTTTGCATCGTGGCGCACATTGACCATGGCAAGAGCACGCTGAGCGACCGGCTGCTGGAGCTGACGGGGACCATCTCGGCCAGCGATGCGAACAAGCAGATTCTGGTGGGTGCAGCAGCGAATCCCAGTTGTCGGAGAAGCCGTGAAACTGAGCAGTGAGAATTTCATCTATAGGACAAACTCGACGTCGAACGCGAGCGGGGAATCACAGTCAAGGCACAGACGTGCACCATGATATACAAGCACAATGGCGACGATTACCTGCTGCACCTCGTCGACACGCCGGGCCACGTCGATTTCCGCGCCGAGGTCACCCGTTCATACGCCAGCTGCGGCGGCGCTCTGCTGTTGATCGACGCCAGCCAGGGCATTCAGGCGCAGACGGTGTCCAACTTTCACCTGGCCTTTGCGCAGGATCTGGCGCTGGTCCCCGTCATCAACAAGATCGACATGCCGTCGGCTGATGTGCCCCGCGTTCTGGACCAGATGGAGACGAGCTTCGAGTTGGATCCCAAAAGGGCTGTGCTGGTGAGCGCAAAGACGGGCAAAGGTGTTGGTGCCCTTTTGCCGGCGGTGGTGGAGGGGATTCCGCACCCTGTCGGCGACGAGAGTAAGCCGCTGAAGATGCTCCTGGTTGATTCTTGGTACGACACTTTCAAGGGCGTGGTTCTGCTGGTGAGGCTGTTTGATGGATCTATCAGGACGGGAGACAACGTCGTGTCACTGGGCACGGGCATGAAGTACACGGTTGGTCAGGTCGGCATTCAGTATCCCAACGCAACGCCGCAGACGGTGCTTCGCGCAGGCCAGGTCGGTTATGTCTACTTCAATCCGGGCATGAAACGGATTCAAGATGCCAAGCTAGGCGACACCTTCACCACGGTTGGAGATGAAGACATCGTCGAGCCGTGTCCAGGTTTTGAGGAACCCAAGCCCATGGTGTTTGTTGCGGCGTTTCCTACCGATCAGAGTGACTACACCCGTCTCGCCGACAGCATCAATCAGCTTGTGCTCAACGATCGCAGTGTGACGCTGCAAAAGGACTTTTCCGAGGCTCTTGGATCAGGATGGCGTCTTGGGTTCCTGGGCAGTCTTCATTGCTCGGTATTTCAAGATCGTTTGAGACAGGAGCATGGCAAGAGCATCATCATCACGGAACCTACCGTGCCAACCAAGATTGTGTATGCCGACGAGTCAGAGGAGGTCGTGCAGAACCCAGCCCTGTTTCCAGACTCGAGCGATCACCGGATCAGAGCCGCCACATTATACGAGCCGTAAGTTTTCACAGAGTCCAAGATGTAGAGTATGGCGACTAACAAACTGTCTTGGTAGCTATGTGAAGGCGACAATCACGGTCCCTGAAGAGTACCTCGGCCGCGTCATCGAGCTTTGCGAGGGCAACCGCGGAGAGCAAAAGAGCCTAGAGTTTTTCCACACCGACCAGGTTATTCTCTCATACGACATTCCCGCCTCACAGTTGGTCGACGATTTGTTTGGAAAACTCAAAGGCGTCTCGTAAGTTTTCCAGCTACGTGGCTACTTCTTTATTGTGGAGTGGTAGTTGATGCCCCGTTGTAGAAAAGGTTATGCGACTCTTGACTACGAGGACGCAGGGTGGCGCCAGAGCAAATTGGTGAAGCTCCAGCTACTTGTCAATCGACAGCCCGTCGACGCCATTTGTCGAGTGATACATTCGACACAGGTTGACCGCCTAGGGCGCCAATGGGTCACAAAGTTCAAGGAGCATGTCGATCGACAAATGTTTGGTTAGTTTTTTCAAAAAGCCCCCCTTATTTTTCGCCAATGTGTTACCCTTTTGCCAACTCTTATCTGTGTTTCAGAGGTCGTCATCCAAGCCGTTGTGGGCAATAAAGTTATTGCTCGAGAAACCATCAAACCTTTTCGAAAAGACGTCCTCGCAAAACTACACGCGAGTGATATCACTAGACGGAGAAAACTGCTCGAGAAGCAGAAGGAGGGGAGAAAGAGGCTGAGAGCAGTGGGAAATGTGGTGATTGACCAATCTGCGTTTCAGAGCTTTTTGTCAAAATAGAGTCGCCACGGAAAAGAGGCTATCTGTATTATAGAGTACATTACATCGACATGCATGTATTTTCTCAAAGTTTACGTGTATATAACTGTATAGGTATATAACATCTATCCAACCATCTACTTAGTATGAACATGTGTATCGCAAAATCACTAGTCTAACTATCCAAAGCCATCTTGCTCAATTCTTGTCCTCTTGAATCTCATCGTCCGTCACATCCTCCGGTACCTCACTCCCCAACTCAGCCCTCTTATTCCACGACCACCCCATGCCCCCTTCCAGCGTAGACTCATCAATCTTCAACTCCAACTCCTCATGCAAAGTAAAAATGCGGTAATCCGCATTATGATACCACCATGCAGACACGCCCGACCTCAGAAACGCCGCATGCGAAAACACAAAGATTAAGTCTTCGGGTCTCTTGCTCAGCTTCTCAAGACAGCGACGGCCACGACGTAGAACTGCGGTCCGAGTGTATCCAAAGAGGCTTTTCGCCAACGGGTCCTCTGTTTTATCGGGCCAGACTGGTGGGATGGCGGAGAAGTCGTAGCAGGGAGATGAGAATTGGTGCTTGGTCTGGTTGTCTTTGATGAGGGGCAGGAGAGAGAGGGGAGAGCCGGTGTCGCAGGGCTTGGCGGAGAGTTCTGCAGTTTTTTTTTTCTTTCGGTGAGACTTTTGCTCTATATCATATACTTTTGAGGGGATTTGAAGAGGTCGTAGAGGGTGCCTTGTCAAGTATGTATACAAGTCGGATTTTCACATACCCTGCCAATCGGCATCCGCCTCAATCTTGACACCGCGCTCAACGAGCCAATCAGTCGCCAAACTCGCCGTCTGCAGCGTGCGCACCATCGGGCTCGCAATGACGGCGATGCGGCCCTCGAAGGAGGAGAAGCGCTGGAAGAGGTTGTAGCGGAGCTGTGAGCATTGCTGGATGCCGTGGTCGGTGAGACGGGGGTCCGGGATGGAGTGGTCCTGTGGCGGCAGGTAGCTTGTTAGTTTTTCTAATTTTTGGTGGCTTATATGAGGATGAGGGGGGAACTTATTGGTTTCGTTGTGGAGGGCCTGGGCGTGGCGGATGAGGACGATTGTGGGAGACATGGCTTGGCTGGTGGTGATGTTATTGATTGGTGTAGGTTGCTTTTTTGGTGTGAATGAGAGTAGATGTGAGATGGCATGAGCTGGTTTGAGTGAGTCAGTAACTAACAACAATCATGTCCATCATGTAATCATGTGTGTTGGCATTAGCATACTGCACCTATGGGGAATTAGTATACTTCCTAATTCGAATCAATCGTAATTGGCTTTGTGTTATACGCGTAATTAGTGTTCTATTGGAAAGACTGAATGAGATCGAAATCTCACGTATTTTCCAGATTGCAGGTACCTGAATAGAGCAAGGCGCGGCAAAAAAAATTAAATTAAATTGTTGGAGCGCCACACATGCACGATCTAGTATGATCTAGATGCTACTTCCAGCGCTGTACCTCCTTACCTCCTTCCCTGGGCGGTTGGTCTTCTCCAAAAGGTCTAGGTAGAACAGGTACCTACTAAGGCACCAAGGTACTTCCTCCGATAATCCATCAAGGTTCTCCAGGTATTTGATACATCGACCACAGCTTTTGTGCCTCAGGCTCCAGCTACATCCATACAACTACGTCTCTATCTTCAACTCTGTTTCAGCCTCATCTTAACCTTTCCCACATCTCAGCTCTAAACAACAGCACCTCCGCAATGTCCCCGCGTGTATCGAAGCCCAAATGTCATCATCTGACCAGAATCCCAAAGTGAAACCCCCATATGTGGAGGTTTATATGGCCGCGAAAATGGATACTTCAGCCTCGCACCGCGAAACTCAAGGCTGATACTCTCCGGCAGAGTTTGCCTTTCTCAGGAAAAAAGCCAGATATCTCTTTATAAGAAGCGCCGATCCAGGTCTCTGGCTCAAAACAATGTTTGACTCCTGAAAACCAAACAGTGAATCCAAGTGACGCAAAATACTACTTGGCCTCTCAACCGCCAGTTCATCTCCATCATCAGAAACAAACACAGCAATCATGTTGTTGTCGCCGCTGCTTTCTACAGCCGCCGCTTTGGTCGCTGCAAGTGTTGCAGTTGCAGATACTGCCAATCTCGCCCCTCCTTTCGAATGGTTCGCCATCGTCCCCAACGAGCAGCTCAAGTATCAAAACTGCTACGATGGCTTCAAGTGCGCTCGCCTGATTGTTCCTCTCGACTGGAAGAACCCCGAGGACAACCACACCATCTCCATTGCCATGATCAAGCTGCCAGCCGTTGTTCCGGATGACGACCCGACCTTTGGCGGCACCATCATCTTCAACCCCGGCGGCCCCGGCGTCTCTGGCGTCGATGCCGCCCTCCGGGGAGCCAGAACCATCCAGCAGAACCTCGCTGACACGCCTGGTGTTCGTCACTATGAGATCCTGTCCTTTGATCCCCGCGGCGTTGGGAGAACAACTCCAGTCAGCGACTGTTTCCCCTCCGATCCCTTTGATCGCACTGCTTGGCTCCTTGAAGACCGTGCCAAGGGTCCGCTCTCCTACGGCAAGACCACACTGTCCTACGGCCTGGGTCTCATGGAAAACTTTGTCGAGCAGTGTAGACTTAACGAGGAGCTCAAGGGAAGCATGGACTTCGTCAACACTCCAAGCGTGGCTCGCGACATGGTAGAGATGATTGACAGAATCGACGAGCTGAGGCTGCGCGAGGCTGCTGAGAGGCATGGCAAGCCACCGGGTCCTCAACGATTACCATCCTCCCAAGGAGAAGCCGAGAGAGATGAGGATGACGAAGCCCGGCATCTTCCCAAGACGCAGCTTCATCAACGAGGCAAATCAGAGGATCATGAAGAAGATCAGAACAACCCCGTACCGCGGATTCAGTATCTCGGCTTCTCGTATGGCACCATCTTGGGCAACACTTTTGCATCCATGTTCCCAGGCCGCGTTGGACGCATGGTCCTCGACGGCGTGCAGAGCGCCCCGGATTACTACACCGGAGATACGAGAACCGCCCTCGAAGACACTGATGAGATGTTTGATATCTTCTTGCAGGGCTGCTACGCTGCCAAGGTCAACATATGCCCCCTTCGCTTATCTTACAAAACCATCAAGGAAGCCAAGAAGCAATTCTGGCAGTGGATCTTCGACCTCAACCGCCTCCCCGTGTCGGTGAACCTAGTCAAGGGCGGCATCAAGGTCGTCAGAGGAGGCGACGTTCTCGCGGTTATAGGCAGCGCCCTGTACAGCCCTTTTGAGAAGTTTCAGCCCCTCGCCTTGGGCATCTACGATGGCATGAGCATCGGTGACTTGAACCGCCTCGCAGCCATCATCGACGAGGACAGCCCCAGAATTAACACGGACGCCAACAACTTGAACGCGCAGCAGCTCAAGGCCGAGCAGACATGGGGCGTCACCTGCAGCGACGGCCCAGACTGGCGCGACAAGGACGTCGGCTTTTGGCACAAGCACCTCCAGAAGCTGGAGATGAAGTCGAGGCTCTTTGGCCCCTTCTGGACCAACATCCGCTTCCCCTGCGCGTTCTGGTCGTCCCGCGCCAACTGGGTGTTTGGCGGGCCCTTCAAGACGCCCTCGCCCGTCTCGGAGCCGCTCTACACCTCGAGGCCCGCCGCGCCGCTGCTCTTCCTCAGCAGCCGCTACGACCCGGTCGCGCCGCTCAAGGTCGCCCGCGCCATGGCCAAGGAACATCCCGACTCGGGCCTCGTGGTGCAGCAGTCCATGGGGCACACCACGTGGGGCGGCGGGCCGAGCCGGTGCACCTGGGAGGCCGTCCGCGAGTACTTTCACGAGGGCAAGGTCCGGGCGAAAGAGATCTCTTGCGCCGCCGAGTGCGACCCGTGGGACAATGATTGTCAAGCCACGCTTTCCAAGAGGGCCGATAGAGAAGGGCAATCCTGGGAGGTGTGGACGAACATGACGGTGACGCTTCGAGAGATTCTTCGACCGAGGCCGTGGGCGGTTGGAGGGCCGTAAGTGGCGAGAGCTTGCACTTTTAGAAAGTAGACGAGTTGGTAATACGTGGTGGGATAGGAGTTTCTGGAATAATAATAGTTCCTTGGCAATAACATTGCCTGCTAGATTTTGAATTGAATAGTATCTGTCGGTCAGAGTGTGAATTGATTATTACAAGTGTTTTTGAATTGACATCAAGTACGGTTACGGTTCTATATACAAGTGAACATTGCATCAACCCTTATTATACAAAGAGGTAGTAAAAGACGACACGCTCATGCATCATTCTAGTATAACCCAACAACACTTGAGAATTTTCAACTTTTTTTTTCCCATCTTGGTCTTTTTGTTTATTTCTCTTTTTTATACCATTGGACTCAGCCAGACTTAGGCATTGGCATACTTCTTGTTAAAGGCGCGTCCAATGACCATTCTGCGAATCTCCGAGGTACCAGCTCCAATCTCGTACAGCTTGGCACTAAAAGCAGACCAGTTAGCCAAAAAGATTCGAGGAATGAAAAGGGGATCAAAACTAAGAAAACTTACTCTCTCAGGATTCTAGACGCGGGCATCTCCTCGGTGTAGCCCATGCCGCCCAGCAGCTGGATGCAGTCGAGCGCAACCTCGGTCGCCCTCTCGGCGGCGTAGAGAATGGCGCCGGCACAGTCCTCGGTGCGGATGACGCCCTGCTCGTCCACCATGCGGGCGGTGTTGTAGGTGTAGGCGCGCGAGGCCTGCAGCTTGGTGTACATGTCGGCGAGGCGGCCCTGGATCAGCTGGTTGTGGGCAATGGGCTGGCCAAACTGCTTGCGCTGGTGGGAAAAGGGCAGGGCGACGTCGAGCGAGGCCTGCATGAGGCCGAGGGGACCGGCGCTGAGGACCAGGCGCTCGAGGTCGAGGCCCTCCATGAGGACGCGGACGCCGCCGTTGACCTTGCCGAGGATGTTCTCGGTGGGCACGAAGACGTTCTCAAAGACGAGCTCGCCCGTGTTGGAGCCGCGCATGCCCATCTTGTCGAGCTTGCGGGCGCAGGAGAAGCCCTCGGCCTTTGTGTCGACCAGGAAGGCGGTGATGCCCTTGGAGCCCTTCTCCGGCTCCGTCTTTGCGTAAACAACAATAACGTGGGCGTCGGGGCCGTTGGTGATCCACATCTTGGTGCCGTTGAGCACGTAGCCGCCGTCGACAGCCTTGGCCGAGGCGCGCATGCTCACGACGTCGGAGCCGGAGCCGGACTCGGACATGGCGAGGGCGCCGACGCTGGTTCCGGCGATGAGGCCGGGCAGATACTTTTGCTTCTGCTCGAGGTTGCCGTTGAGCGAGATCTGGTTGACGCACAGCTGCGAGTGCGCGGCGTAGCTCAATGCAATAGAGCCTGAGGCACGCGACATCTCCTCCAGCACGATGCAGTGCGCCTGGTAACCCATGCCCAGGCCGCCGTAGTCCTCGTCGGCCGTGACGCCCAGGAAGCCGGCCTCGCCCATCTTCTCCCACATCTCCATGGGGAAGGCATTCGACTTGTCCGTCTTGGCGGCGAGCTCCTCGGGGATCTCGCGGCGGGTGAAGTCGTAGACACGCTCGCGCAGCTCGTCCAGCTCCTCTTGCGATGGCGGAGCGAAGCCCTTGGGGTGCTTCTGGGAGTGCAGTCGCTTTTGGGATGAGATGGAGGAGGCCGGGGAGAAGGCGGCAGGGCGGAGGGAGACTGATGGCCGCAGGGGGCGGGCGAGTCTGGAGAAGGATCTGAGGCTGGCCATGATGAATTGATGGTTGTGGATGAGAGAGAGAGAGAGAGAGTGAGAAGTGAGACGGAGAGTAAGAGAAGAAGAGAAGCTGGCTAGCAGCGGCGTATGTGTTAGAGAGGCGTGGGTGGAGTTTTGTGGGAGGAGACGCTGTATGTACCGGCCGAGGTTGATGTCACGGTGAAAGAAAAGATGATGATGAATCTACACTCTACACTCTGTACTCTGTACTTTGCAGACTTGGTGAGATGTATGAAAGATGAACAAGCAACAATGAGCGAAATGAAGAAGAGAGAAACAGAAAATAAAAAAAGGGAGGATGACGGACGAGCTAAGCAAAAACAGCTGCACGGATTCAAAAGAGCCGTCCAAGCAGCAAGAGCGCCACTAAGCCGAGGTGCCTTCCCCGGTTTGCTGTGCCATCGGTCCTTCGGCTCCCCGGCTTCAGGCGGCTTGTAGCGGCTCGGGGGTTCGCTGCAAAGAGCCGAATGGACGTCAACAGGGCATTTTCAGGCTTCGCTGCAGCATCTTTTGTTCTTCTTCTCGTCTGTTCCCCCCATTGCATTGCTTGGTGTTGTATTTCTCGCCGCTGCTCATCAATTAATTTCAATTGCACACGCCATGTCTCTCTCCCGGCCCTGTCGCCAGGCCCTGCGCCTCTCCCACCAGCTGCGGCCCTCCGCAAACATCAACATCAAGGCATCATCATCACCATCGCCATCACCATCACAGCTGCTCCGCCGCAGCGCCGCAACGCTCACGCCCCCTCACCAGGCCGCCGCCATCTCGCGCCTGCAGACAAACGTCGATGCCTCTTCCGACGAGTTCAAGGAAAACGAGCGCCAGATGGCCGACGTCACCGCGCGCCTGCAGGAGCTGACGGCGGCCATCCAAAAGGGCGGCCCGCAAAAGGCTCGTGATAAACACATTGCCCGCAACAAGATGCTGCCGCGAGATCGTGTGGCCGCCCTGATTGATCCTGGCACCACGTTCCTCGAGCTGTCGCCAATGGCCGGCCACGAGCTGTATCCAGAGGCTGAAGTTCCTGCGGGCGGCATCATCACCGGCGTGGGCGTCGTCGAGGGCGTCACTTGCGTAATTGTTGCCAACGACAGCACCGTCAAGGGCGGCACGTATTACCCCATCACCGTCAAGAAGCACCTGCGAGCCCAAGCCGTGGCTCAGGAGAACAAGCTGCCGTGAGTCTCTCGTCTCGTCCTCTGCTGTCGATTGGCCAGAACTGACCCCCAAAAACAGCTGCATCTACCTCGTCGACAGCGGCGGCGCCAACCTCCCCCACCAGGCCGACGTCTTCCCCGACCAGAACCACTTTGGCCGCATCTTCTACAACCAGGCCCGCATGTCCTCCCAGGGCATCCCCCAGATCGCCGTCGTCATGGGCCCCTGCACCGCCGGAGGCGCCTACGTCCCCGCCATGAGTGACGAGAGCATCATCGTCCAGGAGCAGGGCCACATCTTCCTCGCCGGCCCCCCCTTGGTGAAGGCCGCCACGGGCGAGGTCGTCAGCCACGAGGACCTGGGCGGCGGCAAGATGCACTCGTCCGTCTCGGGTGTCACCGACTACCTGGCCGTCGACGACGCCCACGCCATCACCCTCGCCCGCCGCAGCATCTCCAACCTCAACTGGCCGGCTCGAGCAGCCTCCACGAACCCGCCCGCGCCCACCTACGCCGAGCCGCTCTACGACCCCAACGAGCTGCTGGGCATCGCCACCACCAACCTGCGCAAGCCCATGCCCATCCGCGAGATCATCGCCCGCATCGTCGACGGCTCCGAGTTTGCAGAGTTCAAGCGCGACTTCGGCACCACCCTCGTCACGGGCTTCGCCTCCATCTACGGCCAAAAGGTCGGCATCGTCGCCAACGACGGCATCCTCTTCGCCTCCTCCTCCGTCAAGGGCGCCCACTTCATCGAGCTGTGCGCCCAGCGCGGCATCCCCCTCGTCTTCCTGCAAAACATCTCGGGCTTCATGGTCGGCTCCGCCTCGGAGCGCGACGGCATCGCCAAGCACGGCGCAAAGCTCGTCACCGCCGTCGCCTGCGCCGACGTCCCCAAGTTCACCGTCGTCGTCGGCGGCAGCTACGGCGCCGGCAACTACGGCATGTGCGGCCGCGCCTACAGCCCGCGCTTCCTCTGGATGTGGCCCAACGCCCGCGTCGGCGTCATGGGCGGCGAGCAGCTCGCCTCGGTCATGGAGACGGTCGGCAAGTCGGTCGACCCGGAGCTCAAGGCTCGCATCGAGAAGGAGAGCGAGGCCACTTACTCCTCGGCCCGTCTTTGGGTAAGTCGCAAACCCACCAACATCATGATGCATTCACGTACAGAAACACCGGCTAACCAATCGTGATTCAAACAGGACGACGGCATCATCCCTCCCCAGCACACCCGCCAGTATCTCGGTCTCGGCCTGAGAGCCGCCATGGGTGGCCGCAACGAGGTCAAGGCCGGAGACACCAAGTTCGGCGTCTTCCGAATGTAAACAAGAAGAGAAAAAGAAAAAGAAGAGAATCAAAAAAAAGATGTAAAAAGTAATATATACTACACGCTCATGTAAACATGCAAACAACCCCCGTGTTTTTGGTTATTCCATTGCCCCTTTCAGAAGTAGACATCTATGTACATTTCACGACTAGCAAACACACACATTCATCAAGCTCGCCCGACTGCTGTCCATCCGAGAAAAAAGTCGTAGCAGCAGTAAAGCCGCCGTGATATTGATATCGGGAATAATCTAGTCTGCCTCTGATGAAAACGCCAGCGCTAATCTCGCCATACCACCCCGTTTCTTCGCATATGTAAATGCACATGAAAAAAGAGAAAGAAAATAAAAAGAGAAGAAATAAAATAGAGGAAAAGGTGCCAAAATTGAAAGAAAGACCATGACATGCTTATACAAGATTTCCCAATCGTATTGCCCTTTTTTGCTTCTTACGTCTCATTGCCACAAATAAACCCTCCCCGCCCAATTTCAACTGATATTAATGTCATGTCCCAAGTTTGTACAAAGAGGTTTTTGCCAACCCCTATCGGCAGCCGTATAGATTGGCTGAGATTTTCCCACGTTTGTATCCGTTTTGACTTGTATCCGTGTTGAGGGTTGCCAAACAGCATCACCCTCAAAAGTCGAACAGGTTGCGCTTGGACGCCGTTTTACCCCCTACGGGGCCTTGGCCAATGTTGACCTTGGTGTCGACCAGATCAACAGTCCTATTTCCTCCGATAGAGATGCTGGATGCCTCCTTCACCGTCACCTGGGAACCGAACTTGGTGATGGATTGAGTGGCTTCGGTGAAAAATTGCTGAAGTTGAGTCTGTGCCGTGTTGGCGGCGTCGACACTGTCTTCTTGTAAGACGTACAGAACCGCTGTGCGAGCAAAATCGAGGACTTCTTGTGTCACCGTGAATAGGCTGGTTTGCTTGGGAGAGGCGGACGAGCTCGATGCTGAGGGGCTGCTTCTTCGAGCCAATACGGGTGCCTCGCCCTGAACGACTTCAAACTGCCGGGAGGTGAGCACGGGCGATGGTCCAGAGCCCTCGCCGGTTTCTTTCTTGTTTTTAGCCGAGTCGTCGGTAGTATCATGAACTTGAGCGTTAGCCAAGCCGGTTCTCGTCGACTGGCCGTCAAAGGTAACAAGAGCGTTTTGCGCAATGCAAGAGAGGTTTGCCGAGTTGAATTTGGCCAGGATGCTCGTTCCCACAAGAGGGATGGAATAATTCTTGGTAGAGTCGGCAATGATGCGCGGAATAGCCAGGCCGAGGGTGACATTGTTGATATGAGAAGAGCCGTCGGTGGGAATCAGGTTTGTCGTGGTACAACCCGCGGAGCCGCTTGAGCCGCAGTTGGCGCCGGTGAAGCCATTGGTGCAGATGCACGAACATGTGTTGTTGACGACAACGCCGCTGCCGCCATTCAGGCAGGGCAGAGTCTTTGCGCAGGTGTCGAGGTTCACACCCGCCGGCTTATTGTGGTTGCCCAAGTTCTTGAACACAAAATACTCCAGGGGAACAACGACGGCTGCCGCAATGATGCACAGCATGAGCAGGATGATCAAAATGAACCCCCACAGAGGCAGGCCGCAGCATCGGCGACCTTTTGGCTTGGCCGGCGCCGGGTCCTCGGGAGTCACAGAGAACTTCTCACGACCCGTCACGTAGTTGTTGCCTCCTGGCATGATGGGCCAGGAGCCCATGGGGCCGCGGCCAGTATGCTGAGGAGTCTGTACGGGAGGAGGAAAGGCAGCCAGCATATCAGAAAGACCAGACTGATAGCGTTCATCTAAATTTCATGCAAGGTTAGCCGCAAGTGATATTTCAAATGAGTGAATATGCGAAAGAGGTAACATACGCCTCATTCTATCGCCGCCTCCCTTTTCGCTGAAGAAGTCGAGTTCATCGAGGCGGCTTGATGGGCGTTTGCCCTTATCGATCATCGAGGCTAATCGGGTGGCACGTCGGATCAGGTCTGGTAAGCTGGTGAGACTTCCTCTTGACTCCGCCTCTCGCACGGCGTCTATATCCAGCCTTGGCGGGCGTCGGATTGCTGAAAGGCGGCTCGTCGGTTGTGGGGATCCGGCAGCTTTGCGTAAATCTCCTGGACTCATCGTGTTGCCTCTGTTAAGAGCAACGCCCGCAATGTGGCTCGCCATGCCAGGGGTAGTTGCCGGGGTTTGTCTGTTGGTGAAGGAGTTGTTGGTAGAAGAGTCGGTGGATTCGTCCACAAGGCCTGTTCCCCCGAGGAACGGGTTGGCAGAAGCTGATTTGTTTCCACCAGGCTTGTTGGGGTTGGAGAGCGTCTGCATGGCATACTCATCTTGGCCAGACACAAGGCCACTCTCGTCGCTGTAATCGTCTGCTCCAGAACTCCTAGTCTTGTCGGTCAATGACTCTTCGTAGAATGCTCCATGCATACTCGGGCTGGCACCCGCAGAATCGACCCTCCAAGCATCTGGCATGACCGCGCTCGAGGCGAAAGAGTTGTGGGACTTGTAGGCCGAGTCTTCTTCGGGAATTGGGGAAACAAAGGGCGCTGCAGAGTAAAAAGACGACTGTCCTCTTCTGCTAGTAGGCGGCGGCCCCAGGTTTGCGCTTCTCCTTGGGAGCCCTGAGGTTTCTGAGGAGGGGCTGTCAACTGGCTCCAGCGGGCTCTCGGGTCCTCCTGGGACACGGAATGAGGGAGTCGGTTGCTGCTGGCGGGATGGGTCTACCATCGATGGGACTAGACTCGGGCGCTGCGGTCTTTGAGGGGCTACTCGAGGTCGGTCAGGCGGTGGACGGTACGATTCAGCATCTGGAGGTGATGCTGCGGGGGGGCTTTGAAGTGGCCACTGGGGGGGTGGTGCTGGTCGTGGAATTGTCCTTGAAGAACTGCCATTCTGACCATTCGATGGTCTTGGTCTCGTCGAGTTGGGCGGTACTACATCCTGAGGTGGTGCATCGTAACCCGGACTCGTGTCGTGTCTCAGCCGCTGCTCGCGCGTATTGGACTCGCTGCTGAATGGAAATACCAAGGCCTTGTTTCGCGGGTTTTGAGAGGATGGTGGAGATTGTGCCGGCCAATCCCTGCCTCCATTATACTCCTGACTCATATCGTCGTCGAATCCAGTCGCCAATCATTCAGAGTGATGTCGCTGGACAATTTGCCAATGGTTCAACGGTAATGTGCGAGGTGCGAGGTGCATAAAGGGGGGTCCTGCTGGTAACCGATCTAGCTGAAACAAACTTGGTTGCACTGGCAGAGGTGGAACCAGTCACGAACTGGTTGAGATGAAGTTGAAACGATTGAAACGAATGAAGAGGCGCAAAGCATTGAGGATAGGGCCAACAGTTGCGCTGGTGGTTCTGTGGGCGTGATTGATGACAGCCGCACAGGAAGGTATAACGAGTGGAATCTGCAAACAGGCAATATTAGACATGAGCAAAGCCCTTGCATTAAAAACGCACAAGTCTCGACGATGACTATAACAAATCGAAACTCATTGTAGAAAGACCAAGAAACGAACAGCAGGGTGAAGCAAAGAGGAGGCCAAGACGCTTCCAAAATTAACGGCTAGCTCGTACCTTGGCGACTGGGCGAAAGACGTAATCTCAGAAGACGTAATGAAATGACTGCAGGTGAAATTGGAACGAGTCCTGCTCAACGGCTGAATCGACGCACGGTCCTGCTGTGCAACAACACAAGTGTGATGGGAGGATAACAAGATCGACACGGCGGTTGTCTTGTGTCACGGTTTCTCGAAGACGCTGCAAAGGGATAGAAGGACGAGGCAGAGTGTCTGTGATGGGTGAGTCGGTGGCCGGGGCAGCGTTGGGAATTGGAGCTGGTGCAGAGCAGGAACTTTGAGGTTTCAGGGTTCGCATGAAACACGTAGATCGAAAGAGGGTATCTGGAAGTCGAACGATGTGCAGATATCTGGGAAAGACGGAGGTCGTGGATGAGCAGCAGAAAACGTACTTACGAGAGAAATGGTGAGTATTCACCGGGAACAGAACGGGCACAGCGGCAAAGAGAGAAGAGAAAAGAAAAGTATAAAAAAATAAATCAACAAGAGAAAAGAAAAATTAAAGAAAGCGGGGAATCGAACAGTTGGCAGCAGCAGCAGTGAGCAGCTGGTGATGAGAGAAAGAAAGAAAGAGTGAAGGTTAACGCAAGCGAGAAAAGAGGAACTGGGGGGGAGACGGAGAGGAGGAGGAGGATTGGATTGGCGAGCGAGGGCACTCAAGGGCTGGGATGGGCTGGGGGGAGATGACACGAGCAGGCGAAAGGTGAGGCGAGGCTTGCACTGCTCTGTGCCCTGTATTTCGTGCTGTGTGCCTTGTTGTCGGACGATGGCCCAGCCAGACAGACGCTTCTCAACCAGCGAGGGACTCTGGATATTGAGGAGGCAGAAGAGGAGTCGAGTCGGAGAGGAGAAGGACGAACGATGCGGCAGTTTAGGGTCTGGTGCGTCAAGGTCCAGGTTCCAGGTTCCAGCCAGGTCCGGGTACATGTAGGTACAGGTACAGGGCACAAGTATGTACAGGCACAGGCACAGGGCGCATGAAAAAAGCAGGGAGCCGGTCACAGGTTGCTGTTCCTGGCCTGGCCGCACGTTGTTTGTGGGGAGCTTCGCTTGCAACAGCGCCAGCCATGGGACCTGTAATTGCTGGAGGCGGGCCTGAGATGCGGCCGTACCGGTACATGCAGCCGCAGGCAGGGATATCCCACGGCAAAAACTGGGTTCATGTTCTCTTTTCATCACAGCGGGCCAAGGTGAAGCTGCATCAATGATGCGCAGTCGGTCGGCCGCATCGCTGGCGTTATCTGCCAATCAATTTCCGCTGGCCGCAAACACGGGTTGATTTCTTGTTTTGATGCTGGTTCTGCCAAGCAATGAGATGTTTTTTGGGGTGCCCGTTTAGTACCTATCATTTACGCGTACTCTCAGACCAAAGCAAGTAGCGGATACATAAGACTACCTACACTGAAGCATCTCAAATGAAACCATCCAGTTGAGTAGAAACAAAAAGTAAAACCCTCCCAATAGGTACCTTAGCTTCAAAGATTCATCACCAGATTCTGTACCAACGTTGCCGTGCAGTCAATAGCGCAGCCACAGGTACCCGTACCTCACCCTAGCTCCCCGTCCCCCCAGAACCCCTGAAAGGACGCTGTAAAGGCAAAACACTAGCGCCGCTGTTCCTGCAGCACCCGCAGCTGCGCCCGGCCTTTTCATTCGCCTGCTTCGTTGTCCGTCTCTTTTTTACGCTTTTGCACCCATCGTACAGTATTGCGATTCCAGGGCGATTGAGCGTTCATTCTTTTGCCCTCAGCTTTGTTGCTCGGTGTTCGTACTGAGACATACACGGCCGCCCAACCGGCTTACCTTGAGACAATGCAAGGCATGCGCCGAGACACACGTGCATGCATGCGCTCTCACGTGGAGATGCACTCGTACCAGGTACTGTATCTCAAAGCAGCCAGTTATAAAAGGCTGGCGCAGCCACTTGACATGCATGGATGCATTTGATTCCCGTCATGATTGCTCAGCTCCAAGCCTCAAAATCTGCACGGATCCGGGCAATTACACCTGCTCAGTCAAGTGAAATATTCGCCGGGACGCTTCATCAGGTTTCGAGCTACGAGTCCTCCGATGGCGCTATTTCCCGCTACAGCTGCGCTGCTGCTCAGCTTTGAGCTTTGAGCGGTCCAGCTGCAGCGCCATCTGCCATGCATGTCTCAGATTCAATTCAATTCAATTCAATTCACGCATCTCGGCCGATCCACACGGCTTCCGAAAGGGAGACATGCCACCACTGCTGGCTACCAGCTCGGTGCCACAGCTATTATTAGTACCTGTACTTACGAGTGTTCACGTGTTGTTTTGAGCGGGTGTTGGATATCGGGCCAACAGATCTTGGCAGCACGCTCACGTAGCAGCTCGAGCCCTCGAATACGTCACCTCCCCGTGACAATACGGGCTTTGGAACACACATTGTGATGTCTGATGCTGTACCAAAGGGTCTATAATCCTGGTGGACTTGTGTACTGTATTCATGCACGGTGCTATGGGGGCTGCAGAAGTGAACCGCCTTGCGTGTACGTGGTATCCGGCCAAATTGGCCCCGGTGGGTCGCGTACCGACAAGGGGTGCTGTAAGCGGGGCAGCAAAGTCACTCAGCAAGTATAGTAAAACTAATGCACATTTCCCAAAAATACAAAGGAATAAATATATAATAATACTCAGCTAATATACAAGTAAAAAAATTATTTTAAAAATTCTATATATAATATCATATATATTTTACTTAGGTTTTCATTTTCGGAAGGTTTTATTAATATTTTATATGTGTATTTAAGCTTTTAAATATAGTTATAGGGTAGCTGTAGTTGTAGCGATTTTCTATGCGTTTTCCGAGGGACTAAAACACTTGGATCGCGAGACCCCGGGCAATACCTGTTCCACCGGGGCCAATTACCCCTACTACCTAGTACAGCAATTTCCATTGGCATGTCACATCCAGGTTCCCCCTGGAGCCATGGCGCGATCTGCACCAGAACAAAGGGAAAAAAGGACGACACGAGACATTATTCGCCGCTTGAGTGTTGGTTCACACCAGCGAGAGCCATGTCTCAGACACGTACATACACACAATGGACTGGTGCCGTTATACAACTCGTGAGTGGTGGAACCAGTTGAGCTTCCAAGATGCATCACAGGCACCAACCAACCAACCGACAACAAGAAGACTGAACCTACGTGTAACATCACAGCAGTATTTCCGGGCAACCAACCAATCTGCTCGTATACACAACCTCTTGCCTAAATACAACGGGCTGGCATAAACATGTCCATCATGGCTTCATTTTGTGGCATGACGCTTACACATCCCTTGGCACCAGCAATCTGTTCAAAACGCTCCGACCCTGCGGCAGAAATCCACAACCCTGCCTCTCATCACCAACGAGATCCACTCGCGGCAAGCTCCCTGGAACAAGCAGATGCCTCAAGCCCCTGACCCCTGCTAGGCCGAAAATAGAAAACCTGGAAAGGAAAAAAACAAGAAGAAGAAGAGCCAATAAGACTCATGTATCGTACAGTAACAGCATTCGAGAGAACCAAGAGAGGATTCAAACATGTCACGAGGAGGCAACATGATCGATCCTCGCCAGGGCCCATAGAAACACGCAGCGACTTGATCGATCTACCGCTATAAACTGGGTCCCAGAGTTGAGTGCATCTCGTGGAAACGACAAGGCTGAAGACGTTGTAGACGGACAATTACGGAGTAGTACTAATACCATGCAGATATGAAGTAAACCACATGTACATGTAGTTAGAAAGTGTCAGAGATGGCATCGGATCTAGCTAGTCTTGGCAAGAGTCGCGAAACTACGGAGTAAGTAAGCAAGAAGAAATTCTCCTACGATCCTCAAGCATTCAAGGCCGACAATTACATTACATTACTACCTATTAATCTGAGATGACTACTGAAGTAGCAATGAATGACAAGGCTGGCGGTAACATGATATACCTACCAATAATAGCTTCCTCTCTTTGCATGTGCTCAACCATGACAGGCCCTATTCGGCGTGCCTAGATGCTGGTGCACTTGAACGAGATGATCTTGTCATTGAACGCAGGGTACACCGAGACAATGTCACCGACTCCGGGAAAGGCCGAGATGAAGCTATTGCCCGCGCAATTGAAATCACTAAATTCCATCATGTCAGCCACCATCTCTTACTTGACAAGCCTGGAAGAACTCACTCGTAGAAGCGGCATACGCCAGCCGCCTGGTTGGGCCCAACGGAAGAGACCTTGTGATTGAGGTCCGCAGGCACGTTTTCTTTGCACACTGTTAGTGAATAATGATATGAAATCGTACTGTCAGGTCGATGGGACGTACGGCACACGCCTAGAGGAGCCTTGAGGTATCTGCACTGTCCTCCAAACCCAACATGTTCGCATACCAACACCTCGGGCGAGGCCTTGGGGGCAACGTCGTCAGCGCCGGCCATTGCAGTGGTGGCAAGGCAAGCGACCAAGGTGAAAATCTCAGAAAACCGCATTGTGAATGGGTAAATAAGATGGTTTGAGTGGTTTGTTTGTAAGTGTGTGAGCGTTGTGTTGTTGCTGGAGTGTGTTTGCTGTCGAGAGTGCAGATTGAAATGTCGTTGAAGGCGGGAGATGCGTCTCTTCTTATACTTGCTTGTTAACAGCCCATTCCTGGGACCTTGATGTCCATCATGCAGGTTCAAGACTAAGAAAGGAGCATGTCTCTCAGAGACATCTTCTTCCTCCCGACGTGGAGTTGCACAAGCCCCACAAGGCTCAACGTCAAATGTTACATTCTTATTCCGACCTTGCATGGCGTCCTACACGGAAGAGGCCGACTGGGGGCATTCTTACTACGACGTGAACACCGGCTTACTAGATGTGAAGGCCAGCCAGCGAGAAGAAACCCCAGAAACAATATTACGATATGGCTCCATGTTACGCCTATGGAGACGTATAAGATAAGGGCTACATGTTGGGCCGCGTACAAGTTTACAATAAACCAAGTTGATGTGATACGAGCGCATAGGAGATGAATATCTGGCATGACTCGGTTTCTGCCAGTACGTAATGCCAATCTATTCATTCTCGTGCTTGTACGCCGACTATGGTGAAGAGCAAGGGGTATAATTGATAGGAGAAGCTATAATTGGCCGACATTCCGAGATATTGGACGTCCTTGCGTTCAAAAATCAAGGAAATCACATACGAGTGGCAAATTGATATGCTCGGCATCTTGCGCATCCGACACATAGTACCCATCGAATTGCATATATTATCGAGGCACAAGGGGCGAAGTAATATAGCTATCCCCTCTTCATGAACGAGAATCCCGAAACCATTCTCTCCAGGCCAATACGCTCTCTCTCTCTCTCTCTCTCTCTCTCTCTCTCTCTCTCTCTCTCTCTCTCTCTCTCTCTCTGTGTGTGTGTGTGTGTGTGTGTGTGTGTGTGTCCGTCCACGATAACTCTACCCGACAATGCTCTAGATCTTTTCGTATTTGAGTCTGGAAAACTTGAGGCGGACCGAAGGATCCTCTTTTGCCTCTTCGTCAAGGTCGGGAAACGCCGCCAAGTAAACACTGTATTTCCTCACGTCAGTCATCTCATTCTTACAAGACACCGAGGAGTCGCAAACCCACTTCCAAAAGTCACACACGTCGGACGGGTCTGGCTGGAGCGAAGGAATCCCATTGCTGGGATACGCAGGAACATCCTCTGGACGCCTGCTAGCGAGGTAGAATGCGCATTTCGTCATCTGCAGGAGGATGGGATAAAAGAAGGATGGGCATGTGCCTCGAGGGGTGCTGAGGGTCTCGCGGGCCTTGAACGCAGCGTTGTCGCAAATTCCCGAGAAATTAAGTGTTCGGGCGATGACGGCTAGTGAGAGAAAAGTGACGAGAGTGGTGAGCTCGAAGGGACGCATCTTTTGGGTGGAAGAATGGGTTGTTTGTTTTGCCTATAGTAAGCTGGATGTGTTTGGTTCAAGTGCTGCCGTCAACATGAAGGCTGTGGTTTAAACATCACGTCACTAGCAGAAAGAGAAGGTGCGTCTCTCCTTATATCGCTTTCCATCTGTTGTCACCATTGTGGAGGGATCGCTTTTGAGATTTGGGAGGCGAGGTCGATTCTCCTATCGGCTTTAGTTGTGAAACTTTACTCTATCGCTGAGTTTGCTTCCCAGTCAGTGCGTCCGTATGCAAGTGACGGTATAACGTTTCTTTTGCCTCTCATTCGACGTCAGAATTGCAAACACTTATATGGCGAGGGACGAAACCATGTTTCACACTGGAATCTCCGAAACGTGAGTTAAACAACTGCCGATGTTCCGAGATTTAACAGGTTGTTCGAGGAATGACATCTTGTAGTTGATAGGCCGAATATCCGACATGTTGCACCAAGTGCGCCCATTGGTGGATTTTCTTGTATACAATACAACAACAGACACAATATCGATTCGAAATATCACATTGTGACATGACATCTTGTAATAGCTGTTATATGTCCAAACGCGAATCGAAAGACGTCAGATCCCTGCCAGGCCGGGGAAATACATCCATGAACTACATGTACCTATTCATGTCCTTGGCCCATTTCGTCCAAGGGTCTAGCTTCCGGTGTAAATATAGCCCGTATAGCGAGCAACTTGCTCGAGAACAACGACGGCATCACGGGAATTTCTTCCTCCGTTGTGCAACACACAGCTCATTGATAATATGCCGCAGAACTATCGCCGTAGAATAGAGCAATCCATCTCTGCGCAATTCTGTATTGCATCATTCAAGCAGTCATGTTCTTGGCCCCAAAAGACCGAGGTTAATTACACATTCGTCAAGTCCAGGTCAAGTCCATCTACCTGTATGTATCAACCAGTCCCTCTGCATCTATCCCTACCTGTATCCATTCCCATTTGTTCATTTATTTACAACATTTGATCTCTCAAGGCTGGAAAAACACCTGCTCCAACGGCCTCCACCACGACGGCTCTCCCGCCTCCGAACTCACCGCACCCTTGACCAAACTCTCCTGCATAGCGTCCGTCATCTTCCACCACTCGCGCACCTTTGGGTTCGCCGCCATCTTCTCCATGTCTCCCGCGTAGTCGTAGCCAATGTACCTGAAGGTGCCAAAGAGCAGGCCCATCTCGTCATCATAATAAATACTGTCTGTTTACCACGCACAAGTCAGCAAAGAGCACCTTATGCTGGGTATCTATTAGTCAACAGGGGAAAACACACAGTCTTCAATCCCGCAGTCTTTAATCTGCTTCAGCACCTCGGGCCAGACCTTGGCGTGGCAGGCCTTGTATTCCTCCACGCGGTCCTTCTTGAGCTTGACCGTCTGCGCAAACCAGCGGCCCGGGTTCTTCTGCTTCATCGACAAGGTCCTGCTGTGGCCTTGAGGGGGGTTGGGCGAGGGCGATGATTCGTCGCTTGGCTGCCACATGTTGCCTGCAGAGAATTGTTGCTTAGGTACTAGTAGGTATTACTACACAGCGTTCACAGTAGGGACGAGTGAAGAAGAGAAACAAATCTAACAGAGCAAGAATCGAGAAAAAGAATAAAGAAAGTGAAAAGAAAGGAGAGAGAGCTCGGTTCGACAGATGTTATTCCCTAGAAACCGGAGTCTGTTGGCTGGATCCATGCACCACCCACAGTGAGGGGCAGACCAAGAAAAAACAGCTGCCCGCAAAACGAGGGGATTTTTTGGGGAATCACAACGTGTGTCTCGGCCCCCCCGCAGACCAAAGAGCAAAATGGAGAAAGACAAAGATGGATCGGAATCGGCCAGGTTAATAATGAGAAAAACAGGGTTCTATAGCTCGATAAACAAGTGCCGGTTGCTACATCAGAGAGCCGCTTTGGTCTAACAGGGTGGGCGGTTTACCATTTACAGGCACCGTGAAGCTTGGCACGGAGGTTAACAAGATCAGCAGCTTCAGCCTGGGGAATTCCGATGCCCAATTACTAATTGAAGCTCGTGCATTCTTTACAGACCTTGACTAGATCCAAGCCCCCCGCATTGCATTGCCCATGGGCAACAGGATAGATAGTCCAGACCGTTGCCCCAATCCAGCAACTCCACGTCACGTAATGAATTCCACCTTGAGCAACAGCACACGAGACACTACATCGGTCACAAGACTGCACAATACGGCGAGTCCTTGACAAACTCCAACAAAGTGGTGATGCAGAGTCCTCAATCTCTTGATCCGGGCAGAAATCAATCTTCACATATACGGATAGATAACTCGGTACACACTATGAATATTCTAGCAATGTGGTAATTAAGCGACGGGTGAATTCAGTCAAGCTACCCCAACCTCAAAATTCCCCATCAAATTACAAATTAAGGTAGATAGAGACCCGGCAGTCTCCGCCTGTCTATAATTCCGTGTCACTCCACATGCACGTCTGCCACCACCAATTACCCAACAAGGCAATCGAAGCCCCAAATGCAAAAGAAAGTACAAGAAGCAGAGCAACAGGTCGAACCCAGCTTTGTAATCCAATATACTGCACGAACTACCTTGGACGCAATTTGTTTCCCCCCATAGTGGACAGAGTGGGCTTGTACGACAGCGTACCTCCTTTGTAGCTCCCCACACGGGGATCAGCATCCCGGGCCCGGCCCCACGCGGCTGAGGGTTCCGAACGATCGGAGTCAAAACGTCGAGGTCCTTTTGTCTCTTCTGTACGGGATAATACAAGCAGGGCCTACTTGAGAAAGTCGAAAGATTTACTGGGACTTGGGGCGAGGAGCACACCTGGTTGGTCATCAAAAACACCGACGTCAAACTTATTGGGACTAAAAAAAAGTGAACAAAAGGAAAAGTTGCAGTCTTGGATTAATGAAAGAAAGATGCCAAAGCATCAGCTCATTTTCTTCCTAGGAAACGCCCCTCGACTTCGGTATCGTCTTGTCAGATAGTTGTACAGTATGGCAATATCTTGATTCCCCCCCCTGGCAGTGCCATCACTCTCCGCATCTTTGCCCCAGCATGATAAAAGAAAAAATAATACCAACCTCTTGGTTTCTTTGGTTTTGTTTTGCTTCAAAAGGTGATAATGGCGGTGCTTGTCCACCTACCTACTCGTCGTCCAGCAACTTCATCACAGGTATAAGAATAACGCAATGGGGAAAAAAAATGATATCAACAACGTCGTCTTTCCTCCCCTTTACTTGCTGACGGACTCCTCCTCGGTAGCCGGAGCCGGAGTGGTGTCCTGAGCCTCCTCGGCCTCCATCAAACCCCTCTTCTCTTCCTCGGCAGAGAGGAATTGGGTGGCGTTGCGTCGGTGGTGAGGGCACCATGAACGACGGGGAGAAGCGCCGCGGATAAACATGCTCAGACGGTACACAACGCTGCACATGAACATGGCGAGGCTATTGCAAAGGTTAGCAAGGACACAAAACATTACGGCGTAGGAAGAAACAACATACAAGGCAACGCCGACACCGGCGGTGATGCCCATCAACACGGGCAGGACAATGTGCGAGGCGACGCTCAGGACAAGGCGGCGCCAGTCGCGCTGGGAGTTCCACTCCTCCTCGTGGCCGTGGTGAGGGCGCTCGTGGTGGTGAGGGTGAGGTCTGTGGTCGTGGTGAGGGTGATGCGGGCGGTGGCCCTCCTCGTGGCCCTCCTCGGCACCGACCATGGGCTCGTGGTGAGGGCCCTTGTGCATCTTCCTGCGGCAGCCGCCAAAGCCCTTGAGCGCAGCCTTGGCGCGGCACCACATGGAGTGGCAGGGCATCTCGGGAACGGCTATGAGCTGCATGTCGGAGATGACAATCTCGCCCGTGGTGGCCTTGATCAGGCCAATCTTGACCGTGGGAATGTCGTCGACGAATCGGTGGCCGACCTCAATGACCCTCAGCTTAACGTCCACCAACTCCAGCTTCTGCTCCTCATCCTTGGCCCTGGGCACGACGGCGAGGCTGTAGCCCAGAGTGCGCTCGTTGGCGGCGCCGCTGGCTCGCACCACCTCGGCGACCAAATCATCACGCCACGGGTCGGCATGGGGATACAGCTCGAAGCCGTTGACCATCAGTCTCGATCCATCCTCCACGGCAAAGTCCAACTTGAGGTGCGTGTCCCGGCCTCGACACTGCCTGCAGGGAACGTCGAGGCTCTGGCCCAGGGCTTCGGCGGGGAGCTGGAAGGTCTCTGGCTCGACGGGGAGCGCCTTGAAGATGCTCTCGTCCTTTTCGGATAACTCGGGGACGATGACGAAAGCAGCAGCCGCGGCCGCGAAGACGAGCGGCTTCAAAAGCATGGCGATGGATGGGATGTGAATCTCGGGTGCTGTTACCGATGGAATATCACAAGGAAAAGAAGAAAAAACGATGGAAATAAGATGCGACTTCTATCGTCGATTCGTTCAATGTTTGACAGCGGGGAGGAAACAAAGGAAAGGCTATGAAGGGAGGGCAGTGAATCCAGGCCTGGGGAGATAAAAGAGGTCCAGTGGCAAAGGATGACCCTGATTGGCCCAGAACAGGCGTTGACGCAGCTCGGAGAAGCCTCTGGCCGACTCCCCGATACGAAAGCTGCCCGATTGGGCATGGCGGCACACGCGACAATTTCCAGAGGGCGACGTCAGCTTCCAGCACAGCCAAAGAGGCTTTGCATCAACACCCAGAAGCCGTATTATCCGCCCCCTGGCAAACATTGAACACTATAATTGACTGTGCTGGATATGTACAGTACAGTAGGCTGTTGATATTAACTCAGTCAATCCAAAAAGGGGGGGCGGCATCTCGTTTAATAAGGTAATAGGGCAAATACCAGCAACTACCAGGCACTACTAATCAATCAATGCCATCTCTTGCACCAAAAAATAATAATACAGACAATGCATGACAGCATTGTGAAAGCATTCCATGTTACCAAATGTGCTCGTATTGATACATGCACTGTAACATTCCATGATTGATGAAGAATTGATGTGCAACACCAAACATCAAACATGCCAGGATCGGACATGTCGTCCTAAATGTACAGCGACATGCTAATGTAGGTCATGTCCCACTGCCCCGTATGTACGCAATACGCCTACAGTAACACCGTGGATCCCAGACAAGGGCGCTACTGCATTACGGGTGTCCCAGGCGAGCAGGGCCCTGACACTTTGACACTGACAGCGACAACTGAGTGCTGTAGATACGGAATACACGCCCTGTGGCTCCCCCAATCCCGCTCCCTGTGCAGAGTACATACAAGATAGATGCTCGTAAACAGGCGGTATTCGTGTATGCACATTGTCTCGTAACGCCGCTGCATCTCTCGCGCAACTTACCGTATCCAACAGGTTTCTATTTTTTATTTTTTATTTATTTCATTTATTTGTTTAATACTTTTCTTAATACAGCGTGGCTGTACTTAATACTTGGCATTTCATCGTCAATGGCACTTGGCTGCCTCTGAATCGCAGTCTTCTTATGCCAGTGCCTGTACATACATCAACCACAAGAAGCAATTATATCAACATGTAAACACGATATAGGTGAGCCCTTTACGGAGATCACAACATCAAACCATCATGGCATTCAAACTACATGTAGTCCTCATCAATCACAATCCACTACCAATACACTATTCTCAAACCTCCATAACAGACAACAGTAGTCTGCCTCTCCCAAGACACAAAATGCCATGATAAATATCCCCCATAATGACCTTAGTAATTCCCCCTATGACATTTCCCATCAAAAAAACAATAAAAAATTGTATCAAAGCAAACGATAATTAGCGTTCCAACATTTCATATATCAAGCCTCATTCTTCCATCCAACAGGATTAGAGTACCCTCAGCTTCTCCATATCATTCCTCACCTTCACCATCGACAGTCTTCTTGAACAGAGCCCGCAGGCGATTCGCTGCCATCTTGCTCCAGTCCACAAGCTCACCGCCGCGAGTCAACAGGCCGTCGGTGAAACTCGTCACGTTCTGGTGGCGGTGCAGCGGCGACGAGGCACCCCAGGGGTAACTCGGGTTGGGAGGCAGCTGCTCTTCCTGCACCGGCTCCGTTGGCACGGGATAGGCAAAGCCGCGCGAGCCAGATTCATGGCCCTTTGCCGTGGTCGAAGTCTCAAATGTCGTCGGGAATGGGTACGGATACGAGTCTGGGGGGCACATCATGTTAGCTTTTCTTTTTCGTATACTCAACTCTTCTCTCTCCTTGGTCTACTTACTGCTTCGAGTGGTACTGGTGAATGTTCCGTTCCCAATCATGGTGCCGTTTGCCGTGCTAGTTGTGTTGCAGGTAGACGTATATAGCGGAGTGTGGTGGAGTGACGACTCTGGGACCCCGGTTGTCAACGGCACTGCCCAGCAGCGAGTCATTGTCGTATTGCCGCTTGGGAATCGAGTGCAAGTGGTTGTGCTGTCGCTGATATTGGGGTACGGATACACCCACGAGTGAGTGCAAGGAGGCGTTGCCGTAGTGCTGTTAAGGTAGAGCGTTGTAATAAGTACGCTACCAGTCTGGCTGGACTCATGCTCAGTCGTCATGGTGGTGTTTATCCAGCGTGTGGCAGTCGTTGGCGGTGCAGGTACCGTCTGGATAACAGTCGTGACGATCTGAGTCTCATTTGTCTCCAATGAAGAGGATGTTGATGAGATGATGGTACCAGAAAGAGCCGATGATCCTGCTGTGGACAGCGGTAGAGTCTTGGTAATGGTACTCTCGATCCCCGTTGCGTTGGATCCCGAAGCAGAGGCAGAAGCTCCTACCGTCAATGTAGATACGATTACAGTAACCAACTGTGTCGTCGTTGTGGTGGATACGGCAGAGGCAGTGGAAGACGGAGACACCCGTGTGCTGTTAGTCCAAATGGGTCCGCTGCTGGGTGCTTGTGTCGACAAAGTGCCAACTCCAGAAGATACTGAAGTCGTCGACCATGGAAGAGCGGATCCAGTTGTCAAAACCACCGATGTTCCGTTTTGAATGACTGTTATAACGGTAAAATTGCCGGCCTGAGACACTGCTGGGCCGGAGCTGCTTGTGGAGCCACCGGGCCCTGTTGTCAGCCATGATGTGAAGACGGTGGTTTGGGCTGTGGTCTTGCCAGTAACAGTGGTGGTAATGATTACCGGGCTAGCTGTCTCGTTGATCGGACTGGTTGCCGTCTTTGATACCAACGTTGAAGAGGCTGGTGTGGAAGACGTGTTTGTCCAAGATGAGGACGGCGCGGGCAAAGTCGATCCACTCCATTGGGTAGACGAGTTGGACTGCGTCGTGCTGACAGACCAGGTACTGAGAGGGATAGAGCTGGCTGTTCCGACTGGCGAGCCAGTGTTGGACTTGGTGACTGTGATGACCGAGACAGATGGCGAACTGCCCGATGGAGCACCAGTTGTGAGCCATATCGTAGACAAGTTGAAAGAGTTGGTAAACGACCACGTCAGACTTCCGGCACTGGTTGTCGGTTGTGAACTCCACCCAGAAGTAGAATTGGTTGCTGGCAGAGGGCTGATGGTGACTGTGATCACACTGGGCGCTGCTGAACCCGAGCTACTGGGATTCACAACAGTGCCTGATATAGTCCCAGTGGAATTGCGAGCCGTGGGGAACGGCGGGCTGCCAGAACCAGGCGTCTCTGTGGGTACGCTGGTCCACGATAGCCAAGTCGTGTTAGACTGCGTGACGGATGGGCGAGATGTTTCCTGGGTGCTTGATTGGCTAAAGTTCCAGGTGGAGGACACTGAATGACTTGAGATGATTGACTGCGACACTGTCGGCGCGGTGTTCCAGACTGTTGTAGTCACGACTTGCCCTCCGGATGACAAAGATGTATTGCCAAAGGGCGGCTGGCTCAGGGTTACCGTCTTCGTGGTGGCATTGAGACTGGTTTGCGATGCTTCGGTTGAAGTGGCAGAATAGCTACCAGAGTAATTACCAGTCGAAGAGACGCCCGGAGTAACGGTAATGATCACAACAGTCCCCGAAGGTTGACCAGTCACCGTCGAATTGGCAGAGCCCGAGCCCGAAATGATGGTAGTGAGAGTGGTAAAAAATGTCTGGTCCGCAGAAGTTGTGTTCCCAGGAAGCTGAGACCCTGTAGTGGACACAACATTTGAAAAGGTCAAGGTCGCAGTGGGTATTCCCGAGCTCGAAGAGACAGACGAGCCGGAAGGAGCAGTGCCCGTCAGCGTCTGGACAATGGTGGTAAAGTTGAGCGTAAACGGAAGAGTAGATACTGTAAACTGAGGGCTCGATGGTGCCTCCGTCGCAGTCACAGTAGATGTTGTGTTGGTCCATGATGCAGACTGGCTCCATGTCTCTGTTGAAGACGACCGAATCTCGCCAGAAAGTGTCAGAGTCGCCCCAGTGCCGGTTGGACGAATCGAGGAAGACGAGGTGCTTCCCACGGAGCCATTCGTCTGAATAGTCGAGATGACGGTAGAGACAACAGTGCCGTTACCGACCTGCGATGTCGACGCACTCACAGGCACAGATGTAACCGATGCTGCCACAGATGAGTTTAACGAAACCGATGTGGTCGGCAAGATTGTTGTGACGTTGGACTGAACTACCGTGACACCAGTGGTCGTGCTCAGGGTAACTGACGTCTGGTTACCTGTAACCGGCAGAGTAGACGTCCCTGATTGAGCAGTAGATGCCGACGGTGATACGGTGCCTGACAAAGTCAGTGTCAACGACAGTGTAGCTTCGGTAACGCTGGTTGACGGAGATCCTGTGCCACTTATACTCGAGGGAGATACGGTCACAGTCGAGTTGGTGAACCGGTAGGTCGAAGTAGCAACTGATGGGCCGCTTGAGGAGGGCCAACCGCTAATAAGAGAGGACGATGTGTTGGACAAGGCTGTTGACGAGGTGGTACCGGTGGGTGCCTCAGAGATGGTGACTGTGATGACAGTTCCATTCACGACGCTTGTGATACCGTGGTCCGACGTTGTAGTACCGGCGGGTGAAGTAACCACAGATGTCAAGGTCAGTGTCCCGTTTGAAGCAGTGGTCACCAAAGAGCCAGAGGATGACGAGCTCTCTGAAGCAGTTGAACCAGATGAACCAATGGGAGAAGTCACATTGGATCCCAATGAGGTTGACTGAGTGGGTAATTCAGATGCTGGCTTGGTCACGGTAATTCCAATCGTCGTTATCGTCACGGTTCCATTCTCAGTCAACTGAATGGACGATGACCTTCCTGTTGATGTGCTCGATGAAAGCGTCGAGGGCAACGGAGAGGTTGTAAACACGGCTGACGAAGAACTAGAAGGAGAAGACGTAGATGATACAGGCCGGACAGTGCCAGATTCCTCACCGGTTGAGGACTTGGTTGAATTGGTAAAAGTCCCCGATGAAGTGCTTGAAGCCGACGTCACTTCAGTTGAGGAGAAGGAATTACCAGTATGGCTAGATTCAATCGGAACAGTCTGTGCAGTAACGAATGTGGTAGTAGGCAACGACACGGTAATTGTCAAGACTGTTTGGCCAAGAGACGACTCCGTGGTTGATGACACCTTGGTCTCCGCTGACGAGCGATGATTATCCGTGGTGGAAGCAGTCACTGTTCCCACAAAGGTGGACGATTCGCTTTTGGAGGAGACTCTTGTGCTGGTTGAATTGGCTGAATGACCAGACAGAGTCGTCAAAAAGGTCTCCGTTTTGGTCTTGGTGGTGACATTAGACGCCGTGCCCGAGGAAGACTCAGCAGGGGGAGAGTCTAGCAACCCATTAGCTCAAAGAAGAGAACAAAAGGCGAGGCCATACTCACAAGGGCCAGATTTGGTCGTAGTGGTAACAGAAGCCGTCGAAGTCTCTTCTCCATAGGGAGGAGGAGGATAGTAGCCGTAGTCGCTGGGCTCACCATAGTTGGCGGCTCGAGGGCCCAAGACCTTGAAATGGCCAGCATCACCATCATGGCGATGATCCACGCCCGCAATCTGAGCCACAGCTGCAGAGATGCTAGCGAGCAGGATCACGACCACTGGCACGAGGCCAGCAGACAGGATGGATGCTCTCATCGTGAGTGGGGACACGGGAGCTATTCATCGTCAGAAACAATAGGCTCTCTGTGACGCGTTCAATGACCAAATGCTCACCTTTTCCTTCAATGAATAGGATTGGACGGAAATGCCTAATGCAACTTGTCACAAACGATATGATGCAGGAAACGCAGATGCAGAGTCAAGTGCCGCGGGAGACGACGAGGTTAATGAATGGAACGGAGGCAATGCGCGAAAAAGAAATGATGATTCCTTCGAAATGCAATGTGAAGAAGAAGAAAAGGAAGAGTAGAAACAACGCGAAGTGACGCGCCGTAGAAAAGAAAAGAAACAACGCGAACGTTTCCGACTTGGCAGCTGGCAAGCCCAGAAGTGAGAGGGAAGTGAACGGCCGCCTTTGAAATAGGAGAGAGAGAAGGGGGGGTGTACACGCAACATCTGGCTAATAAATGGGAAGACACTCGTCTGCCAGCTGCCAGCTGCCATGCGAGTCTCCCCTATTCCCTCCGTCAACGAAAAGCCAGGTCACACATCTCCCAAGCTGAGAGATAGAAACTGCGCTGAGCCTCTTCTTCCCGGCTACCTCCCTCCCGAATCCCATGTACCGGCTCCAGGCTGTGCAATCGCCACGGGTTACAAGAAAGCTGTTCCGAGTCCTCTCCGAAATGCTCGCGAGAGTCCATGTCTCGGTCATACTGGGCTCATGTGGAAGAAGCCAGCCAGGAGGGGGAGTAGCATGTTGACTGAGCGAAGCTTGTCGAACAGGGTTTTCCCTGTCGTGGACACAACACAACCCGCTCAAAACTCGCCACGGCTAAGAACTCGTGCGTGCATGATCGGCAACGCGCAGCAAGATCCTGCAGAGGGCAGAGATGGGGTGCACCGAGATCTGGGGCAACTCTGCATGCACCGGTTGCAAACACCGCGGTCCAGCCGTCTTTGTGTGACGGCTCCGAGGTCAAGGCATCCGTGTCGAAGACACACCGTGATGGTGATGAAGGGGGGACATCCGTTCATATCCTAGACTCGGTATGAAACTTTGAGCTGTCGGAAGCAGGAGTAGGCGTTTGTGTGGTAAACTGAAAGACAGCATTGAGTACCTGGTATAAGAGGCCAATGGGTATCAGAGGGCTCACATCTGCTTCCATTATCAATATCTGCATATGAAGATCAAATAGTGAGTAAATGGCAACATATCATACCGTGTTCGTACGCAGCCTTGGAACAACACTGCCATCTTCAACAGCACAACACAGCTAATCATCGTACGCAAAGGACAAAACAGATCATCAATCCCGCGAGTACGCCATCGTAGCACAAGCAACCCATGCTGATAACACTGTTCCCACGTTCGTATTGTCGGACATTAGGTGCTCCCTCAATCCCCTTCATTTTGGCCGAACGATGCACCGGCAAGTATCCATCTCTCGCCAAGATGGCTGTTAGACTCGGTCGTTTGCCTCCCGCCATCTCCCTCGCACACGCCTTCTCGCGTTATGACAGGACGTCTTGTGTCCTTTCACGACAATGAGGCCGTGTCACTCCAAGAGCCTACCTGCAGGTATAGACGAGTGTAACATCCGTAAACAAGTCAGCCGCGGAAGGGAGGCCGGAGCTCAATCAACATCTTTCAATCTGCTTCCCATGCTCCCCCTGTTCAGCTATGCCTTCCGTGTTTCAACTTAATTTAGACCGCGGCGGCTTGGGCTGGTGTCCCTACCGACTCGACGGGTGCAGACAATGCTTGAGAGGAGGAGTCGAAAGAGTAGAGACGAATAAAGCCTCCGTCCAGTAAGACACCATGTTAGCATGCATCAGGATAAGACAGTATGAGACGAGGTGCCTGGTTTGCCACAAAGGAGATTCGGCCCCGGCTGAGAATGTTCCTGGACGATGTTGCTGGTATGAAACTTGTCTCACGAAATACCGAGATCCGGCCGGATTTGTTTCTATGCTGACTACCTATATTGCAGCGTTTTCATCGTGATTTGTGAACGCTTGCACTATTTCAGGCTATCACAGATGCAAAGTATCAAATATCAACCCATTCGGGTGTACGTGTGCGCGCGGAAACTCCTTAAATAGACGATTCAACCGCGCTTCCAATCTGTTGACCGCTATGATCCTAGCAACGGCTGAATATCCGGTAGCAAACACTGCGATAGCAGTTGCTCCATCGTTCATACGACACATATTAAGCACTGTGTTGGACAAGCCCCTGGCCGGCGGACGACGAATCTAAAGTTCTTTCGCGTTCTCGGCTGCCTGCCTGAGATTTGGGGCAGTCTCTTTGACCATGGCGTTATTTTGCTGTTCGATATCAGCAGCCCAAAGAGCAGCACCAACTAAACAAGTCAATATCAGATCAAAGGATTTGCAGTGCCGCGTCCATACCGGTGTTTGTGTAGGAGAAGAAGATGGACATCACTGGGATCATCTCCAAAAGAGTTGCGACGACACCAAAGCTATAAGGACGTGACAATCAGCAGATGATTTCTTCTATGGATTGCACGATACCAATGAGATAAAACGTACGATGCGTAAGCTCCAGTGTGGCCCTTGAGCCACTGTGTCCTCTGTGACTCGGACCAATTCTTGAGTGTAAAGTACTTTACACCGTTAGCACAGACCTCGATGGTAGCATTCAGGGTGGTAACAACATACTCGACTGTGTACGACCTTGCCTCTGTTTTTACCTGTTTAGATGATTAGCAAGCCAATCTCCGTACCATGGAATTTTGATACACCTGCCATGCAGAAAAATAAAGGCGACGGTGCCCACGACGGGGATAAAGTTAAGAGGCAGGTACATGACATATCGTATCATTGCAGTGAGGCTCATTTTGTCGAACCGCTTCTTGAATACCTTGCCCAGCTTCTTCATGGGATCACTGCCCGGTTTCACCTCTCGGCCTTGTTGGACAAGGGCCGTTGCGTTTCTCGACACCAGTGTTCCGTCAAAGGTGTCCATGAGTGCTTCCTGGAGTATCCAAGTGCGGGAAATCATGTGGATAAGGATGGAGCTCTCGTTGAGCGTGAGCAGAACTGTAGAATATACAGCCAATGGGCCATTGAAGAGCAAAAGAACTGCAAGCTGTGGTAGATACGTAAAGGTAAACATGGCAGCAATGACAGAGACCGTGAGTGTGCCATAAGGGATGATTCGGTCAATCAGCGGCTGCCATAAGCTCCGGTGAGCGAGAAAGTAGAAGATGCCCTGCCAAAACCCATTAGTTAGGGTCGAAATGCTGCTAAAGATGGAGACTCGATGTGCACCTTGATGGGATAGAGGTATGCCTGGCTCTGGACGGCATCCGAGGCCATGACCCTCGCCTTCCCGTAGTCTTCCTTGCTAATGGACGTCAGTTTCTCAGCGCCCATGATACTATGATTGAGTGATTGACGAGTGCTGGACACGCTTACAGAGCATTCTCGGCCCTCCTGCTGATGGAATCGACGACGCGACTGCGCAGCTTCTCTTCTCCGTGCGGTGATTCAGCCATTGAGCCGCCACCAGTGCTCGCCTCGTGCTGTGGAAAAGGACAGAAACTTGGATTGAGCTGAAGACTGGAGACGCAATGGAATGTTTGGATATGCTCGTAGTCTCTGGCGTTCAGTTGGTTCGAGATGCTGTTCTGATGACTTCAAAGTTCGTGTCGCGGGGAGCCGTTTGGCTGAGGCGAAATGGTGTCGTCATTGGCATGTGGTGTGGGGCGAGCTCAACTTTGTAAGCTCTGAAGCTACATGAGCTTGTACTTTGTAACACCACCAGCCTTCAGCACCGAAAACGGACATGCTGGAGCATTCGATCCATTCACACTCACTTCGAATTCCCTATAATTCACCGCCTGAATGAATGTATTGACTTTACCAAACAGGCAACTGGACGTCAATGGAATTAGAATCAAGAGGATGCCTCCGAGGTGCCACCTAGCAGGATCTAGCCGCATTGTGCTAAACCAACCCTCCACCTGATATCTCCAGGGTAAGAAGAATTGGGGAACAGCCGCCATCATCAAGCATCATACATTCCACGGTGATTCGATAGTTACTCCAGATCCAACCACCAAGGCCCAAGATTGCCGTCGTCATGGCGCTCAAGTACATACCAAATAACCTCCCGCCACAGTCGCTACATCATGACCCTCTGCAGCTAATGAAATCGTCCCTGGAGCACATTCTCAAGACGACTCCTCCCCTGCCCGCTTACCCTGATCCGGCGCAACTCGGTGGCTTCATTCGAGGCCCAACCAGCATTGCCTTTCTCTTCTTTCGACTCGCCACACTCTGCCCTGATGTCCAAGTTGCGGATCACACCCTCTTGCGCTGGGCGGAGCAGTACCTCAACGCTGACCGTGGAGAACTTGCACTCACCACCAGAGTCGGGATAAGCTGCGAGAAGCTGGCCCACGAGGCACTCAAAGCCTGTATCAGCAAAGACACCAACCATGTCAATGCCTTCTTGTCCAACGTTCCGGCCATCGTTGGGCCGTATCCGGATTCAGAACAGGATCCATTCGAGTCGGAAATATGGCAGGGAAGAGCTGGCACGCTCTACTTGTTGAGGCTGATACGCCACCACGTCCCGGACAGCGCCGCTCTCCTCGAGGGTCCAATTGCTCAAATCTCCCAGAAGATTCTGGCAGACAGTTTGGACCAAGATGAAGGGGGGTGGACTTTCCACAAGCACAAGTACATTGGCGCTGGTCACGGCGATATTGGCATCGTTACGCAGCTGGCTCTCACTACTCCCGCTCTTGCGCCAAAGCTTGCCCCCAAGCTTCAGGCTTTGCTAAACCTCGAAAAAGATGGAAACTGGCCTATTGCCAAGGAGATTGACGAAACCCGCCACCCAAGCCTCATGCAGTGGTGTCATGGAGCCCCTGGCTTCATCTTCTCTCTTCGTGCTATGCGGCCACACTTTCCTGAGCTTCATGATCAGATTGATGCCGCAATAAGTAAAGGCCAAGACGCCATCTGGGAGCTGGGATTGCTCAGAAAGGAGCCGAGCCTCTGTCACGGTATTCTTGGAAACGCTCTGTAAGATGGTCTGCTCCACTCCTCTCTCGTAGCTATACTAACATATCGGCAGTAATCTACCTCGTGGGCCGCGTAGAGAACACTTTCTCTCTTGTGCGACCGCGGAGGCAATGGAAAAGGCTAAAAGTGCCGACCCTGAATTGTTCTTGCGTGCTGATTATGGGTATGATATGTCGCTGTTCTTCAACTATCATTCTGGTGCAGCCTGGACTTGGGCTGTTTGTGAGTGGGAGAATCCTCCAATGCCTGCGTACACGGATGTTTGATGTTTGCAAAAAGTCAAGTCTGCTGTTGGACATGTTCATCGATGCTGTACATGGGCGCGGTTGAGTATTGGACTTGCATCGGGAGGCCGAGGCCGTCGGTGATAATCTAATCAAGTGATGGCGTATAAAGCGCCGCTATGAATCATATAACACAGTTTGATTCTTATTATCTAGATATATTTACCAACGTCTTTCAAGATTTGGTTGACTCATCGAGCCATGAGGCGGGATCGTTTGCTGGTCTTGGATCTGTACATGGAGGAGGAATGAAAGTCCTTGGACGAGAACGGGCATGCAGCCGGTTTTATTCCTCAGCCACTCAATTGCCCAACTCCCTCGACCTTTACATGAGCCTGGCTACTTTATACTTGCATGTGACATTTCCCTCAAAAGTTATTTATCGCAAAGGTTACTTTCCCCCACATTCGAGGCGCAGGTGGCTATGTCGCTGAGTTTATTTAGCCAAGCAGGAGCTTCATAAAGATCATTCAAGGTGCTTCCGCCCAATCATACAAGGAATGAGTGTATTGCTACTGATGGCGATATTTGAATGGCATGTGATACGTGTACTGACGAATCCTCGACGTACCTGGCTAACCACCCCAACATAATAGAGTTGCCAATATTCCTTCCGCCTCGAATTACAGCCAACCAGAAAGATGAGACACTGAAGAATACACGTAAATCAAACAACTTACAAGACCGGAGACTTTTTTTTACGACGAATAGGAAAAAAGACAAAACTCGTCTCTTCAAACTTCAATCCACAAAGGTTGCCATACGAAATGCCGGGGCTAATGTGTGATTCACAACGAGCACCATACATTAGGGCCCTCGCAACCTAGTCCATACAATAAAGATACGCGGAATTTTCCGCAACTAGAGTCATGGAATGACTTCATATTACATAGATAACGGTTACCCCGAACTGAATGCAAAGGTGTTGGAGATGGCGCACCGCTAGTCTTGGGAGTGTGTTTGCTACATGACACGGGCAACCGGCAATCGGTAAAGAAAACTTGGCTGGAATTATTTTTTAAAAAAAAAAGGCAATTAAATAGATAAATAGATAATAATTGAATGAATTAAAATCATCGATATAGTGGACCAAAGATGGCTTTCAGGATTCCCATGCACACGCCCAGCATGTGGAACACGATGATGTATACGTCGAACGTTTTAGTTCAGGGTCTCGAACCAAGCCATGGCGCCAACCGAGGCTCATGCACTCCCGATTCCAATCTCCGGGCGAAAACACACACACACAAAGAACCATCGATATACTCGTACGGGCCTGCATGAGGTTACATGTACGTCAAACCGCATCTACATAGAAATCCCCCCCAAAGCCCTGGGCGTCTACAAGTTTGATCCAATGTGGATACCGAAAAAAAGACGGCAAACCTCCGGCCGGCAATGAGGGCCCCCGGTCTCGGAGATGCGCATCGGTTACGGTTATGAGTAGTGGTTTACGAGGCATTAGGTACTATAGATACAGATACGGAGATATTTCGTCTTCTTCTTCTTCTTTCCCTGTCCTGCAGCTTTTCTTTGCATTCGAACCTAGACACGGAACGGCACCGGCAATGTCGTCATGGCTCGATAATTGGACAAAAAAAAACAACAACAGATAAAACAGTCAGCAATTAAAAACTCTCTGCAGTAGTAGCAAGCCCCTAGACTAAGAATGACATCGGCACTTGAAGAAAACGGGCCCAGGAAGTTTGAAGTCGCATCAACGACCCCACACCGGATTTGTCAAAGAGGACGGGCGGCAAGGCTGTCGGCTGAAGGACCGCCGTTTCGTTCAACTCGGCAAGCGTCAGCGAGAGGAACTGCTGGCCAAGACGGCACAGCGTTGTACTCGAACCGGGCAAAAACGCAACATACAAAAGCAAGGAGAAAGGGGAGAAGAGCTCGTGCAGAAAGGCTGTCGGTGCCGAAGCGGCATAGGTAACTCGTACGAGGCACGGTTGTATCGTATCGTATCGTATGTAGCTACGAGGGGGTCGGAGTTAGGGGGGGGGAGGGACTCAGACTATTTGTTTTCTTTCATGCAGGAGTTGGGAGGTTTCAAACCAGAAAAGACCGCAATCCACGAACGAGTTGCTCTCCTGAAGCGAGATCCTCTTCTCTTCCCCCCCAAAAGGCCGCGGGATATGACTCTAAGCACCACAAGGTCAACTCCTAAGGAGGCACAAGACACAATGGGAGGATATGAGCATAACGAAGGGGGGTTCTCACCAGAAGTCACGCGAGGTCCCCAGCCACGATTTCCGCGGAGACTCCGACTCCCCGAGGGCCAATTGACCAGTCAGCACGTCTCCTCGGCACGGTGGAGACCTACCGAACAAGACGATGAAGAGGCAGAGGAACAAATCGGGGCCTGTCGGCATGGTGGAGTAAATAAGCCATGGAAATGTCGCGCCACTCGAAACGACCTTTGGCTCCCGCTTTTCCATGCGCTCGTGCCATGTACCTGTAAGTAAGGTAAGCCACCCCCTTCGCTCCCTTGTGTAAGTGTCGAACGCCGCCCAACGGAGCGCTTCTTGAAGCCGTGCCGGAGAACGGGGGCCAGGGGGGGGGTCCCAAGGACGAGAGAGCCACGATCGACGATCAATCATGAAGGGGGCCTGGACAAAGGAAGGGGGGGTGGAGGGGGTGTGTATTCAATGGCAGGGCAGAAGAAGAAAAGAAGAAGAAAGTGACAGCTGGGAACGCTCAATTGGTTTATTTCATCCCCAAGTGAAACGGATATAACACCGAATAACATCGCCAAAGCCGTACGAGTATGGAGTCTTCGTCTTCCTCGTAGCGGGCTGGAAAGAGGCTAGAACCCCCGAGAACAAAACCAAACCAGGTCGTGACACCAGCTTTGTCTGCATCTTCCCACGCCACCGGACCTTGCTTTGTAAAAAAAGAAGATGATGAGAACTCGGGGTAAAATCAGCTCGATCCCCAGACAAATCGCATCACGGGAATCGGATTTACAAGCACTGCCCATCTCACATCCCATCTCCATCCCCGAAAAAAACATTTCGGACGAATCGTGATGCAGCCTACACTCCCCCCGGACAAGGACCAGCCTTTTGCAAAAACCCGGAAGATTCCCTAGCCTCGCCATCTAGAACTTCCCCAGAGGTCATGAGAATCATCGAAAGCTGCAAAACAACAAAAAGATGCAAGGCAGAGCATGACCCATGGGGGATTAATAACGCGAGGTCCGACCGGGCTCGGTGACGTAGCCGGACAAGGCCTGTGATGCTCTCTTCTGGCCTAGCACCGGAGCTTCCAGACTCTCCTTGATTCTTTACTCGTGCGTGTACTGTAAGTCCTCTCTTCTTTTTGCGGGCTCAGCTCCGTCTGGATTGCCAATTCGTCCGCACAATCAACGCAGAAACAAAAGGCAGTCTCCATAAAATACAAACCAGTTTTGGCAATTCTCCTCGGCAAGGGTCTTGTGTCCTGTGTCTTCCAGGCGCAGGGTCGGCGACCGATCTCCCGTTTCCCCCGCGGCGAGGCTACCGTGCAAAAGAGCGAGAAGAAACAAGACCCCCTTTTTAGCTCCAGTGCAAAAACTAGATTGAGTTCTTTTTCTCTCTCTCTTTTCTATTCGTTATTATGTACATATTATATGTTAGTTTGAACAACACATCATTTTATTTTTATTTTTCGATTTTATCGTTAAATTCATTAACCATCTCCTTCTGCATCCATCCAGGGAGACACACGCCCCCCCTTGAGGCTCGCTGTAAATAATCCGTATACACCTTGTAAATATCGCACGCTAGCTCGCGGTTATCGTTTTTCTGTTTTGTCGACACCCCGCGGAACTTGTAAGTCCTCGGCGCCGGCACACGATAAACCCAAAAAAAGCATCGACGAAACAGCGACTCCGTTTCCACGCGCAAAAGAAAAAAGTCACATTGACAAGCATAACTCGTCTTAATGCTGCCTGCAACTTCGGCTTTACTGCTCGGGGTTTTTTAAATTTTTCTTACAAGAGTTGCAGCGCAGAATTTCGCGCATCGTAAAGCAATCAATGCCCACTTTTTTTTCTTTTCTCGTTCTCGTCTCGCTTCGCCAGCCCATGATGCGACGCTTGGAAATTAATCAATCAACACATCACATTGGCCATTTCAAGTGCTGGACGAGCCTGCATGGTTTTCTCTCCGCCTGGCAATGATATCATGGGTTCTGGGAGTCGGAGCGGCAAAAGCGGCTCAAGCGGAAGCGGAAGCGGTTTTGTAAGACGTACTCGTACTTTCCAGACAAGGCAATTCAAAGTGCCCCCCTTCGGCACTCCATTTCTTTTCCAACTCACCTCGAAAGAAATGGATGCTTTAGCTTGGGCCGAGCTGGTCCCGACAAGCGTCCGCTGTGGGGAAGGCTTCTAGAAGGACGGATGGAAACTCTCTTCTTCTTCTTTGAGGGCTGCGTTCTTTTCGCCTCCTGCAGGGCCCCCCGTGGAAACAAATCGGAGGATCCCACCCGGCAAGGATCAGGATCATGGGACCTCGTCCAAGGGCAGGTTCTAGTGCCGACGCGATGCGATTGGAAGTGATTCCACAGGGTCTGTTTGCTAGGGCTAGGCTGCAAGCATCGAGAGAGCCTACTGAACAAGAGCGTGAATCAACGATTGGTAATCACCCTTGGGAGGTTCACATAAACATGGACGTTTTCTGTGGGGACTCTGGTTTAATAAACATCATCTCAGCCTCGGGACGCAGCACTCGGGACGTTCTTTATTCAGCATTGCAGTAGACAGGACTGAACATGAAGGATTGGCATTAGCCTTGGCTCGGCGTGCGGCATATTCCGCGGTCCCCATCATTCACTGAATCGCTTAGTCTGCAAGAGAAGAAGAAAAAGAAAAATGGAAGAACCATGGTGAGCTCCATTTCGACGAATCACTTGATACGCATTTGGGTCGGATGGGGCAGGAAGGGGGCACAAGACCCGGGAAAAGAAAAAGAATCAAGGGAATAAGAAAAAAAAGA